TGAGACCACCTCGTCTTGGTGGCTCGGTGCTTGGATGACCGCCATGAAGATGGAGCCGACTCCAGGATCGATGCCAATCCAAGTGGTGCGGTTGGGGTCTGGGTCGCCGATGTGCTCCAAGTGCCTGGAGCCAGTTCGGTTGGAAGGACTCGATGCGCCCAGTGTTGCGAATTCCCACTTTGTCAGGAGCTGCAAGAATCCCAGCTGCCGGACAGTGTGGAATCGCGACGTCAATGCGGCGCGCAACATGATCACAGTGTGCAGGTCGATTGTGGAGATCGGAGAGCGACCGGCGGTCTTCACTCGGAGGCTGCCAAAGTGATCTGTTTTATTTCTTGTGGCTTTGCTTGACGCAAGCACAGCACATACTACATGTTCATGGAAACGGCTATATTGTCCCGTTTTTTTCTGAATAAAGTGTACCTCCCTCCCATGCCCGATGCCCAAGACGGGCTTCCTCACCGGGAACTGAAGAGATTCGGTGGACAATCCATTGGCAGCGCTGCAATGACGGCACCCGCTCTTGGACAGCATAGCATCAACCAGCGCCCGATCCCGCTCTGGGCCCTCACGCCGCCCTCTCAACCTCCTCCTTGAACCGGGCTGCAAACTCGGCGATGCTGGTTCCGTCCGACAGATCGATCACATCTTTGGGAAGTCGATTTGTGGCATGGGCGGGCTGGAGCGACTGGGACGCCTGACCCCTGGACTTGATGATCCGGAACTGAAGTGTATCCACTGTGATGACATTGGGAAGGAGCGATGGCGTCGTGAGTCCTGGTCCAGTCTGGATTCGGGCATCTGAACAGCAAACCTTCCAGTCCAGCCAGCCGATGGCCATACGTACGAGTCAGAAGCTCGGCCCAGTCAAAGAGCAGACCGTCGGTCGTGGGACTGAACGGGTTGAAGTCGATCAGGAAGACCTTTTTGTTTGTCTTGTTGATGTATATGTCAAAGACGTCTGGAGACGACACGATGTTCGACGGCGAGTTAGTTGGTGAGAGTGTGGCATCGGCAGTGGAACACATCAGAACACTCCATGCTCTGAGGGATCGCATCGGCGCAGGGTGTGCACGGCATGCCAAAGAACGCCCGCAGGATATGCCGCAATCGATAATTACAGTCTGGATCCGGGAACTGATCCTTGATGTGGGTGTTGAAAAAGTCGTTCAAGAGCGAGACAGTCTCTTGCTCCTGCTCCGCCAGGAAGTCGTAGTAGTTCACATGGTCTCGCTGGCTGATCGCAATCAGCTGTCGATTCCGCACGAAGCAGCGGTACTCCATCGACAAGTCCAGGCTGTACCATTTTCGCAGCACCAGGTGAGCGCCCTCGAGCGGTTGTCGTTTCGGCTGCTCCTTCTTGGTGCCTTCGCCTTCACCGTCGCTGGGCTTGCTGCCAGTGTGATCGACGCAGTACTCAAAGGCTTGCAGCAGATCGTGCGAGATATAGTCCGATGACTTGAGAAGCAGATATATGTCGGACGGCGTCGTGCACTTGAGGCTCTGTGACAGCGCCATCCATGAGGCATCCTGCAGCCAACGACAAAAGTATGGAATAAGCGGGCGGGCGAACGAAGCAGCCCACATCAAGCCCAACGTCCGTTCATATGGCAGCGGCACCATGAGGAGAGCTGCTGTGACTCATGGATGCTGTGCGCTTGATGCGAGACTGGATCCCGAGATTAGAAACTGCCAAGCGCACAGCATCCATGTGTTTGATGACACAGCCCCGATATCCAAGATTGCAGCCGGCGGCATCGTGAAGACAGCCTACCTTTGGGCAGCTCCAGTTCAGCTTGGGGAAGCAGGCTCCGCCCAAATCGTCGATTGCATCCATGATGGTCTGGTCGAGCTCAGGGAACTGTGGAACCTCGACCTGGTCGCCATCATCATCGCCATCATCGTCATCGCCATCATCGCCATCATCGCCATCGCCCGAGGGCTCTTGGAAAGCACTCTCGTCCCCGTCCCAGTCATCGGATATGGTTGCATGGTAGGATGGCTGAACTTGGCCGGCACTGCATCGGGGGTGACGGTGCTGGTTATAGACAGAGCGAATCGCATGCTCGCCAACCACTCGCTGCCGACGATCCAAGATGGGATTTGCTGCGATCACTCAGGCATCCCAGCGAGCCATGGGCACCTTGGCAGGCAGATTGATACCACTGCTCTCGGTGGGCATGAGCTCTCCCTCCGTCACCGCCATCACCATCATTTGTCTCCCTCAAATCGCATCCTACCTGTCCAGCGGCAGGAAGACGCCGTCTTGGAGGAGATAGTCCACAAAGGCTGGAGTCAGGGAGATGACGTGGCTCTTGATCGAGACTTTGCGGAAGTTGGGATACCACGAGCCAAACTCGCAGTTGCGGACATGCTGCACCGTGATGGGCGGGAACTCGACCTGGACTTCAGAGTCGCTGGACATGGCGGATGGGCAAGTGGGCGAGTGGGCAAGTAGGCAAGTGGGCAAGTGGATCAACAGGAAACAGCGACCGAATGAATGGCTGCGCTGACGACGATCGTTTCCGGGACGGCTGGTCACGAGCACTTCACATGATGTCCCTCCCGGAATACACTTTCGGCCCTCCATTTCACCTCATCCCAGTCAATCCCGATCCAGAACACCGATCCTGCCGATCGACAAGCCGATCATCGCTGCCGAGCTGCCGAGCTACCTATCGCCGCTTCCAGCCCAAGCACGGCCCTGCACCGGATGACAGACCAACCTGTCCAGGAGGACTCGAGCGAGTCCCACGGCATCTTCCAGTTCGACGACTCGGACGATCTGTTCGAACAGACCCCAAAGCGGAACCGGCATGTCATCGACACCGACTTTGCTGCTCGGGCACTTCCGCGCGGAGTACGTTGCTGAAAATCAAGATGCCCGTCGTCCGATGGGGGAATCTTCATCGAGATGAGTCGTCTGTCCCTCAGCCCTCGCCTGTCGGCCGTGCTGACCATCGCTCGCTATCCACATTCTCCCTCTATCGCTCCGTTCGTGTCGCTCTGCCAACTGTTTATCATCGCCATCATCCAGTGGCTGTTAGGCGCTTCGCTCGATGTCTCAGCGCGGTTCGGTGAAAAGCTTGGCCCGAACCAAATCATCAACGGCATCGAGATTTTGTATCTCCAGCGCAAGTATGAAGAGTGTCTGGGTCTCGTTGCCGAGTTTGTCAAGCACAACGCCGCCCGGCCCAAACCCATTCAGATCAAGGAAATCTGCGAGATTGGCGCACGGTGTTGTCTACGCCTCGGCCGGAATGAAGAGGCGCTGGCGTGGATCGAGAAACCCGCGGAGGTAGGCCCGCGGCGGATCAAAATGCGAGCATGAGATGCTCAAGGCCAGGGCAAAGTGCGATGCTCATATGCGCCATGGGCTCACTGGCACAGTCATCGACGATCCAGACAGACGTCAAGCTACCGGGATATATCGTTTTTAGTATTTTCTGACTCTGGATCCGATTCCCCTCCTTCCGTCACCCCAACCGTCATCACCACGACCACAGCCGAACCGCGAGCCAGGCTACTACTTTCTCATCGCCCAGATCTACCGCCTGAACCACCACTTTATCAAGTCACTCACCTGCTACCGAGAATACCTCCACATCCGCAGCAACGACTACCTGGCTTGGAAAGAAATCGCGCTGCTCTTCCACTCCATCTACGAGAGCAAGCAAGCGTCCAGGGATCTTCTCGTCATCGCCGTGCTGTCGATGCGGTACTCGTATAGGCTGCTTCTGCGATCACCCCGGCCCTCGACCGTCTTTTCGCAAGCCAACCTGCGGAAGGAGGGCGCATTTATCGAGTCGACGACGCAGGCGTGGGAGGCCGTCTTTGTGGTGCCGCAGGACAACCAGGACCCGGGACGATCGCTCGACGATATCGATGTCGCCAAGGTTGATCGAGAGGCAATCCGGGTGCATTTGAATGAGGACTTGGCCGACTGGATCATATCCTGCAGCGGCGGTAACGGCGGGTATGAAAACGATGACAATGCCCCCGAGGAAGAGGATGACGAGGACCTGGCCGCCCTGGAGGGGTAGATGGCTCTGTCTGCCAACTCGTCGGCACCAACAAACGTGCTACAGACTCGTTGGCTACAGACTCGTTGGCTGCAGGCTCGTTGGCTGTAGCTGGACATATACTGTCCCTTGTGCATTTCAGTCAGCACGGCACGCACAGGAACACGATTAGAGAACCGTCTCCCTCTGTTGTTCTCAGACCTCCCGCGCCATTCGTGGCTGTACTGGTTTCTGCTCGGGGTCTTGTAGCTCTCTGGAGTGAGCCCGGAGTGTAATCCGACTCTTCCAGTCGGCGCTCGAGATTGAGCGACTGGGTACACTGGAGCGAAGGCCAAGCGTGTGGCAGATGGCCATGGCTCCAGAGAGCATTGGGTGTCATCCGATCAGAGTGTGCCTGCTTGCTTGGCGCCTGGCCAGCGGCGCATTTGGTCCTCGATCTGCCATTGATCTGCTGCGCCTGCTTCTCAACTCTAGTTGGCTCCACCACCCACTCTATCGCTGTAGTCGTCTCCACCAACACAACCACCATTATTGCATCCTTTGCGCTCGTCACTGGTGTACGAAATGTCCAAAGGCAAAGCCCCGACCAACGAGCAGCAGGTGCTTGCTGTCAAAGACGTCATCAAGCTGGACGCCTTCAAGGTAACAGAATTCGAAGCATCGTCGGCTTGGGTGCATGCGAATGATCGACAGTTGCGCGTTTCCGAGCGTGGGAATCGGCAATTATCCCAAACATTGCTCGGGAGGAATGCATGCCAGGAATCGTCGGGATAGACTGCGGTACGTTGCGTCAGAAACCCGCGGATGCCTTGGTTCACACTGCTGTGTTGATAAAACAGGGCAAGATGCTTGCAAAGGATATTATCGACAATCTGTCGTCCAAAGCCAGCGAGACTTTTGATACTTCGTCGAAAGGTGGGGGATCGGAGCCTGCATGCACGAGACCGAAATGGGTGGCATCTGGTGCTTGAGAGCCCGAGTCCTCCTGGTGCTTTTGGTTTGCTTGCACGCATTCGTGCACTCACCCTTATTCCAACCATTCTTGCGTCTCTCCCCCTCATCTACCGTCCGTCCGCAAACGTGTATTCGACCTCGCGCAGAGTTTGACCCCCAGCCCCTCATCCGCATTTACGATCTGTCCGTGGATGAGCTCCTCAAGTTGCGCAAGAAAGTGCAAAACAAAATCGACGATCTTGAGGACGCCGCGCAAGTGACTGACAACTCGCGCAAAGCCAAGTTTCGCGAGTTCAGTAAGGAATTTGAGGTGCGGTTTGTCCCCTCGGTTGAGCCAGGAAGAAGGCGTGGGATAACTACGTGGGAGCTACGAGGAATGCTTCGACTTAAAAAGATGCGTGGGTGTTGCACTCGAAGCACTGCGATTAGCGCAGTCTTTGACTCACCGTCTCGATGGCACCTCGCGTGTTCAGGAGGTTCAATCAGCCTTTGAAACACTGGAAGTTGGGCTTGGCGAGGTCGGAAATACCGCTATTCGCATTGGTATGTCTGATTTCGTGCTGGACAAGTTTTGCTTTAGGAGATGTGACCGAGCTTGGCGAATGTTACCGATAACTCAATACCGCTTCGCTGACGCCGAATCGCCGTATCGCCAGGCGAGCAGCTCGAAATCATTGACAAACAGATCAGCCGCGCGACCGAAGCCAAGAGCATCATCCATTCGTTTATGCAGTTCAACGTTGGCCAGTGGGGCCACTTGGACGATTTGCGTTCCTCAGGATACGAGGGAAAGTACAAGGTGCGTCATGCAGCCGCCTTCCTCTCGAGTCCGACGGATCGAGACCTTGTGGGGGCGTAACTCTGCATTTGCCACTTGGCCGGGATGCTTCGCTGAAACAAACGTGCGATTCATGATCGGGCTGTTCAACTCCAAAGCGCATATAATGCTGACAGCGATCGCGATTCGATTTGCCAGGTCGCCATCATGCTGCGTCGGCTTCTCATTGTGGCCAAGGAGATTGAACTCCATGGAACCGAGACGGTAGGCTGTGGAGTATATATACATGAAACGAAGCGGTCTGCAGGGACCGAGGTGTCGGCGATTGTCCGGTCGCTGACGCAGCCCTGAACCCGCCCCAAACGACGAGCCAGGCCAAAATGAACATTGAAAAATACAGCGAAGATTTCGAGAAGAGCATCCTGGAAGAATTCGATGCCGCCTACAAGAACCACAACATCGAGTTCATGAACGTAGGTGGCGCATTTGCCGCCCGATATCGCCTTGGCTGGGGCAGTGGCCCAAACCCCCAATGCTGATTCTTGCGCCCTCCTTCATCTTGGATCCGTGATCCTTTCCCTGTTCCGAACCTGTCATCGCACTGGAAACCATCACAATCTCGGCGGTCTTCTCTGCGCTGGGTTCACCTGGGACGGGGGTGCCGGGTGATTTGGCTCCAGCAATGTGCCAAGATTCTGTGCGATTTCAACGGAGGCAACTCTTGCGTTCAGATGTACATCAACCAGCATGACTTTTTCATCAAGGATCTGAAGCTGTACCATCCACACGAGAGCTCTCCATCGAGGTACCTTCCAACGCTCCGCACCTCAACCCGTCTGTGCAAGACGTGTATTCGGAATGAGGTTAGGGAGAGACAGACCGGTGACTGGATAAACATCACCGCGTTCGTTTGCCAAACTCCCTCGACTGATCCCACTGTCTAAAACAGATCCGAAACAGCTCGTGGAAGCTCTGAGAAAGCCCGCGGATCACAAGCAACCGATCTGGGCCTCATCCGACTCTACGCCGAGATCCTAAATGTGGTCAAGAAGGAATGGGAGATTCTCTCGGCCGTATTTCCGAACGCGCACTCTGTCCTCCAGCAGTTTCTGCAGCGAATCTTTGCGCAATCGGTATGTCGGGGGAGGAGTGATTCGTGGAGGGTGCATGTTGGCGATAACGATTAGACTGCCCTGTGCTGGAAGTAATTCGCAAGTGCAGTTCCAGAAGTTGGCCCGACAGCCACCTGCGGCTTACCGACACTCTTTCCGGATAGATCCAAAGCTATCTTGAAACGCAGCTGTCCAACGCCGAGGCAGAGTCGTTTCTGCTTTACCTGCGAAAGTTGGCGTTTTCACACTCGGCCACCTCGAGTCTCGTGAACGACTTGCATCGGTTCGATGAAGAAACCATCTTTGCCCAGAGCGAGACCCTGGCCCTGGGCTCCGGCATCGACAGGGCCTTCAATGACCTCTTTGTGCCATACACCGAGGGCGATCGCTACATTGATGTTGAGCACCGGAGCTTATTCGATCGCTTTGACGAAGCCCTGGCGCCGTTCTTCATCGGACTGGTATGGCCTTTGCCCAGGCGGCAACAGAATCTCGGAAACAGTGCAATGGACTGTGCGAGGGCGGCCAAATACAGCAGACGAAATGTGCTTGCTCGATTCTGACTGCATCGTTGTGCGTTCATCCACGATGCATGCCGACTACGTCTCCAAAGTCAAATCGCCTGAAGCCAAAGAAGGATGGCAAGCCAATGGTCTCTATCCTCAAAGCCAGTGGCCTGAATCTTCTTGGAGATTCCCAGGAGGACGAGGGCGAAAAGACCCCCGAAGAGCTCGGGCTGCCCTCGGTGGAGCTAACCATAAAGCTCATCGAGTTCCACTACGAGTCAACCAGACGCTGCCACGAACTGGCATCGGCCAAGGAGCTGTAAGCAAGGGTTCACCGCTCTTCCTGTACGAGCATGCCCCCAAGGGAGCCATGCTTGCCGTAGCAGCATGGATCGTTCTGCCACACTGGACTGACACACTGGACTGACGCTGTCTGGCTCCACAGCCCGAACATGTCTGCCTCGCTGTTCCGGTTCTTCATCGAGGCCACCGGGACTCGCTACGTTGAGGCGTCGCTGAACAGGTAAAGTGTACCCGCCAAGGCCAACATGATGTCTCCGAAGCCATGGGCAGCGCTGATGCATGGAATTGCTTGTGAAGCGATGCTAATCTCTGGCCTGACGATGCAGCATCATCGAGGAAGTCACGATGGTCGATGCCAAAGTGGAACCCGACTTGCACTACATTCCGCTTGTCAAGATATGCTTTCAGATCCTACATCTCGTTCAGCTGCATTTTCAGACATGCGTGGTGAGTGCCATTCGTGGGTGCAGCCAAAGTCCGAGGGTCGCTGCTGCATCCCGTACCAGCTCTCTATGGCTTGCAGACGCGGAATAGTGCCGATTGACCCACCACCCTCCTTTTCCTCGACCAAAACCAGCTGCCAACCATACTCATCTCACCGGTTGTGCACCGAGAGTGTGTCCTGGTCAAAAACGAGTTTATCGAGATGACCGAAACCCTGGTCAACAGTCTGATCCAAAAGCAGATCGAAGGTACACGGCTCACCAACGAGGACGGCTGGCCGAGCCGGCGCTGTAAATATCAATTGCTTACGACGAGGTTGATATCTACTTTCTAGCGAGCATCAACTGGATTGTTTCGCTGCTCGGCCGACAGAAAAAAGCCGACTTCAAGCCCAGGGATGAATCTTATGGCGCCAACAACACAGTGACGCAAGTACGGCGCTGGTTGCATGAACAAAGTGCATTCTGTTGGGCCGTCAGCGATGCAACGCACACAGAGATGCTGAGGAGAAACTGTTGCTCGCCGATTCTCGGCTGTATGAACGATATTAGGTTTGCGGACAGTGCTGCGACTTTGTCGAGAAGATCCACAAGATCATTGTTCAGAGCCTTGATCCTGAGAACGCAAAGACGGTGCTGCTTGAGCTTGGCAACTCGTTTCACAGGTACGGGTCGGCCGTCGGCAGTCACTTTGCCCGCTATGTATGGACATGGTCGAGCCGGGCTAGAGTGAACACTTAGTCGCCACACTGTCGAACAGCCTCCTGCTGGAGCACTACAAAAGGTACCCTGTCAGCCAGGCAGGCAGCCTGATCCTTGCCAAGTAAGTGTCCCAAGCGGTGGTGGCGCTCTGGAGAGCCGATTTGCTACCTGAATCGCTCGTTGGATCGCCTGTTGGATCGCTGGTTGATCCACCTGAATCGCCCGTTTCTATGCCGGCCGCAAAGGGATCTGTCTCGGTACCATGAAATGTTCAGCAGCTGGGGCATCGACAAGCTCGAGGAGCGGTTTGATATGCTGCGCGAGCTCGGCAATCTCTTTATCGTCAAGCCCGAGAGCCTCAAGACCGTCATCAATGAGGGATATCTCTCCCAGATCGCCACGAACCTGCTGCTGCCGTACGTGTCGATGCGGACAGACTACGGCAAGTTCTCGAAATACGAGCGGGACCTGTTCCAGGCGCCGGCGATCGCCTCGACCAACTCGCTCAACAGCCTCGAAAGCACAGTCTACTGAGGTGGCTCGCACCAGCAGCTGGCTGGGCAGGGGAGGCGACGACGGCTCTCTTTGTCTCGCCGCTCGCCAAGATATCGGCTGAGCTCCGACCGTCCGGGCTGCGTCGGCCGTCGAATCCATACACATCTTTTGCACAAGCTGCATCCGTTGTATCCATTCGTCCTGTCCATCGATTGTACCTGGTGTCCCTTGCCCCCAGTCCGCCAAGAAGACACGCGCTGACTCGGAGCAAGCCTCGCTTGTTCGCATTCACGTGGCGGCGTCTCCGTCGCCCCCCTCGGCTGGGCTGCGATCCAATACAAAAGACGAACGTCCTCCCTGGCCGGCTGGCTTGCTCGCCTGCTCCTCCGCCCGGCTCCGTTGTCTTGCATCGCTGTCCAGCTTCCCGCCCGTCTCCACACACTCCCGTCCACCCGCCAGCATCGCCATGGCCAGCTTCATCCAGTCCCTCATCCCCGAGTCCGTGCGGGACACGTCCTCCATCTACGAGGCCGTCAACCGCATGGAGGGCGAGTACCCCACTGAGATCGACAACCCGGACCTCCATCCCGAGCTGAAGATTGAGCAAGTCACTGTGTCGTGAGTGCCGGCCGCTTGTTGTCCTCCACCGCTGTTTGCCGAGCGCTGTTGCCAAACGCCGTTGTCGCCTGGACCCGTATCCACCCATGTCTCACCGTGCCTCTCTCTCATCGTACCGCTCGCTGCAGCCACGACAACACTATTCCTGTTGAGGAGCAAAAGTTCCAGAAGGAACGCAAGGAGTTCATGAGAGAGGCCTTTGCGCGCTTCATTGGCGAGCCCGTCGAGAACATCCACCCCGACGACATCCCCGTTATTGCCATCACCGGCAGCGGTGGCGCCTTCAAGTCCATGACCGTTACCGCTGGTAAGCCTCCCAGAGATTCCTCCTTCCGGCCGCACTGAGGTCCTGCCTGTCCGCCCAATGTCCAAACACCGCCTCGTGGCGACCTGCTTGTTGGTGCAGCGCCATCCAGAGAACCTGCTTGCTAACAAACCCTCAACGGCACAGGATATTGCAAGGGCATCTACGACTCTGGATTCTGGGACTGCATCATGTACATGGCCGGTGCGTATTTTGCAGGGCATTGACTGCCGTTGCTCCTTCGTCGTCCGCATCGGCTTGAGAGAACGTGGGTCCGGACGGGCTTTAGCAAAGCATATGTTGCTTGCCAGACCCCGTACCTGCTGACTGCATGGTCGCCGTTAGAGCGCCGGTACTTACCCCAACTCGTACCCCTTCCTTGCCCTCGATCGTCTTGGCCAGGCGTCAGCGGCGGCTGCCTCACCCTCGCTACGTACTTCACCACCTCCGGTCGCTCTGTCCCAAACATGATCGAACACATCAAGCGCACCATCGTCCACCACCCCGCCGACCCCATCCACCTCTACCAGATTCTCCAAGAAGATCTTGAGAAGCGTGTCCACAAGGTCTTCAGCGGCCTGGCTCTCAAGAAGGTCCTTGATCTCCCCCGCGGTGTCATTGACACCTGCGGCTGCATCATGAACTGCTTCTTCTACGGCGGTATCTCGGGCAACTGGGACGACGATCATTTCAAGCTCAGCCACCACAGCAAGTTCCTCGAGGGTGGCCAGAACCCGATGCCCATCTACACGTGCACCCGCCACGAACGCCCCTGGGCCGACAAGTTCGACCCCGATCTTCCAAAGGAAGAGTACGAGGCCATGCTGAAGACGTACGAAACCCGCGATGCCTTGAAAGAAAAGTCCGAGTTTGATCCCCGCGATCCAAACAGCCCCTGCGCCTGGTGGCAGTGGTTCGAAATCACTCCCTTCCAGCTTGGCTGTGACGAGCTCCAAGGCAAGCATGCTGTCCTGTTGAGAGCCTTGGGCCGGATCCCGAGCTCACGCGTGTCGTTGGCTGACTCGAGGGAGCGATGCGAGTTGGCTGACCCGAGGGAGCGATGCGAGTTGGCTGACCCGAGGGAGCGATGCGAGTTGGCTGACTCGAGGGAGCGATGCGATCTGTCCATCGGCCGTGCTCAGCCCGGTGGACAATGGCCAGTCTGCGGCGGCGGCCACTTCTGCATGATACTGACATCCCTTTCACTTGCCCCTGCCTCTGCTTCCCTGCTTCTGATAGCCTGGGTTCCCACCTGGGCCTTTGGCAGAAAGTTCGTCAACGGCAAGTCCATCAACGTCGTACCTGAACAGAACTTTTCGCTCATCATCGGCATGACCGGCAGCGCCATCTGTGCGCCCCTGACCACCACCATCCAGACCTTCCAGCGCTCCGAGACCACGTCGACTGTCCAGGCCAAGCTCAAGGAATTCCTTGGCACTCTCATCCAGCCCAACGCCAGCCTGTGGCTTAAGCAGCTGCTGAACATCCATCCCTTCCACGCCTCGTACAACTGGAACTATATGTACGAGGAGGGCCCCGAGAAGACTCCCCCTGGCATCAAGAACTCGAAGCGCATCCAGCTGGTCGATGCCGGACCAGACAACAACCAGCCCCTGTACGTGCTCACCCGCGAGGGCCGCAACGTCGACATTGCTTTTGTCTTTGACTCGAGTGTCGATGTCGAGCGCAACGTCGTGACTCCCGACATTGAATCCTTTGGCAAGCGCAAGGGTCTCTCGATGAAGCTTGCCTCGGCTGCACCTCCTCCTCAAGAACAACCCACCCCCGGTGTTGCCCGAGTCCCTAACACGGCCGAGTCGCTCCGCGAAAAGTACAAGAACCGCTACCTGCAGGTCTACGAGATGACTCCGAACAACCCCACCGGCGCCAACATCTACGGCGCCCGCAATGCCACGCATCCCATGACCGTTGCCTACATGCCCATCCTGCCCAACCCCGAGATGCCCGAGTTCTACCCTAACGACATTGGCTTTGGCCAGTTCCAGTACAAGCCTGAGGAGGTCGAGAACCTCCTGAACTGCGGCACCCTCAACTGGAAGCAGGAAGAGTCCCGCATCCGTGATGTTGTCCGCACCGCCTGGCAGCGCAAGCGTGATGCTCGCCTTGGCCGCCGCTAATAGTCGACCCCGTCCTATCCTGTCCTGTCCTGTCCTGTCCTGTCCTGTCCTGTCCTGTCCTGTCCTGTCCTGTCCTGTCCTGTCCTGTCCTGTCCTGTCCTGTCCTGTCCTGTCCTGTCTTTCTTGTGCCGGCCCTCGCTCGCAGTTCGAGCCTGGTGTGTGCGGCAGCCGCTTCATCACGAATTCAAAATAGTTCAGTGCTCAATTGAATAAACCCGAATTTATAACCCCAGTCTCGCTGCGGCACATTCGTCCCCAGCGAACCAGCCAACCGATCCACCGATTGATTCGTTCATGCAGCTGTCACGTGTGGTCATCTGGGTTGGCAAGACAGATCTGCGCTCCATCAAATGTTTCCGTCCTGCGATCGCTTGATGGCCTGGTCGCTGTTCCAGCAAGCTGCCGCTAGAACTCGACCCTGCCAGGCGAATCGCCAGCCGAGGTGGACCCATCCGTCTGCGCTTTGTTTTATCCAGTGTCTTGCCGGCCTGCAAGCAACTTCGGACTCGAAAGCCACAACCCGAGCCAAGGCTGCTGCTCGCAACCCTCACCAGATCGACCCAAACCGGATTTGCATCTTGGCCATGTTGGCATCTGCAAGATTCAGGAGCGTCCATTGGGCTTGCAGACGCACCATTACTCTCGCTGTGTCGCAGCAGCAACAGCAACTTGGGCCGCCAGGTCGTCCTCAGTCGTTCGCAGCCTCCTCGCCGACGCCTCGTCCAAGCCAGAATCGTGCCCTCTCGCAGCCCGCTTCCAGTGCAGCAATCGAATCGATCGATCTGCGCAGTGCCCGTGGTCCTCCCCCAGCGTACCATGTCATCCAACTTGGCGATCGGCGTCCTGGAGCGCTCGGTCAAGAGCTCTTGGAGCCTGCATTGCGCTTCTCCGAGGACGATTGGGAGTCTATCACTGATCACGAAGCCCGCCAGTGGCTCGAGCTCGATACTGTCTTGGCCAGCGACTTCCAGGACTGGATCCATCTCAGAGGGCCAGCCGCAGTCGCGCTGGATCTGATGGACAGTCTTTCAAGCAACCTGCGCAACCCATTCCCGATCTATACTCGCTATGCACGACTCTATGGAGCATCGGAAGACACGGCAATGATCCGAAGCCTCTTTGACATGTTTCGGGCCGAGCTGCAAAGACTCGGACTCACCCAAGCGGAGCCCGCCGCACAACCCGACGGCACCAGCCAAGATACCCAAGCCCACGACATTGGCCTTTGCTTCGAGGCCTTCATGTATGCATTCACGAAAACCAAATCACCCGGCCAAATGAAGCGCTGCTCCGAGTTGCTGCAGTCCACAGGCCTGTCCATTCCGACGGGCTGTCTCAAGTGGCAAATGGTTGCGTCACTGGAGCGCGGACGATCCCACGAAGCTAATTCAATCTACAACCAGATTGAAGAGCGTGCATCGACCAGCCCGCGAGAAGCCAGCCAGGCTCGCTGGGAGGTTCTGAAACATCACTGGGACTCTCAGACACTGCCTTCCAGCGACATTACGCTTGCCCTGCTCTCCAAGGAAACCCCGGGCACCGTGGGGATACCCGCAGATGTTTTGGCAATGTACCTGCACAACCTCACAAGAACCAACCACTCGAAAGCCCTCCTCATCGCCGTCGACATTCTCAAGTTCCTAAGGAGCAGAAAGGCGCACTTGACGCCGTTCTTTCTCAAGACACTGACGCGGATCTTTCTGCAAAACGGCCAGAGAGCCTCGGCCCTGCAAATTCTCCGAACTATTGCAGCGACGCCGAGTGCCAGGCGCCGAGAGCCTCCTTCGACGCAGCTGGACCCAGGATACTTGATTCTGTGGGCAGCCACCTCGATTCTGAGTAGCTCAGCCAAGGTGGCTGGCGAACTACTCGGTGTGCTCGAAGCAAAAATAGCTGCCGGACCCTCATCGCCCACCAACCAAGGCCTAAGAGGAGGCGCTCGACGACGGAAGCGGCCCAGGAGCCCGCCAAATGATGCGCACTCACAAGCAATCACCGAGCTCAGCCTCTCGCAGCGCACCGATATGCTACGCCTCTACACAGCGATGGGCGATTTCGCCCGTGCAGAAGACATTCTCTTCAGCACCCACGCCGCCATGACCTCGCTCCGAAGCCAACTCAAGACACACGAAAGCCAGTCGACAGCAGTCACACCCACAGAACTCCCAAAGTCACACAATGGGGCCAGTAGCCGGCTCTCGGCCGTAGTCTCTTGCCACAATCTCGACGATCTTCGGATACAAATCCACCGCCACGACGAAGCGCTACAGACGATGCTGGAGCACATGGTTGTCGAGTTGGGCCGCGACCGGCGCATCGAGGATATCCAGGCGTTGCTTCGGTCAGCCAGCACAGAGCCGCTCGAGATCAGGGTGCCAAAGTCAGTGCTCTCGAAGTTACTCCAGCTATTCTGCAGCGATCTGAGCCTCGACGCCGCACTGAGCATTCTGCGACTGCTTCCCAGCGACAGTTGCAACGGTGATAAAGAATCGCTGAACCGGGTGAAGATCCGAGACGTTCTCGAGATCGATTGCGCCCATCTGAAGGGACAGCGATGGACCCGACAAGACTACATGAACATCTACCATGTCTATCACGAACTCTCGCTCCAAAGTACTCGGTCGTCTGGAAAGCCGTCGCTCTACGACAAGCGACTGCAGACACGATTCTACCACCCCCACCAGCCGCATGCGATTCTCATGAGACAGCGGCTTCTGCCGCCGTCCCAGTTCCAGTCGCCCTATCTAGCATACCAAAATAGGCTGCGGCCGTTTGAGCTCGACAGCGTCAAGAGAATATTCAAGCAGTTCCTGAGGGACACGAGCGAGCTTGCCCAGCAAGCCCCAAGTGTCGAGCTCTACGGCGGGGCACTTAGCCTGTATGCAAGATTCATCGACTCCGAAACCAAGACCGAACACAGTCAACTGGCTCCTCAGTCTGGGCCGGAGCATCATCGGGACCCACACATCCGCGACTTGCTATGTCAGGCGTGCGAATGGATCTTCACTGAGATGCAAGTGGAAGGGTTTGAGCCGGGACTGGAGGACATCCAAGCCATGAAATGGATGTACGAGCAGTTGGGAATGGGTGGGAGGCGGGAGTTGATGGAAATCTGGCATGAGAAAGCTCGGTAATAAATGCGACACCCTCCCATCGCTGACGCCCCTCGGCGATGAGAGGATAAGGCTGGCCCAACACTTACTGCGACCAGATGTACGCCACATTCACTAAATCGCTTTCATCACATCGCACTCTCCCCGACAGAGCCAACCCCGTCGAGTTGCGTGAGCCCCACGCGCGAGACTCACTCATCCGCATTGCCGCAGCCCGTCGCGGAACGAGCTGGCTTCATGATTCAGTCAATCTATTGCAATGCATCGATCTCATTTGGCGGCACTGCATCCGGATGGCTCAAGCACTCTGCCTGCGGAGGCACTGGAGCGAGTCTTTGAGCTTGGCATCAGGGGTATTTTTGGCTTCTAGTCTTTCGCCCCTTCTCAAGGAAGGCAGTCACTACCGGACTTGATAGAATGATTTCCGCACGAGACCGTCGTTCGGGATCAGGAGAGTTTCTGAGGTAGGAGGCAACTTCTACTTGGATCCGTGGGGTGCCGAGGTAGATTGGCTGTGGGAAACGAGATGTCAGCTGCAGTCGAGGAGCGATGTGACGTCTGACTTGAACTTACCAGGATGGCGACGGGACGGTATGGAGGCATGGTCCAAAATGCAATCCCGTCGGGAGAAGTTGAGAACCGGCTCCACCAGTCACCGAGGGAAGCGTGCGGGATTTTGACACTGTGTTTGCCGTGGCAGATCCACTCGGATTGCAGGTCCCCACTCTTTACCCATTGGGGCGAGACAGGTGGCGAAGCGACGACGGCGAACCTGGCAAGATCGTCATCGGAGCGGACGAACGTGTTGCCCCGACGGACCCAGCCGATGACTTCACAATTGGACCAAGACTTGATGAGCAAGCCATCCGGCGAGATCGCTACAGAGCTGACATATCCTGAGTGTCCTTCAAGGATGTGCTTCAGCCGACCGGTGTTGATGTCCCACACCTTGACGGTGCAATCACCCGAGCCAGACACAATCGATTGGCCATCGGGTGAGATTGCCACGGAGTTCACATCCCAACTATGTCCTTCAAGTGTGTGCTTTACTTGGCCTGTGCCCAAGTTCCACACCTTGATGGTTGTGTCCCGGGAACCAGAAACAATCCACTTGCCATCGGGCGAGATGGCAACCGAAAACACAGCGCCGGCATGTCCTTTGAGAGTGCGCTTCCATCGACCCGTGGTGGCATCCCACACCTTGACGGTCTCGTCACTTGAGCCAGAGACGATCGATTTGCTGTCCGATGAGATTGTCACCGAGAGCACCAAGTTAGCGTGCCCTTCAAGTGTGTGCTTCAGCTGGCCCGCGATGGCATCCCACACCTTGATGGTCTTGTCCCGGGAGCCGGAGACGATCAGCTTTCCATCGAGTGAGATGGCCACGGAGAGGACCAAGTGGGTATGTCCTTCGCGAGTGCACTTTGCCTGATCCATGGCAACATCCCACACCTTGACAGTCTCGTCACACGCGCCAGAAACAAGCCATTTGCCATCGGCTGATATCGCCACGGAGTTCACAGTGCCTGCGTGTCCCTTGAGAGTGCGCGTCACCTCGCCTGTGGTGGAGTCCCAGATCTTGATTGTGCCATCACCAGAGCCAGAGATGATCGACCCGCCATCGGGCAAAATGTCTACAGAGCTCACACCTTCTGTGTGCCCTTTGAGAGTGTGCTTGACCTGGCCAGTGACGGCATCCCAGACCATGATGGCGTTGTCAAGAGAGCCGGATACGATACGCCTTCCATCGGAAGAGAAGGCCACCGAGAGCACCCAGTCGGTATGCTGATCCAATGTGCGCTTCAATTGGCCTGTCGTGGCGTCCCACACCTTGATGGTCCTGTCCTTAGAACCAGAGACAATCCACTTGCCGTCGGGTGAGATCGAGACCGAGGTCACGCCTCCTGTGTGTCCCACAAGGGTGTACTCCACCTGGTTTGTCGCGACACTCCACGCCTTGATGGTCTTGTCATCCGAGCCCGAGACAATTGACTTCCCATCAGGTGAGATCGCCACTGTGTTCACATTCCTTACATGTCCCTCGAGAGTGCGATTCAGCTGGCCAGTGATAATATCCCACACCTTGATGGTCTTGTCAGCCGCGCCAGAGACGATCCACTTGCCGTCGGGTGAGATCGCCACCGAGGTTACGGGCTTGATGTGCCCTTCAAGGCTACGACTGACTTGACCCGTGGTAACACTACGCACCTTGACAGTTTCATCGTCTGAGGCAGAGGCAATCCACTTGCCATCGGGCGAGATTGCCACAGAATTCACTTGGCTCGAGTGACCAGTCAATGTCATCTCACACGGATCCCAGGTGGGTGCTGGACCAGCCGTGACCAGGAACGAGATCTTGTCCTCGAGCTGGGTGGCATATGTCTTGTAGATCGTTGTCTCCTTCGGTGTGAATGCATATCCCGAGTTGTACACCTGTGGTGCACTCTTGATGATCGGATCGGCAAACTCGCGGATGAATCGATACGTGTCCTTGACCAGTTCCTTCGTGGTGTCGTCGACGATGGTGCTGGGTGCCTTTGTGATCACTCCTCGCAGCACAGCCAGTTGCTCGATGATCGGCTTGACCACATGTGTGAGCGATCCACACTCGAGCCAGAAGAACACATGCGTCTTGACGAACCGAGTGAGCACCGCTGCCACATCGACCATCTCGGTCGACTGCCACACCGGACTCGACTCGGCCACTCCACCCACACACCACACAAAGTGTGTGATCCAGTGGGCGACGCTGTATCGCAGCGACGGTGTGATCTTGGCTGCGACTCTGTCCTCGAGGTCGGCGATATTGTCGTGAAAGTCGAAGATATCGCAGATGTTGACCACTGGGTCGTGCGAGAGGATCTCGCCGAGACATCCCTTAGCAAACACCGTGTGGAACGAGGTCGACACATGCCACAGATGGCCAGTCGATGCGTCGCCGAGGAGATAGTCCGCCACCGACTTGTGGTTGAACTTGACCTCGTTGTTGGTGGACTGGCTGTCTCGGGGACCCAGTCCATTGGCACCAGGATCGAGGACCAGGCTGAGGCTCTTGAGACACTCGCGAACGACGCCGATCTCGAGTCCAAACACATCGACGATGATCTGTGTTGTCAGGATCGACTGGGCCGTGGCGATCGCCGACACCACCGTGACCAGCTCGGCCGGGTGGCTCGACTGCGAGTGGATCTTGGCGAATGTCTTGTGGTACAGCTGACCGACATCGGCGGCGCTGTCGTTGATGTCCTTGATCGTGGCGAGTGTCACTGGGCCGTCCTTGGATGCTGCGTCGACGGTGTTGAGGATCAGGTTGATCCACACGAATGTCTTGGACTGGTCCAGCAGGATGGCGACTGCCTCGGTGCGGTCCGAGTCACTGAGAGTGTCATACACTCGCAGTCGGTGGCGGATGAACACCTCGAGGTCACGGATGTTCTCCTCGCTCGAGGGTTCGATCGTCTTGATCGGGACTCCATCGAATGCTGCCTTGATATCGTCCTCGGGACGGGATGTCAGCAGTAACTTGAGCCACGGATGCTTCGTGTGCAGTCGCTGCAGTCCACTGGCCAGGAACCCGAGGATCTCGTCACGGGGATGACACTCGTCCAGTCCATCCACCATGATCACAATCGCTTCCTGTGGTTCGTAGCCACCCAGAGCCCCTAATGGTCTCTCTATCACAGCCTTGAACAGATCGTTGATGTTCATCTTGTCGAGACTGTCCTTAGAGTGACCAGCATCGAGCAGCTTGCGGCCGATCGGGGCATACCACTTGCACAGACCGTATGCGATGGTGTTCAGCACCACTCGCGGATCGCTCTTGCGGATGTCGTTGTACTTGAGGAACAGCGCCGCCACTAGTTGGTTGCTGGCTGTGAGGATGTTGGCGATCTGGGCAGCAGCGACAGACTTGCCGACACCGGCAACGGCATTGACCCACAGGACAGTGTCGATGGTATCCTGGTAGACCCAGTCGGTCGTTTGGTCGAACAACCACTGACGAGTGCCCTCGACAAACAGCTTCTCGAGTGCTCGCCTGTCCAGGGTCGAGTCAATGGGACAGAGGAGGAGTCGCAGGGCGTGGTTCTCGTTGGCAGTGAGGACAGTCGATCCAGTCGGGAGATAAGTTGGCACGGTGGCAACGAGGCTGGTCTTCTTCCAGGTCTCGCGGATCTCGGGGACGAGTCTGTGGATGTGTGAGTCAGCATCTGGATGGTCTGCATCAATGAACTGATGGATGAGACGGATGCCATCAGCAAGTGCCACACAGACACACTCACTTGGTGACGGCATAGTCGTCGGCAGCAATCAGCGCCTGCAACTTGAGCAACTCCTCGAGAGTCTGGCGCACGGTGAGGGGAGGGCTGATCTGGCCGAGTTTGGAGGGACTGGCTCTGTGGCAGTGGATGGCATTGGGAAAGTCGTTCGTGTTGGGGAACCAGTCCTTGATGTACTTGGTGCCGTTGATAATCTCCTTGGACTTGATGAGGATCGGCAGGATCTGGACGGGCGAGCGGGTGTTCTGGGTCTCCTTCATCTGCTTCAGAGCCAGTTCGATCTGGGACAGGATCATTGGTGAGTAGATGGCGAGTGGATGGTGATGGTGGTGCTGGACTGGATCGACGACACTCACCTCGAGGAATTGATTGTCTGGGCAGGTGCCAGCAGTCTTGGTTCTCTCGAGTCCAGCCTCGGAAAGGAGGAGCACAATGACCTTGGAGTTGGCCAGGCCGTTCATGAAGCCATCCTCCCAGCTCAGTCCGCTCTCGAGACAGCGGACATCCAGGTAGACATGGGAGGGGTGCTGCTCGCCGACACGGCCAACACTGAGAGCCGAGTGGAGATCAATCGCGGTGTATTTCTCTGTTGCGGCACGATAGCTGGATAGATGCAATATCGATGAGATGGATGTGAATGGATGTGAATGGATCATCGGCAACAACAATCGCCACCAACAAACCTGATGAAGATGTCGTGGATTCGGAAGCCGTTGACGCATTTCCATCGTGGGTTCCGGACAGGACGGTTGTATTCTCGCTCGGTGGCAGTATGAGTGAGGGCCGAAACAGGGGTGGCAGTAGCAACTGGAGCAACAAGAGAGGCAGAGGCAGCAGATGGCCAAGGAGGGTTCGAGTCATTCGGCCCAGGCAAACCGCAAATTAGTCGGTGAAGGAAGTCACTGATCGGCAACGACAGCATCACCCACCTTCGCCCATCGTGAGCGCCTTTGTTGTGACAGCAGCAAATCGAATGTCGAACGGGTGAGATGAAGGACAAGCTGTCGGAGGGGCCGAATGGACATGCGGCGATGCCATGTGTGGCTTGGCAGTGTCACCCTCTCTCTCGGCACCTTCTCGGCACCTTCTCGGCTCTCTCTCGGCTCTCTCGCTTTGGTTGATCCGGTTCTCATGGATGTCTTGGCCAGCATCCACGAACATCGTCATCGGGTGTTGAGCAAGAACGAAAGCGATCTCTTCGGTGCCATCCCCCAGCCCCCCGTGGCATCTCCCTCACCTGCGCATCACTCGAGGCAAGATGGCTTCGCCCTTCCACCTCTCCGACGACCCCAACCCCGATCTGCACGAAATGTTCCTGTACTTCAACTCGGCATGTTTCGGCAACGCACTGGACGCAGTCGAGGTTGGCTGGAGCCCCAAAATGACGTAGGTCGAATATGTTGCACCCTCGGGCTTTGACATGGCTGGGAGCATCTCTACGGAGCCTTTTAACTTCTCAGTTGCCCCGACTCCTTGGCAGCCTGTGCGCAGGGATGTGCTCCTACTTTCGAGGTCAGCTCTGCGCTCTTGACCAATCTGTCTGGATGAGCTACGCACGCTGCAACGGACCTGATGACTTTGCCTCCCTGATAATCTCATATTGTCGCTGACTGCTTCGCCATGTGCGTGGCTCTTTAAAGGCGGATACTGTAAGATCCGGTTGAGCGAACCGCTGCTCAAGTTTCGATCCAAATCAGACCGAATCGACACGCTGCTGCACGAAATGATCCATGCCTACCTGTTTGTCACGGAGAACAACGACGATCATGGTACGCAGCGGCAGGGTATCCTTCTATTGACTCGGATAACTTCCTGGCCATTCACGATCGGCCGGAGTCCTCCGTTGCTTTCATTGCCGAACCCTAGCCGTCGCTAGGATGCACACGCCAGACACCGATGTTGCTAACGAAACGTCATCGCTCTCACAAAGATGGACATGGACCGCAGTTCATGAAGCAGGCAAACCGCATCAATGACAGCCAGCTCACCAACATTACTGTGTACCACAGGTAGGACGACAATCTCGCTGTATCGACCGACGAGTGGCTCTTGCCTCTGGGTATCTGTTGCGCCTCTTCGTTGAATATCGCTCCGCCTGCTGCTGCTTTGCAGATTCTGACCCGACTCGCGGGTACTGTCCACCTCCCAATTCATCGCAGCTTTCACGACGAAGTCGATCACTATCGTGTGCATGTTTGGAAATGCAACGGCCCCTGCCAGAACCAACCACCGTACTTTGGAATCGTCCGTCGAGCGATGAACCGACCGCCCCAGCCGGCAGACCGATGGTGGGCGGATCACCAAATGTCCTGCGGAGGCGAGTACAGCAAAATCTCGGGGCCCGAGGATACGAACAAGCCTGCGCGGCCCACATCTCGTCGGAAACCTGCCACCGGAGACCGAATGTCGCTGGTGAAAACGTCAGCATCGCCTTACGCCGACTCCCAGGACGACCCGGGTTGCGGGCTAGCACCAGGAGGCAAGAGGCGCAAAGTCGACGACGCCCGCGAGAGCGACAGTCAGAGCGGAAAAGCGAGCGTGCAGGCCACGCTGGACGACTACTTCAAAGCATCCGCAAAGTAAAACAGTATCCCTCACTTTCGAGGTCGCTGGTCGTCCTATCTGGGTACGATTTGTGTGAGAGGCTCCATCCGCCTCATCGCGGCCGTGGTGGTCATCGTGACGAGCAGGTTCGTGCGATCCAGGGCGAAACACTTCCTCGTTGGGGTCGCGGATGGCTCTGCGACCCACGATTGGAAATCCAGAAGGTGCGTTTTGCCCGGCGGTGTCTCGCCTGGCCGGGATCTGCGCTCTTCTCCCCATCATCTTTGCCAATGGCGACAACCGTCCATATCTCGGCCTCGGCCTCGACCAAGCGCCCGACCGAGCCGCACATCCACTTCTTTGCCGGCGGCATAGCAGGCCTGGTGAGCTGTCTGGTACTCCAGCCGCTGGATGTTGTAAGTGTTCTCGTCTTGCTCGGTCAATCCCGCAGCCTCGAACGAACCAGGGCGGTGGCCCCTCCTGGTCCGCCCACTGTCGTCTCAGGCATATCCTCACCGTCCTTTATCATCCGCCACGCTCGATCGCCGTCAACCGCTATCGCCACCATCGCTCGACCCAATTATTATCGGCTGCCTGAGGTCAAAACCGTGAGTAGCGGTCATCGTTCGCTCACACTCGACTGGATTCATCCCAGCATCGAGATCGATCGCATTGGCTGCCTGTAAAGCGCCCTTGCATCGTGCATGATCCTGACATCCCGACGCTGTCCTGGCCGGCTCTGTGCACAGAGGCTGCAGCAAGAGCGCCAGCCCCACCCCTCCGCATCATCGGTTTCGGGATCGACGACATCAACGCTCCACCGTCCGTGGTTCTCGTTGAACCGGCTATATTCCGTTGCCATCTTCTCGAAAGCCAGACAGATAGTGGTTCAAGAGTCTGTGTGGACCCTATGGAGAGGAACGCTGGCGACCATGCTCCGGGCGGCTCCAGGCAGCGCCATTTATATGACCTCGCTGACCGAGGTCCGCAAGCTATTGAAGCACGGATTTCAGGAAGATCGATTGATGGGCATCACCATGAACGACGGTACCATCAACATGGTTTCTGGTGCCTTGACTAGGGTAGTATGTGAATTACTTTTCCTTGATGTCTGCAGCCGTCAGGGGGGGGGCGTTTGCGCTGAACAAATCTGACCTCCACGAACGTTGCTCGGTCTGTGTCTTTGCTAATGGCCATCCAGTCCATCGGGTTGGTGATGATGCCGGTCTCGGTCGTCAAGTCGAGATACGAGGTCAGTCGTGTGCTTGTCAAATGCTGGAAGTTGGTTGCTGGAGTCGATTCTGGCGAGTTTTGATTTCAAGCGAGCTTTGATTTCAACACCCCTGCCTTTCTGCGAACCAGAGCGATCTCTACAATTACAAGAGCCTATGGGAGGCATTCACTTCAATTCGCAAGACGGAAGGCATCCGCGGGCTCTTCAACGGCTTCACGGCGACAGCCCTACGCGATGCACCCTATGCTGGCCTCTATCTCCTCTTTTATGAAAACAGCAAGGCGATGTTGAAAGGTGGGTAGTGACCCATCGATTGCATCGGATTCGTTGGATGGCTCCGGGCTTGCTCAGTTCATTCGAAGCCCGATATCGCTGATCCGTCCAAGACGCACAGGGGGGGGGCACTGGAATGTGCTGTCCGCCTCTTGATCCACGCTTCTGCCTGTGCACTCAGGGACTGTTGGCTCACCATGACGCATGCTTGACTGGATGCACATCCGCTAGCTGCTCGCTTGCCGTTCCTGCAAGAGTCGGTTTCGATCAACTTTACGTCTGCGACGTCAAGTAGCATCGTCGCCACGCTTCTCACCCAGCCGTTCGATGTCATCAAAACGCGGATGCAGATCAAGCCGCATCTGTACAAATCCACGACCCAAAGCATCGCACTCATCATGAAGGTTAGTATCGATGGGAACACTGATTGTATCGGTCTCACCGAGAATGATCGGCTGAATAGACGCAACCAAGAGCGTTTGCGGGTTTGGCGAGAAGTCGATAACAAGCAGGCGCCGGCTCACTCCCCCACGCTGCCCTTCGATAGGAGGAAGGGCTACTTGGACTTTTCTCAGGCCTGAGTCCGCGACTCGTGCGAAAGGCTTGCAGCGCTGCAATCACATGGACCCTGTACGAAGAACTTGTCAAGATTGGTCGCAAGTTGTATACGTAGCGTCCGCCGGATCCCCGCATTCACATCGACGTATGCAACCCAGCATGTCGATCTGTTGGCATTATCCGCATCTCAAAGCGCTCCTGCTGGACAGCCCACTGGTGTGCGGTAGACTAGGCGATTATACAAATAAGCTTATCGCAAGCCACCGCTCCCCCGCATGTGATTCGCACACCGAGCTTTATTCCGTTGTCGAGGAAAATGGTCGTTTCCCTCCGAATTCCATGTATCCGCAGTCTGTCCGGCGCACCCAACACCGCTATGCATGGCTCCTGATTTCAGCAGATAGACGGATTGTCTCGCTCTGTCTGTCAGAAGTTGCATTTTGGGTCGCTCATGTGTGCAATGTGAGCAAGCCATGCGATTGTTTCCCGTCCTGGTTGGCAATCACTCTGTGTGGTGCATTCGCTCGACCACCTGGACAGCTCCATGGTTTCTCGATATCAAGATGCTCGGCCTTCTCGAGTCGCTTGAATCGCCGTCTCCTGGGTGGTGCCTTTTGCTTGCGGGGAGCCATCGGAGTGAGACAGTGTCCCCGATTCAGATCCAGAAACGCATCACTGAATGATCATACCCAGCGCGCGATGTGTTGAGTGATATCAGTCACCAACGGCCAAAACCTGCTTTTTATTGGATTGGCTGTAAGAGAGTAGCCGTGCCGGTCGGGTCTCCAACCTAAGTGATGGCATCAACGCACGGCCGTCGCTGTGAGAGCTGCTCGAAGGCGATGCTTCCAAAGTCCACAAAGGCTCATTCGTCGTCGACTCCGTACTTGCGCTTCAGATTTTCCAGATCCTCCTCCTGCAATAACCGAAAAGGGTGTGCGATATTCCAGCAGCAGTCCAGCAGCAGTCCAGCAGCAGTCCAGCAGCAGTCCAGCAGCAGTCCAGCAGCAGTCCAGCGAGAGTGCAGTTGGCACCGCAATTATATACAAGCCCGACCAGGCGAATGAAAAGTCGACGAAAGAATTGTTAGCGGACCGAGCAGGCATCGCCCTAGCAGAAATCCAATGCTCTCTGCAGGAGCACCGCATCGATCGAGGCATCGACACTGACCCGCTTGTCGAGATCCTTCTTTTTTGTCGCCTTGTTGGGTTGGTAGTAGAGGACGATCAGGTATCTGTTCATGATGTTGAATCCACTCAGGTGATCGCAAGCGGCCTTGGCATCAAAGATGTCCTCGTATACTGGTCGTGCGCAGATGGTAAGTAGGAGGTCCAGCAGTGGTGCTGTAGCTGCCGAATGCCATGGCGAGCAAGCATCTGGCATGACAGGATCGGATCCTCCACTCCTGTCGCGCTTACCGACAAAGGCCGTGCCCTTGGTATCTGGAGCATTTCCTACCCGAATTTGTCGGATAGGGCCATATCTGAAGAGGCGGTATGAGAGCGGATCAGCCCGATATCGGTTCGTCCATGGATGCAAGCATCGTTGCCAAGACGCACACCGATTGGCTGGGCCAGATCGGTACAACTAGATCCAGAGGACGTGAGCTTTGAGACACCCGGTGGGCTTAACTCACTTTCCAAAGAGATCGTACATCTCCTCGGCCGTGATTTTGAAAGGCAGATTCCGGATAAAGAGAACCCGGTTGACTTCGGGGGGGAGACGGACTGCAAAGCATATGCCGTCGTCACATCGTTAGAAATGACCCATGCTGCCGAGCTTGATGGTGAGGACGACATACCATTTGTCCGGGACTTTGCTGCCATAGCCATCTTGGCGGGTGTTTCTGGGTGATCTGTCGCCGATGTGATTTGCAAACAGCGCTGTGGCGTCTGGCGCTTGGTGCTGCTGCTGTTGCTGGTGTTGCGGTGTGGATTCGGGAGGACTGCGGCCTCGGTGCTGGTCGTGACGATGCTGGTCGTGACGATGCCAACAACAGAGACTGATCTGGGCTCGGCATGGGCGAGAGGCGGCGGCTGGACGGATGTCTTCTCGGTCATGTGGAGGTCACTTGGCACTGCGCCACCAGAGTCCAGCGCCAGGCATCACGTGTGCCGCTGTTGTTCTCTCGCAAATGTCTCCAAACCGAACCGACCAGAGCGACTCTGCCCAAAACCGAGCTGCACAAGATGGATTTTGTGAAAGGTGGGCGAGGCAGCGCAGGCCGCAGCCGAATGCGCATACAGTTGTGGAAGCGGTCGCTGCCATCGTTTGTTAGGTGGTCTGCTAAACTCGACTCGCTCTTTTTCGATATCAACCATCCATCTCCAGCGCAAGCTGAGCGGGAGCGGATTGCCGAGGATATCCTGACCGAGAAGCAGCTGGTATGTGGCCAATGATCAACAAGCATCTACCGTTGGAGGATCCTCAAACCTTGGACCGACGCTCCCTGTCCGCGAAAGAGCAGGGCCATGCCGATCACAGTCTTTCTGGCCGAGACTCAATGTCAAAGACGAGCTTCTAAAGCAGTATATGGCCCCTATTGGTCTCCGGCATGTCCCACACATAGATACTGGATCTCGACCGGAGGCGGAACTCAAATAGAGAAGCCCTTGGATGCTTTCGCAAGAAGCAGTTTGAGCCAGGTGGAGTGAGGATGCTGTTTAGCTGGCAGCTGAGCGATGCTTTCGAGTGTCCAAACGCATCTACAGCTGCAGTCGGCGAGCGAGGACACCATCAATCTGTCTCTGATACACATCAGCATATCGATCGGACCGATTCCCGTGCGAGCGGCCCATTTACTTGACTCATCTTGCGTCTCCGCATAGACCAGCGAGTGTGGTATAATATGGGAGGCATCTTCATGAAGATGGAGCAAGACACAGCCAAAGGACTCATCGCCAAAGGTACGTTGATCTCGGTAGCTGCTTGGTCCTCGTGAGCATCCTATCGGGCTCGTCGTCCTGTCTGCAGCATTTACAATGATCATTGATCAATGCAGACGGCGAGACGCTGACCAAGGAAATCGAGTCGCTGCGGGACAGTATCAAATCGCACACGGCAGATCTGGAACAGCTGGAGCGAGGCTCAACCAAGAGGATCAAAGGGTTTGATCTGAAGGGCATGCAGGCCAAAGATCTCTACGGCATCATCGACCACTCGTGAAATGGCTCTTTTTCATGCAACCGGGGGAGGAGCAGCATCCAAGCACGAATCCTGGATCCCTTCGCTTTGGCTCAAGCTCCAGTTGCATTTTTTGGGCTGTTTCGGATATGTCCGTGCAACAAGTACATGCCATGTTGTTTGCAATCATATATCGACATTATTCATTCAATCATCTCAGGAAGACATGTACGCCACATAGCTGTTCAGGACTAACGGAACATTGTCATAGCTACAGGCGGCACAGTGCCCTGTAAACACCGTCATTCAAGAGCTCTGTCCGGAATTCCCAAAGTTGCGACCGTGCATCTTTGGAACAAGGCAGTAGCCGGAAACTACGATGGATAAAAGCGGATGGGATAGCCTCGGCTGGCCCCTGAGCATAGCGAGTCGGAGAGGTCGGGGCTTTTGGGTCACAGAGCAGAGTCCATGCTCTGCACCAAGCGTGCGCATTGGCCGAAATGAGACACGAGCAGGTCGTTGAACCAAGCAGGCCGCTCCGAAGGCAGGGCATGGCCGCCGCCCTCGTAAACGTGCATCGTACACGAGAGCTGCTTAGAAAGATAGGTCGAGTTTGACGGTCGGACGAGCTGGTACCACACCAAGTGTTGCGATGGGCGATATGAGATTAGTGGGAGGTGACCGGCAGCCTGGATTGCTCACGATAGAATCGACCATGGGCGCTGCTGCACCAATGGTGAACGGGCTGCACGATGGTGAACTGGCTGCACGATACAGCAAGATGGTATTTGGGCTACCACCCGAACACTTCCGACCACCAAGAGCCTCGAGACTGCGCTCCGATGCAAACCCAGATCCGTCCGTACCTGGTCCCATGTCCCGGTGACGATCTGGATGCGCCCTTTCATGGCGTCGCCGATCTGCTTCAGGCGCGTCGAGCTGACATGGTGGGTCATGACAGCAGAAAGCTGTGCCAAGGCGCCAATTGGATTCTGGGGAGGATAGGCTTCTGCCTTCCGGCGGCTCGTCTCGAACATGTACTCGAACATGTTCTTGTATTCAGGCGAACTGTGTGCTGGCGGAGGTGCCTCGAGCACCGACTGCGGAAAGATCAGCCGAAGGACTCGCTGTAACCTCTCTCCTCTGTCCTTGATGACAAGCAGGCGCGGAATTTCGATCATGGCAGTGACCTGAATCAAGAAGGCAGGCGAGTGGCGGTTTAGATACATTGTCGGCGGTGGGCAGCTCGACAGCTGGGCTGGCGTTTACCGGAGGTATCGTCAATCCCGCAGTGGTGGAGACGAGCGTGAGAGATGTGAACATCTCAGGGGAAAAGTGCGCCAGCTCCAAGGAAATCTGGAATAGTCGCATCGAATGTGAATCAATTGTCCATGATGAGTATCCGAGTCACGAGCGGTATTGTTGCGTCGACTGGGTTTACCATGCCACCTGAGCGGGAGCAAATATAGTCTGGATTAGGACACCACCCAAGCTGAAAGCGAGACATGTGCTGACCGTTGAGTACGCACCCATGGAAATTCCAACCAAATGGATGTCACTCTTCCATCCGAGCCAAATCAGAAGCTCGTAGACATCCTTGGCCATATCCGAGGTCCTGCAAATGCATAGATGACTGCTCAGGAAACAATTCCCAACAAAGTCGCCCATCAACAGGCGGCATCAGCAGACAGAGCGAACTGCAAGAGCCTTGGTTCGTACGTATAGCGGCAAGACGGCGTTGACGATCTTCCAACTCCGCGGTTATCGAAGACACAGCATTGATAGTCGGGGTGAGAGTCGAAGAACCTCGACTGAAGGGGGGCGATTGTGGCATGCAAGGTCAGAAGACCAACGCAACACTGCAGTCGATCGCGGGCTTGATTCGGCAGCCGCAATTCAAGTCCCCGCTGGCCGATGGTATTCCGTGGCCCTCGTGGCGAGCACCGTCCTTCTCATCATCGCCGCGCACCGAGCCTCTCCCACCTGGTTGTCCTGGGCCAGCAATATATGGTGCCAGATGCAATGGAGGGTTAGATACGATCGACGCGGACTGTTGGCGCTCTCTGTCAAGGCGAAGAGCACTGGGAGTCCATGGTTTTGCAAACGTCTGGCAAGCGGCGTCCTTGGCTTACCCAAGAATCGCACGTCATATTGAGGCCTGGTGGCCAGGGTGATGTTGGATCATCATCGAACGAGTGCAGTTGTCAGCATATCAGAGGCGGCGTGTGCTGCGTTAATCGACAGACCAGCTCAGCACCCATCCTATACGAAGTGGCGGCAACGAAAAAGAGATTTGTTCCTACCCATTCTGCAGGGAGGGGGAGGTACAGAGTCGTCAGTGGGAACGAGTTGAGAAGCGGGAATGGGGACGATTGCAGAGCATGGGCGGGCCCAGCAGAAACGAGCGGTCTCGGCTGGTGGCAGCATATGAAGATTGAAAGAGCAGAGACTAGCGTGCCCCCCCCCGGCAACAGGCTCACCGAGCGATGCCAGACACTGCGGATCCCACATATGCATATCGAAAGGTTGCGAAACTAACGAAGAAATAATGTCGCGGGGGGGAATAGAGAGCAACTCACATGAGAATAGCTTTGGTGGGCCCGGTTCCATGCAGTTCGTAGTAGAGCCTGATGGGCTCGCTCGATCTGGTCTTGGCGACCACGGCGTAGTCGGTAATGACCATGATGGTGTCTGGACGGAGGCAACGAGCGACAGGGACGGTGTGGTTGATGGACGAAGAAGCCAGACCGAGCGACCACGTGTTTTTCCGGCCTGTCTTGAGCCCGGCATGTGACACTCCTTTGGATGCAAAGACATCCTCGATCCATGCATTGCCCATACGACACCTGCCGGTGACTCTGCGGCTGCCCCCCATCCGCAGTCTGTGCACGTTCACCAGCACCGCCAGGGTCCTCGACGACACAACAGCCAGTTGGTGCTCACCCCGAGCCCCAGAATCCCACCAATAGACCCATCATCGAGGATGTGCTCATATTGCTTTGAGACGTGGGCGCCATGTTGTCGTTGGTCACTCGCTGCGGCCTACGAAGAGCATTAAGGGGGAGGGAAGCTGTATGCACGCGCCTCCTAGCCTAACCGCGAATCCATGTGCCTGATCCCGGAAAGCATGTCTTGAATGTGTTCAAGCGCAATGGACAGAGAGTGTTTTGCAGGAGTGATCAATGTGTTTCAAAAAGCGCTGTAACAAAATCAGCGAAAAGCAACATGTCGCAACAAGCACAGCAACAAGCACAGCAATCTGAACAGCCTCATCGCTAAAGAAGCGCCCTCGACGGTTTGCCTCCCATAATCCTTCAAACACCGGCAGCAGCTCGCTGGGCTGTGTGTCAAAGCATGATCAAAGAGAGTTAGTGACACGAAACAGCAACAGCCTGGCTCCACACACATTGGTAGCCCGAGGAGAATGCGCGGCAACCAAAGCAACGCCATAGGAAAGCCATAGCAAAGTCAAGGCAGCCACACGATTCGGTGACAGATACGAACCAGCTCTCTTCTCAGTCTGGGCCTTGAAACCAGCCTTGATGGCGGCAACAGATCGTCTGCATCCACAAGATTCACACTGGACAAAGAACAAGCGGTTTTCCTTGATCAGAATGGTATCTTGGGATTTGCAGGTCTTGCAGGTAACATATTCCACTGTGTAGAACAAGTTGCAGTGGGTAAATTAATGGCACAGTCAAGATCAGCCGAACAAAGAGGCTCAAGGCTCGGGTCGACACAACAATGCAGCAACGAGACAATGTGACATGGCGTGAGCGGTGCCCGTCGACTTACTGATATAGCGCTTCAGCACATTCTCGATCTGCTTCTGCTGGAAGCGACCCTTGATCACGAGCCGCTGGCTGCCGTCGACGGAGCCAGTGGTACCGAGTTCAGAAAGGAAGTACTGGATAACGTGATCGGGCTGACGGTGCATTCTGCAGCGAGGTGGAGATAACAGTCATGCGGTTAGTGCGCGTAGTGCCAGGGTGCAGAGGGCTGTTCGAGCATACACGCGACGATCCAGGCCCAAGGGATCGACACTATCGAGCGCTGGGATCGGCAGATTGACGCCAGGTTGCTTGTGCAGATGGCTCGGACTGGGTGAGCGACCAGGTTACCTTCTGCAGATGTCGGTGATGTTGGCAAAGACGGACTTCTTTGAGCCTTCGCGGAACACCTGGGGAGGAGCGATGGTGTACTTGCGCTTCTCGCCCGCCAGTTCGGGGTTGTTTTGCCTCAGGATGGCAAAGACGCGGGTGAGGAGCTGGTAGGCGGGCGGGAGGAAGGATTTGTCAGTCGGGATGTGTTCGGGCTATATAGTCGAACTGCGGTAAAGTTGGATTGAAAAGGATCGTTGTCCGTGGGCAAGCTGCCCTGTCCCTACGGTCTCGGCAGCCCTGCTAAGCAAGCGCATCGCCATTACCTCCTGGTAGGTGTAGTCGCGATTCGAGCCGAGCCAAGCATCTTGGCCTTGACCCGCGCCGCCGGTGGACTCATCGTTTCCATCGACATCAACGGCACCCTCCTCCTCGTCCGCCTTGAGTGAGGCCTCAAACTCGGCCAAGTTCGGTCGCTTGCTCTTCTTCTTCTTCTTCTCGCCAAAGTCCAGGGCCTCCTCAGCAGGGGCCTCTTCGACAGGAGCAGCCTCTTCGTCGCCCTCGAGCACAACCTTCTTCTTCTTCTTCTTCTTCTTCAGGTCCGCAAACAGAGCAGCGCCGTCCTCATCGGCAACCGGCTCAGCAGCTTCAGGCTGGACCTCAGGCTCGGGCTCAGGCTCGGGTTCAGCAGGAGCCTCCTCCACAGCAATGTCGTCAAAGGCAGGCGCCTTCTTCTTCTTCTTCTTCTTCTTCAGGCCATCGAAGAGACCCTGCAGAGCAAGAGGTGAAAGCTCAGCGACATACCACAGCATCAAGCTGACTCGCTAGATCAGAAGCATTGCCCTCGTGGCCGTGCCCGCATCTGCGCCGCGGTTGGTGATCTGGAATGATTCGAGAACCAGGCCGAGTGTGATCCGCCCCCCCCCCCGGCTACTTCCCAGCCTCCGTCGATCGCGACATCGACGGCAGGACAGCGGGCTGCAGATCATCGAAGGCTTCAGCTTCAGACAGATCTATTTGCGGCAGGGGCTCAAAGCAGGGCGCCGATGCACTGCAGCTCCAGGGGGAGGTCTCCGTATATCATAGTGCTTGATTTTTTCCGGGAATCCTCGCATCCGTCCCGCAAGCTTGTCCTGCTCGGGCCATGGCCTCCCACCGCCGGACTTGTGCCCTGTGATTGCTGTTCCGTTTTGGAGGGTCTCTCGCCCAAAAGCCCGCTGCTGCAGTGGCTGCCTCGGGGACGATGCTTACGGCTCCGGCGTCCTCGACAGGCTCTTCTTTGTTGGCGGCCTCGCCGTCCTCGATGTTCTCGACGACAATGTCGTCCTCGACGATCTTCTTGGGCATGGTGATGGGGTGGTGGCGGGAGATGCAGACCAGAGACGGGTGTCCGGTGTGTCCGCTCCGTGGCTCGGCCACCCACAGCAAATTTTTTTTTGAGCCTCGCGGATCGATCCGGCGGCGGACGCGGATCGAGTGCGGCTGCGCGGGCCGGCGCGCAGCAGCGGTGACGTCACAGCGGCGCAGCGGCCACAAGAAACATGGGTGCTGGCTTTCACAGACGACGCCATCAACATGGAAATGGGGGCAGGTCTCGGCTTATTTCTGAATACAGTGTATGGCGTCTGCGCTTTCTGCGGTCCTTGCCGGTACCGTGCATGCACCCGCCAAGACAATCTGCCATCTCCAAGTCTCGCGGCTCAGGCAGGCGACAGGTTTACATGTGGAGGGGCTTGTGGCTCTTTGGCGGCCGCGTGCCAACAAACCGCCCCTTTTCGAGCCACTGGGAATATGACTTTTGGCGGGACAGGTCCTGCTGCTGTCTGCTCTTGGAGGAGGGAGGGCCGATGTAGTAGCTCCACTTGCCCAAGGTCGTAGCGTACGTCTGGTAGAGATGCTGGTCCGAGGTAGAGGCGCTTGAGAGGTGTGGATCCTCGCCATTCTTCTCCAAAAAGCTCTGGAACACTTGGTAGTCTGGATGCGACGAGGCATGTGGATCCACAAACACTTGGCTTGGAGCACTCGCGGCCGTGCCCGCAGGTAGTAGCGCTGACTGTCGCAGCAGCATCATGACGTTTCCGGCCGAGAGAGTGATTGCCGAGGGCTTGAAGTTGTTGACATACCTGCACACCAACGACTTATTAGTAGCTCCGGCAACTGAACAGGCCGCATCCGGCCCACAGCATATTTTCTCGGTAAAATCGACGCATCTTTCTTGTGCAGACAAGGAAACAGGGTCGCTAAAGCTTCTTACCGCTTGTATTCTTTCATTTCGTTTGCTGGCACTTCGGGCTCCAATAGCTTGGTCGCCAAACCGGCCGTATACCACGGAGGCACCAAATCATCGGTTGCTGGCTCGTTAGTGTCGCGATTCGCGGTCTGCACCTCGGCTTCGTGGGCGGTCTCGGGAGTGGGCTCTGAGCGGTCAAAGTCGCTCGTATCCTCCACAGGTTTGTTTGCGGGGTTGAGCCAACGACGCACTCCACCAATGTTCAGATTGTAGATCATGACCCTATCAAAACAGGAGTAGAGAAAGGGGTAGACACAAACGAGTGCACAGAGAAGAAGGGGAAAGGGGGTAGGGACAACCGAACCGAGACAACCGTGCCATTAGATTACAGTCGCGCCATTCATCACAAGCCGCAGCAGGATTGAGAAAAGATCATCCGATCATACACGCGAAACATGGGACTCGGACTGAGTTAGATGGCGTATCATGCAGCAGTGCCTCGTGTAGTCAAGACACGCCTATTACAATCAGCGTGGTCGGGCATCCAATAGTTTCGCAATCCTTACCGGTTTTGGGGGCCTTGCATGGCCCGCACCATGAAGGGACTGGCGTTGATCCAACTCTCGTCACTGGTGCCGCTGCGGCTATATGTACTGATCATATTGTAGGCAAACAGGCGCGCAAACGAGGTATACACCTTGGGTCGATAGTAGTCCTCGAAAAACCCGTCGTCCAAGATATATCGGTCGCCACCAGACCGCGAGAAGGTGACTGCTTTGTGCTCGTTGAGATGCTCCCGTGTCCACCACATCGTATAGCTGGGCAACGAATGAGAGCGACAAATGAACGTATTAGAAGAAAATAGGCAAGCAAACCCCGAACATGACTGCGAATGGCGCTGTGTCTAACCTTCCGCCGACAGCGATGCAAACCTGATGGTCGGCGTTCGACGCCGTGGATCCTCGTTATGCAGATAAAAGTCATTGTTCATCTCCCAGAGCATGGGCTTTGAGGGATCAGCCACATAGTTGCCGATGAATAAATTCATAGCGTCCTGGATGCCTCAGCCGCATTAGAGACAGAGTATTGCCACAGCATCACGAAACAACCCTGCCCTGACAAAGAAACGGCCATAATCAACCCACCTGCTTCTCGGCATCTGTGAAAGAGTTGCTGTAGTATCTGCGAATGCTCTCGATCATGTCTCGCGAGTGACTTGTCAGGGGACTGATCTTGCGGTATGTCTCCATGGTGTTGACCAGATGTGAGCCGCCGTACTGCAAAGCTATTGTGTCGCCGTGATCGTGGTACATGGCATTCAGCAAATTGATGGCGTCGGAGTCAAAAGGCACTGAAGGATGGGATAAGACCCCAAGGGCATGAAGCTGCAAGAAGGAGTGATGATGCCGATGGCGAGTCAGGCGACTACTCCTGCTGGCACTGAGCGCGAGTTACAGCGGCACTGCCCCACTGATAAATGCCCACTCTAGCGCTTGCTACTTGTTGGATCCAAATATGGCTTGCTCTCGACCGTGCTATCGCCGAATGGGTTCAAACCATTGCCAAGAGGCCTGGACCCACCTGATACCCGAGGGCACATTTGCCAATCACAAACTGCGCGGCATTTGTTCGATCCAGACAATCGATGCAGTTGGTGCGCACAACGCCGTTCTGGCAACGACCCAGGATCCGATTGACCTTTTGGTTGGGATCTCCGTGCGACTTTGCCCGCTTCAGAGCGTTGGTGTAGGGCTCGGGGCCACTGTGGAAGAATCCAGTCGTGGCCAGTACTTCCTCAGCCAGATCTTCCAACACTCCTATGACGTCTTCCGCGTTGCTGATGGTGGAAACTCAATCAGACCTTGCGCACCAACCAGTTGCCAGAACCACCAACTGCACAGTTGCCAGGGAAAACATCTCTGCGCAGGTGCGCTTTGCCAAGGATAGACCCGGAGCCCATGCAAGCCACGCTTTCTCGTCGGCCGACATTGGGTGGAGCCCAGCGGCATTGGGTGGGCAACCCAGCAGTACTGCTGCATACCTCTTTGATGCGTTCGCCATGTCCCACGGTATATATCGAATCTTTTTGTCCGCTGGCAGGAACTGGTTCAGGTAGGCGATGGACTGCGAAAACTCCTCCAGCAGCACAGATTCTCGAGGTGTTTTTTCTTTGGCCTACAAGCGGGGCCCCATTATACACGTATCAGCACTGCTCAATCCGCGCCCTTGCCGATTGCACGGATTTTCCTTCTGGCAAGCTTCCCCTGACTAGCTCACACCTCAACCGCTGCTTCGCATCAACCCTACCTTGATGAGATTGAGCACAATGATTGGACATCCATAGCGCTTGAACATGTTGTCAAAGTGGAGTGCGGCCATGTGAAAGAAGGGATCGATCCAGTCCACTAGAAAGAGAACCAGGATGGGTAAGCGGTGATCTGCTCGATGCTTGGTGCTACATCAGCGCAAATGGCGACGTGGCAATAATCTTACAGCTGATCGGGGGCTTGGGCTGCATGTTGGAAACAAGCTGGGACCACGAAAGTGGAATCGAGCCGCGATGCTGGACAAAGGAAGTATATGCCGGCTTTCGTCCCGATCGTCCAGTCGGGCGATAGAACGAGGTCGTGGTGGCATCGTGTACAATCTGCTCGGTTTCAACATCGTTGGCGACATAGCCCTATTGTCGTTTGATCGACGGGATATGCAGCCGGTCAGTACATGGGCTTGGCTGCAAATGACCCGTTGCCCAAGTCGCTCGTACGAATCATCTCTTCTCGGACTACCTTGTCATTGACGCCCCGCTTGAGAAATCGCGCCCCAGCAAAGTAGCGCGACCGTCTGGCAATCAAGGTGACGAAGATATTGTGTCCGTAGACGCTGATTCCTATGACAGCCAACGGGTTAGCTTGGGAAGACTTGTTTGACGACACGTGGCGATGCAAGTGTGGACCGGAATCATGTCAGCCTGCACACGCCGTACTTGATTGATCCACGAAGCCATGGATGATCGGAAGCGACCAGTCCGAAGTCAAGGATTTGAATCCATTCTCGAGCAAGTACTTGTTCCATACAAACATCTCGTTGGGAGAGAAGTTGGACCGACCTGGCGGCCGAGCCAAGTTGTTTTGCAGACATTGAGTGATGTCGTACGTGTAGCTGAAGTAAAAGTTCTTGCTGAGATCGACCTGCCCAAAGATCTGGAGGTATCTGGGGTATTCAAAGCCGACAAAATCGCAGCGGGTTACGGCCTATTTGATTCAAGAAGTCGCTCGACAAGCACTTGGGAACAAAGTCGCACACTGCTGCACAGTCATATAAGCACCGACCTCGACTCGTCGGGCTTGCGGTCGTATTTCGATCCCGGTCCTGGCACGCTGATCAGCAGCGTATCGTCGATGTGGTAAACGTAATGGCCGCCCAGCAGTGCGACGGCGCTCCGCTTGGTGATAAGGATGATGTAGTAGCCCTCAAGGAACTTGACGAATCCTGATGATGGATGGAGCAGAGACCAATGCAGGTAAGCCAGGAAAGCCATAGCGGATAGAAAAAGTGAGAAGCGGAAAATTCAAAGCGCTGGTGAATGCCGTTTTCCTTCGGCCAAACGCAGCTTTGGCGGCTTGAGCGACAGCAGGATGCACATTGCGTCAACGCTCGCTCGCTGCGCTGCATCGCCTTGCGGTATGTAACAAGTCCATGTCGCTAGTATGTCTGCACCACGCCTGGCATGCTTCGTCCGTGCTGATGTCTGTCGTGATTTGTTCCTCCTCAGCCCAACCAAGGAGCCCGCCGCCCCACCAGACAAATCGGACAGCGTCCTGTTCGAATCGGTGTTGCTCTGGACGTACGCATCGCCAAGCCGACGAAACGCACCTACGATCCCGAAAAATGACGACACTCGGTGCAAACCGCCCGATACTTTGTTGCCTTCCTCGATCATTGTCAGCAGTTCGCGGATTTCCTGCTTCGAATACACATAATCATCCTCGGTGATGTTGAGCTCGGTCGGAATGGTTCGGTCGATCTTGAGAACCCGGAAATGGTCGTCGGCCTGGTTGGAGCCAACCATATAGAACCGCTGGACGAGAGTGCCGGCAGCGTCAGTTAGTTTATCACAGGGGCGGGCCGCCGGATGGGTTGCAGGTTGCAGGTCGCATTGTTGTCCTGCAACAGAGACAAAAGCGAGACACTTACGGCTTTGGTTTCATAGAGAGTAAACTTGCTGTGGCGAGAAATGTTGCGAGTAGAACGACAGTGCATGGAGTGGAGGCGAAAAGCCCCCGGAGGACGGACACAAGCAAGTGAGTCGAGACGGGAATATGCAGGAAGTCTGTGGTTGGGCGGCATCCGAGACGAGGGCTACCAGGATCCGAAGCGAATGCCAGCTGCCGGCCTCGGGCCCGATGGATTGATGCTCTGGGCCCACCTCAGGACGACATGATTGCTGTTTCCCACCGAATGTGCTTCTGGGTGGGCCTCTGGATGGGCCTCTGGATGGGCCGCGGACGGCTGCGACGGCTTCATGGGCAGGCGGAGGTGCTGGTGGGCTGGTCCGGATGGCAGCCAAGCAAAGCGAAAGGGGCCAAAGGCGATGTGGGCGGAAGGTGTGCGGCGGCGCTGCCACAAACTCTCTGTCGAGCGTGCGACTTTTGGCTCCCCAAGCCTTTCTCTCCATCGATCGGCCATCGTCAACCAAAGCAGCCAAGAGTCTCGGTCCTGGCCCCACCCCCGGCACACCTCCCCTCCACCAAGTGCCCTTCCGCTCCGTCCCTTCTGCCTTTTGGCCGTCCGCCAGCACCCCTCATGGAGAGCACCGCCGGCCAGAGCCTATACAGGACCCAGGCGTCTTCGAGCGCGATCCGCCCATCATTCGAGTCTGATGTGTCGACAGGAAGCGACCTCGAAGGCAACGCAGCAGGATCCAGGACGGGGCGCTTTCCGGTGCCGTCCACGCCTTTCGACGACGACGACGACTTGGACGACATGGAGCACCCGACAATAGCCAAGGCGGCCAGCTCGTCGTTCGACTTTACTCCCCTGTCGCAGTCCTTCCCTCTCTCCATCTCACTGTCAAAGGACGACCAAGACCTGGAAACCAACATGGGGCTGTTCGAGGGCCTGTCCATCATCATAGGCATGTCCATCGGCAGCGGAATCTTTGCGAGTCCTGGACCGGTCCTGGGCTACACAGAAAGCGTCGGTATGTGAACAACGTCCACTTTTTCGTCGAGGGCCAGGGGTCCATCGAGCACAATCGAGCGCAATCGAGGACAGCAGAGGACATCCAAGGGATATCGAGGACTGTCCAAGTTATGGATGCAGTGGGAGCAGCCTTTCTCGGCACTGGAAGAGCATTCAAGGGTCTGCGATGGGGACGATCGAGCCGCCGGCGAGGTTTATGTCGACCAGGTCGTCGTCTCAACCGCCAGGGCTGCCCAGTGTGCATGAACTCGATCGCTGACTCTTTCGTTAACGAAACTCCACCCCAGGCGCCGCTCTTTCTGTCTGGCTCATCGCGGGCCTGCTGGCACTGACGGGTTCGCTGTGCTATGCCGAGCTTGGCACCATGTACCCGATATCGGGCGGCGAACACCCCTATCTGCTCAAGGCCTATGGCACCCTGCCCGCGTTTCTGTTCTCCTGGACCGGGGTGGTGTGCACCCGCCCGGGCTCGATCGCCATCATCACTATGATCTTTGCCGAGTATGTCGTCCGACTGATATACTATGGACACCCCGGGGGTGTAGCCCCGGTGTGGCTCACTCGGCTGATTGCCGCTCTGTGCATCGCCGTCCTGACGTTGCTGAACTGCCTATCGACTCGCCTGGGCACCTGGGTCCAAAACATCTTTACGTCCTTGAAGCTGGTCAGTCTGTTGGTTATCGGAGGCATCGGCTGCGTGATCCTGGCCGAGGGCGCCTCCAAGAGCCACAACTATGACCGCGAGCCGTTCCAAGGGAGCTCCACAAACCCGGGTGACTATGCGTTGGCACTCTATTCGGCCCTGTGGGCGTACGATGGCTGGTAAGCAGCGGCTTGGGTACTGTGTGTGTCTGGCCAGACGTTCGAAGCTGCCTCTTTCCTGTGCATCATCGGTAGCCTTGCCACTCTTGATGCTGATGTGGACCCGGGGCATTGCCAACGCAGGAACAACCTCAACATCGTCACTGGGGAGTTGCGAAACCCAACCCGTACCCTGCCGCAGGCCACGATAGCAGGGCCCTTGATCATCATGGTGTGCTACCTCTTGACAAATCTGGCCTACTACGCCGTCCTTCCCGAAGATGTGATTGTCAAATCTGCGTCAGTTGCTATGGTATGAATCAGCGAGCGAGACAGTCGGCCGGTCGAGGCTAGCTGGCTAGGCTGGCTAGGCTGGCCAGACTGTGGGCTTCGATGAATTGGTGCTGATTGTGTGATCATCTGATGCCGTCATATCATGAAGCGGCGCGCTCACGATATTCACTGGGTCCTGAGCAGTTTGTCTTTCTTGCTGCCCTTGCTCCATGGCTGAACCCGACGTCGGTCGTGCTTTCATCGTTGTTTGCGCTGACCATCGCCAAATTGATGTCCTCTGCTTTATCAGGACTTTGGTAAAAACGTGTTTGGCCATGTCGGCGGAATCATCATCCCCATCATCGTCATCGGATCGACCTTTGGCGCTGCCAACGGCTCCGTCTTCACAAGTGCACGGGTGCTTATGGCCTCTGCGAAGCATGGGGATATACCGCCGGTCTTTGCACAAGTGCATCCTCGCTTCAAGACACCGCTGAATGCGTTGGTTATCCAAGGCCTCATCTCCGTCTTCTTTGTCAGCGTGGGCTCGTTCACGTCTCTGGTGACATTCTATTCGATGATTGCTTGGACATTCTATCTGCTGGCGGTCCTTGGTTTGCTGCTGCTGCGGTACCGTGCGCCCAACTTGGAGCGCCCGTTCCGGGTTTGGATCATTGTCCCAGTGATCTTTTGTGCCAGCACACTGTTCCTGATCGTATTCAGTGTCATGGAGGCACCCAAGGAAGCCCTGGCGGCATTTCTATTCTTTGCGAGCGGCGTGCCGATTTGGTATGCCGGCGAAGTACTCGGTATGACGTGGGAACGTAAGTACTGCACCGTCGCTGCGATCATCTGTGTGGGGCTACCCGTACCCCGAGTCGTATACAACACATGTCCTGGCCCTGGCAACACACTCTAACGGCTCCATCTTCTTTCCACACTGCGGCGAACGGACGAACCAAACGGGTCGCTCACGGCCCCTGACTGGTTTATTGACCGGCGGACTGTCAACCCCTTTAGGCATCGGCGACGGGCTCTACCGAGTCTTCGGCACCCGCCTGGGGTGCCCAGGCGGCGACATCCAGTACATCGGCGTCTCAGCACGATCAGATGAGGCTCATCCTGGCGCTCCCGAGCATGTCTCGTGGATTCGACGATGGTTCATGAGGACAAAGGGCTACCAGGAACAGGTGCCCATGGAGGATCTCGCAAGTGAAACATGAAGCCCTCAGCTTTGATATGCCCTTTGCTACTTGCGGCAATCAAAGCAAGACAATATGCAAGCGCAGTCGTGATGATTGTGATTCCACAGCTATGGTGACTGCGACGGTGAAAGCAATGTGATGACAATAGACGATACTGCATCCATAAAACGAAATGACCCGCCCCGGTTCGGTACCGATGGCTGCCCCCTCTGGATCCCGAATACACATTCTATCCGATGCATGGACTCTCCACCACCACAGATGCGGACCTTGTCCCAGCGGACCGCATCTGTGATTGAGGTGCTGCGATGGGCATCGCCGGACGCGCTGTGATCGGCAGCGTCCGGTATGGCGCGACGGGCCTGGCTCGCTTGCCCTGGCCGCCGCCTCTGCATCGATCTGATCGCCTGCAGGGAATCCTGCCACCCGTACCCACAAACACCGCATCGCCAATGACTGCCGACGTCAAGGACGAGCCGGCCCCGGCCGTGCCCTCCGCCAAGCCCGAGGCGGCCTCCGCATCGGCGTTGACCGACCAGGAGAAGCTGAAGCTTCGCCAGGAGCGCTTTGGAGTTCAGGCCCCAACCACCTTTGTCGACAAAAAAAAGGCCCGAGAGGCTCGATTTGGCAGCGAGCCGGCCCAGAAGAAGCAGCCAGATCAGAAGGCACCGAGCACAGAGAAGAAAGCTGCCTTGAGCCAAGATGACACCGACAAGAAGCTTCAGCGACAAGCTCGCTTTGGCACAGTCGAGGAGCCAGCCAAGGGCAGGAAGACCAAGCAGGCAAGCCTCCCCGCACAGAACTTTGCCCAGAAGCCGATCGCTCGTACATAGGCCTGCCGAAACGAGGCTCAAGATACAGCGGTTCGGCTCTCTCGACCGAGATCAAAGCTCTGCTCACCGCAAACTGACCCTCGTTCCCTGTATGGCTTCAGGTCGATCCCGCTGTTGCCAAGCGACGAGAGCGCTTTGGGCTGGAGACGAGCAAGCCTAAGCCGTCTACTGGTATGCTCGATCTGTCCGCAGCTGAATGCCCCCTCAGTGTGCATCGCCGTAGAGCCCGGCAGTTGAAGCTGGGCTTGTGTGCGCCCGGCTACCGATTCGATTCGATGGGATTGTCTCTGCCCGCTGGACTGTGACTGCGACTGCGATCTGCATGCAGCTGATCTGACCAGACATGTTCAAAATGCTACGGAACGACACCTCGAATGTCTACAGAGGAGGAGGAGAAGAAGCGCAAGCGTGAGGAGCGTTTTGGCCAGGCCGCCACAACAAACAAGCAGGTAGGAAATGGGCCTGGATGGAGAGATTGCATCTGTCGGGCTTTTGGTGCACCATGCTTGCTTGCCCTGTGGCTGCCCTCCGAGTGCCGCCTTTGCCTCCTCTCCTAATTGCTATGGCTTGCCCGTCCCACGATTTTGGTTGATGCTGTCGTGAATGGATTGTCGAATCCTCAATCTTCAACTCGTGCTGCTCCCATCCCCACCAGCCAAAGACCGAGACAGAAAAGTCGGACGAGACCGCTGTTGAGAATGCGCATTAGATGTTCGGGGCCGTTCGATCTTGGCCAGAGGCCTTCCAGCGAGGCACATTGCATGAACGAGCGAGATCTGGGCGTGCACGGCCCCTGAATCGAGCCTGTTCCTGCCGCTTGTCGTTTGTCGTTTGATGGAGCCGGAGCCTTGTTGGATAACACGATATCGAGTGCTTTGAGCACATCGCACCCTCCGGCAGTCGATATGCCACGAATACTGCGCTCAAGTTCACCGCTCGCTTTCGCTCGGGGAGATCCGAACGGGTACACAGAGGGCATCGCGCTGTGGCAAATGCGCCGGAGACAGGTGTGCCTGGAATGTACCAGAGCCATGGCCTGTCGGACGAGCATGAGCCCTTCGACTCATGTGGGAATGTCCATCATCCCGATCGCCGAGCGGATCGGCAGTCGCATCCCAAGGGTGTATCCGGGACGAGTCGCCGAGCCCTCCCGGTCAGGCTTCCCCGCGCGTCAAAACCCGCACCCCGAAAGTCCTGTCCTTCGTCTTTTGTCACCAACCGCTCAGCCCTGCCCCTGGACTGCTGTCGCCGAGCTCACACCTACCCGGACTCGCCGCCGATTGCTGCAAGTCGCCCACCGCCCCCTCCGACCAGCGCCAATACCTATTTCCTCGCGACCCGTCCATCGCCGCCGAGTTTCGCCTGACACCTGACCCATGTCCGAGAATAGCGGCACGTTCTACATCGTCTCTGCGCCCGCAGACCCAAAGAAGATCGATGCCGTGAACAAACTCAAGGCAAAGATCGCCTCGCGGGGCGGCGATTACGCCGAAGTCTTTGCGGTCAATCTGCCTGAATTCAAGGTGGGCTCTGTGTGTGGTGTGCGGGGCAGCGGCAGCAGAGTCCCGGATCGGCTGTTGCTCAGTCGCGAGCGGCCCGATACATATGAGGATGAAGCGGATGACGCAAGAGTCGACCGTCTTGGGAGAGCGGAGCGTAGCGAATGCAGGCGTTGGTTTGAAGCACATGTGCGCCCAGCGGGCTGCAGCGAGTCGGTATGACTCGTTCCTCGGGCTGGCCCTCCAAAGACTGGCATCGCGAGGTTGGATTCTCGAATCGGCTCGGGCTGACTCGCTGCTGATCGTATCGCTCCGACCAGGTCGGCACACTCGATACGCTGGTCGTCCTCAGCGATGACCTCAGCAAGCTCGACAGCAACTTTGAATCAATTGCCTGCAAGCTTTCCGACAACATGAAGTCGCTGCTGAACAACGACGTCGAACAGTGGAGGTCGAATCTCTCTGTCACGGACAGTAAGTTCGATGGGGCTGAGCGCCAGTCGCCGATGGCACGAGGCCAGCGAGGCGTAGATTCCTGGGTTGATGAGCATATCCTTGGTGCCCGGGAGGAATGGTTGGATGCAGGACGCGCTCGGCAGCGTTGGAGCCCTGTCGACGCCTGTTTCTCTCAGTGGGACACCAGAGGCGATGCGTTCGTTGGCATCTTGCGCTGATGCCCCCTGTTTCGGTAACTGGTCTGCGGCACAGAGAGCATCGACAACTATCTCAGGGGCTTCCAGTGGAACGCCATGAAGTACCGCACCGACAAGTCCCTGCGCGAGCTTACGGACCTGATCACTCAGGTGCGACTCGACGACCCGTGCCTCGCATTTGTATCCTCTGTCGTGCCCAGAAGCTTACTGACCAGCCCGGCCTTTGGTAAACTCTACCCGGTACGATGCTCCTGGCAGGAGGTGACCTCCATCGACACCTTGATGAAGAACAAAATGCAGAATTACGCAACCGTAAAGGGCCAGCTTCAAGGACTTCAGCGCAAACAAGTGTATGTCTATCGTTTGTCGCCAGCCGCTGCGCTGTTCGCCGACTGATGGTCTAAACAAGGCGAAGAGAGCACCGATCATTAACAACTTTGGTTTGCGTCGGTTATGTTGGATGGTCGCTCCACAGTGGAAACCTCTCGGTTCGCAGCCTGAACGACGTTGTCAAGAAGGAGCACTTTGTCCTCGATTCGGAGTACCTGACCACGCTGCTCGTGGCTGTTCCAAAGTAAGCGGCATGCGATTGGTTGTGCCGGAAACAGCGACCCATTACACAGCCCGCTCAAGTTATGTTTGCACAGCATCAACCTGCACTCACGCTCTTGATTTACAGGCAGTCAGAGCGCGACTGGCTGAACAACTACGAAAGCCTGACCCAAATGGTCGTGCCACGATCGACGCAGTGAGTGTGCCCGCCTCGGCAACAGCAGTCTCGAGGCGTTGTTGATGATCGTGCGGTGTCGTGAGGAACAATCGTCCGGCATCGAGGCATCTCTGGCCCGATGCCGCGTTTCTCTGTTATGGCCACCATGCCCATCGTCTTTAGTGAGCGGCTGGCGCTTGGTGCGCGACAATCCGTCGTCAGAGTCATCCCAATAGTCCCCGAACTGACACTGCCCCATTATTGTTCTCGCTGCAGAAAGATCACCGAGGACGACGAATACATCATTTACACAGTGACGCTCTTCAAACGAATCGTCGACGACTATACTCTCAAGGCGCGAGAGTTCAAGTAACGTAGCCTGCGGTGTAGCAGAACGGGGCGGGAGATCGCCGCAGCGCGAGAGTCTGTCAACCTGCTGCGCTCTACTGATCGGAAGAGTGCTGATTTCGGTGGCGTCACTTTCCAGGTTCATTGTACGAGACTTCAAGTGGGATGAGTCTCAAATGGCCAAGGACAAGAAGGAACTGGCCGAGATTGGCGCGTCCGAGAAGGGGCTATGGGTACGTAGGGCCGAGAGACACAGCGGCGACAGGAGCAGCGTGCAGGGCTGACTGGGCCGATGGTGCCCTCCATTACCCCACGATGAAATGGACACCGGCCCAGAGAGCCTTACGAATGCAAGAGCTCTGCAGAGCCCATAACTTTGTGCGGTCCTCGCATTCTAATCCCTGGCAACACGCTCACTTTGGCAGTCGCAAGTCCTGCGCCTCTGCAAAACCAACTTTGGAGAGGTCTATGCATCCTGGCTCCATATCAAGGTTATCCGCGCCTGCGTCGAGTCGGTCTTGCGATACGGCCTCCCACCCGATTTCCAGGTTATGATCGTCAAGGTACGAAGCGGTGGTTCGCCGAACTACCGACGAGCCATTCCAGCGCAGGCGACGAGTCGTGGAGCTATGCCGTTGCAAACAGCTGCGTGTATTGTTCGGACTGCTGATTTGCTTTTTGCATCGCTGATGGAACCTCAGGCCAAGCCCAAGCAGGACCGCAAGGTCCGTGACTTGATCAACCAGCTCTACTCCAACCTGGGTGGTGCCGCCAACTCGAAGGGCAGCATTGACGAGCATGTGGAGGAGAACTTGCAGCTCCTGCTCGGCGATAAGGATTATTCGCCTGTGGTCCTGTTCCCGGTGAATGCAATCGTCTAGGCCACGGTCATGGCCACTGATCTGCCCGCACGGCCCCGGTGAGACGGATCTCAGCCCGGCGATAATGGCGGTGCATTTCATTCGAAGCCAGTTGGGCCGGGAATCAAAGGGCATCGCCGCCATCGATTGGTGTGGTCAGTTCTGCGATGTGCGTTCGGCGCAAATACAACATGTGGTACACTCCACCCAAGAGAAACGAGACAGCGTGGTCTGTGATCTCCTGCGTCTATAGATCCGAGGGATCGCCTCGGTTGTCTCCGAGTGAAGACACCGGGTCCCCACAATCGCAATGCGGCCATGGATATCCCGTTTGGCTTGGGTGCGTTGTATCCCTCCGTCTCGCTGTGCCACGGTCGTTCGCAGAACATGGAGCGGCCCACGGCATCAGGAAGCCGCCATGGCCAGGACTGCGCAGCGCTGGTAGGATATCAGGCTCGCCCAGACGCCGGAACCGCTCGCTGCTCATCCGCCGATCGTGCCAACATGAGCGCCAACAACAGCAAGCCATCTGGGCCGTCGGCACCGTCATCATCATCGCCGCTGCCTGGTCCCGGCCGTCTGTTCTCCTCGGAATACGGAGTAACAAACGAGCCCTATACGCCAGCCTGTATCCTCTCCCCTGGCACTCTTGGGCATGTCAATCCTGGCGATGCCACGGGGCCTGTGTCGTCTTCTTCCGGCCTCAATTTTGACGAGGGCGACGACGACGACGATGACGAAGACGAAGAGGAATGGATGCAGATCGATGTGGTCCATGGTACGTTCAGCGACCCGCTCTCCAGCCGAACCCGGAACAACCTGGCCTTTGACGATCCGGCGACTCGGGAGAGTGGACAGGATGATAGATATACAAACGGCTATGGGATGCTGGCTTGCGACTGGACTGCAGGCGAATGGGCTTGTAGTCTAATCAGAAGCATTTGGTCGTGGTTCGTGCTGGACGACAAGCGGTTGCGTCCCATGATGATGCAGGGCATACAGGCTCTGGCTCGGACCTGCTCGGCACCAGCTCGTCCTCTGGTCCTTTAGAGATCGCCATTCCCAAGCTCAAAGCGTTTCTGTAAGCATTCTGCAACATGCAGCCCTCATGCTGTATCTGTGTGTACTACGGCCTCAGCTTCCTGACGTCGTATCGTCTGCAGCGACAAGGATGCCCGGAAGCAACAGCGGGCCTCGCCCAAAACCAAAGGCATCACGAAGGAAGACAGAGATCTGCGCATGGCGATGCACAAAGCCCATTTGCTCTGTCTTCTGATCTGCGGTAGCAATCGAAACATTTGGTGCCACGACCCCGAGCTGCAAGTGAGTCGGTAGCAGATGCGGGCGGATGCATATCAACGGTCAGATCGCCCATCTTGCATCCTGGACAGTGCCTCAATGTGGTCTTAACGGCAGCCTCGTCCGCAGAACGTCGCTCGCTCGGCGATACCACGACAGATCGCAGAATCTCTGACGAGACTCTCCAGCCGCGCCTCCGGCATCAGCGGTCAACAGAATGTGGCCAACCATCGGTATCTGATCCACTATCTCCGGCTCCTGGCCATATGGTGGAAGCGCGACATCAAACCCTCGTTCGACCCTGACGAAGCGCCTCCGTCAGGCGTGGGCTCGGTAATGGAGAAATTCGGTCGGTTTCTGAGTCGACCGCCATCGCAGGAAGGCTCCAAGACGGCGCTGTCGCCAGAAGTTTCAGCAATTCTGTTTGTCGCCGCCATGCGGGGCATTGGTTTGGACGCTCGATTAGCCGTCTCGCTCCATCCCATACCCCTGTCGTTCTCGGGCGAGCTTGGCCGCATGCGGAAGGCTGATGAATCTCCCGACAACAATCCGGGCGGCAGCAATCCGAACGACGTCGAGGGTAGCGTCACCGCCCCAGCCTCGGATCGGCGTCCAACGAAGCGGCGCAAAACCAACTCAGGTGAGGACCGAGGTAGCAGCCTGGTTGGCATGGGTCCGGAATGGGCGGCGATAGTCGCCGGCAAGAACCGAATCGGCCGTATTTGTGATCTGTGATCCTCATGCTGATGGATGCTCGGCTGCTAAACCTTCATTTTGTACCTGGATATCCGGACAGCTAAGGACGCTGGAGAGATCCCGTTCGATGACGATCGCTTCATCATGGTGCCATATCCCCTTACGCTCTGGTGCGAGGTCCATTCGCCGCATTGCGATGAATGGATTCCGGTTGATCCGAACAAGGGCATGGTCGACCGACCACTGGATATGGCTCCAGGACCAAACAAGCCCCTGCAACTACAGCTCTCGTACATTGTTGCGTATGGCCCTCTGCGCGAGTGCAAAGATGTTACTCGCAGATATGCACCCGCCTGGGGTGCTCAGACATCACGCAACCGACTTCCTGCTGGCCTCGAAGGCGAAGAATGGTGGAATCGGGCGCTGTGGCTCTTGTCCATGTCGGAGCGAGACACCGACAAAGACGCCCGCGAAGAACAGTTCTTCCGGGAGCAGTTGCGGTCCGAGAAGATGCCGACGAGGCTTGCCGGATTCAACAACCACCCTCTCTTTGCCCTGGAGAGGCATTGCAAACGCAACGAAGTGATCTGGCCTGCTGGCAAAGAGAACATGATCGGCCAGTACAAGGGCGAGCCGGTGTACCCGCGACGAAATGTGCAAGAGGTAAGACGGGCAAAGACGGGCAGTCGAGGGATCGGGCGATGTGCCCGAGTGGACATCCAGCATCGGTATAACAAATCCCCTTTCTTGTTGGGATGTTCCCAGGCTCTTTCGGTCAATGGCTGGCTCCGCCGTGGAAGGTCAATCAAGCCGGATGAGAAGCCGGCCAAGATCGTACCTGTGAGACAAGCGTCGATCCAGCGGAGGCGCGATATCGAGCACGAAGCCAGCAATCGCGAGCTGCGGCTTTTAGACGATGAGCAGGGCGATGTCCTGATCGACAGCTCCAAGATTGGGCTCTTTGGCATTTGGCAGACGGAGCTGTACAAGCCCCCTATTATCGAGGATGTAAGAGGAGAGTCTCTAGCGGCACGATGCACTCTGGCAGCTGCCAGCGACAGTCGCGATCGCTGGCACGCCGGGTCTGGCGTCACTGCAATACCGGCCGGTGTATCTATCGGGAGCACTTACTAAGATGCACCTTATGGCAGGGAATAATTCCAAAGAACCAATTCGGCAATATTGAAATCCTGCACGAAAGCATGGTACCGATTGGTGGCGTCCACATCAAAGGTACGCAACGACTGAGCTACAGATGGGCAATGCATGGCTGCTCTCACGGCCACCGATCCCTGGTGCTTATCGTATGTGATCCTAGTGTCTGGGCTTGGTAAAGTCGCGCAGAAGCTCAATATCGACTATGCAAACGCTGTGGTAAGTCGCTTCCAACCTGGAGCTTGGGCCGAGCCATTTGGGCAACAATGAAGCCAAAAACCAGTCCCCGCGCTACCAGCTGACGAGCTCTTCCTGCTGGCCAGACCGGATTCGAATTCAACAAGGGTAAATCCACGCCAGTGTATCAGGGAATCGTTGTCGCCGAGGAGTACCAAGAGATATTGCTCGAGGTAGGGCCCAGCCGATGGCGCTTGCTGGTGACTGGATTGTCCCACGAGTGCGACCCAGGCCCGGTAACCGACCCATCGGCTTTCTTTCAGGCATATCGAGAAATCACAATTGCCAAGGACCGAAAGCAGGCAGAGCAAAAGGCGGTGCGGGCGCTCGGAAACTGGACCAAGCTCGTCAATCGGCTGCTGCTCCGCAGCCGCATCCGCGAGACCTATATGAAGTGATACTCTGTGAGCCGGGCGGGTATTGGTGTGTCTGCTGCTTGATCGTCGGCGGCCGAGACCAATATCACTATCCCCGAACACACGCTCGCATCCACATTTACTCGGGGGAAATGCGAATCTGCATAGATTCGGATCTGAGCGAGCGATTGTCGTCGATGGATCACAATCCGGACCCCGCAGGGCCGGGGAAGTGTATTATCACGAGCATCGACCGGCTGTGACCAGCATATTATACATCCCGCGAGGGAGGGGAAAGGAAGGGTAGCAGGGGCAGCAGGGGCGATAGCAGCGGTGACGACGGTGCAGCCGGCTGTTGATCGAATTGGAGCAAGGGCTCTGGAGATTCGGAGGTCGCAGTGCTGCATTCGCTTGAAACAGAGGCAGCGCCAACGAGACGATTCGGCAGGACTGTCATCTACGCCGACAGCCGCAACATGCAACATTTGATTGTGCTGCTCATAGAAACGGGCATAATTATGGGTTGCATAGAGTGTCGAGGCTCGCAGAACGGTCAGACATAGGGAGGTGCTGGCTCGGCGGTCGGGTTATCATCATAGGCAGGAGCAGGCTCGGCCTCGGCCTGTTCTGCATACGGAGGCGAGGCTTCTGGCGATTCATATGCCGGAAGGTTTTCGGCTGCCTCGGCGGGAGGAGCGGCTCCTGCTTCGGCCCTGTTGGTGTACTGGAGGGCGATGCTGGTCAGGTTCGTTTGGTCGTGAGGGGTTCGGAGGAACCCGACGCTACCGAGTCTCAGGCGGACGATGATCAAACAGATGACGATGATGAGGCCGACAACGAATATGGATACGTTTCCGATGGCGTTGCCCGCTGCGGAACAAAGGGGCGGAGTGGAGGCAACCGTCAGCGCCGATATCAGGGTGGGTCGGCAAAGGGGATACAACATGAGCGGAGCTGGTGGGTTCCTGTTGCAAGTCGGCAACTCACTCGGGTCTCGCTTGTGGAGCGGGGCAGCCGCAGTCAGCCCGAGGCAGCCCGCAACGAGGGCCAGGGCCGGGAGGGCATGCGGATCCATGAGGCAGCAGAATCGGGAGAGGGTTTGGGAGACAGGGGCGAAGGCCGATGATCGTTGGGACGGCGCTGAGGAAAACGACGACCCCCCTTGCCCACTCGTTCGTTCGCGGAGCGCCAAGGACGCCAGCCGGGTTCCCCCTGGGCCAGCGCCGCGGATCATGCCGGTTGTCGACGGTGTGGGCTTGTGTCTGCGGCTGGCGTTGTCGATGTTGCCGAGTCGGATAGGTCGGAATGTGGATGCCGCACTATTACAATGCATATCTCGAAACGGGTCGCCCAGGTTTGAGTCGGGCTGTCGTTGACTTCTGGTCCTGGATACACACCCCTGTTTTCCGGAATGGCTGCAATGTGCGTCGCGGGTGTATTCATCATCCGAACCATGGCTGCGTTGTGTGGATAGCTGGTCGGCTCCAGGTATTGATAAATAGTCGGGTTGGGGGTTGTGGTTTGGGTGCGCTGGATGGTTTACACTTTATTCAGAAAAAAAAAAACGGGATAACACAGCCGTTTCCATGAACATGTAGTATGTGATGTGCTTGTGTCAAGCAAAGCCATAAGGAATAAAACAGATCACTTTGGCAGCCTCCGAGTGAAGACCACCGGTCGCCCTCCGGTCTCCACAATCGACTTGCACACTGTGATCATGTTGCGCGCCGCATTGACGTCGCGATTCCACACTGTCCGGCAGCTGGGATTCTTGCAGCTCCTGACAAAGTGGGAATTCGCAACACTGGGCGCATCGAGTCCTTCCAACCGAACTGGCTCCAGGCACTTGGAGCACACTTGCGAGGTGTTGAACTCGTTCGTTGAGGCCACCTTGACGCTTCCGTGAGGGTGATTGGGACGGCGTCGGTGGTGCTCGAATTGCTCAAAGTACCGAGCAAACCGCTGCCTCCGAGGGCTGGATGCATAGCCCTTGCCTTGCCGCTGCGCTGGTCTCGGAGTGCCAGCGATGGATGGTGCTCTTGGACACACTGAATATGGAGGCAACCTTACGCAAGCCATGGATGAGGTCGTAGCATCGCAATGCGGCGGTGCGAAAGTCGGATGTGTGGCGAATGGTCATGGCCAGCGCGCGATAACATTGGGTAACAAAATATTCGATCAATGGTCAAAACCCCGGGTGTTGGGTAGTTCAACGGTTAGAACATGTGACCTGTCCGGGGCAAGACCCAGGTTCGACTGCTGGTCCACGCACCCACTTTTTGCTGTCGTCGATCTCCAAGATGCGCAATTGACCAACAAGCGCCGCCGCTGGTACCAGTCATCCGCCATCCATCCGTCTATCCGTCCATCGAGGCAATCACACTTCGGTAGAGAGCCATGCTCTCGCCTTGTCGGGCACGCAGCTCGCGGCGTCGTTGTCTATTGATGCACCAAAAGTACCAAAAATAATAGGGAGCAGGCCATCCAGCGTCCCACAAGCGGCTCTGTATGGTCGAATAGCTCAGACACCATAGCGACGGCTCGATGCAGCGGCCGACACAACATCGTCTACAACATTGGCGCTCCCGCAGTCAATTATTATGCTGTCTCCTTCGCTCTCTGTCTCGTCGCTTGCGGCTCCGGCCATGTGGCTGTCGATTGTGTCCGGCATCGAGTCATTGGCGTTGCCGTGAGTTGAGCGTGCTTGAGCGACAGCCACTTCTGTGTCTGCAGCAGGAGCCGCAACGGGCAACTGCCGGTCCAGCAGCTGTCCGTGCGGAAGCGTGTGCGTCCGCGGCGGCATCGGCGAGTGTGGCGGCAGCTGGGGATAGCCTTGAGGCTCCCACCAGCCAGCCATTGCGTCCATCCGCATCATTGCCGGGCTGTGCCATGGGTGGCTTCGGACGGCGTGATTGAATTGGTTGATCATCTCGGAGGACTCAAAGTCGTTGCCATGGTCAAAGGGAAGCTTCACAATGCTTGGAGACGGCGGGAGATACGGCAGACCCACGGGATAGTGGGGCACGAACCCGGGAACGCCTGTGGGAGGGCTGGCTATCGGGTAACCAGGGGCGGGCGACACAAACGGCTCGGTCAGCAGCATGTCATTGCCTCCGCGCCGAGCAGGGGCTACTTCCGCGCGCTGGACTGCGGCATGGCTCGGTCTGATGTTATGGATGGGCGCCGGTGACCGGATCGGAGGTGCTATAGCATGTGTCGGCTTGTCTGCCAGCCGGCTCTTGAGGATCTCGGCCATCTCAGAAAACACCTGCGACAAGATTCGATTGGTCCGGTCTTCGAGCAGATCCGCGGCTTCGACTGAGCATGCCTCCTCCGGCAACCCTGTGGACCCTGCTCCTGTTGGCCGTTGTTGCGCCTGCAAGTGAACAATCTCGTGCTGCAGCTGGCTGATATACTCTTGTGACTCGTCCACGAGTCGCTGAAGGGCTAGAGTCTCGCCTTTGCAGCGTACCAGCTCTGCCTCGAGGCTGTCGATGGTCTTTTGATGCACGGCAATCTCGGCTGTGAGTTCGTCAGACTTGCTCTGTAGTTGTGCGTTCTCCTGCGCCAGTTCAGCCGAGCCAGTTTGTTCTTCTTCAATCGCGCGATTTGCTGCATCGAGCTCGGCCGAACGGCTCGCCAGGGCTTCCGACAAGGCGGACTGCTCCTTGCATCTTGACACCAGCTCGTGCGATGCCGTCTCGAGCTCCTGGACTGCCGTCGCATGCTCGCGAGATACCTGTGCGAGTCTGTCGGACTTTGCCGCTAGCTCCGCTCGCAGGGCGTCGTTTTCCGATTGCTTGGTCGTTGCTGTCTCCCTGATGCGGTCGATGTGGTCCTGATGCTCTTGGATCTTGTGCTTGAGGGCGTTGTTCTCTTGCTGTATCTGGGCACGACTACCAAACTCGGTGGCATACTCGAGATCAGCCCGCACCTGGGCGAGATCAACATCTGCGTCCGTGCTCGAAAGCAAGTCGATGATCCAATCGCTGCTGGCTGGCTGGGGCATCTTCTCCGGTCGGTAGGAGCCAAATTCGGGGTGTCGTAGAATCAGCGAAAGGATCTCCTTGTAGCGCTGCTTCAAGGTCACCAGGCTGGACTCGCTCTCGGCCGCCTGTGTCTTGAGTTTTGCGATTGTGCCCGTCATCTCCTTGATGCGCTGCTCGGAGCGGTTGAGTTCGTCGCGTTGGTTCTCGATCTTCTTGGTGTACGTACGCCGACACTCTTCCTCTATCTTCTTGACGAGGCTACAGTTCCGGAGCGATGCTTCATATTGCGCCGACGATGCGGCTGCAGTAGGCAGCGATGTGGACTGTGTCGCATCAGCTGATTCAGACGACCCCAGCGAGGGCACTGTCGCTGTCGCTGCGGCTGAAGCTGCACTATTTGGGTTGCTGTTTTGAGGCACCCTTTTGTTCTTGCGCCGTCGGTTTGATGTGGTGGTGGCGGTGGCGGCGACAACCGGGATCGGGACGGGCACGGGAATGGGATCTTCCTCGGCCGTCTTGATGGCGTGAATTCGTGCTCGTTGCTTGAGGTTTGCCGCGCGCTTTTTGTAAGCCTCGATCAGGTGCTTGATCTGGCTCTCGAGATGGGTGATGTGGAAGACGTCGGCCGTTGAGGCTTCTCGTTTCTCGGGCGGGTCGTGCGTCAGCAGTAGCTTGTTCAAACCGTCCTCGAGCCCAAGGCCCATCTCGGCGTGTTCTTCTTGCTCGAGCTCCAGCAAAGCCTGCTCGACCAGCCGAGCCAGGTTCTTGATGCGCGTGCTCTTGTCCATCTCCTTTGAGAGAAGATGGCGATCGAGGCTCGACAGAGGCGGCGAATCCAGGCAGGCATCTTGCCTAGCTGGAGATGCATCGCCAAAGAGCGAGACTGCTGCAGCCCGGCGGACCCGTTCGTGCTCAAAGCTGGAGCCGAAACTGGAGCTGAAACTGGAGCTGGAGCTGGAGCTGGGACCGGAACTGGACACCAGCGGCAAACCGAGCCCGCTTTCGAGATCAACGGTGTCGTTTTCCCATGCGCCGCGAGCCGATATCGGCATCGCTTTTGACCGGGCTTCCGTAAGAGCCTGCTCCAGCGTCTTGATCTGCTGCTGCCGCTCCTCAAGGGTCTTGGAGTTTCGTCGCACGATTTGCTCGATCAGGTCCTTTTGTTGCTTGTTTTCGAGCTTCAGGCACTCGATCTGAGAGTCGGCCTCCCCAAGCTTGCGGTCGTAGCCCGATTGGAGCTGCATGATCGACAGGGCCGTCTGCGACACATGCTCCTGGAGCTCGCGACGGGTGCGGTCCTCAAAGGCGACCGAGAGCTGGTCGTACGGCGTCAGCTGCAGCGGCGAAGGCGTCGAGGTCAGCAGCGAGACATCAAACTTGTCTCTGGCCGAGCATATCTTGGAGATGGAGAGCGGGATCCAGTCTCCGGCAATGTTGACGACCCGCTTGACGGCCTGCATCCGAGCGAGCTGGGTGTACATGCTGATGACCCACGATTCCTCGAGCGAGGCTGGGCTGGCCCAGACCATATTGACCATCTGGAGGTAGTTGGCGAGCTGGGTTCCAGCGAGATCGAGCAGGCCCGGCCCCTCTTGCTCGAGCGAGACGCCTGACTCGGACCACAGCTGGATGAGCTTGGCGGCCGGAATCGGGAAGCGGATTTCGCCGAGCAGGTCGATCGACTTGCTCTCCAGCGACGCCCATTTCTGCGCCGTCTTTTCCTTGGCGGCACCGCTGTGGATGCTGGAGGCCGTAAAGTCGAGGACATACTGCTTCGTTTCCAGCGTCGCCAGGAGCAGCATGCATGGGAGCTTGCGCTGGGGGAGGCCACAGCTCTCTTTGCCCTCGGCGACCATCTTGCAGATGCCCAGGACCACGGCGACGCCGCTCTGGCGGTCGGGCTGGTCCTCAAGCAGCCGGGTAAAGAACGATTCTGCTGAAGACCCCATCGGGCGAATGACGTGGTGGTGAGGAGGAGGAGGAGACTAGCGCTGGAAACCAACACTATCAATTTTATCCGGCCCCTCGCGGCTGCTCATCTCGGTCACCTGAAAGTCACGTTGTATGTGACGCAGCAAAGTTGGAATCCGGCCATGGTCGGTTGACGGCATTTGGTATCACCTTGAGCCGATTGACGGTGGTGGTGGGCAATTGGTGTGGAGGAATGACCAATTGTATCATTGTTGGAAGCTCCACTCCGATTGCGGACAAGAACCACCACCATCTGAATCTCTCTGGTTGGAAACTTAGTCAAGCGTGGCTGTGTGTCAGCGAGATGACATGATCGTTTGGCTATCAGGCAAGACTCACCTTGACAAGATGTCTTCCCACGACTGATTGAGCGAGCGATGCGTTTCTGGATCTGAATCAAGGACGCCACTGCGCAGTATCTCTGCCAGCCCAAAAATGCGCTGGTTTTGAGGAAAATTTTTCTTTCCCAAGGGCAGAACCAGCCATCGTCGCTATTTTCTCGCCAGATGGCTCCCCACAAGCGAAAGACACCACCCAGGCGACCAAGTGGATCCAGAGCACCCACAAGATCCTTGGTCTGCAGGAATGGATGAGCACCACACCAAGTCCCAAGATCCCCGGGTTGGATCCCTTCCTGCAATACATTCGCCATGTGTTCACTGGAGACATGCTGGAGAAACAGCTGTACTTCAGCCTGACCCGGCGACGGCGATTCAAGCGACTCGATCTCCACAGCAAGCGACAGCGCACCGTCCACGAGATGTGCAAGCAAGTCATCGACCAGGCACCAAAGGAGACCGAAGTGGTGATTGCCTTTGGAAATGCCTCGTGGAAGCAGGGGAAGGGATACGCATCCAGTCCCAGGAGACTCAGGTTTGCCAAGTACTTTGAGCAGTTCCACCACCACCAGAGACGCCCACCAGACTGATCCGTCTCCAAGATCCATGTGTGCTCGGTGAACGAGTTCAACACACTCCCACATCGACACATCAATACAAGTCGATCATCGCCACAGGAGATCGACCAAGTGCATCCAAGACTGTGCTTCCAAAACCAACCATAACCACTCGATTGCCAACGAAGACAGGAGTGCAATCTCACGGCTTGCTCACTGGGTTCTACAGTCAGTCAGCGGGTTTCAGACATCTGAAGCCAGAAAGTGACTGTCCCGTTTCTTTCTGGATAGACTGTAAGTATCTCGCACTGTTCCTTGAGTATGTCGACAGTGGATGCCGGGTCGCCCATATTCTGGGCAGTCCACTTCGGGGTTGCCATCCCTCTTGGGATGGTCGATGGGAGGTGGTTGACTCCCTTGCAAAGTGTGTGTGTGTGTGTGACGGCGAGAGGCTTCTCGCCTTCCCTCGCTGGTCTCTCGCCAGAGACTGCTCTTCTCGCCGACCGAGGTGGCTCCGAGAGCGCGTTTTTTCGTTCTCGCTCATTTTATTAACAAGAAATTTTTTCATAGTGCATCCATCTGCCGCCCCCCAGATCCAGACACGTGGCGCCGTCCCATTCCAACTTTGACAGCAGAACCGACGACCGCCTGCGTCCAACGGATCCGTATGAAACCAACCCAAAGACCTCGGCAGCCTCCGCCGTTGAGCAATAAGCTGGTCGCCCCCTTCGTTTGCATCAACTGTATTCTGAAGCAGGAGTGGTCCACTGGAAGCACTTGCTCATCAGGCACACACAATAGATCTCTGTCTCATAACGCCGTTAGAATGCGCAATCCCCCAGCACGAAATCGAGATCGGAACAGCTTATGGCTCTGTGTTTTGGGAAGAAGAAGAAGAAGAAGAAGAAAAAAAAAAAAAGCAAACCAAAAACAAAGTGGCCATGTGCCCAGAGTCGGCCCTTTGATTCTATTCTATCGTTGGAGTGGTCATGTTTCGTCGTCGCATGATCTTCCGGCGCCGGTCCTCGCGACAGGTGCACACAAATCCGATGCACATCCGATGGAAGGGCGCCAGACGGTACATCAGAATAAGAGCCAGCGCCGACGGTGTTGCCATGGCGGTGAGCTCGGCCATGGTTGTGCCGGGATCACCGCCCCACCCGCTCAGGAGGCGATTTCCGGTTGCGGGGGTGACGCCAACCCATTGACCGAGGCTGCAGACGACGCCTGTGATCCAGATAAATGCCAGGATGAGAAACAGCGCGATGGCAAAGGCCTCGATGCTCATGAGGGTCAGACAAAACAGCTTTTGTCGCCAGTCAAAGTAGTCGGTGGTGGCGTTGACGCTCAACAGATATCGATTGACTTCGAGGTTGCCGTTATAGATGCTTGTGTAGAGCGGGATGCCGTCCCAGACGTTGACATCGCCGCCGCGGTCGACACAGGCCTTTACGGCCGAGACTGCCCCAATCTCAGCGCACGACCGCATCAAGAATCCCTCTGTGATGGGGGTACATGGGTGCGTCGATCGAATTGTTCAGCCAACACGTTTTGAGAGACGTCCGGTCCAGATAGATTAATGCGCTAGGACGGCAGGGTTGTCGAAGCAATGCATCACAGCCAGGCCTCTAGCGCCTGGCTGCTTGGATGGCAGTGGACTCCTTGCCATCGATGCAACCGAGCGGATGACATCCCTATGCGTATCAGCCACATATCGATGCTCACATATTCTTGCACTCTTCCACGCTCTCACATGCGTTCTACGCACCGACACAGACTCCTACATACTCCCGTGACCTACCTAGCCGTCGAAACTCAGAATCCGGCAGAGTTTGAATCGCCAGCACCAGGGCTCCGGAATACCGCTCGCGTACTCCAAGGGTGAGACGCCATGCCGTGCCTCGTCGGATGAGCTTCTGGACTGTCCGGCTTGTGGCTCGAGCACCTTCAGACACGAGAATTTCGGCAATCTGGATACTTCTCGCCATCAGAGCCACATCGAGAGCCTCGGACAGAGCCAGCGGGTGGATTTGAGAGACCCGAATGCGCAAGTCTGGCTTGGGTGATTCGAGCGATGCCGGGTTGTGCATCAGTGTCGAGGTAGGATCGGCCCAGGTGCTGGCTGACGGAGCAGCAGTGTCCTGCGTGGCGGTCGGCTGGGGCCGAGTCAGCGTGCATCTGTGGATGACATGCCGTTTGGATGCAAGTTTGCGAACAAGTGGGACATTCCGGCTCTGTACGGCCTGGATCAAAAGGGTATTTTTCATCGGCCTGCGTCGTGAATTCCGGGCCAAAGGAGCGGCAGGCAAGGCGACCTGTGTCGGTGCGGGCAGCAGCAGTGGCGGTGGCAGAGGTAATGGCAGTGGTTGTGGAGGATGAGAGGCGCTCGGTCCTGGGCCCTCCTGAACCTCGACCACGATCTGTACCGAGGCTGCTGGACCAGCTGTGCCGAATTGGGGAGTGAATGCCGCTTCCATAGCCGGGCCAGCGTCGTCCACCGCAGGGTCGGCCTCGTCCACAACCAAAGAGCGGGACTGGGGCTTGAGCACCCCCAGGACGCGCTTTGCGATCGTCATCTTGGGAAGGAGTTGCACATCCGGGTCGATCCCGAGCGATAGGAAAAAGTCGAGTAGGCACATGTGTCCATCAGCGACAGCATGCCGGAGACACTGCTGTCCGCCTCGGTCGACGCCGGCACCCAAGTCGATCAGATACGAGCACACCTTGATCTGGTGCTGTTCCAGAGGGCACACATCTGGTTTGAGCAAACTGCCGCCAAGGCGTGGGTGGATGCGAGCGAGCCCGGCTGCTTGAACTTTACGGTCTCCGCACCGACAGGGCCTGTCGCCAAGGGCACGCATGAACGGATAGCCCCAGCATTTTGCGAGCGCGCTCGTCGGATACTTTTGGAGAAGAAAGCGTGCTCGGATCCAGGCCGACTGCGAGATGCGGCGGAAGCGTCGGCAGACATGAGCCAGCTGCGGGTTGGAAGCATACACGAAGATGGTCTCGCAGATCTCGAGCGGCAGGCCGTCAAGTCTTTGCTCGATGCAGGCCGCGCTGATGGTTTCGACATGGCTGCTGCTCGAGAGACTTTGACCGGCCGTGAGAAAGCGCGGCGGTTCGAACGCGATATGCTTGGCCGGGTCCTCGAAGGATGGATATGAAGTGATCTGGGACAGAAATGGCTTCATCTGGACCCGCTTGCGCTCTGGCTAAAGTTTGCAGGGCAGCGATGGCAGAATCCGATGGTGAGGGAGGGGGGGAGCGCATCTAGCAGCCCGCCGGAATTGAAGGGATGCAATGGGATGTGATCCAGGCCGAGTCTGATTGAGGCAAGGCCATGCCCGCTGAGCACTGATTCCAAGGACACTCGACAGCGAACATGTATTACTACTGAGCACGCATATGGGGCAACTGGGCTGGATCGAGACCGGCAAGTGGAACAAAATGCCAGTCAGTCCCGGATGACAATACCCTCGGCAAGTGGATAGCGCCGAGGGTGGAGTGAAAGCGGTGCAGGGAACGAGCGAGGCAGGAAGCGGGACAGGAGGCAAGACAGGAAGAAAGCGGGAGAGCGATGGATGGCAAATTGTGGATCCGCTTCGGCACGAGCCGGCCGCAGTGTCGCCCATGGGTCCAGGATAGGCCGCCTGTGCTGCAGCGATAGCGGAAAGGCGTGCTCAGCGGCGGATGGGTCGCCCCCTGCTTGGTGGGATGCATGAGCCCGCACCGACCCCAGCAAACAGCCCCGGTCAGCCTGGGAGTGGCCGTTCGGGATGAAATGGGCCGGCGCGGTGTTCTGCTGGCGGGTCATTTGACCAACCCCCTTTCCCGCTCCACAGCCCAAGCAGCAAGATTGGATTTGGGGCGCAGAGCCAGGTCGGCATGGGGACACGCTGGGCGGCCGCGCAGAGTCGCGGCTGGTGGATGCATCCTCTTGCGACAAAAGATGGATGCTGGAGACGTCCTGTCCCCCCACTGAGCTGGGGTGCCTCGGAATCTGCCCACGAGCTGTGCGCTGGTGTCCACCCACACGAGCGGCTTCGGGGTGCGGGGTGTGGGATGCCGGGGCTCGGAGAAACGGGGTGCAGGTTACTGGCCAATGCTCGGCGAGGCAGCTGCAGGAGAGATGCAGGAGACAGCGGATGGACTTGGACACTCAGCCAAAGCGCGGGCTGGGCATGGGTGAGGAGAGAGGGGGACCAGTGGTGGGGCGATAATGCAGGGGGGTAATGCAGGACCGATACGCCCCCCCGGACCGGACGAACAGGGCGCAAGATCGATATGCGCTGGGCTGACGGGCGCCAGGCCGATATGCGAGCGGATATGCGAGCGGATATGCGAGCCGATACGTCTTCCGTACCAGCAGACCAGGGCTGACGGCTGCTTGCACCGCTCGAGCGATGCGACGGCGTCGTCCGCGGGTCGTCCGACGGCGGCCGCGCAAGCATTACGGGTGCTTCTGCACCCGTATCTGCAGGCCAGCGCGAGAGGGGCCCTCTGGGGGGTGGTTCTGAGCTGGTGGTGGAGCGCGGGCTTGGTCCGAGCAGGAGCCACAGGAACAGCGATATTCGCACTGGTATCGACAGCGATATCGTGTTGGCGCCGTGATATTGTATCGGCGACATGACATTTGCATCGTGACATTTGTATCGACGGCGGCACTTATCCACGTTGGCACGACATGTCATCAACACCGCCTTCACCACCAACACCAACACCGACACCATCGCCGTCATCGGCATCGGCACCAACACCGGCATCGGCATCGGCATCGGCCGTGCCCTCCACAGGGATCGAGCCGCTGCGACGCAGACACGCGGGTGGGTGTGCCGAGGCACCCTTAAGGGTGCCTCGGCTGCGAAAATTTGCGCACGCCTGGGCCGACGCGGGCCAATCAGCGCGCTGCACCAATCGCGTCGCAGGTTGCACTCTTATGTCCGCAGGTCGGTTTGCCAGTTGATCCTGCCAGTTGATCCTGCCAGATGGTCCTGCCTGATGGTGGTCCTGCCTGGTGGTCCTGCCTGATGGTCCTGCTGTCGGTGCTGTCGATGCTGCGACTCTATCGATGCTGCTGCCACCACCGGCGGTGGACCCTCCAACCGCACACCAATGGCCAGACGGCGCCGTCTTGCTCGTCTGCAGTCCGTTGTTGCGACCCAGCAGACCGGCCGTCGAGACCAACAGCATCGCGAACAACATCCACGAGCAGCGGCGGATGTCTTTGCAAAAGCCACACCGACAGCGACTCTGACACTGCCCAACAGCAACAGCAACAACAGCAGCAACAGAAGCAAGTCGCGGAGCTGCTCGCTGTCCTTGTCCGCCTGTTGCTGCGTCTCCTGCTTCGACCCCCCCCCGCGTTGGCTGCCGAACAAGAAAGCAAGGGTCACTTGCGGGTGGCTCTGACCTTCGCCTGCTGCTGCTGCTGCTGCTGCTGCTGCCGCTGGCCCCTCCGGAAAGGGGGTGCTGTCGTCCTCGCGGGAGTCCAACACACCGCCAAACGACCGGTATGAGGCCGTCTATAAAGACGTTCGGGCGGGCCGCTCTCCTGTCTTGCCGGCCCGCACGTCTGCCTGGCGGTTTGGGGGATTGCTGTTCAGTTGTGTCTTTCCAGAGTCGCCGTCTTATACCCTCGCTGCTTCTGTCTCTCGGTCCCTTCTCGAACTGTCTGGTCCTATCTATCGACCTGTTCGCCGACTTGGCTGCCAACCTTTCCATCGACTCGGTCCAATACCTCCGTCGCTCGCCTCGGTTCATCGTCCGGCCCCATCCTGCCATCCCGCTCCGCCTCGTCCTTTCCCCAGCTTGTCTCCTCCCACCTCGTCCCCGTCTCATCTCGACTGCGACCCGTACATGTCTCAAATCTGGTGTGCTGCCAACTCGGGCAATGTCTCGCAGCTGAGGGTGTTGCTGCCAAGCGCGAGTGCCTTGGAGCTTGAGTGGACAGATGCGATGGGCAGAACGCCTCTAATCGAGGCTGCCAAATACAACCACCTTGACTGCGTTGTCGAGCTGCTGCGGTATGGAGCCAACCCGCACCACGAGTGTAAGTAGCGGAGCCTCTCGTCCGTTCCCTGGGCTCGGCCCCGCTCTGTCTGATATGTCTGCTCTGTCTGAGATGTCTGATATGCCCTTCCTCACCCCTGTCGTCTCTCGTCATGTCCTTGCCCCAACAGCCTTTGCCGGCGACGCCCTTGCGCATGCAACCACCCCAGAGATCAAGCAGCTCATTGCGGCCGCCACATACCCCAGACCCAAGCCCTCGCCCCCAAAGAACGCACCCGCACTCGCTCCTGCTACAGCTCCAGCTCAAGCTCAAGCTTCCGTCTCCACGGGCGCCGGCACCGGCCACTGCGAAAACGGGTCCAGCATCGTGTGTCGCTACTGGAAACGGGGGCACTGCAAGTACAGCGATTCATGTTGGTTCAGTCACCAAGCTGACTTACAGTCACACCCGGACCCGCCAGCAGCTCTCCGCATGGTCGATGCTGGTCGTTGTCGCTCCAAGTCCTCATCGGACGAGTCGGGCACCGACTGTTCCTCCCTGGAGCCTGTCCCCTCGGTCATGCAGACAAGACATCCGGCCTCGAACAACAGAATTTCGCCAACGGGACATCCCAACAAAGCCTCTCAATCCTCGCATAATCTCAAAATCAGTACAGCTGTCGTCAGGACCGGAAACAGCCCCAGCCCCCCAACCTCGGCTTGCACCGTCAGCCCAAGTGCCCATCCAGATGGATCCACGGGCACTTCCCGAAGCCCCACCAGTCCTCGTCCGTCAAAGCACTCTGCTCCCAACGTCGCCGCAAACCAGTCATCCTTTGCCGCACTCAACAAGACGGGCTCGGGTGTCTTTCATAGCACCACCATTTGCCGCTACTGGCTCACAGGCACTTGCACCCGGGGGCCAGAGTGCCGGTTCCTGCACGGCAAGGGGCCGGCCCCGCCCGGAGTAACCCCTCGGCCCCAAAAGTCCGGCTCAGCACACGGAATTCACGGTGTGCACTCCTCGCAGCATTCGCCGCCGCACTATCCGTATCCACATCATCCTTCGCTGCCCAGCGGCGCCATCCAGAATGGACGCCAGACGTCCTCAAGGCACAACTATGGTGAAACCGGCTCGGCCTGGCCCTCGAACCCCTCCAGCGCCGATGTACCCTATTCAGCGGGCGCCGCCGTCTATCAGTTTGGTGGGCCATCGTCCGCTTGTTTTCGACCTGGTGCAATGGCGCCTCTGTCACCAGCAGTCCTGCCCACAGGCTACGGCTCCGAAGAAGTGCACTCTCCAGTGCATGTGTCCTCATTCCATATGCCTGGGGCCGAGCTGGGCCATGGTCGCGAAAGCCTTCGGGACTGGAACGCAACCCAGATGAATGTATCCGTGTCGCCGTTTGCCCAGGCCTCTAAAAGCGGCTTTGGCCGATGCTATCAAACCCCAGATGCGGCCCACGCCTTATATGCGACTCCCAGGACAGGAAGCCCAAGACATCGCTAGTCGAAGCACTGGCTTTCTGTAGCCGTGGTAATACCCCCCCCCCCAGCCGCGCTTGCTCGACGGCTCCGTACTATCCAATCTCTTCTGTTTGTCTTGGAATATCGTCGCTATTGTCTTTGCCTCTTGTCTCGCTCGATTCCCACGGCCTTGCTATCCGAATACGCCGCCGGCTCTGCATATGCACGGCTCACTATCGCAGAGCCAGCGCTGCCGTTTGTATATCCCTACCCCTCACCAAGAATATCCATTTGTCGCTTCATTATTTTCTTCTTCTCTTGTGGGGGGTTCCCGATTGCTCCTCAGGGCTCCCTTACTCTGTTTTGTCTCCGGGGGTTACCTACCTTGTTTCACCCCCCCCTTCTTCCTTCCACCAATGGTCCCAGTTTTGAGTTCGATGACGCTCGTCTCTCTACTCGGTTGCCTGTTAATCTTGGTCGTCTGCCTCCAGCACATCCACCGCATTTCTGTCTCGTCGCTGCTCGTCCCTTTTACCCAGAACAACCAGATTCAGCACATGCATGCCTCTCCTCCTTCCCTCCAGCTCTCCACGCGAAGGAGCGTGGACCCCACTCGTCAGTCTTTGATTTCTATGAACTCTTGCGATTCTGTTTGATAACAGTCGATGCAATACAAAGCCGATTGCATATACTCTACACGATCAATAGCGGTCTCGCTTACAGCAAAGGGAGAGCATCCCAACGCATGTCCAACTGACATCCGCGGGTGGATGACCGACCGGGCACACCAAGATCATGGCCGTGCTGATGTTAGATTGACGAATTGTATCGCACGAGTTCGGTTCGTTTGGAAAGTCCCTCACGGACTGGTGGCGTATCTTGCCTGATGATGAGTGCAATCGGGCAAAGATGTAGCCAATCCAAAGGCCCCCCCGTTTCCGGTTTACTTTTATTTATTGTTTCTGCATCGGAGGATATGAGCAGATGAGTGAGCGGACGGACAGGCTTGCAGGGAAGGCAGAAGCAATCAGAGGCACAGACGCAAGCACGGGCATCGAGAGAAGCGGAGCCCACAAAAGCTGTTCAGAGAAACTCAAAGGAAAGAACAAACGAGTGAGTGGGTGTCGGTGCATTCTAACTAGATAGCCGTCCTTCCTCAGACAAAAGCATCAGCTCTGAATGCACCGCAACCACATATTCGCTCACTCTCCATTTGCTCCTCCAGGAAAACTCATTTCGGCCTCGGCGGCCTCCATTTGATCTCTCCAGAGAGAGCCCCGTTAGTCCGCTTTGGATACGCCGCTCAGGCGGCCGGTTTTTCCAGGAGCGTCTTGTAGTACTCCAGAGCCTTCTTGATGGGCTGGATGACAGGCTCATCCATATTTGGGAGTACCTTGGCAACCAGCTCAAACAACGGAATCATCACGAACCCGATAAATCCAACTGTCGCGGCCGGTCGTGGATGCATGCAGGGAAGGCATTCGTTCCGATGGGTGTCAATTTGGCAACAGGCAGTCAGAGATGATGCGAATGGCATGGATTGTTGTTGTTGTTTGTTGGTGTTGTTTGTTGGTATTCGGTGCAGACAGGATGAAGATATCAGAGCAGTGATCATCAGTGAACGCCACGGAGCCATCGGCCACATATCCCCCCTCTAAATGCTGCATCTGCGGCACCGTGGGCATGTACGGTCGAGTCAGATTTACCCTGTGCGCTGCCTTTGGTGACCTTCTGGCGATCCATAAAGGGGGCTGTCGGAAGGCCCTCGGCCTTCTCCCGATCAGACTGCGTGAAGAACTCCTCCAAGAGATTGTCTACCCAAGGCTCTGAAACGTGCTTTGGCCGGACTTCGTTTGAAATGTCTGCGCACTTGATGATGATTTGGAGCAGCTGGGCAGCGGCGTCTCGGTTTGTCAGTCACGAGGTGATCGCCGACGACATGGCATTTGCTTCAAGTACCAGCCCAGCTACTCCATAGGCGTTTGAGCCATTCCGGTGATCCAGGCTGTTGATCATGCGATCCAACCCTCACCACCAGCACCAGCACCACCATCTGCGCTCACAGTCACAAACGTACCAACTGTCGCTGGCTCTGGTCGTCAAAGTTGAAGCTATCGGCCACGCTCTTGAACTTTCCCAGGATTTCGCCATGCTTGGCCATGTCCGTGGCCAAGATGCAGTTGATGATGTGCTTCCTGGCTTCTTTGTAGTCGCCCTCGGACAGGTTTGCCAATATGTTGGTCTCGGGCGACTTTAGAATCGTAAAGAGGACCGCTAGTCGCCAGTCAGCGCAAAGTGAATATGGATATCAACAACTGCGTGCTTTGTGAGGTACCTTGGCGCTTGAAACGGGGGATATTGGACATGGCCATAGCAGTGACAAAACAGCAGCAAGACAGCCGTAGCCGTGCGAGTAATATTGAAGGACAAGATCGTTACCGGCATGGTGGCTCTCTAGTGGCGAACCGTCGTTGTAAACGATGGCCAATTCGGTAGATGCATTGATCTGGTAGGCATTGTTGTAGCCGGGGTGATCGAGGTCGTGCTGGTGTGGCGGCGAGACCGTGGATGTGAGAATCATCCATTCGTCGCTGGACGAGCGGCCCCTCTATCAATGGGTAGGTTGGGTCCACAGCCAAATCAAGACAACCTACCCCGATGCAAGAAACGAGCAGAACCAGCTTCTCCATGTGGGTCAACTTGGTGTGGACACCTGTAACGTTCAAAAGCCCGTACATCTGCATACGCATACGGGATCGATGCAGAGACCGAATACAGGGGGTCAGTGTTGGACTAGCCGATGACTATTCGCTCGCCTAGCTCTTTGAAAGACTCGAGCGATACTCGAGCGATACTCGAGGACTGCTCGAGGACTGCTCGAAGAGTGCCAGAGCTCGCCGGTATCTGCAGCACACCGCATTCCCGTCCTTTCCCAAACGCAGGATCTTCTTCCGCGAGCGACAACCGGCAGCTGTCCAGGAACGGCTGCCAAATGGTCAACTGCCCACTCTGCGCCATACCATCTGCGACACGCAGAAGCAATGCCTAAAGTTGTGGAACGGATTGACGTTGTAGCTGCGGCGGATGCACTGCAGGAAGCGATAGAGGACCTTCTTGTTGATCTTGAAATGCTCGATCAGCCCAAAGACGGAAAACATCTCGGCCAGCAGGCTGATCATGTCCTCTTCGCTGTATTTCCAGATGTCAAAGGTTGGGTGTTTGAGGCTCTCGGTCACCTCGGGGCTAAATTGAATAAAGTCCGATACCTCGACCTCGGGAAGCGAGATTTCCTTGATTCGCCGGGTCGCTGGGTTTGGTGTCAAACCATGACATACGTCACCGAGATCCTGGGCCGTGAGAGTGTCGCCCGCATTCGCCAGCCAAATCGGCACCAACCGGAGGCATCCGACAGAACCAAGCACGGAGAGACGTTACAGTTAGATCAGAACGAACAACCGTATCGAGTGGCATGCAGCTACAGAATGGTCAGGATCGGAGAACACTGCCCTCGGCATTTGCGAATGCAGCAACCGGGTGGCAGACATACATTAGGGGTCCTGGGCTTGCTGACGGAGGTTTCGGCAACCAGCTTTTGGATGCCCTCCACTTTGGCATTCAGTTCCTTGATGTACGAAGACAAAACGGCCGCATGTTTCTGGTCAATCGCGCCGTCTCGGGAAGCACCGGCCGAAGAGTCTTTGGACACGAATGGACCTGTGAATGGGCAACGGCAGCGCAAGCAGGAGCGTGAGTGCAAATGCAAGTGCTGGGCATAAAGAGGAGTGGCGGAGGTCGCGGCGAGAGAAAGGCTATCGCAAAGGAAGGGTCGCAGAGGAGCAATGCCGGCTTACTCTTTGCCAAGACGAGCTTGTAGCGTGTTGACGGGGTGTTGGCCGCGATTTTCGACCCGATGGGAATCAGTGCCCCGGCCGAGTTGTATAGCTTGATGATGATATCGCTCGATTCAGGGGTATCGGCGGCGGAGCACAGCAGCTCTCGAACCTCGCTCTCGCTCAGGTCTGGAGTGAGCTCGACGGCCTCGTCTCGTGAGCCACCGATGGACAGATAGATGACTGGCATAGCTGCGGCTTGAGGCCCTATGGAGTAGGGAACGCTGGAGGCGAGGTAGAGACTAGTGGACAGTGACCCGCAAATAGCCTGGGGTGCTGGTACAGGCGACAGGACAGAAGAACAGAGAAGAACAGAGCAGAGCGGACCGATGCCGGCAAGAGCGGAGGCAATCGACGGCTCAAAGACTGGCGTGGGGGCTGTCGACGGCGGAGGCAGAAAGACACACAGGCCCGCTTCGAAGAAGGGGATTGCGAAATCGCCAAGCGACGGACGAACAATCGGGCGGCGACGCATTCTTTGGGCATTGCCAATCATCGAGGCCGTCATCCCAATCAGGGCCAACAATACCACTGCCCATTGTCTCTGTGGAGGTGCGGGCGATGTCGCTGCAGACGAGGAGCAGCTCGTCCGAGGCTGGGTTGCGAGGAGGAGCAACAGGGCCAAGGAGATCAAAGACTCCCGCCTGGCATGCCATTGCATTGCTGGCAGCCCATGGCAGCCCATGGCAGCTCATGACAGTTCATGGAAGTTCATGGCTTGGCACACGGCCGCTGGACCAGGGACAACTCCCAGGGTCGTTGGGGTCGCAGATGCGGCGCGATGGAAACAAGAGGATGGCCCCGGAGCCGATCGATCCAAGCCGACTCTGCGCTTGTCCTCTGGCGGTCCCTCTGGCCTGAGCCCGTCCCGATGTCGTCGTCATCAGCAGCGATACAATCATCGGCCTCGGCGTTCGCATTCAGGCTGGCGTGCGAGCATGATGTCCATGCGCTGTTCGAGCTCTTCATCATGGTCAGGATCGCTGGTCTTGTCAGCATGGCCAGCCCATCCACCGCTCTCGTCCATCCGTTGCCGCTCCAGATTGTCGCCGAAGTGCATCTGCTTTCCATCGTTTGCCCGCCTTGCTCATGATATCACCGCGCCGTGCTGATACCCCTGGTGCGATCCCGAACTGCATGCCCCCAACCTGTGATCTGGGAGGAACAGAGGGCCGATGCTTCGTTCCAAGGATTTGGAGCCGTCTGGAACGAGATGGACTTTTCCAAGATCCACCTCGCCTGCACCGACCGAAGCGGCCGTGCTGGCTTCATGGACTCGCTTTATCAATCCATCTTGGGTACGAATTCGCTAGCAACCCCTGCGCTTTCCTTTGATGCCGATGCCCCACGCCGGCTCACTCCTTCCCTTTCCTTGGGTGGCTCTCACAGCCTGGCTGTCGCCATCATCGATGCTGGTGGTCAGGCTCGGGGTCGTCTATTTCATCCATCTGGCTTTCGGAACGCAGCCAGACGATTCTGCCTTGGTCCCGGTTTCGATATCGCCCAGTAAGTGGCCCTTGATGGCCCTCGGGCCCAAGCAAATGCAGATGAGTGCCTGGCTGTCATTCTCCTGGGTCTAATCTGCCCTTGTGGATCCTCAGACAAATTTCAGATCCTCAAGGAACTCTATGATACCTGCGCATCGACGGGCCAGCATCCCGAGGTGCTGACGATCATGGACAGCCTGGTGCAAAATGACTGCTTCCTCTTCACCATCCGTGCAGGCGATGGTGTCGCCATCGACTCGGGGTATGATGCCCGATTCCTGGATATGAGACCTGTTCTGTTGCAGAGGCTGGCTGTCTCGCAGTCTTCGAGAGTCATCCGACAGGATTCCAAGACTGACGCAGTGTGCTCTCGGAATGCTCTTGTCCCGGACTGGTTCGCACAGATACGTCCCGCCTCTTCCCGAGAAGCTCTCGACAATCCGAACCAAGGCTGCCTCGTATTCAATGGTACCATGTTCGGCACCGTCGATGCTGCACCGGCCTGGCTTGCCCGTCGAGGCATTGAAGGCTAAATCCGGCTTCCTGTCGCTCACCCAGGGCGGCTGCGAGAACGAGCAGATGGCGCCGGCGATCAAGATTGCCCAAGACTACGAGGCCCTCAAATCAAGCCTTTTGCGCTCAAGCTCCAGCCAATCCCGGCTGGGGCTTACTGCCGAGTCCGTCTCTGATCAGATCCAGGATATCATCGCAACTGCCGAGCAGCACAAGCTGGAGCGCATCGCCCGGTATCGCAACGGGCTTGCTCGATCTGCGGTACGGAATATGCCCTGACCCATGGCGGAACCATCCCCATGCCGCATGTTCATCCATCCGTCTGTCGGTGCTGGTTGCTGACGGATCTTCATCTGATGGCCCAGGCCCCACCTGTTCAGGATCAAGCCGTCGAGCCCTGGGGATCTGGCCATGAGCTCGAGCACGGGCTGGGCTCAGAGAGCTCGGCCTGGCCGCTCGAGGGCTTCTTTCCGAGCGACAACGACACACCTGGCTCGCGCTTTGAGTTTGCCCTCGACGACCTTGGCGACTCTGGCGAGGGGCCTGCTTGGTTCGAGGATGTGTATGCTTTGGGGGAAATGAGCGGCCCGTTTCCGTGACACTGGGGTCGATCGTTGGATCGTTTGCTGGACTGAGGGCTGGGTTGATCATTGGAATGTGAGTGGGGTCGTTGCTGGATCGTCGCCACAGCACAGCCCCAAACCCAGCAGGAGCGCAGCAGCCAGAAAAAATGTGACTGGCACATGATCGCCAAAGCGCCCAGCCGCCCAAATCCATCTCGCCTTCGCACCTGTCGCTTTCCTGCTTGCATCAGCCCATCGCGCTTCCAAGTCCAGGACAGCCAGATCGGATCCAGATGGGCCGCAAACAGACGACGACGTACGCCATTGGATGGGAGGCGAAGAAGAACTATCCGGCAATCACCCGGGAGCTGCTTCGAGAGCTTGAGTGTGCCGAACAGCAGCACAACTTCCAGCGGGCCGCCGTCGCCGCCGAGAAGCTTGTGGACATCATGGTCGAGACCCAAGACGTGGGCAAGACCGAGATGTACGCCAAGAAGCTCCTGATGTACTGGGGAAAAGTCAAGGGAAAGTTTGGTCTTCAGGGGCAATCCAAGTGAGTGACGGAGGGGCTCGCCGGTGCGCATCGATACCGGCTTCTCGCTCCTCATGACCCTGCCTCGCCGCCATCGCCGATGGGATCCATCCCAGGAGAGAATCGGATCGAGATCACAGAACTTGGACTGGATTCACAGTGGCTTCAGCGGCGTGCTAGCGTCGTCTGATGGACAGCAGAATCAGCAAAGCACCTGGGCTCAAGGATTGCTCATCCCAGCGGCCTGAATCTCTGACACTTCGACTTTCTGTGCACCCAGGGCGTTTTACCATCTCGCCGAGGCATATCGGCAGTAAGCTATTTGAGACTGTTGCTGCTTCTGCTACTGCTGCTGCTGCTGCTGCTGCTGCTGCTGCTGCTGCTGCTGCTGCTGCTGCTGCCACATCAATGGGCGGAGGAGACGCAGCCCGGATCATCCGAAACGACAGATCGTTCCGAGAACACCAGACAAACCATCGCACTTGCATCAACACAGGATCGGCAACTATGCAGCGTCGCTTGCCATGGCCCGGGATTATCGTGTCTGTGCTCGGAAGCTGCAATCCCAGGTAGGTACCAGGACCATGCCCACGCCATCGCCATCGCCAAGCCGTGTATATTTGTCTGGGTCCGCCGCTGAAGCCATCGTTCCCCTGCTCCGCGAAGGAGGATGAGTTACAGGCTGACTTTGAAACCGGGCTGACCTATCTGGCAATGAGGTAACCGGGCCCTCGATCTCTGCTGCACCGAAACAACCAGAGTGCATCATGGCGTATGTGGACTCGTTAGCAGGCCAAGGGACGCACAGAGCCGCTTTGTGCATCATGCGGATCTGGCTGCTCCACCGGGATTGCGACGTCCATCCCGTCACCGTCGATCGACCTGAGCATTCTCGAAGCTTGTGTCCAAGACAAGCCACCGACCCTGGCCTGGGATTTGATTGGCCACTCAGCTGTTGCGGCATGGCCGCAGACAGAGCTCGATTATCCGACTGATGCGCTTTCATTCTGCTCTGATTATCGATATGCTCGTGTGGGCATCCATTCTTGAATCTGCAGCGAAAACCACACCGACGACGATCCAGAGCTTGTCCAGCAGGAGATTAAAAAGGCTCACGACAAGTTTGCGCAAGTGTACCAGGCTATCAAGGACAGCGCGCAAACCTCACGTAAGATCAGCGCAGTGCTGGAGCTGTGCCTCTCGGCGTTCTCACCCGTGGCTTTCGATCATTCAGGAAATCAAGAGGAGCGAGAGAGACACCTCTCATTCAAGATCGACACTCTTTTGAATCTGGGGATTACCTTTCGGTATCAGGAGCGGTTTGACAAGGCCATCCACTGTCTGAACGCCGCGCTTAAGAGTGCCATGACGTATGGTGTGTATCGGAACATGGGTCCCTTGGGTACCAAGGTGTAGCAGAGTTGCGCTAGACAGTAGATTGATCCGCGCACTGTCGGCCGATCTACGAGGCCTTTGTTGACATTCGCATATCCTCCGCTATCACCATAGACGACGGTGTTCCCCAGAGACGACTTGCATACTGCAACTTGGCGCTGACATACGAAGAAAAGGGAGACTTCAAGACTGCCTTGGACGTAAGCATTCGTGCGGAGAGGAAACGAGAGGGCAGCAACGACCCGAAACTGCTCGCAATGCGCTTTGTATGCACCGCCAGATCCTCACAGCGGCAAAGAGTCGCTGTCTTGCTCACATTCACGCTTGCCGCCCAGTTTACGAACAAGGAAATGCATATGATCAAGCAGATGGGCGATGACTCGGAGCTGCTTCGTGTTCTCTGGGACTTGGGTGCGTCTATCTCCATCATGGCTGCGCGGGCTCAGCATCACTGCCCGCGATAGCATCGCTTGTCATTTGCGCAGCGATGCGTGTCCGTAATGTGCGCCTCCTCACTCATTCTTGGCGATTTGTCCTGCAGCGCTTCGATACAGAAAGATCAAAAATTATGAGGCAGCCCTCGAGCAGTATCAGCGATATATCGGTACGACAGCACACACGCATATGCTGGCTCCGCGCAGTCCTTTCGTTCTACAAAGGCACCCACATCCACGGTCATTAACGGCTTCGTGGGTTTATTCGTAGACGTTGCGAAACGAAATGTCGTTATTGAAGACAATCGAGAGGCGGTCGAGGTAGCGTTGAGGCAACCCACTCCCGACCTCTTGAGAAACACTCATTGCGAGCGACATCGAGAGACGAGCTGATCATCTACCTCAACCCCACCAGGAAGAGATACAGAAGACCAAGGCTGAAATCAGCTTGACAAAGGATATCCAAAAGTACACCACAGACTTACAGAGAGCATCGCAGCAGCGCAACACCAAGCTTGTGTTTGCTCTGCGCGGATCTCGTGGCGAAGCCCATTTGTAAGCCTGCCCGTTCGCCGACTATTTGTGCGGGACGTTGTTTCTCGGACTGGGTGCCTAATTTGCATTGCTGCTGATCAACAGGAGGCTGGAAAACTACGCCGAGGCCGCCGATGACTTTGCCAAGCAAATTCAAATCTCCCGTACCACGGTCTTCTCGACCCCTGACGTGATCAAGCTTCACATCAATATGGGTAATGGCCTTGGCGCTGCTGGGTGCAGCTGCTGGTTCGTTGCCAACACATGGGGCTCCGTCTCTCGTCCTCGGCTGCTTAGTGTGTGCGGCATTTCAAGCCAGATCTATCCTGCGATCTAACGATCGCCTATATGTGGTGTTTGTTGTCCAGGCCAGGCAAGGCTTGGGCTGAAGCAGTACGCCGAAGCCAAGACCTCGTTCCGGAATGCGCTCAACATGATTTCGAGCTCCGATCTTGCCGCAAGAGTCAACTGCCTCGAGTGTCTTGGCGATGCGATGGTGCAAGACGGAGACGTATGTTGATTTTACTCGCATGGATTGACCGCGCTTTGACTGCCGCAGGTGAGCTCACCGATCGCGCTTTCCTGCGCTTTGGCTTCCAGGCATGCAAGGACATTGTCGCGACCTTTGAAGAGATGCTGTCGGCGGCAAAGCTGCTTGGAAGTGTGAAACAGCAGCTGGAGGCACTTTCACAGCTAGAGAGCATATACGAGCAGTATAACTACCAAGACCGTGCCCGGGAGATACGCATGAAGATAAAGAAGCTTGAGAGACAGTCGGGGCATTTTCTGACCAAGGACTTGGACAGCGTATGTTTGTGCCGATAGCATGGCAGGGCTGGGACTTTGGCGACTCGGTGTGCGCCTCCTGATGCACTCTTGTCCTGCGACGCGGGCACTTTTGTCGATTACTGAGGGTACCTTCTTCTCTCGGGGTGCCACCGGATGCCTCGGGGTCACTAGGAAGAAGAGGAGGATGAGGTGCTGGATGAGTTCTCCGATAGCAACGCCGAGGACGAAGAGATTGACGTTGATCTCGCGGACACACCGGCGGCAGCAACGCGGAGCCGTCGAGTCCAGCTCAAGGTAGATGCGGTTCCTGCTCTGCATCGCAGCGTGGCCAAGGTGCTACCTGGTGTCTTTCGAGCAGCGCCCGTGATTCCGCGCGGCAGACATGCTGGTCGCCACGAAACGCTGATCAGCACCCCGTATCCAGATTGCAGTGCCCAACCCAAGAAAGGACAAAATATCACCTGCTACCCCGACAGCGGAAACGCTCCGGGCCCCTGAGGTAGAGTCTCGTCTTGTGACAGGATCAACCTTTTATCATACTGACGCCGTGCATATGTAGCTCAGTCCCACTCCCGCCAAGAAGGTTGTGTATTCGGTAGTACGACTGGTGAGTACGACCGGTGAGTCCAGCGCATGACTACACAATCCCGTTATCACGAAACAATCATGGCATCTACCAGGCGGTACAGGAGCGGGCTCGCACCGGGACGGCTGCATTCTATCGAGCTTGTTTGGCTCATGAGCGCAATTTGGTGTTTAGAAATCCGGATCAGACAAATCTAGCGACCGGAAATCCGAAGACCGAGCGGGTGCCCAGACGCGGAACTTGCGACGTGGGGAGCTCGTTCCTCGGCCACAGTATGTTGCTTCTGACGTCGAGGAGGACGAGGCGACCGATGACGACGGGTACGACTATGAGCTGTCGCCCCGCTCGGGACGAGAGGAAGCGCTCGGGAAACTCAAGCAGCGACGGAAGCAGAAACGGAGGTTTGTCGTCCGGGCGCTCACAGGGCTCAGGATGCTGTTGGCCACCGCTGTTGCTGGGACCCAGTAGCAACAACACCTTTCAGCCCGCACATTGCGTTTGCATCGAATGTAAGCTAACATGTGCGCCATTCGGCCATGCTGCGCCGGATCATGTCTGTGCATGCCTCCCCCGCGCCCAGGTCGAATCTCATTCTTTCCTCGCCTCTGGAAGGGCCCCAGTAAGTCTTTGATCACGATCGCTCCGCGTGCATCGTTTGTTGTATCGAGAGATGCGTCCGGCATGCGAGCTCCCTCTGTTGTGTCCTGCGCGGCTGTTCCTCAGCAGCAGCCTCTTGTGAAATGAACACACTATCGAGTCCGGATCGTACTGCTAACGCAACGGGCCTCAGATCCCTTTCTCCAAAGCGCAAAATCGATGCCGTTTCAAATCGTAAGTTTGGCCGAACACACCGTTGCGTATCTACTCGGGCTGGCTGTCGCCAGCGCTCCGCATCCGTTTTCATCACCAACTCGATTTCTGGCCCAGCAGCGACCGATGTCCTTGACCTGGACGACGAAGAGCCAAGTTGGCAGCGGCAGACAATCCGAATCGACTCGTCTCCGATTCGCACCGAGCCAGAATCCGCCGCGGCAAAAACCACCATTGCTCCAACTCCATCCAGAAAGCCAAAGTTCATACGCTTGGACTCGTCGAGCCTAAACGACCTACCGTCGTCATCCAGCACCGCAATTTATGATTCCGGGGCCGCGACTTGCGATGTCGATATCGATGTCGATGTCGATGCTCATTTGGACCCGTTTGACAGCAATTCAGCCTTTGACGCCTTTGATACCCATGAAGAGCCCACGCTTCCTATAATGAGCCCTGTGCAAGACAACCCGCTTGACAGCAAGTCTGAAAAGGTCTCGCCAGCTTCGACTGATAGCCGTCGCGATAGCCGAGCGGTTCCTTCAAGCGCAGCGACCGACGTCTCGCCGCTCGCCTCACTTCCACCGAGCCGCTCGACAACCCCGCCGATCCCGTCATGCTCAAGCAAGCCAATGGAGATCCAAGGCTTGCTTCCGTTGGTCATGCCACAGTTCGCTGCTTATGGTCATACTTCCAGCAACCCAGAAAAGGGAAGCGAAACGCCCGAGATTCTTCGGACACCGACCCGGAGACGACCCAAGCCGGTGGGTATCGACTGATTGTCGTTTTTGCAGCATTCCGCCGCTCGACGTCGCGGCGGCTGCATAAATGAATTCTGGCTCACACCCCCGCGGTATTGGATTTTGCTCTACTTAGTCGTCGCCGGTCTTCAAAGTCCGTGTGGAGGTGGAGGGCGAGGTCCTGGGGATCCCCTGCCATTTTGGCCCGATGGGCACACCCAAAACCATTCGCTGGCTCACCGACGAAGCGCAGCGGCGATACAAGGACATCAACGGCAAGCAGGCAAGTATGCTGTCTGGTTGACGGCGATACCTGAACCTTTGCGCCGATTGTGGTTTGGACATGTGCGCGCTGCTCACCCTTCGCCGACTCTATCCAGGTGACGATCGCAAAGCTGGTCTTCCACGATCCAGAGACCAACGAGGACGAGACTCTCTTCAAGAACGATGCTGTGAGCGATGTCCTGAAGCCCAACCAAAAGGTCATAGCCATCACGAACAGGCTGAATTAGGGCGTTCGGAAAACAACACATTGGCCGTCCACAACGACACGAGCGATCGCCGCTCTCTCTCTGGGGCTGCATACACATATCCATTACCAAATCCACCACAATCTGTGCCATAACCGCTGGAAACAACCGACCGTCCCCATGACGGTCTGATGCTGCGACGTGATGTTCCTGTAAATATTATGTCAGCTCCATCGCTACTGTGTAGGTGTCGATAGCGGGATGGCATGGGAATGCTGTATTGAGAGACGACCGGATTTGTCTTTGCCGAGGGTCGCTTTGATCGCATAGCGGAGCCCTGCTTGCGCACGGACGTTGCAGAGCTCAGGCCTTGGTGCGCTCCTTGGCCTGTTCCTGTGCGGCAAGCTGGATCTTGTACTGCATAACATCCGTAAGAGCTGGTGCCGCGATTGTCGCCATAAACATCGTTCGTGTTGTCCCAAGCAAAAGTTGGAGGATGAGTCAGCCATGTGTGGGTGGCAGCGTCAGTCTGGCTCGGTGAATTCTGCTCGCACCCACCCACCTTTGTATTGGTTTTGTCTCTGGGAGATGGTGTCCTGCAATTTCTCGAGGTTTGTGCGAAGGTAATCGATCTTGGTCTTGTAGAAGGTCTTGGCATCGGCGATGGACTGAGGACGGTATCGTCGGATAGAGGTGAGCAGCTGCAGCCTGCCAGATCGACATTGCATAGTGGAATTGCGGGGATGTGCATTGCGCTCTGGGTGCTCCCGGATAGCTCTAGATGGGCGTTCGGAGCCGCTCGGAGGATGCGCTTACCTTCTCGACGTAGTAACCCGTGCCCAAGTCTACGATAACCTTTTCAACGTCAGTGAGCTGCCCAGGCAGATAGAGGTGAAATCGCGCAGTCCGGGCAGGGAGGGAGAGATCGGTTGCGGTGAGAGTCAATCGGGGCCGATGCACCGAGTTAAGGATCCAACAGCGACAGACAACGGAGGGAGGGCATCTCGTGAAAACAAGACTATATGGGCGACACTCCAAAGCATCCAGAACATCCAGAGCATCCAGAACGGGACACGGTGCTCAAGGCCGGCATGAAAGAGGATATGGAGCTGGTCAGGGGGACGAGGATTTCGTTTCCTGGCAATCCGATTCGAGATCGCGGATGAGATGGAACGAGAAAGTGACGCAGATGGTGAGCATTGGGTCAAGTCGGGCACTTGCAAAAGATCGACACCGCATCGGGCGCCCGTGTGCAGATCAGCCACGGAGGTCGAATTGGGGCACATCGAGCGCAGATGAGCTTCCTCCCGATCCATTCGCTTCGCTGACATCGGATCCAGTCCAGGAGAGGAGCTGCCCACGATCGAGTCGGTATCCATTTGGCTCCATAGCGGGCACCAACGCCATCGCCGTTCCGCTTGGTAGACCTACCAGCCGTCTGAGGCGTCAGGGAGTTCAGACAATCGATGCTGTCGACAAACTTTGAGTTGGCATGCTTGAGTTGCGAAAACGATGAAGTCAAGTGTTGAATCTCCTGTGTCCGCCCCAAAAGCAAAGAGCATGAAACGGTCAGGGAGGGAGGCAGTCGGCTTGCTTTCACAGTAACGGAACTCGAAAGGTAATGCAGTATCGAGTACGAGCCTCAAGGGCAAAGCCAGTAGGGTGATATCGGCGGCTGGCTCTGTGAGATCATCTCGATCTAACTGGATGAGAGACCGGGGTTGCTTGGATGGGCTGATCGCGAGCGACCAGGCACAGAGAGAGGGCATACCTCTTCCATCTGCTGCTTGACGGCCTGAAGCTGAGGCAGCGGGAGTTCGCCAATGTCAATGGGTGCGGCTTGCTGGGTCATGTTGCGAGTCTGGGTGCTGCTGGCGGGCTGATGGGCGGTGATCGAAGACAACCACGAATCGATTGTGGGCATGGGTGCGGGACAACTGGCCATCTTCTCGGCGAGAAGGCGGCGAGACGCGGCAACGCCTTCGCCATCCCAAAACGCCGATTTCGAGGCAGTTCCCAACCCACCCGGATCCAAGGCAGAGGCTGCTGCTCGCATGCTGTTGATCGAGACAGCAAGCACGGCCAATATATCGAGAGAGCTATGCCCGATGATCCAGGGACAGCAGCAGATCCAGGCCTGGCATCGAGTAACAGCGCCAGCCAACAAGCATCCTCTCCCTCCCCCCAAGTGCTCAAAGTACCCAGTGAGCAGGACCATGAGTCAGCCGAGCAATCTGCATGTGGTGTCGGAGCAGCGAACTTGACGATCGTTTGTATGTACATGTTACTTTCGCAGCCAGACGACGTTGTTTCGGCTGTCGACAGTCAGGACACCAAGAGCTCGCAGACAGCGCAGAAGATTCTCTCCAAACTTGCCAGGCTTGAGGCCAACAATGGCTGAGGCCAGGGCACTCTCGCTGCAATGAAACCAATCGTTAGTCGCCGCCAGCAGATATCGGATAAGGGTGCGATGCATTCTAATATGTCGCACCTCCGCGGGTTCTTGCGGACAAAGTATTCCCACAAGAGCCGGTATTCGGTGTTGACTTGATCCAGCGTCAGGCGGCCGCGGGCTTGCGGAGACAGGCTCTCCAGCTCGGCTTGAGAAAAGGGGAGAAACGCCTTGCCGGTCTTGGGGGAGATTGGGTGGTTGGGTGTCATTATCGGGCAATTGGGTTGCCGGGTTCTCGACAGTGCTGGGAGCGCTTGCCAGCCGCAGATGCGCTCTAATACAGACCTTTCTGCTGAGTGTGCGTTCTTCCATTTCCTCTGGAGAGGCGTTGTAGGAATGTGCCGGATCACAGATCCGAGTCGAATACCGGGCCATGGAGATGGGTTGAGCGCCGTGGTATATTGACGTCGACATCATTGGTCCATGTGCGCACTCACCTTCAAATCGGTCGGCAAGATTGTCCTCCACGATAGTGGACGTTTCTCCATCGTCGTCGTTGCTGGTGGTGTGATGGCCTACCGGGCCTGCAGATTCCAAAGCGATACGCTGTATAGGAGCGAAGGGAGAGGTCAGCTCTAGACTGGCAGCTCAAGTGCCGACGACATTGGGGCTCGGAGCTCGTCATATATACGGCGCGGTTGTTGATATTGCGAGCCCATTCGGACAGACTCTGGAGCTGCATCCGCACTGCATACCGGCTGTCCTGTCTGTGAGCAGATCTTGTCGAGGAGGGCTTTGTTACGAGCCGACTTTTCGCCAAGGCTTTTCTCAATGTTCTGCGGGTACCCCGATCGGGTTCATGTTGCTACGGTGTCAGAGGCCAGTCGAGAAGAAATCGTAGCAGCCCAAGCAGGGCTGGGCCTCAGGCTTCGCTGGAGCTATTACCTGCTTCAGCTCGGCAATGTTGGCATGTTCTGCTTTCAGAGCCTCGACCTGTGCCTGGAACCTTCGATCGTGCGAGAAACGGCCGGTGAATATGGCATGATCCAAGGTCGACATGATGGGCTCCTTGAGCAGATGTGGCCGGGACAGATATGTTGGATCAGACAGGCCGCCCCGCTGGCGAATCCTACCTCTCGAGGGTTTGCAGAATCACCACAGGGTTGAGCGGCCGACCGGTGAACTCGGAGCTGAGCTTTGAATGGATGTAGTCCAGATCTCTCGATGTCTTTTCAAGCTCAGAAATGAACTGATTTGCGGCTTGCTCCATGATGATGGCGAAGGTAAGGCTGGCGATGATGATGCACCTCGGCGGCCGGAGTTGGTCTGGTTGTTATGCGATGCGGGGCAGAGGAGAAGGCGGCGCCCTCGCCGCTCTCAAATGGCGATCAAGCCGAACAAGAAGACCACCGGGAGCACCTGATCTCGCGCGCTGTCTCGTTTCCGTTGCAGTCGATCCGATGATACACTGTGTTCAGGGGGAAATGGGACATCAGTATTTGGTCATTGACTTGATATTTGTTGCCTCAAAACATCGAGCTGGCCATGGCCATTCGCCAGTGTGTCCAAAAGCACCATTCACCGCTGGCACCCCGAGACCAGTGTGCATGTCGATTGTGGAGACCGGAGAGCGACCAGTGTCTTCACTCGGAGGTGGTCGATTAACAGTCAATCCAATAAAAAACGGGACACCCGTGATTTTGACGATTGATCAAATATTTTGTTACGCGCGCTGGCCATGACCATTCTGTGATTTGAATCAAGGACATCATTGTGGGAATCGCTGCCTGCCCAAAAATGCGCTGGATGAGTGCCACACCAAGTCCCAAGATCCCCGGGTTGGCTCCCTTCCTGCAATACATTCGCCATGTGTTCACTGGAGACATGCTGGAGAAACAGCTGTACTTCAACCTGACCCGGCGACGGCGATTCAAGCGACTCGATCTCCACAGCAAGCGACAGCGCACTGTCCACGAGATGTGCAAGCAAGTCATCGACCAGGCACCAAAGGAGACCGAAGTGGTGATTGCCTTTGGGAATGCATCCTGGAAGCAAGGGAAGGGATATGCATCCAGCCCACGGAGACTCAGGTTCGCCAAGTACTTTGAGCAATTCCACCATCACCAGAGACGACCACCAGACCGATCCGTCTCCAAGATCCATGTGTGCTCGGTGAACGAGTTCAACACATCCCAGGTGTGCTCACATTGTCGGGAAGCCAAGCGACTCGAGTCACCCGAGTATCTTGATATCGAGAAACCCCACTTTGTCCGGAGCTGTGCAAGCTGCCATACGCTGTGGGATCGAGACATCAATGCAGCCAGGAACATGATCTCGGTATGCCAGTCGATCATCGTCACAGGAGATCGACCGGGTGTATTCAAGACTGTGCTCCCGAAACCAACCAAAACCACTCGATTGCCAACGAAGACAGGAGTGCAATCGCATGGCTTGCTCACTGGGCCTACAAGTCAGTCAGCGGGCTTCAGACATCTGAAGCCAGAAAGTGACTGTCCCGTTTTCTTTCTGGACCGACTGTATTTCTTACGGCTCAGCTTGGCGCATGCCATCGCATACTACGCTGGCAAATGAGATCGTGCAAAGTGTAACGCGATCTGAATTGTATTCTGAGATAACGACCTGGGACATATCACCTCGGGAATCACCTCGGGAATCAATTCGGGAATCCGTTGCGTGCGGCTTGCTGGCGCCATGCTTCCGCCTGATCGTGGTCCTTGGGAACACCCACACCAAACCGATAGCAGTCGCCCAGACTGCTCTGCCCCCAGGCGCAGCCGCGATCGGCTGCTGTTCGAAACCAGTGCAGCGCACATCCGTCGTCTCTGGCCACGCCATAGCCGTTCCAATAGCAGTGCCCGATTTGCACCTGCGCGAGAGGGTAGCCTTCGTTTGCGAGTTCTTCAAAGATCCGGCTGGAGAGCCGTCGGTCCCTCGGAGTGCCGATTCCTTCGTGGTGGCACTGGCCCAGCATAAACTTGCAGAAAGGGTCCGTCGGCGCGCTCAGAGTGCACCAGCGGACGAGCTTTTGGTGGTGGGGCGAATCAATCAAGGGTCGCTCAGGGGTGTTCTTCCATCTTGTCCAGTTCACGAACGTTCCATATCCAGCAGCATAGCACCATCTGCGGAGTACAGGAATGAGATCGCAGATGGCCCGCTCGATATCGGTTGGTCCTGTGAATATGCCCATGAGGCCCTTGGATGGCTGGACATCGACCCAGACACGAAGTGCCTTGCGTTCGTCTTTGGCCGTGCCAAGGCCCATGAGGTGCATCCAGCCTAATGCAAAGGTGGCCTCGACGTTCTTTGCGCTAGCTGTCTGGAACGATTCCAAGGCTCCGCGCCAGACTGGATCTGTTCGATGCAGCATGGCCAGCAGAATCTCGGCAGCATCGAGAAATTTGCTATGGTCGCCACTCTGGGCCTTCACTCTGAGTGCATCTAGCTCTTCGTCTCCCAGGAGCATGGCGAGATTGTCCTGGAGAGCTGCTTCTGCTCTTGGTGGCCCAGGACCGAACTGAGGTGCGGCGGGCTGAGTATAACGCACCGGGGGGTTCGCTTGCACGGGTGGATGCTGGTCGTACTGATAGGCAGGATACGCTGGTGGCGGTTCATTGCCTTCAGGAGCAACGACATCTGCGAGTCTGGCCCCCGGCTCAAAGAATGCGACACCTTGTGGAGGAGCACGGAGTTGGTACGGTTCCAGAGTGGCCAGGATGCTGGTGAACGTCGGTCGCTGGGTTGGATCCTGGTGCCAGCATTTCTCAATCAGTGCCCAAATAGCCTCAGGGATCCGACCAAGCCGGGGAGGTCGACGGCCATTGCAAATCTGTCGTTCGATCGTTCTCAGGTTGAGCGGGCGACCGTCTACGTCAACCCAGATATCCTTGCCATCATTGAGGACTTCGTACAGGCTGATGCCAAAGGCAAAGACATCGGTCTTGAAGGAAGCACCCCTGGGCTGTTCCAGGTCGAGCATCTCCGGCGCCATGTAGATGAGTGTTCCGCCGGCATGTCGGTCGATCGTGATGGAGGTGGCGGTCGCTTGCTTGGTGCGGGCCATGCCAAAGTCCGAAATGACTGCCTGGAACGAGTCGTCCAAGAGAATGTTTTGGGGCTTGAGGTCACCGTGGATGGTGTTTTTTCCATGGAGGTACGCCATTCCGGAGGCAACCTGGTACATGAGCTTGAGCTTGGTTTCCAGGGGGCGGATGGCGGCTTCGTCAGGAGACATAGCTTTGCAGTGTGCCGTTCGCCATGAAAGCCGACACCATGAAGGGCTTTTCGGCCGTGTCACATGCACCCAGCAGCGAGAGGATGTTCGGGTGATTGAAGCGGTACCAGATGCCGACTTCCTGGCTGAACCTGTCGAGGTCGCTTTGGTTGTAGCCACCAAGGAGCCGCTTGACCGCAACGTTTGTGCCATAGTACGAAGCGGTGTAGACCTCGCCGAAGGTGCCGCGGGCGATGGGACGAGGCGACCAGTTGGTTACTTGCTCTGCAGATACATACCACTCGCGGTCTGTCATCGAAGCGGCTTATGCTGGAGTCGGCGAGTGGGATGGCTTGCGAAGTATCGAGGAGGAAGAGGAGGAAGGGGGTGGATGCAGACCAAGCCAAGGTGGGTATCCACCGCCTGCTGGCTCTGGTGCGACGTGGCGCAGCGCATGCTGTCCTGGACAGATCCTGCGCGACTCTCGCTGGCTGGGCCCACAGACCAGCAGCCGTCTCCTCTGCCAGCAGACCCAACCCATGTCCTCCTCTCCAGCGACCCCAGCCAGCGCCGCACGCACAGACGGCTCTGGTCTGGTCACCGTGCTCTTCTTTGCAGCCGCCAAGGACGTGGCCGGGGCAGCCTCGGTCGAGATCGCGATTGCCGATGTCGGTGTCGATGCCGGTGCCGGTGCGCTCCAGCACGGACCCAGGCAGATTCCGCCAAGCATCGCTCCGGCTGTGAGTCTGGCAGATCTCGTCGAGCATCTCCTGGCACGTTTTCCGGACCTCAAGCCGCTTCTTGCATCGATGATGGTCGCCGTGAATCTGGACTATGCTCCGCTCGAGTCGTGGCTGCCTGCAAGGCTAGCGGTTGCTGGCGGCCAACCCCGCGAGCCGCTCTGGGTTCGGCCTGGCGACGAAGTGGCCCTCATTCCCCCCGTGAGCGGCGGTTAGGCTTTTATGACGGTCTTTCCTTCGGCGAGAGTATCGAGCTCCTCGCCATCGAGCCAACTCTGAGCCCACTCGATCGACACGATCCGAAAGCTCGAGCCAATCGTTGCCCGCCGGCTCAACCCAACGCAACGGCAAGGCCATGTTCAGGGCTCACAGAACGAAGTGGCAGACGCCCTGGTTTCGTTTTTGGATAGGAATACACTCACTCGAGATTAACAACCAGTACCCACACCGCGAAAGCAGGGCAGGGGATATACCCTAGTCGTTATTTTGAGCAGTATCTCCACAGCCAGAGGAAAGCGTGCGTTGGTGTAGATGTGGTTGACGCAGATGTGGTTGGTGCAGTTGTAGTTGGTGCGGTTGTAGTTGGTGCAGTTGTAGTTGGTGTACCGCAATCCAACATCGCAAGCCAGGAACATGCTCGTGATGTCAAAGCCGATCGTTGCTCAACGAGACCCCCTCCATCGATAATCATTGATCACATATCCCAGCTCCCAACCATGATATCTGGGTGTTTCGTCTACTTTTGGAGAGAGTGGGTAGGTGGGGCTTGCTGATCAAGGGTATCGCCGAGCTGGACAGACGGTCGTTTGGGTGCAAATTGTTGCACAGAGCTGTATTCACTCAAGTAAACGCTTCAAACAGGATATTTGAAATGCTCTCGCTGCCCGCGTGGTTTGTTTCTGGCGAACGAGCGAGTCGTATTGTAGGGTTGCGTGGGGATGCATCCACTAAGGCGACTATGTTGCCCGGCCTGAGACAACCGACAAGCTCAGGGCTTGATGACAACACGGAGGTAGGGAACCTCGACCTGTTGGCGGAAGTGCTCGTTAGCTCAAGGGGTTCTGCGCTTTGCTGTGGCTGCCATCGGCCAGCATTCGGATTGCGTGGCGGTCAAAGGACGGGGGAGGGTGCAGCCGAGCCGAGCCGCGGTCAAATATACTCACATCTTCTCCCTCAGTGTCGTTGACACAGACTTCGAGGACAACGGCGCGCACATGCGAGGGAATGGGCTTGCGAGAAACCAACTCGATAAGCTTGGAGATGCTGTTGGCATCGACGGCGGGTGTAAGTCAGCCATGAACAAGCCTGGTGCAGCCGTGCAAAGATCGGTGTCGATCTGGCCGCCCTGGTCGCGCGCAGAGATACATACGGCAAGTCCTTTCGCTCCTCGAGCTTCTTCTTGGGCATGAAGGAAGTGAAGAGCATGCTGACGCCGCTCGAGAGCATGGTGATCTCCAGCTTGTGCTCTTTCTGGAACAGCTCGATCAGCTGGTTGAGGGTGATGTCTCCGACGATATCGAAGCGGTCCCACAGCGTAAAGAAGTTGTCGTAGTACTGTACGCCAGGAAAACACGTCAGTATGATATTAGAACCATGCTGCTCACGACAATCGCTTCTGCAGCCAGGATATGGCGCGTTGGTACTGTGGCCGGGATGACGCGGGAGACTGTTCCTGGATTCTCACCTTGAATTTGGGGGCGGCAATGGGCTCAGAGAAGCCAAAGAAGGGCAGGGCCAGGTTGACAAAGCCGTTCTTGTAGTCCTCGATCTTGGTGTTACCGGCAATGATCTGGGGGTCGAGTGCAGGGTGTAATAGCCGGTCAGGATGGCAAATACGCAATAGCGAAAGAGGGATCTTGGCCTGCGAGGGTCCGTCGAAGGGTCGGACGCTTACCTTGTACAGCTCCAAGCAAACGAGACCCGTCACGAGGGCCGTAGTGGTTGCAATGGCAGGAATGATCTTGCCGGCAATGAACTTGGTCTTGTGGCGGTCGGCGACGGCGATTCCATAGTTGGAGGCACGCAGGTTGGAGGTGGCCGTGATGAAGTCGATGTGGAAGTTTGTGTCGTCGTCCTGTTCCATAGATATGCAAAAGCCGGGGCGGGTCAGTGGAGCGATGGCGGTCCCTGGAGCCAACCCCACCATGTGTCGAGTCCATCGCCCAACGCGGCTTGCACAGACAGCATTACCTTCTCGAACTCGGCCGGGGTGAGGCGAAGGCCGGCAAGGCTTGAAGGGGGAGGAAGGGCCTTCACAACGGCCTCCAAGTCGCCGGTATCTGTGGAGTCGATGGCACGACATTGGTCACTGCTGCAGACAGGCCTGTGGCACGCACATGAATATCCGCATCCGCATCTGCGCCGACTCATCTCATACCGGTCTGCTGGGAGACATTCTCATTTTCCTGGACCTGGATCTTGACTCCCTGCTTGGGCGAAAACTCGGGCACAATGATGTTTTCGAGGACACGCTTGAAGTAGGCCACATCGGTGCTGCCTGTAAGGCCGGATGTTCCAAGGATGAGCTGAGCGCGCCGTCCAAAAAGCTGCAGGTTGGCCACCAAAATCCTTGCAAAACTTACCTTTCATTCCGTAGTTGAAGGCATGAAGGTTGGCGGCAGTGATGATAAAGTCCATGTGCAGGGACTTGGTGGTAATATGCGTGTCAGCTTCTCCGATCGTGCCGACCGACCAAGACAGAGCAAAGGAACGGTGCAGCGAGGGAGAACACTCACGTTGTTGGCATCAAAGACAATGGCATCGGGGGCGCGCTTGGGGCCGGACCAGAAGGGCGTGCCAGAGGAGGTGATCTGCAACCGAAAGTGGGGAGAGTGAGCTATGGCTGCGATAGGGCCATGGATACTCCCTATGCACGCCGGCAAGCCGCTCCTTCACTTACGGCGTCCTTGGGGAAGTTGTAGAGAAGCTGGAGAATGTTGTTGTGGAAGTACTCCTCGAACTTGAGGCGAGCCCAAGCAATGCACTCATCAAAGGTCAGAGGCTTGGCCGTCACCAGGAAGCTCAGGATGTTCTCAAAGGTTTCTTTCTGTGTTGTCCACAAACGTGCATTCGGTCAGCTTGCAGGCCTCGACGACGGGCACGAGATCGCTCGGTCATGGTACTACCCGCAAAAAACATCGATGCTGCTGCCCCTCCTCCCACGAGGATATCGAGGGCGACTTGTTGTTCGATGGACCACGAACAGCACACGAACAGCACACGAACAGCACACGGACAGCACACGGACAGCACACGGACAGCACACGGACAGCACACGGACAGCACACGGACCACCCACCTGGCTTCCACTCTGCTTCATGGTTTGCTCAATAAAGTCAGGCGTGCTGAGATACAAGTTGACGCTCTCGGCGGGGCTGCGGAAGAGGCCTTCAAACTGGTCGCGGGCCCACTGGATTGTATGCTCGATGGCGTTGGGGAAGTTCTTGAGCGTGCAGATGGGGATGGACTTTTCCGGAGGGTCCTGGGAGGACGAGTACGACTCGGTGACGTGGGGCAGAACGACCTAGATCAAGAAAGGACACGGCACAATCAACTGGGGGCACTCGAGTTCGGTCCGGCGAACAGCGCCGTCGTCGGCGAGCGGATCTGAGGCGCAAAATTGCGTCCCCCCCCCTCCCGAGATTGCCCAGGTCTCGAGCATACTCGGGCAGTCCCGGTGTCCAAGTGGCTCAGTACACAGCCACCGTGCCCCAGCGCGCTGGGCTTACCTGAGTGTTGCCCTTGGTGCCAAGGGTGCCGGACTCGAGAAGCGGCTTGCGGTAGTAGACGCATCGTCGGTCAACGTATCGACGGGCATCGACATTGTCCAAGGCGTTGGTGACGCCGGTAAGCGACTCCCAAAAGTCATCGTTGAAGATGTGCTCGGTGTCCGGGCCGACACGGTCAGAGAACGAGCGGATCTTGCCCTGGAGATCCGGGTTCATGCGCACGACGGCCTCGGCGGCGGTCTCCGACTTGAGCTTGGACACATCTCGGGGGCGGAACAGGAACTGGCGGTTCAGGTTGCTCTTCTCGATGGTGTCCATGTCGGTGACGTAGATGCAACCCTCGGGTCCGCTTCCAATGCCGAGCATGGCCCAGTTCTTGAGCATCTCGCAGCCGATGGCACCAGCGCCGACCAGGAACTGGCGGACATTGGTGATGCGTTCATGGAACTCGCGGCCAAAGACAGCAATCTGGCCATCGTAGCGGCTGCCAAGAGGCTTGCAGCTCTCCTCGGTGCGGACGACGTCCTTGGGCAAGCTCTCGAGGGAGTCAAAGAAGAAGGTCTGGTGAATCGGGTGGAACTTGCCACTGCAAGCCTTGAGAACTTCCTGGGCAACCAGGCCGCCAAGAACGGCGTTCATGGGAGGAATGTCGCCGGTGGCCTGGAAGGCAAACTCCTTGATGAGCTTTTCGTCGAGCTCGGCAGGCTCCTTGGCGCGCTTGTTGATCTCATTGGCGAGGGCAAAGAACTCGTCGGCATCCTGCGCATTCATGGGGCGGGGGAAGCTCTTTCGGTTGTTCCAGAAGGCATCCAGGGTCTGGAAACAGATATCCAGCTGGGCGGGGCGATCGAACTTGGCAAAGTCCGAGATCACATAGTCGGGGCTCTCCAGACTTTCGCGGAGAGATTTCTATGGCAAGTTGGGGGGGGAAATTGAACAGTTGATTAGCGCTCTGGACTGTGCCCAGATACTCGAGGTGCCATGAGCGCTGGCGATAGAGCCGAGGGGTGAGGACACTTACAAACTTGAGGATCTTGGGCTGCTTGACCTGAGTGTAGATACCGCCGTTGACATAGGTACCCAGGTCAGCGGTATCGCCGATGGCAAAGGTATAGGGGCCTGTGCACATTCGCAAGCTGTGGTTAGAGACGCATGTTCGACGGAGCTGTCGTTGGTGAGGCATGTGTGCTTCTGCACAAAACCAAGCCGCCTTCCGGCATTGGGCCATATGCAAAGGCAGAAGCGACGCAGCAAGCCATCCACAAGGCTTTAACCAAGCAAGCGACACAATACCCTTGGTGGTGATCTTTCGCTGGACACCGTTGATGTTCATGCCCTGAACCTCGGTAAACGTCACGACATCGCCATCCTCGAGACCATGGCGATGGTCTTCGAGACAAGCAACGATGCCTTCCTTGTCCTGTTGCAGTACAGAGGCAGGTGGGTTGAGGTTGTGTTAGCGGCGGTAGCCAGACGGGGCCACGGTCTCAGGTATCGATGTTTAAGCTGGTGTGGTATGTGGCGCCACTGAGGGGTCACTATCTGAAACGGCATTGGCTCCAGTATCGACCACATAGGAAGGTTCACCCGAGCTATTTCAAAACACACCGCGATCGCCACTGCCACAGACAAGTCGAGACACATCCTCTGCAATCGCCAACCCATAGTCGGCTTGCATGCCGCACATACGACGTACACTGGAGATGCCGGCAATCATGCCGGTGATGGGCTCCTCGCCGGTCTGATCGACGACGTTGAAGTTGGTGCCAAAGTCGTTGAAGGTGTAGCTATTGGTTATGGGAAGAAGGGCAGATGGAGCCAGGGGAGCAAACGGATGTGAGACGAGTTGGATGGTGGAGGGGGCGGCGGCGGCCCAGCTGTACAGCTTTGCCGAGGACGAGGCAAGAGCCGCAGAGATGTGGATGCCCACCCAAAGAGGCCACGAGTGTCGGCCGAGATAAATCGAATGTTGCGGCTGTGGGTAAAGTCGTTGATCTCCAGCTGCTTGTTCAGAGGAGTGTCGGTCACGACGACACACTGTCATGGCCCATTCACATCCGCGGAGATGCAGATTCGATGGTCGAGGCAATGCCGTTAGCGATCCAATGCAGACAACAAGCACGAAACGGCAGGACGAGCCAGCAAGACCGCCAGGGAAGGAGGAGTGGTGCAGCTTTCCTCGAGCACGTTCCTTAGCAAACCCACCTGGAATCGCTCCAGAGCTTCGCTCGTCAGGTCTCCTTCCAGGACGGACACGGGCACGTAGTTGTTGAGCTCGCCGAGACGAGGAGCCGAGACGGCAGCACGGTTCTTGCCGACATCCTCAGCACGAAGGAAGAACTGGGATGCGTGATCTCGTTAGCGTCAGCACAGAGAGCAAGTCGATGATCAGAAACGGAGGGCAGGGGAGTGGGTTGACTCGACGTCTGCTGGGCCAAGCCGGAGCAGCAGACCAGCAAGTGTCCGAAACTGTTGCAATGGTTTGGCGTATACCTGCGAAGACAGATCGCCGATTCGGACCGGGGCCGGATCGTACAGGGTTACGGACTTGACACCGGCAAGAATGACGTTCTTGGCTATTTGTAAAGCATTAGAAACCGCCACCGGTCAGAATGGGTTGGATGGGATGGGCCCAGGCGATTTGGGGATGAGGGGAGAGATATAGAGGCAGAGTCCGGTATCGACAAACAATGCCAGACAAGCAAGATGCATCAAGAAGGAGATGAATAAATGTCACCGTACCAATTTCGACACCAAGGCCCTTTAGTCCAACAATGAGGACGTTGGAGGTGCTCATCTTTTGCATGGCATCGTGGCCCAGGACATAACTGGGAGCACAGCGAAGATATCGGCTGGTTAGTGACTGCTTGGGGAGAGCGGTTGAAGGACGGGCTCGTATCGCACATCACGAGCTACAACCGGAGCCCCAGAAGCGGACCTGCATCGGCCGATTGCGGGGAGGAGAACGTGCAAGCCCAGGAGGCCGCGAAGCAGTCGGCCGATAGATCGCTCGCGCAGCAGGGCCAACTTACAGCTGTCTCGAGTACAGTCCTTCGTCGATCTGGGGCTTTGAGGTGGTAGAATCCATTCTGGGTGTTGGTCGGGAGAGTGCGGCGGATAGGAGGGGCTGTCGATCTGGATGGGGGCAGACTTGACGTGGATAGATGAGCAGAAAGCCGGACGACGAGGGGAGGGCGAGAGCGCGACGACCAGGCTGGCGAGCCGGCCAACCCGCGGCTGGCTGGTGGCTCGGGACAGCGACAGGCACAGCCACATGGCTGCGGTCAGATACCGTCTGGAAGCATCTGCGAGGAGGGGGGCTGAGCAACCAAAGATTGCATGGGGCAGTGTGCACCGGGGCTGGCGACCAAGCCGGATGACTCTCGATTGCAAATGCAAATGCAAATGCCATCATTGCAGCGAATGGGAGAATGCAACGGATGAGGAATCGCGGTGCCGAGGTCGGCGCAACATGGTCATGAGGTGCGAGCCAGCCACTGCCCATGAATGCCATCATCCAAGTCGCTCATGCGGGCCACCCAACATATCCGCTCAACGGTCCCACATCATGTCGTTTGCAAGCAGTGTGTATTCAGCGGGGGGGGGACAAAGGGCATTGGCCGATAGCCTCGGAGCCAAGTAGAAGATCGCAAAAATAGGGCGCATCCACAAAGTCTGGATGCGGCAGCTGTCAACAGAAAAATAGTATTAACCGTCAAGGGCGGGTCGTTTGGGCGTAAGCAAAGTAGTAGTGCAGCCCGGGATAATAGAAGGGTTGGGTGAATTACGAGGCAGATATCGGGGTAGCGATCGTTGTCGAGAGCGACGAGACGATGGGCCGAGCGACTCCGTTGGGCCGAGCGCAAGGAAGTGAATGGATGAATGAATAGCCAAGATCGGCCTCCATGACGGGCAAAGGATCTCTCAGTGCTTGATAAGCAGGATGGCGGTAGCCAGCAGGCCAGCAACGGCACCGCCGACGAGGGCGGCCGCGTTGATGAGCAGCCCATAGAACATTTCGGACGAGCCCTTGCCAGGGATAGGCAGCAGCATGTGGGCGATACGAGGTGCGAGGTCACGAGCAGGGTTGGCAGCGAGACCGGTGGGGCCGCCGAGACCCAGGACCAGGGTCTGGATCCAGAGGCCAATGAAGAACTGCGACAGGCCGTTGGAGTAGACGAGGCCGGTCTCGCCGGTGATTTCGCTGAATCGGTTGTCGATGAGGATGGCGCCGAGCATCAAGGCACAGGTGGCGACGGCCTCAGCGAAGCAGTTGTGGATGGGCAGATAGATGCTGGGGCGGGTGGCAAAGACACTGAGCTTGGCGTTCTGGTCGGCGATAATCATGGCGCGATAGATGGCATCCTCCTTGGTGGTGACGGAGGAGGACTCTCTGCTGTGGTCGTGAACAACCTTGGTCGAGGCGGGGACGGCGACGATGTCATCGGTGGTCTTGGCACGGACAGGAGGGACGACTTCAGAAGGTCGGGCTGGAAACGAGGCAGCCGAATGATTAGGAGTCAGCCGAATGATTAGGAGTCAGCCGAATGATTAGGAGTCAGCCGAATGATTAGGAGTCAGCTGCACAGGGATGCCGCGACAGCACACACCCGACCGAGCAGCATCGAGTGGCTTACCGGTGCGGTTGGGGTCTTCCTCGGGAACAGGAGCGTTGGTCGAAGCAGCCAGCTCCGCCTCGAGCTTTCGAAGCTGCCACTGCATATCAGCAACCTGCAGACTATGGCGCTTGCGAAGAGCCTTGCCGGTCTGGCCAAGGCCGCTGATGGCGGATTCTTCATTGGGGCTCTCGTTGACGGGGAAGGGGACTTCCATGCGGTGGAGGTGGTAAGTTCCGCTGCTGAGGATGTCGAGGACCTGGTCGGGGCGGCCATCGAGGTCCGAGTTGGTGAGGTAGTAACGGGCCTCCTTGAGACGCTCCTTGAGGCTCTTGGTCGAGTTCAGGCCACTCTTGGTGCTGTAGGAGGCGAAGCGAAGCACAGACGGGTCATAGTGGTCGCGAGTGCGGAGGAGGTTCTGCTCATGCGTTCCGCTGCATGGAACCAGGGGAAAGAGAAGGCAAAAGTCAATACTTGGTTCGTTCTGGACGTGAGCAAGCGACGCCAATGCCGATCATAATCTCCAAACCAAGACACACCTGGGCTCCGGAACGGTTCGGAAGTGGGGCAGATAGAACAGGTACATCAGCATGGAGCCGAGGAAGCCGCCGGCCATCTCGGAGGCGCTGAGGGCCAGGAACTCCCAGCCGCTGATCTTGCCCATGACCCAGAGGGCCATGCAGGAGGCTGGGTTGACATGCGCCGAGGCGTAGCCAAAGATGATCAGGGGGATGATGAAGGCGGCCATGAAGCCAACGGCGATCTACAGGGGAGGCAGCAGCATGACGAGTGTCAGCACATTGAGCGATTCCATCCATGCCCAGTCAGGGATCGATCAAAGGGGAGCAAACAAGATCGCTGTCTGTCTGATTGCGTGCTTGCGTGCTTGACAGGACAGCGCAACAAAGCAAACGTACCCAGCCAAAGCCCATGCCGTGGCCCTTGGTGCCAGGCAGGATTTCATTGGCAATGACACTCAAGCCAACGAACATGACCATCGTCGTGGCCAGGAACTCGGTCAGGCACCGTTCGCCGAGGGTGTAGGTGGCCGACATTTCGGGCGGGATGCTGCAAAGCGCAGATGGGAGAGATGAGGGAAGGACGCTGCGAGCTGGGCTGAGGGATCAGCCCGCGAATGGATGGAGGCGTGGATGGAGGATGAGGGGAATAGGCGGCAGAGCTGCTGGAGGACGAGGCCGATGCTGCGAGAGCCAGAGGGGCTTTATAGGATGGGATGGCGGCCTTTGGACCTTCGCGGCTCAAAGGGCGATAAGCGCTGGGGGGCGGGCGTGCCCGTGGCCGTGCGGTGCCACAAGCGCGAGCCCGCCAGTGCCGCGCGTCTATTCTGGGTGTTGTGCGCGCAAGCCGACAGCCACAGTGCGGCCGGCCACCGACGAGTCACAGTGACCCGTCCTGACAAGCACGCTTCTTGGCCCCTCGTGCGACAAGGAAAAAAATCGGCGCGAGTCAGCGGTCACGGGCGGACCTTCAGACCAGAGCGATACCGGCGACGTGGCTGCTGTCGTCCGAGCGGCTCTGGCCAGGACAGGCGCCGATGCGGGGTGATGCATCGGCTCCCTGCGATGATGGCCGGTGTCGTCACAGCGGCTCGACCGAGAGGCAGCCCAGAGGCCTCGGGCGATGCCGGCAGGGCTGGTCCAGCGGCCAGCCCCAGAGCAGAAACTCTATCAGCACAGGCGCGCTGGATCCCGCTGGGTGTTGGCGCCTGCGCCGGTCAAACGGGGACAGGACCGACGTCACCGACGAGATTCGATGCAGCCGATCCAGCATCTGCGCTGTCGTCACTTTGCTTACCCTCCTTCCTTGAACAAAAAGAAGGGTTGGGCCTCGCCGGCCTCGCCGGCATCTGCTTGCCGCTTCATCTTGCTCGCCATGCATTTTCTTCGCGCGCTCGGTCTTGGGTTCCTTCTGACAAGTCTTGCGGTGGCAGCGCCGGTGCTCCATGAGCGCGACGACGATGCAAGCTCCAGCGTCCAGACGTGCACTCTGGGACTGTATCGAAATCCCAGCGGAACCGCCTGTTGGCCCGGGGAGCAGAGTAAGCAACCACACGATTGCTTCGTGCTTTGTTCCGCTGTCCGAGCTGGGAGAGTGTATGGGAAACAGGGGAGATACGGCTGCTCTGGCAGCAATTCGGCGCAGATGCTTCTCGTTATGCCGGTGCATTTGACGCTGTTCCCAAAGGGCGAGAGCGCATTGCCGCAGCTGATGCCGTGCAATCTTGGCTCCATGCGCAACGCTGTCCAGTCTGCGCCGCGACTTTGAATGCGCTATGGGTCACTCCAGAGAACCCCGCGAACGATCAGTGCGTTTGCAAAACAGGATATCAGTGGCAGGATGCTACCCACTCGGCCTGCATCAAATCCAGTTGAGCATCGCAGCAAACCGTCGTGGACCGCCGTGGCGCGACCGCAAATCGCTGCAGACAAATGGTCCCAAGATTTTTCCGGATCTGGTCGCGGCGTACCCAAAACGAAACAGGGCACCCTGGTGTGAGTCAGAGATGTCACTTGTTTCTGGGTCCTGAATACACACTCGTCCATCGCTGCGATGCGATGCGATGTTGCAGTCCCAGCTGTCAAGGTGACAGATTTCATCGCATATACTCATTCCAGACGCAGGCCATCGATGCCTGGATACAGCATGATGCCCGTGAGCAACCAGCTTCACTCTGGTTTGGTTCCGTTTGGTTGTGCAATGAATGGGATGCTGTTATTTGTTTCTACAAAGCGCCGTCATCAGAGGCGAATCTATGTGCAATCCGAGCTCATTCACCAACGGGAACCCGATTGTTCGCTTCGCGAGTCCTGTCTCTTCGTGCATATGTAGATAAAGTACTCCCACCCGTCGCCAACCTTCTTGACCTTGTCAACAACGATCTGATCCGGAAGCACCTCGAGCAGCTGCCGACGGAACTGAGGCTGCTCCCAGGTAACATGGATGAACCGGCCGCCAGGTTTCAAAACCGCAGCGACCTGTGTCAGGTAGTTGCGCGCGACGGATCGGATCCGCTCCGACGGGTTCCATGGATCGTCTTCTTGCGTCCGGGTTGTCAAAAAGGCATCCATGGTTCCCTTATCGAGGGCAACGTCAAACTGCGGCTCGGCGAATACATCTGGCGAGAGCTGGAAGATGTCGCCGTGGATCCATCGAATCTCTGGGCACTTTTCCTCACACCGCTTCGCCATGGCTTCGATGCACGGCAGGCTGTAATCGACATTGGCCTGCGATTCATGGGAGCCGTATTCAGTATTAAAGACCAGTTCCCCGGCGGGGCTTGCTTTCGCAGCCAGGTTGCTTGCCGGAGCGGTGATCGCCCAAGTGCTCGATAGATGGGTATCGAAGCATTGGGCCTGCGTTGCCGTGCCGGCGCTACATTTCACGCTTTCACCCTCTTGCTATCGGATGACAGCCAACGGCATCGAGCACTTGCCTGATGCTTGAACCCGTCCTCGTACATGTCTTCCGAGAGTGAGCTGTTGCCGCATCCTGTGTGATAGAGTTGGTTCATTCAATTCTATGAGCGCTCTTGCCGGCACCGTTACACCGGGATAGCCTCAGGTCAACTCTAGCACTCTCGGTCAGAACCGTGGCGGCGATGGGATGGGTCTCATCCGCTCACGGCCAGAGGGTGATTCATAGACAACGGGCCAAGAGTTGACGAGCCGCCCCAATGTCTCCAGACGACCCAGTCGGCGGACGGTGGTTGTTGAAGCCCGGTTCATATACCAGTGCCCCGCATCTTACCAAGGTGCAGGATCTCGTGGTCGGCCTGCAGATACTCGCTAATCGAGTCCTTCAGATCAGCCCATTTCTTGAACCAGTCGTAGGTGTTGACTTTTTCCGACTCGCTGTGGGCCAGCAGCATGGGTATCAGCAAAAGGCAAGGTCCGCATTGAAATTTCGCATCGGGGTGGCCAATATTTCCCCGATCAGATTGATGCGCTGTTAGTAAGGGCAGGTCGCAGACCACACAGGCAGTCGAATCGACAATCCGGTGACAGCAGTCGCAATGTCGAGGGAAATCGCTCTGGCAACGCAGGGCTGTGTCTCGACATTATTACGTTTGATAGCGCTTGTCCCAGTATTCGACCGTGGCATACTGCTTGTTTTCGTCGGCCAGGACATCCATGTCGTTGGGCTCGCTGCGGATCTGAGGCTGTTGCGGCAGCGGGCTGGTGGTGGGCTGGAGGAGAACGATTGTCGCTGGGCGGAACCGCAAGAAAACCCAGCACGGCACTTCTCGGCTCTCGTTTCGCGCTTCTCGGCTCTCGTTTCGCGCTTCTCGGCTCTCGTTTCGCGCTTCTCGGCTCTCGTTTCGTGCTCCTCGCTCCTCGCTCCTCGCCAATTGCCTTGCCGAGGAAAGCCTGGCCAGATTCATCCCGTCTGGGCGTTTGATCTCCGTCTGCTCATCCACAAGCAACCACTGGGGGACTCGCCCGTCATGTACACGCCAGGCGGTATGTACTCTCCACCAGGGTTTTCCTTCTCATACCCAAGCCAAGGATTCAACTGCAGGCCCACTGGCGGTTCAAACGCAGCCCTCGACTTGGCTTCTCATTCACTCGCTCGCTCGCTCGATCTGGGCTCGGCGGCACACTGAGCTATCCTCTGATCTGCCGTTGCTCCTACAGACGCATTTGGCTCGGAGCCGCAGACGCCTATTCCGGCTGCAACACCAAGATCGAGTTGTAAGTGTCCTCGCGATGCCTGGTCGGATGGGCCGCCAACGTGCTGCCGGCGCCGTTTGATCTGACCATGTCTCCACCATCCTTGGAACTGCGCCGGGCATCCTGGTCGGATTGTTGTTGGATGGATATCCAGTTCCTACCCCAAGCTTTCGGACATCGAGGATCGATCAGGTACGGACCGACAGTGGAGCCATAGGGTCTCGGTGCTGGTTGCTTGCGTCATTGCTATCATGAGATCGAGCCCAGGCCGACACAGATATCTCACCACCAGCTTTGATCACTTTCCAGACCAAAACCGAGGTCGGTGATATGACTTGCCATGCATGCCCGGGTTCGGATCGAAAAGAAATCCACTTTTTTATTCCAGCAACAGAGGCTGATGAACTGTTTCATCCGTTTCTTTGACCGGATGGCGACGTCTACAGATTGTTCCGACGGATGCGACATACGGTACGATGCTGCAGCGCATCTGGCTGTGCGAGACAAGTGTTTGACGAGCCCAAATGCCCGTCGGTACGAATATCAAGCTCATCTGGCTATTGCTATCTTTCCCTCTCGTTCTCTCTCGTTCTCTCTCGTGCATCGCTGCACCGCTTTGTGAACGCGGGTGAATGCAATCCAGATGGTCCATGGTCGTTTGGATACGACTACGACCGCTTTGCTGCCCTGCTGGCGGCCGACCCAAAGGAAACAACCGACTATCGAGAGACGGAGCTCATACCTCGATACATCGAGCTCTGCACAAAAATGTAATGCCGCGATTCACAGGCGCTTGTGGCTGTTTGGAGGCGCTTGTCGGTCTGTGGTCCGGGGCTTTGCAGTCTCTTGAATGTTCTTCGAAACCATGGAATGTGGCCGACGTCTCCGCGACGATGCAGAGCCATAGTGCATCGAAGACGATGTGGTTGCTTTCCGCCCCAACGCCTGGTCCGACTGCATGGGATCTTCGATTGGACAATCCAGTGCTCCTTGGCCTCCCCTTCGCGTCGATTTGGAGCGTGCTTTTTGGCGACCGGCGATTAACCACCTGTCGCTTCGCGCAACTGTTGGCTACCTCATGTATCCACAGGATCGATGATCTCGAGTCTCGCGAAGCGTCTGCGAGTCGAGATGAGATTGAGATGTGGGCGCTCGAGCGCAATTCCTGGCATCTCATTCAAGACTTGGTGAGGTACAGCCATCCTTTCAATCGGCAGTATTGCACATGCAAGTCGCCTCAACGATTGTCGCTGGGGACGATGGTTGGCTTGAGAGCCTTGCCACATATCCTCACGGCACCGTAACAGCATGCTGACAACTTGGCTGGATCGATGCCATTGGCCATTGGCCATAACAGCTACCGCCTCGAAGACCCCAAGAGCAAACTGCCTTTCCATCCATTCGAGAGCGATAGTCAGATTGTGAGCGAATCGATCGCATCCAACCCCGAGGTGGCAGAGTTGTCCCGAATCCTTGCCTGGCTCGAGAAGATCGCGCCTCCGTTCCAACCCGTCGAGAAGCGGCCTGGCTACTGGCCCATGACCAAGAAGCGTTCGACCAAGTATACGTTCGACCCCGACCTTACCAGCCGGGAACGTGGCGCCCTGGCTCCGGAGGACGACGAGTTTGATCGCAAGCTGAGTGAGACCGTCTTCCAGTATTGCCGCCGCGGACGCTATCAAGAGCTGGTTCAGCTCTGCCAAGGCTGTGACCAGGCGTGGCGAGCGGCGCTGCTGCAAGGAAGCGAGTTCAGCGCACATCACGGCATCGGTGCGTATGAGCAAGCATGTGTATGCGTGACTTATGAAGCACCAGCTGGATTAGTTCCCGTGAGCGATGGATTGGAAGTCCACGCTGATGCAGTTGCCCCTCATCTCCTGCGCTCACTTCTTACACTCATCTCTTGCACTCATGTCCTGCATTCCACAGATGGCGGTGCCGAGCTGGGCTTTGGTGGCGAAGCTGAGATTGGTGGCAACGTGAATCGCGATCTTTGGAAGGCAGTCTGCTATGAGATGGCACGGGTAAGCTCAATCCGTGCGCCGTTGCCGATTCTTCCAACACGTCGTGTCCGTCTGTCCGATGCATCTTCACAGACGGAGTAGGCCATGTGCAGACATGAGTGGATACGATTCCCATAGTGACTTCCCAGATGAGGATAAGGCTTCGGCGGCCGGCACTGACCCTTTGGGATGCTCGCAGAACACCTCCGATCGATACGAACGTGCTCTCCTCGCCGCTGTAATTGGCGATGTGAACATGACGATTCCCGTTTGTGAATCATGGGAAGATCATGTCTGGGCATACATCCGCGCCCTGCTTGAGGCCAAGTGCGACGAGGTAAGCTCGCTCTGCGGGAGGCGATGGGTCGAGACGTGTCTCAGGGCATGCATCCTGGCTCACGGCCGAGAGTTGACCTCGTTTTCGATCCACGGTGCTTCTTTCAGGCACTTGCCCAAATCCCCCAGATTCCCGGTATCTACGACGACCAGCTTCCGATGTTTGTGCCCCACTTTTCCGGTACGCTCGAGAAGGTCCTTATTGACATGACCCGAAGTGACATCACGGCCCTGAGGTAGGTGCTGCTCCACATTGCCGCTGGCAGCAAACGCAAGTCAGCTTCTTGTCGCTCCTTGACGCGAGTGCTTGTTGCAGGGTGCTCGGTGCTGGCCCATGCTTTGAGCCGGACCCTTTCCTGCTTCGCTGACAGCGTCTCCGTGAACAGTACCAGCGCCCGCCATCCCATGCGCATGTTCCAGTCATTCCTGATGCTGAACAGGATGACCGAGTTTCTCGATGGCATTTGCAGCTATATCCAAGCCCCCACTGCCGAGAACAGGTACGTTGATCGGAGGGAGGAGGCGGCACTCAACGGCCCGTCCGCCACTCTTTGGCCGATATATGTGCAACTATGTTCAACATTCGATGGCTGACACACTACCATGGCTGTTCCGTTACAATCAACGCCTGGTTAATTGAACGGATGGATGAATGGGGGGGGGACAATTCACAGAATCAAAAACTTCCCCCAGTACCTTCGGTTTGTCGTCCACATGATTCTCATCTGCCGCGACGTCGAGTATCCTATCCCTGCAGCAGCGTCCAACAACGTGATCCGGCACTTTGTAAAGCTCTTGATCGATGGCAACAAGGTACGGTGCATGCGGATTGAAGCTTGCTGCTGAAGAGTGGCGCTTGGACGGGTATATCGAGCTCATCTCTTTGACTGACGCTCTGGTGATGGGCGTTGCTGATCCTGATCCTTGTTGTTGCTGATCCTGATCCTTGCTGTTGCTGATCCTGGCACTTGTTGTTGCTGGATCGACTTTGACGTTGTGTTTGCGTGGTTGTGAATCCAGCGGCCCCTCGTACCTCTCTACACATCGTATCTTCCTCGGGACCAACAAATTCAAATGTACTCGCTCTTCTTGGCTGGGATCGATGATTCATCCGAGGAGCGCTACAAGTACTGGAAGATCGGATTCGAGTACAGTCTGGACATGATGAGCATCGGGTACAAAGTTGTCGAGTGCATCTTTGTCAAGGGCATCTTTTCGGTAAGTCGCATCGGCCACACAGAGTCGTGATACTCTGCTGACACACGCACCGAACGAGCGCTTTCATTGGCTGTGTTCTTATGATTGGTCGGCATCGTGCCCAATTTCATCTTGGGATGCTGCGATTAGGAGCGTCTCCCTCCAAGTTCTCTCGAAGTGAAGGTCACGCAGATCAACGACTCGCTCAGCAAACTCGATCGCAGCCAGATCTATGCACTGGAGTGGCTTTCGTTCCAACGGGAGCAGCAAGAGCAGCTTCTCTACGGAGTCAGCTTCCTGATTCGGCGTTTCCTCGGTAAGCTTGTACAACGGCAGCTAAGTACCCACTCTCGACCCAAGCATGCTCTGGACCCGTCAAATCGAGCCGAGCTCGGGTGCTAACAGACGGCCTGACACACACTATTTACGCTTCAGTGCACGGACGAGTCCATGCCGCTCGCCAGACGTTCGACCACGTTGTCGCGGACTGGGTCAAGGAGTTGCGGGCCCAGCTCGAGGACTCGATGAAGGACAGCCCCGAAATCAAGGCCCGCATCCGCTCGATCGAGTGTCTCACGTCGGAGCTCAACTTTTACTTTGAGTTTCTGGAGGCGGTCAAGGCTTACACCAAGTGGAGCATTCTCTTGATGAAGCGACCGAGGTGAGCCAGTGCGAATGGACGAGCTGTGGGCTGCCAAATGCGAATTGCGACTTCTGAGCTGACAAACTATGCGGTCGATCGACCTGTCCAGGCAGAGCAAAACCATCGATGGCCTCAACCGTGTCAGTGCCGGCGACCAGGCCAATCTGGCTCAGTGGCAGATCCAAATGATGGTGCGTACCTCCTCAGTACTTTTGGAGTCTCCTTTGTGCGTCCGAAGCTAACGTTACGAGTGTGGTTTATTGGGGGGGGGACATGCACACAGAACGAGTCCAAGGGAGCAATCGATGCTCTTGAGAGGGTTGTCCGCAGCAACTGGCTGCAGGTTCTCCTTGAGGACGATACCGGTGAGTGTCCTGCAGCCACATGTTATCCAGGGTCACATCCCAGGCCGATCCTGACAGCTAACGCACTTGCATGTCGACCGGATCAATCGATTCAATCGTCCCAGCCGGGGACGAGCAAAAGGCAGAGTACCAGCTGCTGCGATGCGTCTACCTGCCCGAGCTCGTGATCTGGCTCCAGCAAATCTACTATGAGACGAGAGACTTGATTCCAGGGTAAGCAAGTGTGCTGTCGACGATCATCGCGATCAGTCCAGCGAGCCCCTTCCTGCCGCCTGGGCACAACGGAGGACCTTGACTATCGCTTTGCTGCTGATGCTGTTCGGTGGATATTATTTGTTGGGTGTATCTGATGTTAACGCAATTGCCACGACACCGTCGCATCGGTTTGCTCTTGCAATGTCCCTTGGTTCCTCGGATCCGATCGTGTTGCCCAATCGTGCCTTCTCGCCACGGACTTTCCTCATGGTCCGGACCATCAGCAACCTCGAGCGGAGCATCTCGATCGTGCAGGAAGTCACGTCGCAACCGATGGAAAGCGAGTTCCAAGAGTCCAAGAAGCTCCCCGTCCTGCTGTCCAAGGTGCGCAAGGCCGCGATCGAGTCGCTTCTCAGGACCGGCAAGGACGGAGACGACAACGGCTTTGCTTGGGGCAGCAAACTCAGCCAGGGCAAGAAACTCGTGGCCAGCAAATATTGAAACAGAGTGCGGACGCGGGAGCAATAAACCTCGCAAAAGTCCATGCCCTTCTGTCATAGCAGCGCGCAATCGATGGGCGGCGGGTTGGTGCTGAAGGCGGCATCGCCGATGGCGGAATTAGAGTGTTGGGGCAGATGAAGGAGCCGCCGTCTAGCACCTGGGTTGCACAAATGTGCCTGCGGAGTGAGAAAAAAAGGAGTATATTTGAATATGCAAGGTTGTGACGGCAAATCTACAGGATTGGATAACAGAAACGGGCCCAGACACATGGCCTAGCCCCGATGAGTCCGGAGGTCAAGGCGCAGTCTGCGCTTAGTAGGTGCGAGCGGCAGCTTGGCAAGCCTTGAGCTGGTCGAGATAAAATTGGCTGGCGGGGGAGATTGCAGCAGAGAGGAGAAGAAGACGAATTAGATCAAAATCAGTTCTCGGCGGTCGGCTTGTCGTTCGGAAGCCGACAAGGTTGGCGCGATCGGTGGCCCAGATGCCGACCCATGACAGGCTAAGATCTGGTAGATCTCAAGATCGACACACAGAGGAGACTTACCAGGCCGAGATGTCGTTGGAGTTGGCGTCCAGGCATCGCATGAAGGCCTTCTGGTCAGCATCGCAGGAGGCACCACCAAAGTTCTGCTGCTGGGGGGCAGCGGGGGCGGGAGCAACCTCCTGGGGGGTCGACGAGGAGCCGCTGAAGAGGCCGGTCAGACCGGCGCCGATGGTGTGGCCAACGGCGCTACCGACGGCAACACCGGCGGCGGTAGTGGCCATCTGAGCAAAGAGGCCCTGCAAGCAAAAAAGAAGGACACCGTCGGTCAGTTCGTGTCCTGGTTTGCAACCGAATCCAGCATGGACGTCGACAGGAAGGGGGATGGCCAATGTATATCGCTCCCGCGGTTGATGTTGGCAAAGTGACTGTGTTACAGGAGGGTCCGTGTCGTTTGGATCCAAAGCGATCGGTGCTCATGTATGAAGGATGATTCGAAGGCCACGGAATCGGATTCGGAATCGGATTCGAGAAGGGAGTGATGGCACAGGATCGCGGCCGACAACTGGACCCAGTGTCACCGGGGATAATGTAGTAGAGACAGGCGATACTTACGGGCTGCTGAGGAGCAGGCGCAGGAGCAGCGACGGCCGCGGGAGCCGGGGCAGGGGCCGGAGGATGGGCGGAAGGGGGAGGGTGCGAGGTGGTGGACGCAGGGCGAGACTGCTGCGCGGGAGGAGCAGGGGCGCGGGACGGGGTGGTGGAGCGGCGGGACTGGCGAGGCATGGCGGCGAGTGCTTGCGGGTGCTGGATGCTTTCGGTGGTGGGTGCTTGCGGCTGGACGATGGCTTCCGGGCAGAGATGCAATCCAAGACGACTCTGATCAGGAAACAGCGCGCTTTTTATACCGGCGGTGCGCAGCAGGCAATTCAAATCAATAATGAATTCATTCTGGGCATACGTGGCACCACTCCAGTGGCGCTGTGCGAGACGGGCTCGGTGCCGGAGCGAGGACACACAGCGTGCACACAGACTGTGCGCCGAGTGAGGGCGAGAGCCGTCTCGGCGAGAACGGGTACACACACACACACACGCACACGAAGCCCCACACGCAAAGCCGCACACGCGGAAGCGGATGGAAAATCCAGGGCGGCGGAGTTGTGCGCTGGGCCAATTGCGCTGCCAGGACGCGGGCATGCGGCATCGGCGCTTCGAGAGACCGGAGGCCGACCAGCTGCGGAGACAGTCGATCCGGGCAATGCGGCTGGCGATGCCGGTCGGGAGAGGGGAGAGAGATGGGCTGGTTCCTGCTCAGACAGTGCCAAGGCCGCAGCGAACATCTCGGAGGGTGTGCGAGTGGATCAGATCGGCGCAGCGGCAGCGAACTGGCTCAGCGACGGCGGCTGCTCGCGGCGGTGTCGGAAAGGGACGAAGATCAGAAGCGTTAACACATGCCGTGCGGATGTGCCGTGCGGATGTGCCGTGCGGATGTGCCGTGCGGATGTGCCGTGCGGATGTGCCGTGCGTTGTGCCATGAGGCTGCGGCTTACCCATAGAGCCCCCCAGAGGGTCCACCGGCGTTGGACCAGACCGTTCTGCCCTTCCTTGCGCTGACCGATCCGCGCAGAGTGCTTTCGGGTGTTTCTTCTGTTCAAGGCAAATCGCCATCCAGCAGAGGCCCACCACGAGGCGAGGACCAGCAGAGACATCGATGCGGATGAGAGGTGCGGATTCAGGTGCGGGGAGTAGTGGCGGGTAGTGATCATAGTATACGGGGATGGGAGCAGATACCAGGATAAGCCAATGGTGTCTCACCGGTCCAAGGACTCGTTAGCGCAGCGGAAACATGCACGATCTCCATCCTTCCTACCTTGGCGCTCCTCGCGTTCCCGCTCTTCATAGCTCAGCACGAGTTTCTTCAGATGCAGCTTCTCTTCCTGCTCGGCCTCTTGCTTGCTGCGGGTGTTGATGACAAAGTCGCTGTCGGCGGGAAGCTCAAAGGCCTTGGCTTGCTGCTTGTTGCCCTTCTTGGTCAGCAGCGTGAACACGACTTGGCCGCTGCCGCTCTCGCCGCCAGCCTCGTCTTCGTCGAGTGAACCATCACGGTCATAGTCGACGCCGCGATAGACCGAGCTCGTCTGGATGCCGGGGCTCGGCTTCTTCAGCTTGACCGGGATTGGGGCGTCGAATGCCGGGGCGCGGCGCTCGTTCTTGCGGCTATCGAGACTCTCCTGCATGATCTTGTTGAACTCGCGCTCGAACTCGAGATCCTCTTCCTCGTCGTACTCTTCCTCGGCCATATGCACAATGACCTCGTCGTCGTCCACATCGACGACCCGGACGTTTTCTCCGTTCTCGCTGAGCTCGTCGCCAACGTCCTCATCCTCCAGACTCTCGTTTTCCGAATCGGCATCGGCGTTGGCGTCGCCTTCGCCGCCACGGGGTCCCAGGTCCTCGTCGTCATCGTCATCGTCGTCCTCCTCGTCGAGCGCAGCCTTGTCGCCGTTTTGGGTGGCCTTGGCTTGCTCCAGCAGGATTTGAGTGACCTCGGCGGTGACTTCTTCATAGCTTTCGTAAATCTTGGCGCGCGGCCGGAGCAGCTCGAATATGTCCGAGATCATGAACTCTGCATCCATGGGCGGCGGGATCTTGGCAAAAAGGTACATCTATGCGAAACCGATCGGAGCACAGCTGAGCATCGGGAACAGACACGGCGCAGCGACAGGGTATTGACGACAGTGCTGCCTGTTGTCAGCAAGAGCAGTGTGGCAGCTGTCCTGAGTCTGTATCGGGGGGAAGGGCGCAGGGAGGTATGTCCGTCCACGCCACGCCAGCGTTACCTGGAAGAAAATCAGGAAATGGTCGAGCTTCTTGGCGGAGCTTCCCTTATCGAAGCACTGGCCGCAGCTCTCCAACAAGGTGCACACAAGCCTGACCCGGAAAAAGTCAAACGGTGGATCGAGCAGACAATGAGTGCCGGGGCGGGCAACACCTTGATCTATGTTGATGTTGATGTTGATGCCGGGGGGGGGTGACGAAACGTTAGTGCATACACCTCCTCCAGAATACCCTGGCCGAGTTGGTGCACCAGCTTGAGTGGCACCCAAGGCTCTGACGAGCGGTCGCAACGCAGGAAGCACCAACCACATCAAACCTACCGTGGCCAAACTGAAGCAGCAGATACAGGGTCTCGAAGATCACGGCGCTGTCGACAAGCCGGTAGTTGTAGAGCTCGCCCAGGAACTTCATGAGCGAAATGCGCTTCTGGTTGAGCTTGAATAGGTTGAGCTCGAGGCCCATGCGGATTTCCTCGAGAGTATTGTCGACGACAGCCACGCCAAAGTCGGGGTAGTACCGCAGCGCCATCTCGCTCGCGATACAGGCCAGCAAGTGGAGATTCGAGAACTTGACCTTCCAGGGTTTGAAAAAGGGCTTGGCAAGCATCTTGCGGGTGTCAGGGTTGTCCCAGTCGAACTTGCGGATCTGCTTGATGATCTTGTCGACCGTGCGCTTGGAGAGGTCGCTGTAGATCAGCTTCTTGTAGTACTGCTCCAGCGGCGACCGCTCGCGAGCCGACGTGGCCGGACGATTCGGCGGATTGCATTGATAGAAGGCGTTCTCGATCATCAAGGCCTGGCGGTTGTCGACGTGCTGAATGTTTTTCTTGCGCATCATGATATCCAGCTATACTCCCAAGCACAGTCGGCGGGACGATCCCATCGGTTTGACATCGACCAACACACGAGGCAACCCCCAGGGAATGATGACAATACCATGAGTATGGGCAACGGTCGATGACGATTGAGGCAGCACCTGTGCTAACTACCCACAGCACACACCCATTCGCTGCGATCTGAGAAGAGACCCAGGACACTGTCTTGCCATGCGTGAGATAAACAGCCTCAGAAGCTGGAGTCAACCACCATCCGCATACCATGTTTGAGGTCCGCACGTTGGTTTCTGGGGTCTTGAACAAGAACCGGCCGCAGGTCTCCAGCAGATTGCAGGCAATCTCAATGTTGGTGCCGTTGAAATCGTCGAGACACACCTTGAGGCAGTGGAAGATGACGTGCTGCGGCGTGATCTTGAACTTTGTGAGCTCGCTAAGGAAGCGGATGTTCTGGCATAGGATGGAGTGTATCCATGTATCGATGTGTCAATGCAAGGATGTGTCCATATGTCCATGTGCCCATGTTCCAATGCGAGAATGGGTCCATGTCCAGCCATTTGTTCCGGCACACACGCCGACCCGAAAGCGAGCAGGTGAAAGGTGTGGTGAGTCCGACGAGACACATGTCCGAAGCATTCGATGTGCTCGATTCTGCTCCGAGTGCTCAACGGAGCGCTGGGTTGTCCGATTCGCCAGTCCAGATGCGCCACGCTCACGCACTCCCTTTGGACATGCATGTCGCTCACCTTGACGCGCTCTTCCAGGAGATTCTGATCCTTCTTCCGCTGAAAGTGCTGAAAGTCGTTCTCGAGCTGCTCCAAAACAGCCGAGGCAATGTCGGGCATGAACGGATGCACGGTCGCGATCAGCCGGGCATAATAGGGCAGGAGATCGAGCCGCTGCCGCGGCACCGACACGAGCACCTTGGCAAGCCGCTTGCGAGCACCCTTGCTGTTCCGGAAGCAGAAATCCACGGCGACCTTGTCGATGGTGTCGCGGTTCATTGCTGTCGGGAGGCGGCCGAGCAGAGTGTCGAGGAGGATTTGTGACGAGTTTGTGGCCTTGCCCTTCTTGTCGCCGTCTTCGTCCTCGTTGAGGATCGAGACGGCTTCGGCCCCCTCGTCAGCATGGATCGGTTGGGCCGACGTGGGAGTCTCGAGGTCGTCGTCGGCGGGTTTGCTGTCTCCGTCCTTCTTGCGTGGCTGGCTTTCCAGGAAGATGCCGGGAACGAACAGCTTGAGATCGATCAGGTTTTCGTAAAACGACTTTTGCTCCTCATCTTCCCAGGGGCCATCGACAACATCCTGAACGAGAGGATATGGTGGGTGAGAGCGCAATAACATCAGCACCCCACAGAATAATCCTGCTGTCAGAGACAATATCGTCTTTCCAGGAGCTGAAGCGAGCAATCTCGCTCGAACCGAGGGTGTTGCCACAGTCCGCCTAGATTCGCTCTGCTTTTCCCTAGGTAACCACAGGTGACGAGCTCGTCTCGCAAGCTGTACCTGCTCCTCCTTCTCTTTCGATCCGTCGGGAACAATGATGCCCCCGACCCGGGTGATCTTTTCGTCCTCGGGCAGCTCGGGCATGTCGGTGCCGAGATACTCGGCCAAGACTTGGGTCGAAACGAGGACGCGATCGTAGTTCTTCATGGCCTTTTCGTATTTTTCGGTACGGTCCTCGGTAATCTCGCCTCGGGCGATAAAGTACTCGTGGTTCTCCTTTTCCATGTTGCGTACGTACTGATGGGATGACGCGATATATGAATCCATGAGGAGTAAGTCTCCGGTAGCACTCGTGGGAAAGCGTCGGCGATATATGCAGACGGACTGCGAACTGCACTGTACGAGGGTTATGTCCGCTGGCGCCTTTGCACTTTTGGGCTCAGCCAACTAGGGATCAACTTGCCTTATGCTGCAGGACCAGGCGGTCAGACACGGAGTTGAAGTAGTCGGTCAGCAGGGTGCGGATGACATTCTGGACTGGTTGAGCCACGAGGCTCTTTGCTGGCTCGTGCTCCTGGAAAAGAAGTTAGGTGGGTCCAAGAGTCAGATTCAGCTCCTTTGTGGCGAATGCCCGGGTGCTACTCTGACCTCACGCCGTGCTATGTAGCCAAGGTTCTTCCACCTCACTTGATATCACATCACATCCATGCATGGCAGGTGTCGTACGTTGGACCCTGCATCGGCAGATCGAGTCGGGCTGGACGACGAGCTCGTGGTGCTGTCTCGGCGTTTCGGAGTCACAGATCCGAGAAACTGGTCCCCAAAGAACTTGACAAAGGTGGCGGCAAGAGGCAGGTTGAAGTGGTTCTTGTCGACAGCAAACTAGATACCATGCGCGAACGATACGATGTGATACGATGCAATATGGTGTGATACGACATGATGTGATACAATATGATATGAGAGGAAATGAAGTGGAGCTTCGTTAGAGTCTCGTAGAGCGTAGCATGCTTGGTGTGGAGAGGTGGGGAGCTGGGGTTGGGTCAAGATGGCAGAACGAATGCGTGCAAGTAACCAAGGCGAAGGGAGGGGGAGAGCATCCGACACTCTGTCCTCGCAAGTGGGCTCCATCCAGGCCAAGTTCGAGGAGATTGCAGAAGACATGTGCACACGGGTTTGTGCAGGAGCCTTGGTACCCACAAGATCTTTGAAAATGCTTTGGAGGATAAACTCTCGCGAGTTTGAATTGTCGACGATGACAGCAACGACGTAGAGCTCCGTGAAGAGGCGCAGGACCGGACGCAGCTTTGAGATCCGGGCGTTTTCGTCCCGCTCGCGCTGCTCGGGGTTGACGCCGGCATAGGATGGGGGAGGGCCGAGCTGGCGTTGGAGCTGTGTGGTCAGCATCGGGCTGAAATCGGCAAAGCGTTGGTGCAGAAGCGAGCAGATCTCGACGGCAGCCCAGACGTCGGCCGAGTTCTTGAGCTTGGCTTCGCAGATGGCCGTGACGACCTCGGAGATGTACTTTTCGAGCTTGAGGCCGAGCAGCTCCTTGGTGAGGGAGGGCAGCTGCTCCATCGAGAGCGAGACTCGCAGTTTTTTGATAAAGGAGTTGTTCTTTTTGATGGAACTATCGAGATTGCCGAAGGTGGAGAGGTCTGCAAGCCCCGTCGACATGGCAAAGTTGATGCGATTGGCCGCCAGCACCATCGTTAATAGGGTGACAAAGCCATCGTTGAGGAGTGAGATTGGCATCGAGAAGTGAGTCGAAGGACAAGTGACGGGTTTGGCACAGAATGGCGAGACAAACGGTAGTCGATGTGCCGTCATTGCGTGGCATTCAGCATCAATGTGAGCGACTGTGTGATCGATCGGCCAAGGAGGTGCTCTTGAGGCTCCTGCCCAGGCTCTGGCCCAGGCGCCGTCAGCCAGCCGCATGCCGCTGCCTCTTTTGGCGAATAATCCAAGTCATCGCCAAACGACCCAAGTGCGAGATCGACGCTGTCCCTTCCGCAAGTGAACCGACCTGGACGATGGGCATGCGCATCGGTATTCTTCTTGTGGAGCTCCTTTTTCTGTTCCCAGCGACCAAAATCGGACGCCTGGGAGGCGGCCGCCTGTGCCGTGCTAGATGATGGATCCTTTCGTCAGGAAAACGGAGGACGTGGACGATGGATTGAATCGATCGGGGAGGGTTGGACGCATTCGGCGAAAACGAGGAGCGTGATTCCGTCATCGGCGCAGATCGGGTTCGGAGGATGTGCATTGATGATGACAGCGTTTGTGGTATAGAGGCATGCATCGTGTTGGAGGGAATGCCGTCGTTAGAGGTCCCGTATGACGGCAGCGATCGGGCTGGGGAACAAGCCATCGAGGCCATGGGGAGCAGGTGGCTGAGGCTCGCCAGGATCTGCACTGCAAGAGGCATCACGCCCACCACAGTACCGCTGCTGCAGCGCCGCGTACATACCTCGGACATGGGGAATGGTGTCGGGGAGGGGCCGGCGCATCAACAGATGAAGCAAGGATCCTCAACAGCCACGACCAAAGATGAACCCAAGAAAATTGCCTGGCTTGTGCCCTCAGGGGTGGGGCAAGGGCGTGGGGCACGCTAGGGTCTGGCCAAGGGGTTGTGCTTCCAGCGACCGAGAGCCACGTCGCAATGGCCGAGGCCACGGGCCAATGAGCGCTGTCCTCGACACGGCCTCGCTGCTCGGCTGCTTCTCGGTGCGGCCTCTCGGTGCGGCTCTTCTCGGCCAAAAACGGGACCAACGAGGGGGCATCGCCGTCTGCTCTGCCAATCCCGCAGCTTCCCAGGAGGACATCCAGTCCCCGCCAGCCCTTTGCCGACCCGGCCAGCAATCCTTGCCCAACGCCAGCGACACCTCGGTATCCGCCCATCGCTCGACGATCTCATATCCATCATGGCCACTATTGGAATCGTACGTATCGCCCGCGGCACCTGGATGAAAGCACGATCACCCGCGGCAGCCAAGAGGGAGCGGTGATCCTTCTGCGAATTGTGGGGAGGCTCCACCCGCCGTCCTATGCCGGATCGTCCTTGGATCGCATGGCTGCGGCTATACTTGAATTGAGCCACCATGCGCCAACCGCACACAGACCTGACGATTCGGCGACCCGTCTTGTGGGAGGGGGGCTCGGATCTGGCGGTATCTTGTGGTGGCGGGACCAACGGCGATCGTTGGCTTGAATTGAGGCACCACGAGATCTGCTCTGGGCATATGGAATCGACTGACCTCGACCCCAATCTGATTTCCCGTCCCCTTGATCCTTTTTTTTTTGACCTGGAGCAGCCCGACTATCGGCATGCTGGGCCAGAGCTCACCAAGGTCGCCGAATATCTGCGCTCCTCGGCAGCCGAGCTCAAGGTCAAGCCGGGAATCTGGAACGGAAAGCGGGTTGATTATTTCAAGGGTATGGATCCAGCCATGGAGCGGATGAGCGGTGGACGTGCGATGCATTCGCGCTGAACCGTGTCATTGATCGGGGGCGAGGAGAGGGACGGCGGATGGCGATGGCAGTTTGTATCGAATTCCGTGCTGGCATCGATGGCGACGACGACAAGGATGGCACGGGAGGTGGTTCGATCGCATGCCGGTGTCATCAAAGAGAGGCAGGCTGGAATGGCAACGGTAGAGGAGTATCGTGGCCGGCGACGAGTGTCATCCTGCAAAGCTCAGAAGCGAGACCACCACCGGATATGCGGGGCTGATCATCCGGACGTCCGTTTTATTCAATCCTTTCCCTGATCGGTTCACAGGAAAGCATGCCGTCAATGCCCTGAACCGTGCCCCTTACAAGAAGATCTCGGGTGTCCCGGCGGTGGAAGGACGATCCCAGGGCGAGGTGCTGCTGACCAAGATGCACTTTGCCGGCTTCTTTGTCAAGATCGAGCGCGGCGCCAAGTTGCAAGTCCAGATCTCGCAGCAGCAAGCCTTCCACCCGGACGAATACTACATCTGGCTGTACGAGGGACCACAGTGGAAGGGCCTGGCGCTGGGCACGGGCGTCCTGGCCCTGGTCTTTGCCGGCGTTCTGTTCCCGCTGTGGCCCGAGACGCTCCGAACGGGCGTCTACTACCTCTCGCTAGGTGTCCTGGGCCTCATGGGAGTCTTTTTCGGAATGACGATCGTTCGGCTGCTCATTTGGCTGGTGACCCTGCTTGTCCTGGGTCAAGGCGGCCTGCTCTTCCCCAACCTGTTTGAGGACGTGAGCGTGATCGATAGTTTCATTCCTGTTTGGGGGTAAGTCTGCATGCGGCTGGGCTGTGTCGTTTGGCTGTGCTGTGATGCTTTGGACGGAGATTGGGCATCGGGCTCGACAATGTCGGCTGGCAAGGACGGATGGATCGGCAAGCCATTTGCAGCCGTGGGAGACCGATAACACCGCAGGCGACCAAGTTGGATCGTGTGGTTCGGGCATCGACGCTCGTCCAGCTCCGCGCTGGGGCAGATGAGGGCTGCTGAGGATTCGGTACCGGAATCACACATGTCCCGCGACTGACCCGCTCGCACCGTCTCGTATCCACAGCTGGGAGGAGAAAAAGTCAAAATCCAAGAAGATTGTCAAGGTCGTGGAAGAGGACGATGACGACGAGGGCGACAAGGATGAATGAGCTGATCAAGCCCCCCCCCTTCTGGATTTGAGAGGACCTTCCTCCCCCTCCACGACGGCGTCCGTTTGTGCTGGGGACGGAGGAGAGAAGAGATTGGGTTCGGAGCAAAAGACAAAATACAAATTAACCGTTTCGCTTGTGCTTGCCTGCAATGACGAAGCAATCCAATTGCGATGGAAAGAACGCTGGGCTGACTCAAGGGAGCGACGCTTGGTGCTGTCTCGAGCGGGGAGGCAGTGCGGAGCCATGGCTCTGTTGGTTCTTTTATGGATTGCGACCGCTGTTCTGGGAGCAATCTGCCCCCAAGTTGAAGAAAGCGGACAAACGGGATATTATTCCTCCGCTAACATATGTTGAAACAGGACACCCTCGCACACGGATGACCTGCGTGGTGAGCATCAGACGGCACCCGAACTCCATGAAATCTGCTCGCCGAGGTCAAGCGATATTGCTCTTTGCTCTGCGTCTTTCTCCCTCATTTGAGATATGTCTTGCTCTACCCGCGGTGACTGCATCTGCAGCGGCTCGCTGGTCCCCGTCGTGCCTGCTCGCTCCATGCATCTCCCACACACAGGGATTTGATTAGATCCACTTGAGGGTGAATGGTATGATCCAACTACGCCGCGTTGGTCCGATGTGTCCCATTCGTTCGACACGCTGTATTCCTCCGCTCCAACATTGGCCGGCGGCACTCGAATCCTGGGCTTGCCCACACGCCGGGACGAGCCTGAGGGCGCATGGTTGGACGGAGCCCATGGGCTGGTGATGATCTCGGGCCACCCTCCCCCAAACAGCGGGGATTTTTGGGGAGGGGAGCGACGGATTGCTGTGCACTTGCGAGCGAAGCGTCGACGGCCCTCGCTTGCCCAGGGCGCAAGCAGGGCCGATGCTGAGGGCAAACTCGGACGGGCTGGCTGGTCCCCCTGGCTCGGGATGGAAGATATCGGTGGCGCTTGCTGAAGCGACGGACACATGATCAGGGTCGGCAGCCACGGCGGGCGCACACGGGGTGGGGTGCGTGCCACCAAAGCGCGTGCCAAGCGGGTGACAACCCCGGTGGGGGGAGGCGTCGAGGGTCAGCGGGCAACAGCGAACAAACGAGGAAGACGGGGCGAGAGCGGAAATGTCCCCGTGTGGGACAAGGTGCGAGGAGCCAGAGAGGGGGCAGATCGACAGACGGATTGCGCGAGATGCGAGCCACGGCGCTGGAGCAGAGACGGCAGCGATGGCGTGAGCTGCGTGAGCTATGTGCGATGGGGGGAGATGGGCGATGGCGATGGGCATCGACGACGGAGTGCGGGAGGACGAGCGAGAGCATGGCCGGCAATGCACAGGGCCGCAAGGGAGCGGGCGTGGGAGCAGCACTGCCCTCTGGCGCACGCACGTTTTTTTCATCGGGACATGGCCCGTCAGCACGATGCAGAAATGTCATCGAAGGGCCCAACATGGGTCGACAACGTGCTGGAGAGTCGGGGCGGGAGGCAAGCACACCGCATGAGGGTCGAGGCCGCCGCATGAGGGTCGGGAGGATCAGGGAGGATGACGGACAAGCAAGCATCGACAGCACGTTTCAAGCACGCCGGCCGAGGGAGCAGCAGCGGCGATGCCGCCAAGAGGATCGGAACCATGCCCATCCATGCCCATTCATGCCGTCCATGCCGTCCATGCCCACGCAGCGATGGTGCACGACGAAAGCAGCGTGGGTGGCCAGGGCCCTGGGTCGGCGGATGCCTGTCAGAGCGACCGCAACGACCGCAACGACCGCAACGAGAGGATCGGGGATGAGACATCGACGGCGGCGAGGCTGCCACGAGGCAAAGGCGGGTATCGCGGGCTGGGTGGATTCGCCGTTGGTGCGCCTTGCTGGACTGGATGTGTTTCATGTCGAGTCGCGGCGGTTGGCCGGAAATGCACCTGGGGGTGCGGCCGATGCGTGGCAGACGACGCACACTTGGCGGCCCGGCCAGATGCGAGGCCAGATGCGAGGCCAGATGCGAGACCACGAAGAGCAAGAGCCGATCCTCGTCCAGGCCCGGGAGCAAAAGCGCAACTCAGGGGAGGCAGATTGATGCCAAGGGGGAGCAAGGTCATTCCAATGGAGATACCGGGGGCTGGCGCGGGCTCGTTTCGCTTTCTCCTGGCGCTCGTGAAAACGGGGAAGTGCCGCGCCGCCAGCATCGAGATCGGACCAGCTGACCCGATCGCACAACGAGCGGCTGGTGACGCCATCGGAGCGATGCACCACACAAGGCCAGCAAGCGAGGGGCAACAGAGGGAAGCTCCTGCCGGCAAACAAACAAACAAACGAACAGCTGTTTCGAAAGACAGCACCGACGCAACAGCCCGCCGACACACCGACACATCCCACCAGCCCACCGGACATGTGTTTGACATGCGTCGAGGTGCACCATCGCAGCGCAAACATGCAGCCGCACGAAGCAGGGGCAGAGGGCAGCGTGCATGGAGGCCTGGGAGACATGACGGCATGGAGACGCCCAGGCAGAGAGCATGCTGACACGCCTCAGGCGTCGGTGTGCTGAGCAGCCTGGGCGGGTGGGGGGATGGATCTTGTTGCAGCCAAGGGAACGACGCAGGTCAGATGGGCAGCAGCACGCTGGGCCGGCAGAACCGTGGCGGCGCTGAAACCACTGGGCGGGCCAGGGCCGGCCCTTTGCCTGCCTCCTGTCCCCGGGCCTTTCTGGAGGCCGGCGTGTGCCAGGCAGCAGCAGGGTTGGGCAAGCAGGCCTTGCAAGCGCCGGGCGGAAACGCGACATCCAGCGCGGCGGGTCCATCGGGGCAGCGTGGTGCAATCGCCTTGTCGGCGAGAGAAACAGCGGCTGCCTGTGGCCTTGAAAGCGCAACGCAAATCGGCGAGAGGACAGCCGGATGCACGGCGAGACACCATGACCGAGCAGGAGAGGGAGACGGCCATGGGCCAGGCAGGAACGCGTCGACAAGGCCGCGGTCCATGATTTGTTTTGCGTTTTGCACACGGACGACTGTTGCGGGGAGGGGCTGAGCAGCAGAGCGAGCGACGACACATGTGCTCTGGCAGAGCGCCAGGGACAACGGCGAGGGACCAGGAGGCGGGTGCAGGAAGGGAGGCCGGAGATGCAAGAGGCGAGAGAAGTAGGATTGGCGAAACAGAGATGCATGCGATGCATGCGGTTGCTGTGGGTGCCGTGGGTGCTGTGGCTGCTGTGGTTGCTGTGGTTGTTGGTGGGTGCTGTGGTTGTTGGTGGGTCTCATTGACACTCATTCGTGCTCACCAGGAGACATTGTCAGCAGACAACATGGCGACTGAGGCAAACAGAAGAGAAAAGAGAGCACAAACGACCCGCGGGACGCGAATCATGTTGTGCGACACGGTGGGGAATGCGAGGACAGTTGTGGTGAGCCGGCCGAGGCAAATGGCGGGAGGCAAGCATGCTCGCAAGAAGACAGCGGGAATGCACAGCAAATAATGAATAACAGACAGACAGACAATGCACACAAACACAGGCCTGCTGTTTAAGGGTGGGCCATGCCCTTGTCCGATGGCAAACGTGCCGGGCAAGGGGCCGAGGTTGTCGGCGCCGGACGGCTGCTCAGCAAGCGTTTTGATAGGCAGGAGGAGGAGAAGGGGGGCCTTGTGCTGCCAGACCCGGCCCCCGCACATGGGCAACAATGTTTGGCGGCGCCGGGGCCGTGCGACGCAGCGGGGCTGCTATCTGCGCGGCTCGGCCACAGGGCAGCCACAGGTTAGCCACAGGGTGGTCATCGCCGGCAAGGCCTCGCCGCGCGAGTGGTTCGCGCTTGCGTCTTTCGGGAGCGCGGCGCCCTGCCCGACAACGCCCGTGGGCCGCTGTGTGTCTGCGCGGGCGCGTTGCGCGTCCGTCCACGCCGCCCATTGGCTGCCACACCCCGCCGCCGCCCCCCCTCCCGCCGGATTTGGCATTCCTGTGCGACCCACGGCCGCGCGCACAGTTGCACAGCGGCACGCACGCTGCGACGCGTCCTCGCCCTTGGCCAGCCGCGCCTGTCCTTGCGGGCCTTTGCGCTCTCCTTCGGCCCAATGTCGCCTTCGCCCCGCCTGCCGCCCTGAGAAGACGATAAATACGGCCCGCCTCCGCCCTCCATCTTCGGTCGCCACCACTCTGCTGCAATCGCATCGCCCAACGGACGACAGTCTTCAATCCCCTCCTCTAAATCTCCTAGACCACATATAAAAATGAAGTACACTGTTACCATTGGTGCTGGCCTCCTCGCCGCCGCTGCTGTTGTCAAGGGTGCCTACGGTAAGCTCTGCGACCTTTGCATGCTTGCCATCGGCTCGCTGCTGCTGCTGCTGCTGCTGCTGCTGTCAAGCTCGGACCGAAGACTTCGAACTGCCCTGGGCGGCAAGCAAGCGAGCAAGACTCCAGAAGCTAGCTGGCCCAGAGTGCCGCTGCGAGGGACAGCGTGAGAACATCAACTGCGCCGACGATCGACCCCAGACTTTCCGGCGACTCAGCTCTTCCAATGTCCTGAGCAAAATTACACCGGCAGCGGCAGCAGTCACCTCCCGCCCAAGTCTGCGAGGTCCTTCTCATCGACCCTGCTAACTCGTTTGCTGTTCACAGTCCCCCCCGTCTACGGTACTCCCTCCGCCGTCTCCTCGGCTGCTCCCACCGGTACCGCCACCCCCACTCTCCCCGTCTACGGCCAGCCCTCTGCCACTTCCTCGCTCGCTGCCACCGTTACTGCCACCCCTACCCCCACCATCCCCGTCTACGGCCAGCCTTCCGTCAGCTCGTCTGCCAAGGCCACCGTCACCACCCCCACCTACGGTACCGCCTCTGCCACCTCCTCCCTGGCTGCCACCGTCACTGCCACCCCCACCTCCACTGACGTCTGCGTCGTCAAGACCGTCACCGTCACCCCCACCTACGGCACTCCCTCCGTTACCTCCTCGGTCAAGGCCACTGCCACCACCCCCGCCTCCGTCCCCGTCTACGGTACCCCCTCGGCCACCTCTTCGCTCGCCGCTACCGTGACCGCCACCACCACTGGCACCGTCCCCGTCTACGGCACTCCCTCGGCCACCTCCTCGGTCAAGGCTACCGTCACTGCCACCCCCACTGGCACCCCCTGCACTGCTGAGGTTTCCTCCTCTGCCAAGGCCACCGTCACCACCCCCACCTACGGTACCGCCTCTGCCACCTCCTCCCTGGCTGCCACCGTCACTGCCACCCCCACCGGCACTGTCCCCGTCTACGGCACCCCCTCTGCCACTTCCTCGGTCAAGGCCACTGGCACCACCACCCCCACTGGCACCGTCCCCGTCTACGGTACTCCCTCGATCAGCTCCTCGGTCAAGGCTACCGCCACCACCCCCGTCTACGGCACTGCTTCCTCCTCCATTGCCGCCACCGTCACCGCTACCCCCACCTCTTCCGTCTACAAGAAGAAGTGCTCCAAGCGCCCCTCGGCCACCTCCTCCCTCGCCGCCACTGTCACCTCGACTGCCTCGGTCCCTGGCTACACCGCCTCTGCCCGCCCCACCGTCACCTCGACTGCCTCGGTCCCCGCTTACTCGACCGCCTCGGCTCTCCCCACCGTGACCTCCACCGCCTCGGTCCCCGCCTACTCGTCGGTTGCTCCCACCGGCACCTCCACCCCCGCCTCGGTCCCTGCCTACTCCACTGCTGCCTCCTCGGCCGCCCCCACTGGCACCTCGACCCCTGCTTCGGTCCCCGCCTACACCACCGGCGCCTCCTCCTCGGCTGCCCCCACCGCCACCTCCACCCCCGCCTACTCCTCGGCTGCTCCCTCCGCCACCTCCACCCCTGCCTCCACCCCCGCTTACTCCTCGGCTGCTCCCTCGGCCTCCTCCACTCCCGCCTCTACCCCTGCCTACTCTTCGGTCGCCCCCACCGCCACCTCCACCCCCGCTCCCTCCGCCACTACCCCCGTCTACTCCTCGGCTGCTCCCTCGGCCTCCTCCACCCCTGCCACCACCCCCGTCTACTCTTCGGCCGCTCCCTCCGTCACTCCCTCTCCTTCGGCCACCACCCCCGTCTACTCCTCCGACGTTCCTGTGAGTATACATTCTCCATCCGTGCTCTTGTGAATGCCATGCTGGACTCTGCCAAGTGACTGTCGCTGACTCTATTTCCCTCTCTCAGTCGGCCTCCACCTCCCAGGTCGCCCCCACCGGCTACAGCAGCGCCCCCGCTCCCTCGAGCTCCGCTGCCCCCACCGCCTCGGCCCCCAACTACTAAACGGGATGAGTCCTCCTGAAACTGTCACTGTGGCGTGACTGTCGCTTTCGCGCGCGCACTTTTTGGCTCTGTAGTTTTTGATACAACCTCTTAGATTGGTCTGCGTGAAACCCCGGCAGCCTCTGCCCCCCGCCTCCTCGCCACTCTCTCGAAGATGATTGCCGCCCAGCCGTCTGTCGACTGTTTCTCACTCTGCCTCCCGCTTTTCATTTCTTTTTCTTCTCCCCGCCTTCGACGTCGAATTCTTTTACCTTTATATTTGCACCTTGTCCAATCGTCCTCCATCTGTGTTACGACGAGTCTGTACGTTAAATGCCAATCATTAAGAAATCCTTCCAGATAAAAATGTAGACATCTGTTACAAAATATTGCTTCCGAGCCAAGCCAGATCTACTTTCTCTCCCCCAATCTATGGTGCCTGTCGGGAAATGTCTTGTCGCGGGTGTCTGCATTTTATCTTCAAAAAAAAAAACCCCCCCCCAACGAAAAACAGAAAATGAAATGCGAACTCCTCTCCGCTAACGATCCACAGAGGGCAGCCCACTTGAATTCTTACTTTCTTTTGCTGCCCCCTACCCTTCTTCTTTCTCCCCCAACAACGCTGATGTGCTTTTGTTTCTATGCGCTGTAATCCGAAAATATGAAAACGTCACAACTCTGCGAGGTTGAGCCTCATACGATCATCACTCCTGTCTCTCTCTGTGGCGAAGACTGGTCCCTTGCAATCGCTGCCGACTCGCAGACCAGCGAACATGGCGCTTTCGCTCCTGGTGTGTTGCTTCGACTCGTCACGTGGGGCTAACCAGGGCGGATCGTGTTGCCGAATTCCTCCCCGCTTTCAGAGCCACCCACCTTCTTCAGGCCGACCATCACTCCCATCGCCATTGTTCGTCTCCCTCCTTCCCCTTCCCCACATCGCGCTGCATTCGACCCCCTCGGCTATGGATCGACCCCTCGTAAAGTCAAAATGGCACTCGGATGACGAAGAGAGTGACCACAGCTCGTCAGCTTCGACAGATCTGCGATCCACCCTCGAGCCGTCCCGGACATCCGAATCCCGACCCCACGCCAAGAAGAAGATCAAGACCAACAAGCCGCCATTGTCATCGGCCTCGTCACTTGCATCCTCGGCCCACCCGACAGCCGTCCGCCCCGCAGGACTCTCCTTGAATGCCTCGCCCTCGGACTCGTCGTCCCTTGCCTCGCTCGAGCACGACCCCAACGACTCTACCCTCGGCACGAGCGACATCCGGCCACATACCCGCATCCATGAGTCGTCCGGGTCGGCTCTGCCCTCCAGCATGCCCGTGCCCCACCCCCGGACTCGGTCACCCATCATCGCCCCACTCGTGGGCCCGTTGCTCGGCGGGTGCCGGTCCGTCGACCACTACGAAAAGCTAAACCGGATCGCCGAGGGTTCCTACGGCGTCGTTTACCGGGCCCGCGATCGCCAGACGGGCGAGATCGTCGCCTTGAAAAAGCTCAAGCTCGAGAACGAAAAGAACGGCTTCCCGGTCACAACCTTGCGAGAGATCCACTCGCTTCTGATCTCGAAGCATGAGAACATTGTCAACGTCAAGGAGATTGTCGTTACCAACAGCTTGAGTGGGTATGTCGGCTTCTCCCTTCTCGCAATCGCTGTCTCTGGACATGTGCTCTGGATTTGTGTTCTGGATGGGCGTTCCGGCGTTGACCGGCTCGATAGAAGCCCCGGCTGGACGAGTGGATGCGGATGCACTCCTTGTCCGAGCCGAAACGATCCACTACCATGGCTATCGCCGGACCGCATGCGAACAGAGGCAGTTCAAAGTCACTGGATTCGATATGCTCCAGCAGTTCCGTGGGGAAGTGTACCCATCCAAGCAGAACAAAGAATTCACTTCGCTCAGCTGCGGCATCAGTCCGATTCTTGGCATGGAAGCGAGATTGGCTACTGACCTGCTTAACTATACTCTCCCACTCTCCCACTCTCCCACTCTCCCACTCGCCCACTCTCCCACTCTCCCACTCTCCCACTCTCCCACTCTCCCACTCTCCCACTCTCCTGCTTCCCTCTGGCTCCTCGATGCAGTATCTTTCTTGTCATGGAGTTTGTCGAGCATGACCTCAAATCCCTGATGGAGTCCATGTCCACACCGTTTCTCCAATCCGAGGTCAAGACCTTGATGATTCAGTTGCTCTCGGCCATCGCGCTTCTGCACCAGAACTGGATCGTCCATCGCGATCTCAAGACGTCCAACTTGCTCATGAACAATCGCGGTCAGATCAAGGTCGCTGATTTCGGGCTCGCTCGAAAGTTTGGAAGTCCTCTGGGGCACATGACTCAACTCGTCGTCACGCTTTGGTATAGGTGAGCCGGAGCAGCGCATTGTTCGGACTTGAGGCTTGATATCGAGCTCGTGGGCTCTGTTGGCCAGACCAAAGCAAGTTGTCGGGGTGGCGAGTCTCGACTGGAGCCGTTTCCCTCACGATCAGCCGAGTGCAGGGTCGACACGGCTGAATGACTCTGCAGATCGTGTCCTCGAAGTGTTCTATGCTCGGTCTCATCACTTGCGTACTAACGGCTCTTCGATTCCAGAGCCCCCGAGCTGTTGCTGGGGGCGACAGAGTACAACACTGCCGTCGACATGTGGTCAATCGGCTGCATCTTTGCCGAACTCGTCAACAAAGAACCGCTCTTCCCTGGTCGTGGCGAGATTGATCAACTCGGCAGAGTACGTTGGAACTAGGTGTGGAGGACCCTGGCACACCCGGGATTTGTCCTGGCTATCTGTGGGTCGCTTCGGTATGCGCGAGTGGCATCGTTTCTGCGCAGGTGCTCCTCGCAGCGTTGGAGGGCGACACCCGCTTGTGGACGTCTGTACGTTTGTTGACCAGGACACCTCCCCCCCCTTCATTGGCCCCCTATTGTTATGGAAACGCAATCCTGCAGGTCTTCAAACTCCTGGGCACCCCAAACGAGAAGTCCTGGCCAGGCATGATGAGCCTACCGGTGGCAAAGACAGTCACGTTCCCGAACCAACCGTGAGTTGCACCTTCTTGGCTGGCACAATCGATGCCGATATCACGCCGTTTCCATGGCATCGTATTTCTCGGATCCGTGTGTCTTATGGCGACCTGCATCTGTGCCGCATGTGTTTGTCGCTCGCCAATTCGCTCATCATCAGCTCCCTCCCCCCCCCCGCTTGCGCCAGAGTGAGCACCTTGCGGTCCCAGTTCCCATATCTGACCGAGAACGGTCTCGACTTGATGAACAAGCTGCTGGCATACGATCCAAAGAAGCGTATCACAGCGGAGCAAGCACTTCGGCATCCCTACTTTAGGTATTGCTTTGACTTTGCGCGCACCTCGGCATTCTAGTCTTCATGCTGTGGTATTGACATTCGATTGACATCCCATTGACACCCTCATTGACATCCCACTGACACCTCATTGATATCGCTCGGACTGTTGCTGTGTCGCCATATTCTGATACCTGCCGGCTCGGTATGCCCATCAGTGAGTCCCCAACGCCAAAGGATCCCAGTCTCTTTCCAACCTTCCCAAGCAAGTCGGCTGGCGAGCGACAAAAGCGCTACGACAGCCCCTCCGCCCCCCACGCGGCTCACGGCGACGGTGCCGGCGATGATGGACATGCCAGGTCTATCTTTGACTTTGAGAGCAAAGAGTCTGTGGGCTTCCGGTTGCGGATCTGAGGCTCTGTCTTTCTCTATCCGTGTGGAGCTGAGGCCCAGTCAATCGAATCGCACTGGCTTCGGTATGGACGAGGGAGGTGACTTCTTCCCACGCCTGTCAAGAAAATGCTCTCCACCATCACCACCCCTGTTTCGGATGACAGCGAATGCTCTTGGGCAACACGACCTGGTCCTGTACACGGGATCGTTCTATGGACGACAGACCAAGCACGCCGCTATCCGTCTGTTCGCTTGGGCACACCTGCCAAGCATCCCGTTTCAGCGTGGGTGGACCAAGTCATGGATCTGTTCGTGGGTGCCTTGGCCAACACAAAAGCGTCAAGCAACCCAGAAAGGAAGGCAGACCGCTGCGCACGAGCCTGCTCCTCGGCGAGAGCGGGGCGAGAGCGGGGCGAGAGGGCGAACGCCATCCCAGACATGCCGAAACGCACATCGCTCTATCAATTTTTTCTGCCCCCTCGCGGCTGCTCATCTCGGTCACCTGAAAGTCACGTTGTATGTGGCGCAGCAAAAGTTGGAATCCGGCCATGGTCGATTGACGGCATTTGGTATCACCTTGAGCCGATTGACGGTGGTGGTGGGCAATTGGTGTGGAGGAATGACCAATTGTATGATTGTTGGAAGCTCCACTCCGGTTGCGGACAAGAACCACCACCATCTGAATCTCTCTAGTTGGAAACCTAGTCAAGCGTGGCTGTGTGTCAGCGAGATGACATGATCGTTTGGCTATCAGGCAAGACTCACCTTGACAAGATGTCTTCCCACGACTGATTGAGCGAGCGATGCGTTTCTGGATCTGAATCAAGGACGCCACTGCACAGTATCTCTGCCAGCCCAAAATGTGCTGGTTTTGAGGAGATTCCTTCTTCCCCAAGGACAGAACCAGCCATCGCCGCTATTTTCTCGCCAGATGGCTCCCCGCAAGCGAAAGACACCACCCAGGCGACCAAGTGGATCCAGAGCACCCACAAGATCCTTGGTCTGCAGCAATGGATGAGCACCACACCAAGTCCCAAGATCCCCGGGTTGGCTCCCTTCCTGCAATACATTCGCCATGTGTTCAATGGAGACATGCTGGACAAACAGCTGTACTTCAGCCTGACCCGGCGACGGCGATTCAAGCGACTGGATCTCCACAGCAAGCGACAGCGCACCGTCCACGAGATATGCAAGCAAGTCATCGACCAGGCACCAAAGGAGACCGAAGTGGTGATTGTCTTTGGGAATGCCTCGTGGAAGCAGGGGAAGGGATATGCATCCAGTCCCAGGAGACTCAGGTTTGCCAAATACTTTGAGCAGTTCCACCACCACCAGAGACGACCACCAGACCGATCCGTCTCCAAGATCCATGTGTGCTCGGTGAACGAGTTCAACACATCACAGGTGTGCTCACATTGTCGGGAAGCCAAGCGACTCGAGAAGGTTGAGTATCTTGATATCGAGAAACCACACTTTGTCCGGAGCTGTGCAAGCTGCCATACGCTGTGGGATCGAGACATCAATGCAGCCAGGAACATGATCTCGGTATGCCAGTCGATCATCGTCCATGGAGATCGATCGGGTGTATTCAAGACTGTGCTTCCCAAACCAACCAAAACAAAGAGATTGCCAACCAAGACAGGAGTGCAATGCCATGGCCTGCCCGCTGGGCCTACAGTCAGTCAGTGGGCTTCAGACATCTGAAGCCAGAAAGTGACTGTCCCGTTTATTTCTGGATTGACTGTAAGTATCTCGCACTGTTCCTTGAGTATGTCGACAGTGGATGCCGGGTCGCCCATATTCTGGGCAGTCCACTTCGGGGTTGCCATCCCTCTTGGGATGGTCGATGGGAGGCGGTTGACTCCCTTGTGCAAAGTGTGTGTGTGTGCAAAGTGTGTGTGATGGCGAGAGGTTTCTCGCCTTCCCTCGGGGGTCTCTCGCCAGAGACTGCTCTTCTCGCCGACTGAGGTGGCTCCGAGAGCGCGTTTTGTCGTTCTCGCTCATTTTATTAACAACAATTTTTTTCATTGTGTCGTTTTCTGTCGCCGACCCTGGCTTCTGATCGACCAGGACCGCCCTCCATCCCATCCATGTCCAGCACATCGTATTTTGTCATCGTGGGTACGAACGCCTTTGCGCTGTAGCAGCCATCGCCACCGTTGCTGCTGCTGCTGCTGCTGCTGCTGCTGCTGCTGCTGCTGCTGCTGCTGCTGCTGCTGCCGCGACGCTGATTCTCACAGCCGCTCCCGCCGTCATCCTCACCCTGCCTGGCGTCGTCCAACTGCCCTTTGCGACCCTCTCGTCCTCCAGGGACAAAAGACAACCCCATCTACGAAGCCGAGTTCGGTGGAATCGGAGCTTCAAAGGATAAAGGGGTAATCGCCGCCGTTGCTTCTCTGCATTCTCTGGTCTGCTTTGGACTTGCGGGAGAAAGACCATCAATGAATCGGTGATCATCAAGACTGGCTTGATGCTGCTGGCGCCCACTGTTCCCTCGTTCATGGACGGTTGGGATCATTGCCCTCGCTCATGGATGGTTGGGCACATTACCCTCCTCTTCCTCGAGCGCCCTCGCCCAAGCCGCGCTCAACCCATGCAGCCATCATTTCAGCATCTTTGCGTGAACGAATTGCAAGTCGTCGCATCTCTGACCGCCGCCGTTCCGACACCCGCCAATTGGCGTATTCATCCCCTCCCCCCCCCATCGTTACTCCTAATCCACTCATCCACGCCCCTCCCCAAACTCCTGTGCAGAAAGAAGAGCATGTCCATCTGAATCAGTTCATCGTGCACTCGGCCCTGGACCTCGTCGAGGAGCTGCAGTGGGCGACTCAGTCTCCCTACCTCAAAGTCGTCGACCGCTTCAACGAGTGGTACGTCTCGGCATACGTAACCCCCAGCGGTAAGTCTGGACCACTTGCGACGCATTCTATTGCGCAAGATCGCATCGTACTGCATCCTATCGTATCACACATCACCCCACAATGTGTCCTGCGGCATTGCATCGCATCCGGCCGATGCCCCTATCGACCGATCCCAGCGATCGCAACTTCCAATCACCCCGTGCGGCTCCAGCCTATCCAACAACTCCATTGCTGACCATATCCCGTTGTCCGGACGCTGTCCCACCATTGTAGGGCCCAAGTTCATGCTGCTGCACGACACCGTCAACAACGACGGCATCCGGCAGTTCTTTGGCGAGTGCCACGAGCTCTACCTCAAGATGATGTTGAGCCCCTTCACCGAGATCAGCGCCCCGATTACCTCCTCTGTCTTCGATACCCGGGTGCGGGCGGCAGGACGCAAATATCTGTAGCCGACCGGCTCGACCCCAACATTCTCGAACGACCGTCGCGATTTCTTGCTTCTGTGCCTCTCCACCGACCCCCATCCATACAATCTGCCTCCGTATGTCGCCCCGGCGATGTAGGTCATCGTGGATATATTGGTTCGAGCGTCCTTCTCCCGTTTTCTTGGGCGGTCCTTCGTCTCTGTCTGCAATATCAACTTGGCTGTAGGTTTGCATCTGGGGCGGGCCGGCAAATACATGGCTCGTTTCTCTCAGTGCTCCGTCGACTCTATCGATATGCCCGACCATCCTCGTCAGTGGTGCTGGCTGTTCCCCTGCCTCAGGGCATGCTCCAGCCCACCAGGGCCTCAGTAGTTATCCAGATATGTGTCCTCGGCCGAGGTGATCCCCAGCATGGCCCCTATCCGCTCGAGCGACTCGCTGATCTTGGGCTGGAACGTGTCGTCGCCGTTGTGGAGCTGGGATGCAGATTTGCTGACCAGATTGCTCATGCTGCCGTCGAGCGTGGTGTGGACCGCCGGCTTGTCCAGAAGACTTTGACTCAGTGGCTGTCCGTGGTCGGAATGAGAGGGCTGCTTGGAGAGATCAATGTCAGCCGGCCCTGTTGGCTCGTTAATCCGAGTTCCTGGGCTTGCATGTCTATCTTGTTGCTCTTGGGGGTCGCCATGCGGCTCGATATGGTCGTAAGACCGCTGACCGCCATGGTCGTGAGAGTCTTGAAGCCCCAGACCACCTCCATGATACACATCGCCCCGTGCCTGGAAAGCGCCTGCAGATCCCGTCGGCTCCTGGTTCGCCTGCTGTTCTTTGTAGTCGATTGCCGCACCATCGTCGTCTTGGACAGCCAACTCGGCACCCAGCTCTGTTGCAGATGGCCCAGCTCGGCCACGGTGTAGCCTCTCGAGGCTCGCAAGGCTGTCCCGGATGCTGTCTCGGCCCGAGGTCGGCAGCGTCAGGGTGGCCGCATAGTCCAGCAGCTCCGAGTTCGACATGATCGTCAAGTCCCGCATGGCCTTGGTCTCCCTCGGGAACAGATACGGCTGCTGCGGTTGAAGGGGAGAGGCATCCGTCTGTTGCTGATGCTGTTGCTGTTGGCCAGGCGGAGCCGAATCGATGGCATGCTGGGATCCGCTCACACGGCGAGACGCCTGCGTCGACGACAACCCGGCTCCACTTTCGGGCGGCGACAGCGAGTGCTGGCTGACGCCTATCGACGGCGGAAGGTTCGGCAGTCGGGCCACAAACTCGACAAACTCGGGTGCCGTCATTTGCGAGAGCACGCCGGGCTCGTGCGCCAGGTTCTGGAGGCTGGACCTGATCGAGGTCGGCAGCGGCAGCGCAATCGCATATCGCAGCAGCTCGGCCGGGGTCAAGCTGGGCGTGCGGTCCAGGCGCTCGTTCAGAGCCGAAACCAGATGGGCCCGAGAGCCCCCTGCATCGAGTCGGTCGTGTGAAGCCAGCGTCGACGGCGGCAATCGTATGGACGCAGCCCACTCCAGGATCTGCGAGTCCCGCAGCGACCTTGGTGGACCGATGCGGTCCTGGCTCAGCGCATGGCCAGCCAAGGCAAGGCTCAGGCTCGAGTCAGGAAGTGCCGTTGCTATACCCCGGGCGAGCAAATCCGCCTGGGACGACAGCCGAGAGCGAGAGTGCGCCTGGGTCTTGTCCCGGGGCTGCGTCGAGCTCGGGCGGCCTCCATCGCCTGTGAGATGCTCTTTGCTGTGCGTTGATCCCCGTCCATGTCCTGGAGCTCCGGAGCTGGATCGGCGCTGCCCGCTGTTCCGTCCGGATCCACCCTTGGGCCCGGAAATCGGTGCATCGCCCGCCGAGGTCTTCTCTAGACTCTTCCGCACGGCCAGGGGCTTTGGTTCCGGTGTCTCAAGAACCTTGACCGACGACGACTCTGGTGGTTTGGCGGATTCTGTCTTCTTTGCCGACCATGCCCGTCTTGGGGGGCGTGCAGGCACCTTCTGGACAGGCTGCTGCACCTCGGCAGCCATGTTGCGCTTGGGCCTAGTCAGCCGCTCAAAGACGACTGCATCGATGGGCCGGAGCTTGGCATTGCGGTCAAACTTTTTTGGCGGGGGCTTCTGGTCGGCGCAGGTGTGATAAACGTGCGGCCGCGAGAGCTCGCGGATGCGCTCGGGGTCGGGTCCTTTGGTGCGGCAACTTGAGCCTGGAGCTATGTAGCTGATCTTGGTGCTGGCGATCGGTTTGGGTCCGGGGATTGGGCGGGCATAAAAGACCTCCTTTGGAACCACGGGTCTCTTTGGGATCGACGGCGCCCATCGCTCGGGGGTTTCTTTGGCCGGTGCGCTCTTGGGCCGTGGATGGGTGTACTTGCTCATCTATCGAGAGGGAGCATGGGACATGTCAATTCTGGGTGCTGCACACATAGCGAGCAGGGCAGTCCCTACGACGACCAAGCCGTGAATGACGGCAGCAATGCAGCACGAGAAAGCGCTTCCACAACAAATCACTCGCCTCTTTCTGATTATCTTGTTCCCATCTCACTCGAGCTCGGAGCAGGTCGCTGTTCTTGATTGCCGACCATGGGTTTGTCAGGCGCAGAAAGAGTAGTTTGTTGAGTTGGTCCATCTCCAGGCGTTGCTCTGCGGTCGTTTGCACAAGAGAGTGTGAGAACAGGGTAATGCATCTGCGACCGAATGCTTGGCAGTCGGCCCTCCATCGATCCAGCAGCCGTGCCAAAAAAAAAAAAAAAAACAGTCACCACAGCCCTTCGATCGGTTGGCAGCCTAATGTGCCGGCAGCTCACCTTCGATCAACTTGCCAGTCAGCGTCTCGACTTGCGGCTGGCGCTCAAACTCAATCCCAGAGAGCTTCACAATGGGGTTAAATTTCTTCCTGGACGACCGATGGATCTGCCCGGGCCGCGCCGGCTTGGGGTTCGGGTACTGGCTCAGGATCTCCTGGGCTGTCAGCGGGCGGCGCTCCTTGGGCGAAGGCGACAGCTCGTATTCGGTGCTGGATTCAACAAGAGTGCCCTTGGACGAGGGCTCCGTCAGTGCCGGGCTTTCTGCACTCGCGATCGACTCGGCATAGACGGGCTCCTCGGCCTTGCTCTCGAGATAGCGGATGTTGTCATCGATCCACTTTTTGAGATACTGGCGCACCTCCTGCCCAAGACTCTGGCAGGATTCAACCGACTCTTCCCGATAATAGTTGTTATCCTCGCCATTGTCGTAATCGTTTTCATAGTCATAGTCGCTGTTGTTGTCGTTGTCGCCGTTGTTGTTATTGTCGCCGTCGTCGTCGTCGTTGTCGTTGTAGGTGTCATTGTCGTTGCCCCGGTCACTGAAGGTGTCGGCAAGGTCGTGGAGCAGATTCAGATCCGACGGCAGTCGGTCGATATACCCGTTCTGTCGCCACGACCCCGTACCAGAGATGGATTTGGAGTCGTTGGGGTCCGATGGCAGCGAGCTGATGTAATTGAGCTCTTCCGAGTCGGATTCCTCCGGCTCGGGCGTGTGAAAGGAATAGTCCGAGTTGAGCGAGTAGTACGACTCGTGTCGCTGGGCTGCTTCCTGGACCTCGTTTTGATAGGCCTCGTCGTCGTTGGTGGCATAGTACCCACCCATATACTCGATGCTCGGCTCGTTGCCAAGGTCGAGCGGCTGTGAGGCCGTCATTGGGGCATCGCACGAGTCCTGGTCCTGCTGCTGCTGCTGCTGCTGCTGCTGCTGCTGCTGTCCGTCTGGGCCGTAGTCACCAGCGACCGGGTCCAGATAGGATGCAAGCGCATCGCTGGGCATTTGCAACTGCGTCGGCTCGGACCCGTGCTGGGACTGCGACTCTTCATTGCCACCGTCGTATCCAGCATCGTCTTGGTATCGGGAGCCATCTTGGGCCGCTTCGGGAAAGGAAGCAGTTGCATCGGCGCCGCTGCCCTCGGCCCGGACGGCATCGGGGTCCCCTTTCCTGCTGGACGAGACCGAGTACTGCTCAAAGGAGTGCGTCGAGTACGAGTCGTCGCTGTAGTGGACCGAGGGCGGCTTGAACGGCAGCTCGAATCGGTCGCCGGAGTAGGTGCTCGCGACCAGGGTATCGTTCATGCTCTTGCTGTGGCTTTGTCGCCGTTGCTGTCGTTGTCGCTACTATTGCTGGTGTTGATGTCGTCGCAGCTGCCTTTTCGATGTTGCGCTGGCGGCTCAGCCGATGGGTACTCGCCATAAAGCGAGTTGGCGCGCGGATAGGACGGACCGGATATTGGAGCGGCGAGGGGGATGAGGACGCAGTAGGCACAAGCGATGAATGCTCGGATGCTGGCAAATGTCACAGATGGCTTGAGGTCGGCTTTGATAGCTTACTGCCTGTCGTTCAGCCGCTCAGTCTCAGCCTGATGCCACAACCCAGAATCAGTGTGTCGTCTGTGGGCGTCCAAGAGATATGTCGTTTTTGGAGAGGCAGCAGTCCGTTCGGGCGCAAGACAGGCGAAGGGTCGCAGGTTGCATCGGATCCTGCTCGGTCAGAACCCTGATTCAGCCCGCAAACGGGGGGGATATATGGCCATTGTGGCCTCGCCCTCGATGCTGCCGGCCAGGTGATGTCAGCCATCGCTGGCAGCGCTATGAATCAGCGGCCGCCAAACGTCATCATCGGCCAACCCCCACTCCCCAGCAGATCGACGATGCCGGACATATCTCGATTCCAAAGCCACTATCAGAGGACAACCCAAGCACATTCACCGACGAGGTTTGCCCTGCACGCGTGGGCATGTTGCGTGAAGCATCATGGCTGCCGCTGGACCCATGGACTTAATTCGCAGACCGCCGAGATGATCAGCTTGTTTTGCAGATGCCATTGTTGAACTACATATTCGATTGATACTGACTACAGACCACACCTTCAGCCGAAATGGGGCAGTGTCTTGTATTACAGGCAATCCAATAAAAAACGGGACACCCGGGTTTTTGACCATTCATCGAATAGTTTGTTACCCAATGTGATCGCGCGCTGGCCATGACCATTCGCCACACATCCGACTTTCGCACCGCCGCATTGCGATGCTACGCCCTCATCCATAGCCTGCGTAAGGTCGCCTCCATATTCAGTGTATCCAAGAGCACCATCCATCGATGGCACCGAGGATGCAAGCTGGATGACCCACCCAGAGTCCCAGCTCGCAGATCCACTTTCTTTGAGCAGGCATGTCCAGTCATTCGCACCCTGATTGAACAGGACCCGTTCCAGACTGGTCCTGTGCTGCGATGCAAGCTCGAGTCCATCCTCCAGAGGAAAGTATCACTCTCACTCTGCCACACTGCCATCCACCGAGCAGGTCTCTCACACAAGAGGGCAACACACCTCTACAAGTCCAAGCGACTGGATGAGCGAGTGGCACAGTTCAGGGACCAGGTCCGCTCCATTGACCCACGACGATTCGTTTTTGTCGATGAGACAGGGATCAGGAAATCCATTTTTCCTCTTTACGGATACTCACCGAGGGGTGCTCCGCTTCGCCAGCGCAATCACATGAAACACAAGTCTGTCTCGGCTGCATTTGCCATCAACCACTCTGGTGTGCTGCATCGCATGTACATCCCCACATCATTCAAGACACACTCGATGGTCGAGTTCTTTGAGCGAGCGACCTTCCCAGACGACTCTGTGATTGTGATGGACAATGTCAGCATGCACAAGACAATGCCTGTCCTGGACTGCATCGAGCGCCGAGGATGGTCAGTGATCTTCACCCCACCTGCTTCACCCGACTTCAATCCCATCGAGAACTTCTTTGGGGCTGAGTCCCCACCGATTTGGGGTTGAGTTCCTCCAATTTGGGGTTGAGTTCCCCAATCACGCCGCCATTTTCGCGTTCACATCCCTGGCTTGAACCTCTCGGCGATTTTTGAACAGGGTCACTTCCCCAACCAGCCCGCAAAGTCGGGCTCCTGCTCTCGGGTATAAATGCCACACCTTCGTCCTGCTGCTTTCTTCCCTCATCTCGCCTTGATCTGATCATCGCGCTATTGTACGATAAAAAAAAGTCTCTGCTCTGACCAGTACCACTGGCAGGCATCCAGCATCCTCTGCCCCCATGCCTCCGAAGCGCAAGGGTGCCGGTGATGGCCAGCCTCGGCCACCCAGGCCCAAGAAAGCCAAGTCACAGTCGGAGCCTGTCTCTGGTTCGTATTCTGATCCCACGCATGCTTGTTCCTCTGTTGCTCCGTCGCTCACCACCACTGCTTCTGCAGATCCAATGGATGTCGATCCCACCGAGCCTGGTCCATCTACTTCCTCGAGTACCAGCAAGCGATGTCGCCAGTGCGATGGCACCGATCACGAACGTTGCAACACCAGCAAATGTCCCAAATACCGGCCCCTCAAGAGCTCCGTCGTCCCACTCGTGGATGGAAGGTCATCCGCCCCTCAGTTCAGCTGCTTCAAGCAGACGATGGATGGCTGTTGTCTCAATCCCGCTCTCCGCGACAAGATCCAGGCCACCGTCGAGGCCATGACCCAGATCCAGTTCGAGGCATCCAGGCTGCTCAACCTGCACATCCTCCGGTGCATCGAGCAGGATCTTCCCGTCCCCGTCATCTCCAAGTCCACCCCTGCTTTCGTTCGCCAATGCTTCAGGATCGTCCAGGCCGATGCCCTCTCGCCGACCGGGGACAATGAGAAATACAACGAGCATCTGGTCGCTTCCTTTCGCGACTACCAGACCACTCGGCACGCAGACCTGCCTCCGGCCCCTCGTCTGCCTGATGGTGCTCACAGTCAGCTTCTCACACTGGCTGTCAATGCCTATGCCACCAACTGCACCACCCACCTCGACCTGGCCTACTGGCGACTCCTTCGCCGCTTCTGCGCTGCCGTCTTCCCAGCCAACAAGCACAAGCACGAAGCCATCGAGGCCTGTCTCGAGCTCTTCGAGAAACCAGGGCAGACTCCACCCAAGGCCGATCTCGAGTTCCTCTACCCGGACTTTGGCCACATCCTGGACGAGTTTCGGTACAGCAGCGACCAGGACCGCTTCCGGGCCCTCCATCGCCTCTCACACCATGTGGGAATCCTCGCCCGAGACAAGATGGTCGACAATGTCCACAAGTGGATCGACTGTGACATGCCCGCCCTCCGAGTCACCGAGCTGCAGCGCCAGGCCAAGCTGGACAAGCTCACTACCCAAGGCATTCCCTCCGACGACAAGAGGTTCACCACGGCCAAGTCTGAGCTCGGCACCACCAAGTCCAAGATCAACAAGCTGGCATCCAGGATCAACTGGGCCCTCAAGCAGCTCGCTCTCGACACTCCTCCGGCCGTGTGCACGATGGTCCCTCTGTGCACAGCCACGGCCAAGTATGTCAAGATCGACACCGTCGCACTCTGGGAGCTCCTGGGTCCAAAGAAGCGCCTTGGACTCACCAGGGACAAGCTCAAGGAAGAAGGTGATGACGGTGTCAACAACCAGGATCGTCTCTGGCGCAGTTGCTTCAAGCTGCGTAGTTCCCTCTTCCAAGAACGGGACGTGGACAAGAAGCTGTTCAACTACGAGATCAGCACCGATGGCATTGGATGCACCATCGGCCTCGTCAAGTTTCTGCCTCGAACCGATCACACCGAGACCATCGAGCCTCCTCCGACTGCCGAGCAGCGTATCCAGGAGCACATTGGCGACCCAGACCCCAACCGCACCACTTGGATTGGCATCGATCCTGGAGTCGGCTCCATCTTCACGGCGGTCATCCAAGCACCGGGCCACCAAGACGAGGTGGTCTCATTCTCCAATGGCCACTACCAGCACATGTGTGGCCATACGTCCAACACCAAGTGGCACAACACCATGAAGTATCGACTCAGCATCGAGACCTGGATGTCGACCACCCCCTCGCCCAAGGTGTCGTCCTCGGAGGCTTTCAAGGTCCATCTCACCCATGTCCTGCGACCGGAGCTGCGAGTGCAGCTCGACTTCCACCTTGGCAAGAAGGCTCGTCACCATCGCTTCACGGGCCACAAGAGACGCCAAGTGGCCGTCGACAGGATGTGCAAGGCCGTCCTGAAGCACGCCCCGAGGGAGAAGGATGTGGTGATCGCCTTTGGCAATGCGTCATGGCGACAAGGCAAGGGCTATGCATCCAGCCCTCGGAGGCAGCGGTTTGCTCGGTACTTTGAGCAGTTCGAGCACCACCGACGCCGTCCCAATCACCCTCATGGAAGCGTCAAGGTGGCCTCGACGAACGAGTTCAACACCTCGCAAGTGTGCTCCAAGTGCCTGGAGCCAGTTCGGTTGGAAGGACTCGATGCGCCCAGTGTTGCGAATTCCCACTTTGTCAGGAGCTGCAAGAATCCCAGCTGCCGGACAGTGTGGAATCGCGACGTCAATGCGGCGCGCAACATGATCGCAGTGTGCAGGTCGATTGTGGAGATCGGAGAGCGACCGGTGGTCTTCACTCGGAGGCTGTCAAAGTGATCTGTTTTATTTCTTGTGGCTTTGCTAGACGCGAGCACAACACATACTACTGTTCATGGAAACGGCTATATTGTCCCGTTTTTTTCTGAATAAAGTGTGTCTGGATGTGAATGCACGCACATATATCCCGTAGAATCAGAGCAAGGGCTACGGTTCTGGTTCCAGTTCCGGCTCCAGTTCCGGCTCCGGGTTTGTCGCCCGAGGCTCCTTGGCTGTTCAGAGCAGCTTTACTTTCACCCGAGGAAGGAGCGACTGGCACGGGTCTATTGGCGGCGTGCTCGGTCGAATAGTCCAACATCTCGCAGGGTGTGCTCACGCTGCAGAGGATGTGGCCGGCGAGCCACAATCCATCGATCTGCTTGCACCACAAACCAAGATCGATGCAGCCAGGGATATGGTCACAGTATGCACGCCGATCATCATTCAATGAGATCCACGCTGATGAGCACTGCTCAGCAACTAGACTTTGATGAGGTGGCTTTGCGAAACAATATCGTTCAAGGTGTCCTTGCGCGCCCACCAGAACGGCTCCTCCTTGGAAATGTGCTTTGCCAGCACCTCAAAGAGGGCGTGATCAACCTTTTCGATGGCACTGTCGACAGCCAGCGCTCGCTCGCTGCTGCTCTTGAGCTCATGGTAGATGGGCTTCTCCTTGAGGGACTCGATGAGCTTGTTGCGGGCTTCGTAGACAGCCAGGGCCGAGTCCAGCTGCTCGGTCATGTTCGTAGCGCGGTGTTCGTGCGATGGATGGGTGCTCAGGAACTCAAAGTCGTCCTCGTTGGCGCTGGCGCTTTGCTTTTGGAGCTCATCCAGGGTCACCCAGAAGTCGACGGCACCCTTGGGGTTGTATCCTGCCATGGCCATCAGATACAGGCCAATCGTGTCGGCCTCTGTCTCGCACATCCGGCTGTATGGCAAATCTGTCACGATCGGCTCCATAGTCTTGAGACTCATCCCGACAATGTCGCCGACGAAAGGTAGATTCACAGTCATGGAGTAGACGGTGCTGTGGATTGTGTTGAAAACCAGCGACGTAATGTACTGGATGCTGTCGCAAGCAAGACACAGTCAACGGAGCCACAGACCGCATCGTGGTATTTGTTCAGGTGTTGCCCGAGTGTTGTCGAGATGATGCAAACGACAGATCCCGAGCGTCAGTAGTCTACATCTCCATGGGGACTCCCTCTGCATCGGAGATCCGTGAGTCACTTACCCTTGTGTTTCGCCGCTGTGTCTCGACAAAACGTGAGCCAGTTCGTGGGAAAGCACCGCGGCTATGGGCGAATGGGATGCGACATAGACTCGGTGGTCAGCAAGGGGGGCTGCTATTGCGCCTGCGTCAGGTAGGGACGGGACCGGTGCGATGGCGAGCCCGTCGCATGCGGCTGTGGCCACGACCGAACCTACCAAATGCATCGAGCGACGGAGTCACCCGCATCAGACCCGTGAACACAAAGATCTTGCCAGACGGGATGACAAAGGCGTTGACAATGTTGTCGTCGTTGACCACAAAGACTTCCCAGGGACGCACTGGCCCAACCACGGCGCAGATGTCGGCGGCAACTTGGTGGACCAGCTTGACGTCGGGATCGCTGCTCGGCAGGAGCTTGTCCTGATAGGTTTGCAGTAGCTCGGCAAAGGCTTCGTCCGACTGTTTCAGTTCAGAGGCCTCGTCAATCAGCATTAGCCGACCCCGCTGGGTCAGAGGATGTCTGGACGCAGTGCAGTCGCCGTGGTCCGTTTGGGGATCGTGGATGAGGAACAGGGGCACAACATATGAGCATGCGCAACCACACCTGAGTTGCAGAAGACAGGGGCGCAGCATGTCCATGGTCCACGAGCACCACCCAAATCAATATCGGTATACTGCAAACGACTGAGCCCATGCTGTCCGAATGGTGTCGGGGAGGGCCAGCCGGACTCGGGGTCGCTGGCCTTACCGTTCGTAGGATAGGCCCACAAAGATGACGGTTCCCGTCAAAGGCAGGGACGCCAGGGTCCACATCGTCTTAGGGTATCTGGAGAACCAATTCCAGCGGTAGAAAAATGGAAGCGCTGCGGAGGGGTGGAGCAAAGGCAGGGGATCAGACAGAAGCCAAGATCAGCCTCGGCTGGACACCGGCGCTCGTATGAAAGGGGCTGGCTCGGCGTGCTTGCTGCCAACCTGTCACCAAGGCTCTGGTGCCTTGGACGAATGCCACGGCGACGCCGCCAAACAGCAGGGTCTTCTGCGCTGGCTGGGTCGAGTGAAATCCGCGGCTGCGGACCAGTGCGTTCGACGGGTTGTGGATCTGCAGCCCTCGGGAGATTCTGGGCGTTTGGAATCGCAGGGCCGCTGGCACAGACACGGGGGTGCGCAGGGCCAGGAGCCCTGGCCGAGCCACAGCCGGGAGCCTCAGGGCAAGTCTGGACTGCATCGTCAGAGTCTGGGTCAGGAATAAGCGGTGTTCGCTGGACAGGCGCTGCAGCCCAAGGCAGAGGGAATGAGGCGGGTGAGGAACGAGACGAGGGGAACGACGGCTGTTTTGTGTGCGCGCTATTTCGGGACGGCCGCGCAGGCCAATGGCAGCACAAGGCACCGCCACCCTGGGCTTGGCACCAGAACCATCCACGGCCCATCCACGGCCACCCACGATCCAGATCACGCCGCGGCAACTTGGTGGGTGGGTGTTGTGGAGCAACATCGGCTGTATACTCTCGGCGCCGACAAGCGCCGGCACCGGGTGCACTTCGCATCGGAATACATGGATCCATGATGCCAACACAGACAGTCTAGATCTGATGGAGCTTCTCCTTGCCCCAGGAGTAGGCGCTGTCGGCCTCTTGTTTGACTCCGGTGGTGTGGAACGGATCCGTCTCGACGAGATGAGGCCGTTCGACAAACTCGGTGCCCTTCATCACGATCAGCCGCAGGCAGGCGGCAGCCGAGAGACTCCAAAAGAGCAGGTAGAAGAGCTGTCCGGACAGGCGCTCTGAGCAGACCAGGATGCAGATACCGCTGGGTCAGTCAAGCGATTCCGGGCCGCGGGGGGGGGCGCAGATGGTTGCGAGCGCTCAATGGCATCCCTTGACTTACCGAATCGCACCGACAGGACCACGAACGCCATAAAGATGGAGAAAAGGGCGCCCAGGGGGAGCTGGAGGCGCGCCAGTCCAGGACAGCGCATTGTTCGAGGAAGGTAGCATGTTAGACCGGCGTAAGTCAATGAGCCACAGGCAATTGCATCTCGCAACATCGTCCCTTCCCTCTCCTGCTGCAGCGGATTTACTTACAGCAACATGATGAAGCTTGAGCTGGCTCTTGAACGGCGAGACGCCGGCGCTGACCTGGTACTTGCCCAACAACAGGTCAAACGAGTCCTGGCGCGTGCCATCAAAGTAGTTGTTCTTTACATATCGAATCAGCGAGTTGGCGCCATCTTGCAGCAGGCCGCCAAAGCCGCGCTTGCCCGTGCGGGTAAAGTCAGTCTTGAGAGCTCCTGATCCAGAGTACTGGTTGCTGATGGCATCGGCATTGTCCGCCCACACTGCAGGGGAAAAGTCCACAGCCGAGACGCGCAGCAGACGCCGATGGCAGTTAGAATCACGGCTCTTGCTCGTGTGCATCTAGAGATGCGACCTCAACCAAGGGCGTGGCCAGGGTGACGGACGGCCGCCCAACCGGCCTGGCGACGTACCGTTCTTGAACATCTTCTCAAAGTCGCCTGTATCTTCGACCGACTCCCGGGGACCCAGGATACCGAGATCGCGCAGCTGCTGAGTGAGCACACGCCGGGCAAAGACGCTCTGCACAACGTTGGTGCGATCCAAGCAGTCCATGCAGTTCGTTCGGATGACCGAGGACTGGACCTGGAGCAGCTGGTCACCATCGACACGGCAGTACCTGGAGGCAGCCGGGTCATCAGTAACTTGCACATTTCGATGGGGGGGGGCACAATGCTGCCGATGTGGTCACTCGGGCAGCAGTCCCACAACTAGGGCTGTCAGCGCACTTACCCTTGCTGATCCAGCTCGTCCTTGATGCTGTCAACCAGGATCGAGATGCGGTCCCATCTCATCTTGCGGCATTCGTGGTGGAAGTCAAAGTGCACGTATCTAGCGGGTTTGGGTTGGCCCAGCTCGGGATGCATCAGCGAGAGCATCACCGGTGGTTGGCGCTGGCTCGGGGGTAATGCGGTGGCATGTGCTTGGGCCTGGGAAAGCCACTGTTGTCCCATGTCTTGCTGCCACACTCACCTGATGCGGGGGTCACTCAGGTTTCGGACATGATACTCGAAGTCGTTGGCCAACTTCAGCTCGCCGCCTTTCTTGTCGATCAAGTTGACGGCGATTTGGTTGCCGTAGCGCTTGATCTGATCGACAAAGTGCTTTCGGAACGCCTCGCCGGTGATCAGGCCAGAGCTCTCGATGACCAGCTTGGGCTTGTACTTGACATTGACAACCTGTCTCCAGAAGAGCGGGATAGATCCGCGCGTCTGAACAAAGGACACTCGCTGGTTCGTCGCGGTGATGACCAGCTGCTCGGTCTCGACGTAGTTGGACACATTGCCCTCGATGTCAACTCCGCGCGAGTTGTAGCGGGTGCCCGCGCGATACTTGCTCCTGCGCGAGATGAGGGCGTAGGTGAACGGCCTGGCGTTGAGAGAAACGGCCTGGATCTCGACAACTGAACGGCAGAGAGATTGACGTGTCAAGGAAGCTCGGTCAGTAACCGATGAATCTGCTGAATGGCCTCCTGCTCCACTTGGTTGCTGTCGCCACGCCTCGCTGTCCGTGATTCAGCCGCAACGTGAAGACGAGACGCTTTGCGAGTAGCCTTACATCCACAGATGATCGGAAGGACGAATCTCGAAATCTGGAGCGGGAGAGCGTATCAAGTCGATCAGCCAACAGGACGAGCACTCTGGAGCAGCTGCCGCCCTTGCGCCCTATGATGCAGCGCGGAATAGACTCATTGACTCAAGGGACTCTGCGACAATGGAAAGTATACCTCGTTGCTGTCCTTGGTGGCGAGCTGGGTCAGCGGAGCGCTGAGGTATTCGTTCCAGAAGAACCGGTCGTCGGCCTGATCGCCAGATTACGAGACCGAGACATGATCAGTCTGCAGGAAACGAGGGCGTGGCAGCTCGGTAAAGTCCTAGCACCCACAGGTGGATATCCCGGGTCTAGAGCAGCCCATATCCGCCAGGGCTCGCGGCGATCGAATCTCAAACGCACCGTTCTCCAGAGGGGCTCCGAGCTCTTTGGGAATCTGGTTTGCTGGAGACTGCGGGTCAGGTCCAGGGTGTAGGAAAAGTAAAAGTATCCAGATCCTAAGAGGTCGTTCAGGAGGCCGATATAGACACCGTCGTCGCGGATCTACCCAACCCAGTCAAAGACATGCATCAGTAATGTGTGCATCGCCAACTACAATCAGCACAGGAATGAGTGGGCACGCCAGGCAAGTCTCACGATACATCATGTCACTGGTGGCGCCGCCTCCCACCTGCTGCTCCGAGAGATGCACAGTGCTCTTGGTGACCGACACGATCTTGTGTCCGGTGAGCTTGTAGATGTCATTTCCATCCAGACGACCCAGCTTGGTGCGGTTGGTGACGACGATGAGGTGATCGCCTGTAGAGTGGGGCACAGCCAGGGATGGACATCCGGGAGAAACTGAGTGAGCCGTCTGGCCTTGCGGGATGCATTCGCAAGGCAAGCTGGCTGGTGGTGCCAAAAAGGAGCTGGAGCAACCCCGACGGCGACGGGCGTGATGTCGACGTACCGCTGTTGAGTCGGATGAGGCCGATGAGTCCGTGGATCGTTTCTCCTTGGGCATCGAAGCTGGGCGAGTATGCTGCCATCAAGAAACAAACGGGTAAGCCAGCGATAGCCGCCCGCCTGGACAGCTGTGCCTGTTGCAGCTGAGATCCGATGGAAGCACAGCAAGGATGGGCTGCGTTGATCCGTCTCTCCTGAGGAGCGGCTGGCTTGGGTACGACAACCTACACTGCAACGAGATGGCAGAGGTGTCTCGCTGGATGACCACGGCTTCACGGGGAGAGAACGAGTCCAGGTACACAGGCTCGATGGCCAATGAATCGGACGAAGTGTAGCTGGGCAGAACGGAGGGAGCGAGGCTGTCAGCTGTCGAGCAAACCCAGGGATCGAATGCTGCCGTGGATTTGCGCCGGAGCCCGCCGACAGAGCACCGACGACGCATTGATCCTTACAGCTTCAAGGACTCGTGGACCGCGGCAGCCATGTTTTGAGACGGTGGCGGTTGCTGGATGAGGCGGGCGATGGAGGCGGGCGATGGAGGCGGTCTGGGCCGTCTGGTGGAGAGGGCCTGGTGCTTTTTGGTGGAGGCGACCCGGCTGTTTGGCGGAGGGCTGGGCTGGCCTTGCGGCTTGCTTCTGCCAGGGCCGCCGCGCCCTTGCCCTTGCCCTGCGCAGCCGACTGCGCACAGCCCCAGTCCTGACGCGCCTGCCGCGCACAAACACACGCTCGCATGTGATTGTCGCGGGGTGGTCACGGGCGCGCCCTTTTGCTGCGAAAGCACATCGACAGGCGAAAGCACATCGACATGCGAAAGCACATCGGCAGTTCGCATAGTGCGGACTGGCATTCAAGTCGGCGGGATGGATACCAGAACGGACGACATGATCAACGGCACGGGCAGTCTTTCCACTTGCCTTGCACTTTTCTGCATTTCCCCTGCATTTGCCTTGCACTTTCTGCATTTGCCCACACGATGCTATTCATAGCATGCACGGTCACCACCCGCAAACAACCCCGTCTGCCGCTTGCGCTGCCCGGGAAAACGCCCCCGCCTGTCCAGCCCCATCTGTGCACAAGATCTGGGCCTTTGTCGTCGGCAGTACCAACCCCCTCCTTTCCGCCGCTCCGGTTTCAGGCCACAGAGCGTGCGTTATGAAGCACATCTTTGGTCCGCCCTCGCCTCGGAACGGTCGGCAGCGCCATCCCACGCTATTCGCCCGTTCGGCGGCTTTAGCCTATTCGATTGGCCTCGCCTGATGCCATCCCCGGATCACACCCGCTCTTCAATTTTTCAGCCTCCGCGCAGCCCCTCCCCCCACACACATTGAAAAGCCCGGTCGTCCCTCCGTTTGGTTGTCCAGACGGCTTTGCTCTCCTCCTCCTCTGATCTTGCCTCTGTCTCCGTCTTTGGATCCGATTGCTCGAGTGCTCGCTACCATGTTTCTGAGTCGAGTTGCTGTTTCCCAGGTGCGCCGCGGCCCTCTGTCCTCCCTCCGCTGGTTCTCGGTCTCGGCCATGGCCTTGGGCAAGATTTATCCCTCGGCCACGGAGGCGATCAAGGGCATCGAGAAGAGCCAGACACTGCTTGTCGGCGGCTTTGGGTAGGTTGCGTCGTTCGGGTGGGTCCGGGTGGGTCTGGGGCCGAGCACACCCTCCGCGACTCTTGTCGGGCTTTCTGGACTCTGCGGTCGGCGATACCTGTCCATCGACAGCTCCACATCGTCGATCGCGCACGGAAATCAGTCCCGGGCTCCACAGACGCATGAACGTGGCAGGAGGAGGAGGAGGGGCAGCAGGCACGCCCTGCCATTGTCGTCCTGGTCGGATCTTCCGCACACGGTTTCGACCGCCGTCCACACAACCAGCTCCGACTCCGACCACGCGGCGCATTGCTGACATCCCTCCGCCTGTGCACTCCTCGCCTCGGCACTCTCCAGCCTCTGCGGTATTCCCGAGAACCTCATCGCCGAACTGAGAAAGAACACCCACATCAACGACCTCACCGTCGTCTCAAACAACGCTGGGTAGGCAACCGCCACGCTGGTGCGATGCGATGCGATGCGATGCGACTTGGTGTGGTGCTAGTGCCGGCCTTGTGCAATCTTGATCTCGTCGACCGCGCTTTGCTCACCGAGCTTTCTCCCATCCATCGGACCTCAGGGTCGACGACTGTGGACTCGGCCATCTCCTGAAGACCCGCCAGGTCTGCATCGCTGTCGTGGCTGCTCGTCCTGGCTGTGTTGCGTTCGCAACAGGCAGTGCCGGGCGCACCATTCTCGATCTTGGCCCGTCCGCTCCGCTCCACTGCATCTCGTTGCTCATGCGTTGTGCATTCTGCCCTCCAGATCAAGCGCATGGTCAGCTCCTATGTCGGCGAGAACAAAGAGTTTGAGAACCAGTATCTCAACGGCGAGCTTGAAGTCGAGCTCACTCCTCAGGTATTGTTTTTGTTCTCCGCGACCCACTGCATCGCCAGAGCCGCTCTCGGACACGGCCACGCACCGCAAGTCCATCTCGACTGACATGCGCATCGTCTGCTCCTCTGGGTTTTGTCGCTATCTTGCAGGGCACTTTGGCTGAGCGTCTCCGCGCCGGCGGTGCCGGCATCCCCGCCTTTTGTGAGTACTATGCATTGTATAACCGAGTCGGGCTGGAGGGCTCTTGCCACCTGGCAGCAGGCCATCGAGATGGGAGGGACCCAATGCAGTCGAAGGAAATCGAGTGCAGTTCGAGGAAACTCAGTGAGATGCGCTGTTACCGACTCGACCGCGATCCTCATGCCCCTGATGCATCACTCGGACAGATACGGCCACCGGCTACGGCACCACTGTCCAGGAGGGCGGTATTCCCATCAAATACGATCCTGCTGGAGGCCGCGGCAAGGTCCCTGCGATTGTCAGCGAGCCCCGCGAAACGCGCGAGTTCCACGGACGCAACTACGTCATGGAGAAAGCCATCACCGGCGATTATGCTCTGATCAAGGCTTGGAAGGCTGATACCGAGGGCAACCTCATCTTCCAGTAAGCATGCAAGGGGACTTGCCCCAACTCCCTTCCCACTGGCTTGTAATGCACATCCGTCACCAACATCCGATGTGGCTCGTGCAAACGCCTGCGAGGCAATGTGACTGATATCGATCGCTCTGGCTCCATCAGCCGCACTGCACGCAACTTCAACCCTGCCATGGCCCGCGCCGCCAAAGTCACTATTGCTGAGGTAAGAGCGCGCTGCAATCGGCCCAAGGCATTGCAGATCGAGTCGAGTGTGCTCGCAGCTCCCAAGGTCCCTTGTGTTATGCTCTTTAGTCTGCTACTTGGGATGTAGCTGATGACCTGTCTGGCTGACCCGCACATCTGCCAACGAAATAGGTTGAGGAAATCGTTCCAGCTGGCACGTTTTCGCCAGAAGACATCCATCTTCCAGGAATTTATGTGCATCGCATCATCAAGGGTGAGAAGTACGAGAAGCGCATCGAGGTTGGTACCGATATCGCTGCGGGTGTATTCGCGGAGCAGTTTCCACTATTGCAGATCCCGTGGCTGTACCTGCCATTGGCTTGCAACTCACATGGATTGTATCTTGCTGGCCCGGCCTCCTCCCAACTTTGACCGTCGCGCAGCGTCTGACCCTGAACACTGGCGATGGCTTGAATGTCCCCGGCAAGAAGGGCACTGGCCAGCTGCTCGATGATGCCGCCAAGCGCCGCGAGCTGATTGTTCGTCGTGCCGCCGCCGAGTTCAAGGATGGCATGTACGTCAACCTGGGCATCGGCATGCCGATGCTGGCCAGCAACTACATCCCCGAGGGCATGACCGTCCACCTGCAGAGCGAAAACGGCATCCTCGGCCTCGGCCCCTTCCCCAAGCCCGGCGAGCAAGACCCGGACCTGATCAACGCAGGCAAGGAAACCGTCACGCTGCTGCCCGGAGCCTCGATCTTCTCGAGCGACGACTCGTTCGCGATGATCCGGGGCGGACACATTGACCTCACCATCCTCGGCGGCATGGAGGTCTCTCAGTCCGGCGACCTCGCCAACTGGATTATTCCCGGCAAGATGGTCAAGGGCATGGGCGGCGCCATGGACCTGGTTGCCACCGAGGGCACCAAGGTCGTGGTAACGATGGAGCACACGGCCAAGGGCGGTCGGTCCAAGATCCTCGAAAAGTGCTCACTGCCGCTGACCGGCAAGGCTTGCATCGACATGATCATCACCGATCTGTGCGTTTTTGAGGTCGATCGGGACCGCAAGGTTCTCCAGCTGGTGGAGCTGATGCCGGGTGTCACCGTGGAAGACGTCAAGAAGAACACAGGATGTGCCTTTGAAGTGGCTCTGAGGAACTAATGTACTCATCCTGCTCGATCGACCCCTTCTCCCCTCCTCCGCCCCATTTGTCCCCGAACTCGTCATTATTCCCTCTGCCCTCGCCAAATGGCTCTCAATATATACTTATTCTTGGGTATCAGAGCAATGTCCTCGAAGAACAAGAGGCATCGTCCCCTGTCCAAGGCCCGTCCAAGGCCTGTCCAAGGCATACTCCTCCCTCCCCAACAAGCGGCATCCGATAATGATGACTCGTTGGGTCCGCTGCGAGTCAAGTATAAGGTATGTATTAGGCTATTGCTGTCGATGCCGAATGAAATAAAGCGATGCCAGCGGCAAACGCAGCCGGGATTGGATGCATCCGGTCGGGAGGTGGGCTCCCTTCCATCGTCTCATCCCGGAAGCACAAGTATTCATAGAGCAAGATCGGACTATTGGGCGACAGCAGCAAGGGAAGGAATGGAACCAAGAGAAGGAGATCCAAAGAAAGGGAGAGGGAGCTGCAGAGCCGCACAGGATCGAGGAGAAAGGTGAGGGTGCCTCTGTACCAGATCGAAACAGCCAATGGAGGCGATATCGAGCCGAGTGACAGAGAGTCGGCAGTGAAACAAGCAGGGCAAGAAGAGACACAAACTGGACCAGAGATCAGATCCACGGACAGGAGAAAGGTGGAGGAAGAAGAGGATGAATGCCTGGGGGGGGGGTGAAGGCACACCAAACTCAAAGACACGCAGAAGGGAGAGCGATCAAGCTCGAAAATCCCAAAGACAGGGTCGAGCACTGGCCGCTCCCATCAGCGATGGCTTCGGGTCGGTGGTGCTTCGTGGTCCGGCGAGCGCGTTGCTGTGCTTTAGTTCTGCACATGGAACTGGATGTTGGTGCCCTGGGCAGTCCAGAAGCCAAGGGCGCCAGCCTGGGTGAGATCCTCGAGCACGACGGAGCCCTCGGTGCCGGGGGTGAGAGTCTTCTGGGGATCGACTTGGTCGAGCGAGAAGTAGCAGGTGACAGTGGTGTGGGGAGGCACGTTCTGGCCGGTGAACGAGCGGGTGCAGTCCCAGACGGGGAAGTGGCCGGGCTCGACAAAGGCATAGACGTAGCGGGTGATGGAGTCGAGGCCAAGGGAGGTTTGGTAGACGACGGACTGGGTCTGGTTGCGGCTCCAGATGAGCGATTGGCCGTAGGTAGTCTGGGGGCTGACCAGGGTCAGGGCGGAGATCCCCGAAACCAGGGAGGCGACGGCGGCGACGGTAGCGATGAACTTCATGTTGACAGTAGAGAGACTGGACACGCAGAGGGTCTTGGTTGGGAGATGAGTACTCTGAGCTTCGAGGCGGTGGTTGTTGAGCAGATGCAGGATGATGAGTGACTGGGGATGGCTTCCAGGAGCAGGTATTTATGGGCGGAATCTGGAAGGGGGGGAGGGATGCATGCCACCGACGACGCGGGCCTTGGATGGGAGCCGCGGACATGCAGCCGACCGCGGCGCCGCTGGGGAAGGCCCCATGGAGATGCATGCGATACGACCGGGGAGATACGGGCGATGATGCAAACGGACGTTGCGCCTGACAAATTTGCAAGCCAGGGAGGCCATGCAGGACACGGCATGGGTCTCGGCCGGTGAAATTTGCAAGTCCGTCGAGCGCCCCAGAAGCCATGCAAGGGCCATGCAAGGGCCATGCAGAGGCCATGGCGGACAATGTTTGCCCAGGGGCGGCTGTGCCCTTGGTGGCGGACAACACCACTCAGCTGCGGGTGGGTGATGGGTGGGTCTGCCAGAGGGCATGGCGGGGACTGCCAGAGTCCATGGCCGAAGACGGGCTGTTGTCGTCCGGCGCTCGCCACAGGCAAATCTGCGTCCTCCCCGGGCAAATCTGCACCCCCCCCCCAGGCGGGCAAATCTGCTCGATCGATGCGCAAATCTGCGCCGTCGACCCGCAGCCATCCCTTGGGTGGATGGTGTTCGGTTGCACCGGCTGCGCGCCGTCCGTAACGCCTCGGGGCACAAATCAACGGCACAAGCGCACAAGCGATCCAACAGCGCGTCTGCGGTAACAGCGCAAGCGGTGGTCATCCTTGCTCAGCCATCCACTCGCGGGAGGGGGGAGGGTGGCTTGTCGAGACGCATCAAATTTGACCCTGCAGACCGGCCGGCCGGCAGTGGTTCGGCCTTTGTGGTCGGACATTTTTTTACCCCCTCTGGGACATGGCGCGAGTCTGTTATCGAGAAATATCAAATCCAAAGGCGATATCATCAAATCCACGTATCTTCTGCTGTGTCCTGCGCATCGGCTCCTTCGAGGCTTTGTCCCCAAACATGTCGCCATCGACGGCCCCGTCCTCCATGGGCCCCTTCTGTCTGTGGCTCCGGCCGATTCGCCCCTCGTCCCATGCATGCTTATCGCCGACGTCGCCCCCGCCCTGCCAGGACTTGCCATCCGTCGACGCCGTCATCATGCACCATGCATGGTGTTGGGCGTGCTTGTCATGTTGAGCATCGTGGCGGCAGTGTCCCTCCTATCCCGCCATCGAGGGCAAATTTGCCATGGCCCTCTCCCGTATCGGCCCGCCGTCGCCCTCGGGACGAACACTGATGGCGGCGGGCTCGGCGCGCATAAAAGCCGCCGGGTCGCCGCCGTCGGTCATGAACCTCATCCCGCTCCGACTGCTTCGATCTCCTCAGCCCCAGCCTCCACCAGCACTCGCTGTCTCTGCCTCTGCTTCCCCTCCCAAGAGCCCAAGCCCAGTCCCCTCCCGAATCCAAAGCCATGAAGTCCATCCTCGCCATCGTTGTTAGCGCCGTCCTCGTCTCGCTGGCTGCTGCCTTCTCCATCCAGGCTCCCGCCCAGGGCAGCACCATCCAGGCCGGCTCCACCGTCACCATCACCTACGGAGTCACCAACGCTCTGTCTTCCGGCACGGCCTTTGTCTACACCTACATCGAGCCCAACCACATCGAGCTCCCCCAGTGCAACAGCGCTCGCCCCTACACCGGCGGCTTGACCGTGAACTGCCAGTTTGTTGTGCCCCAGTACACCTTCCCGAACAACTCTCAGATCGCCATCGTCTTTGAGGATGTCAACTCCTATGGCGTGCCCAAGTACATCCTCTCGGACTACTACAGCCTGCAGCTCCAGGTCGTCAACTAATTCATGCGGTCTTGCGGACTGCTCTCGCTCTCTCTCCCTCTATCTCTATCTCTATCTCTTCCCCGAGCCTGTGCCGCTCGCATTTCCTCGTTCTTAATTTCCCACCCATGCTCCCCTTTGCGATAGCCCATGTCCGATGCCAAATGTACACCGTGAGGTGTCAGTGCCTGCTCTCCTCTCCCCTCCTCGCCTCTCCTTTCCTTTCTTCTATGCGACTTGAACTGTCCATCTTTTGGTCCTCTTTGGCCATCACAGACGCGCTGCACATTGGCCTCTCCTGGCAGTCGCCGTTGCGGCCGAGTCTATTTCTCTTGAGCCCTTGTTTCTGCCATTCCGCCTGTTGCAGTCCTCTGCGTCTTGCGGATCTATGACAATACAGCGCTTTTGATCACAATACTGACAAATCGGTGGGCCGTGCGTGGATACCCACAGGAAACATGGCGCCAAATGCAGGAGCAGTCGGTGCCAAATGCAGGAACATGGGCACCGATCCCACAAGGCCAGATACCGACACCGGAGTCAGGTGCGATGCCGGTGCTGTCTGGGACCACGTGTCCGGGGGCAGTGTCGGCTGTGTCCAGCATGACCGCTCGATCCGGTGACCGCGAGGTATCCGCACCTGTCCTTAAAACCCCTGTCCCGTCCTTCGTCTCGTCGCCCCCCATCGACTCATCACTTCCTTCGTTCGCCTCCTTCGTCCACCCCCCCCCATCTTTCGTCTCTTCTTTTGCACTTGTCCACTGCAGACATGGTCTTTGCATCGGCGTCAAACCCTTCCTCGTCGGCCCTCGACCCTGCCTCGACCCTCGTCGTGGTGATCCCTTACTCCAACCCTGCTCGCTACAAGCGTCGTCCGGAACTCCTGCGGGCCACTGTCGCCGGCCTGGCCGAGATTCAAAAGGCCCTCGTCGCCAACAATCGTCCCGAGCGTATCCTGGTCGTTGTCTCGGAGCTCGTCTACGAGGGCGACGACTCGGACTTTTCCGAAAAGGCACGGCTCCAGGCAAACCCAGGCCCGGATCTGCCCAAGGTCATGCATCTCATCTACACCGGCGTCAGCCGCAAGCACGTCCTCTGGTGCAAGGAGAACCTCATCAACCTTGCCATCCGCAACCTGACCCAGCCATCCCATCCCGCCGGCTCGTACGAGTCCAAGAAGCTCAGCCTCCTCGACCGCCCCGCTGGCGCCTTCAAGTACTTTGCCTTTGTCGACGGCGACATCGAGTTCGAGAGCCACCAGTTTGTCATCGATACCATTCAGCTGCTGGAAAAGAACCCACGTGCCTGGGTGCAGCTCTTTGAGCGGGCCAACATCGAGAACGTCGTCCCGACCCAGGTCAAGAGCTTTGGCTTCCAAGCCAACTCGGGACATGCCTACAAGTCCTACAACAATACCCATTCGGAGTACTGGCACCCGGGATTTGCCTGGGCCATCCACGCCGAGGCGTTTGTCGCCGTCGGTGGTCTCATCGACCGAACCCTGGGCAGCGCCGACCGGCACATGGCCATGTGCATCATCGGCCGTGGCCAGGAGTCGCTCCCCTCCAAGATCTCTGAGAGCTACAAGAGCATGGTCCTGGACTGGCAAACGAAGGCCACGGCCGCCGGGCTAGTGATACGATCCGTCCCGGGCACCATCAAGCACTTTTGGCACGGCGACCTGGCCAACCGCAAGTACATGGAACGCTGGGACATTCTCACCAAGCACAACTACCGTCCGCTCTTCCACACCACCACGAACGATCTGGGGCTCCTCAAATGGTCCTTCTGGGCCGGCTCGACCCTCCGAGCCGATGTGGCCTCCTATTTCAGTGCCCGCAACGAAGACGAGTCGCTCGAGGCTGCAAAGGCCCGATTTGCTGCCGCAAACCCTCGCCCTCAGCCGGGCAACAGAGACGGCCGGAAGCAGCGCTCGGCCAAGGGCAAAAAATACGTCCACGACCCGCAATTCAGCGCCGACGTTGACGATGAGCTTCCATTTGGCGGTGGCTCTGACTCTCCCAACGGCAATATCACCTACATCTACAATTCCGACGACTCTGCCTCGCCCAACGGCGATCACCACCATCACCATGTCCACGGCCACCACCACCATCCCCGCGGCCCGGATCTGAGCGGACCTGGTACAGATAACAACTACCCCGGCGCCGATCTGAGTGGCCCTGGAAACGATGGCATGTATGGCAGCAGGTCGATCGCCGCCGACATGAGCAGCGCGGTTGGCCAAGTTGCCGGTGCCATGAGCGGCCTGTTCAGCGGCGGCGGCAGTAGCAGCTTTGACAACTCAGGCTCGGGCTTCAACAACCCAAGCTCGGGATTTGATAGCTCGGGCGCGGGCTCGGGCTCGGGCTCGGGCTTCTACAACAGCACATCAGCCGGATTCTTCCCGTCCATGTACGCTGGCGGCCTCTAGAGAACAGCAATACAACTTGGTTGGTGTTCGTTGTGCTCTCCTCAAACCAGAGACTGCCCTCGCAGCGGGTGCGGTGGCCCTGATGCTGTGTGGGATCTCGCGGATGCTGTTGGTTTGGAGGCGGGTGTGTTGGTCGGCCGATGTGTTGACGGGTATCACTTTTGTGTTGACCTGCGCTGTTGTGATTGCCGGCCTGTGTCGTCGATGTATTTGGCCCCTGTGCTGCGCCTGAGGCAGGGATGGGGCCACAACGATACAGCGATACATACAGCCAGCGCGGAGCACCGATCCAGAGATGCACACCGCCCCGATGCTGATGTTGGTGCTGCTGCTGCTGCTGGTGCTGGTGCTGGTGCTGGTGCTGGTGCTGGTGCTGCTGCTGGTGCTGTTGTTGGCCAGCGCAGACACATCGGTATTGCCTGCCAGCAGCATCAATCAATCAATGCCGACCAGATCTGTCGACGCAGGCTGGACCACATTTGTTTGTGCAGCGGGGGCTGCACGTTGGTCGCCCGCGTTGCACCGGCTTCCCCGTGTCCGCGTCCGCGTTGGGGCGGGTTCCCATCGTGCCGCGGCTGGGCCATCCTTGGCTCCTCCCGCCGCTGCTCTGTTCCCTTCGCTCGCTCTGGCCAAGATCCATCTGGCAAGCCCGGACACCGGTCCTGCAACGAACAACATCAGCACCAGCACCAGCACCAACACCAACACCAGCATCAGCATCAGCGCCGCCCTTCAGCTTGTCCGCCACCACCAAATAGCACCCGTCATAGCTGGTAAGCTGCGGGAGGCGTCCGGACGACCCTGATCCAAGGGCCGCTGAGACCCTGTTGCTGGGCCCCCGTATTGCCCGCGACGGCGGTTTCGGCCAGCTCCTCTCCTCCCCCCAGGGCCGCGATCACCGACTCATCCGGACAGACATGCACAGATCCTGCATGTGCTCCTTGGCACGATACACCGGGGCTCTGGCGGCGGGTGGGCTGGCTAAGCTTTGGCCTGCTGCCGCTCGGCTCCAAACAGCAGCAGCCCCCTGCTCCCACAGTCGTCCGTCACCCTTTTGTATGCGAGGGCAACTCTGTTCGGGTCATCCCTTCTCCCACGGCCCGCCAGGCAGCAAGCCCTCCATGTATCGCAGGGCTGCCCTGCGAATCGGTCCGGATATGCTGAGCCGTTCCTCTATCCCTGCTTGCTGGCAGATCCAATCAAGGTGCCCAGCATCACACTTCTCAGCACAAGCATCAGCGAGCCTTGCCATCCAACTTGGTATCTGCTGTGATTCCACTGCCTCCCCCGATCCCTGACCTCACGCCCAAATCGACATATTGCCATATTCCGAGGCGACACTGCCAATCCAACCCCTGCGAGCAGCTGGCGGCATATTCGAGCATATTCGAGCACATTCAAACACGGCTGAGCTCACCCAACCACATCCAGGCTCGCCAAGAGCGCCGCCATCCAAGGTCATTTCGGCGGGAACCGTTCTCTCGCAGTCGTTCCGTTTCCAAAGCGGACGTCATAACGACCCCATCGACACAACCCAGCCGTCCAAGGTTCCAAAACCGAGTCTCCCCTCCCGTCAGGCGTGGCGACTCTCTTCTTCTCCACCACAGCCCATCCCCTTCCGTCGAGTGCACACACCACCATCATGTTTGACAAGTGTGTCTCGGACGTCTCGACCAACTCGTCGGTGAGCAACTTTTACCACCCACAAAGCTCCTCATGGAACCCCTTCCTCGACCCCAACGAGTCGCCGTACCTCTGGATCGGATGGATCGCGGCCGGTGTCTTTGCCGCCTTTGCCACCTTCACCAGCTCCATCCTCATCATCCAGCATTGGCTCAACTACACCCGGCCGCAGTTTCAGAAAGCTTACGTCCGGGTAAGGCCCAGCAACGCAGTGGACAGGAGGGAGGGGCATCGGCTTGTATCGTCAGTCTCTGCGGCAGTCAGACCGAGTGTTTGGATGAATGCCTGGCTAAAGGCGCCGAGGGCTCTTGACGCACGGCCAATGTGAAGTTGATGATCTCCGTGTTCGTACTCATGCTCCTGCTCGTGCTGTTGCATCGTTCTGCTCCCCCAACGCCCCTCATCCAGATCCTCGCCATGGTCCCGATGTATGCCGTCTGCTCGTGGGTTTCCTTCCGATATTACAAAGAAGCGATCTACTTGAACGTCATGCGCGATTGCTGTATGTATTCCAGCAGAGACTCTCGGTCAACTCCCTCATCAACGTCCCTCCACATGCCCCAGTCGATCGGGTCTAGCTAGACTTGCTGGTGTCGAAGGACTCTATTTGCCCGCGGTGGTCGATGCTTGTTATTGGGCCATTGAATCGCCCTCGCCTTGTCGATGATCACTGTGATCCGTTGACACATGGATCCACACTCATTCCTGGTTTCTCCCATTCCGGCTTTCCCATCACCCGCCAGACGAAGGATTTGTCGTCTATAGCTTTTACAACCTGTGTCTGCAGTATCTGGGCTCGACACCTGCCAAGCAGCGGGAGCGACTGGCCCGCAAGTCAAGACAGCGACTCCCGCCGCCGATGTGCTGTTTCTACTTCGATCCAAGCCACAAACACTTTCTCTCGCTCTGCAAGCTTGGCAGTTGAGTATCGTCCACAGCGAGCCTTGGTGTCTGTCCCGTGCCGCTTATCGTTTCCGGCATCGGCCTTTCGATCGCTGCGGGGAGAAAGGGATGGCTGCGTGTGGAAGGACTGCGGCTGGTGCTGACGGGCCTCGCATTTTTCATTGTGCTGCCCCCCCCCACAGTCGTGCAATATGTCGTTGTTCGAGTCACAACCACGTTCTTCGCCGTGGTCTTGGAGTCCATGGGCATGTACTGCAACGAGAGCATGTCGCCCATGTTTGGCCATTTCTGGACAACACTGGCCAATGCCGTCGCTATGAGTTTGGCCATGTTCACGCTCATCACTTTCTATCTCGCCGTGCGCAAGGTCAGTGAAATCACTGCTGCTCCTGCTGCTGCTGCTGCTGCTGCTGCATATGTGTGCAATTGCACATTTATCCATTTGGATATGCATGCTCTTGCACTGCTCTCTTGAGGCACTTGGATCCAAAACCCACGATCGGTCGCATGATGGTGCTAACCCGGTGGGCTAAACTGCTGCCGTTTCCCACACCTGCAGGATATTTCGCGGTTCCATCCCGTGTGGCAGTTTCTGTCGGTCAAGTTTGTGATCTTCTTTGGGTTCTGGCAGAGCTTTGTCATCAAGGTCCTGGTGAGCGCCGGATGGATCCAAAACAGCGAACACTGGACGATCGAAGAGCTCAGTATCTCGCTGCAGAGCTTCATGACCTGCGTCGAGATGGCCATCGCGAGCATCATCCATCTGTGGGCGTTCCGCTACGAAGACTTTATTCCGGGCATCGGGCACCTCTCGAGCTCCGAAGAGAACCAAAGTCTCAACCACGAGCCCGGTGCGAGCCGCCCCGACACCGACCCGGCACAGGACCCGAGCCCCGACGACGCCGAGATTTTGCTGGCAGGCAGCCGCAGTCGACCCCGCACGGCGCGGGTGCGTGCATGGTGGAAGGGGTTCCTGGACGCCATCAACTGGTCGGACGTCATCATTGACGTGGGCCACTCGGCCGGGTTCATCATCGGACGGCTCAAGCGCATCTTTGGCAAACTGATCTTTGGTCGCCGCTACGAGTACTCGCGATACGATAGCGATATCATCGATGCCTATGATGAGGGCCGCGACTTTCCGGGTGAGATCCGGCTTGGATCGGACACTAGCATTCCGACTGTGGAAACTGCCGGCGACGATGATGACGATGACGATGACGATCAAAACGACGATCACAATGACGATGTCGATGTCGATGGCAATGGCAATGGCAATGGCAATGGCGGTGCTGATGATGGCGGGGTCAACGGGCATGGTGACGATACGACACGGTCAGCACAACCTGCAAGCTCCAACGACGAAGCCTCGGCCGCAGCCCGCTCCATCGTGTGATCCAAGCCAGATGCAGTCCTTGATATGCGACATATCCCGTGCCTGAAACCCCTACTCTTCTCATGGCGCCTGTCGCCGCGATATCCTCTGCCTGCTGGCATGTTTGTCTGCTCAGCCCCAAGCCCCCTGCTGCCATCGTCACCAGTCTGTGCCTTGTATATCTAACCCTCCCCCGTCGGTCCCGATCCCTCTTCCGTCCGCATCCACACCACTCGTTTTTGTCGCCTATTTATTGTGCTCCGGGACGCACCCGTCGTTGAGGTCGCTGAACAGCTTCGTTTGGCCCAAATACACACACTCATCCGCCACGCTGCCGATTCCCGCAACCCTGCACTGCGTTTGTTGGCTTGCACGCTGTGGTCATGCTTGAACGTCGCATGGGCAAGCTGGGCGTGTATTCTTTGAGCTGCATGTAGAGTGTAAAAGAAAGGAGTGGGGAGGCGGAAGGGTGGGCGATAAGGAGGGATTGCTACGAATCCTTTCGGGGGGGGGGACCGGATCGGGGTTATGGAGAAGGAGATGTAGTCAAATCTATACGACTCTCGAGTTGAGAATGTTGAAGACCAGAATGTCGCTGGCTCCGACGGCATCGAGTTGGTCCATGATCTCGGCCTGCTTCTTCTTTTCGATCATGGACGAGACAGCCACCCAGCCCTCGTAGACGCCGTTGGACAGGTCCTCGAGGTTGCTGATGGTCGGAGCCTTGTTGCCGGGGGTGATCTTGATGGCCTCGGGCAGGCGCGAGCGGTGGATGTTGTAGTTGCAGAGGACGTAGCGCTGGGCGGCGATGACGCCTTGGATGCGCCGAAGAATGGTGCCGATCAGGGGCTGGGTCTGGCGCTTGTTGGGATTGCAGACGAGGACGGCCTGGGTTCTGAGGATGTCGCCGATGGCATGGAGCTTGGCAGCGCGCATGGTCTCGCCCGATTCGACGAGATCGACTGCCATCGGAAATGGGGACACGGGTGCGATTGAGGACGTTAGCACGGTGTCTGGATGGATCATCGGGCTATGGCAAGAGCCGTCATGGCAAGAGCCACAGCAAGGGCGATAGGCACAATGGCGGCAGATCCGTCTCCCTCCAGCGATCCAGAAACGACAAGGTCAACTCACCAATGCCGTCGGCAAGACCGAGGGCGCAGGCAGCCTCGACCGATCCAGAGACGTAATTGATGCGAGTTTGGGTTGTCGGGGTGCTGATGTTGCTGTGGTTGATGTGCTCGGTGGGTGGCTGGGCGGCCTCGGCAGCACGCTTCAGGGCCTGCTCGCCCTGCTCCTTGGTGTATCCGTTCGGGAACTGGGCGAGTTCGGCCTCGAGGGCGGCAAAGTACTTTGAGACGACATAGGGAAAGCTGGTGACGATGCGCTTGCCGACGAGGTCGAGGGGCGAGCGGATGGTTTCGCTGGCCGAGAGCGGGGCCTGGAAGGACAGCGAGCACGAACCAAAGCCAAGGGACAAGAGCTCCTCGACATAGGCACCGCTCTCGGCCACCATGTCCTGGCCGGTGATGCCCAAGTCAACGTTGCCCTCGCCCACGAACTTGGCAATGTCGTGAGCCGGCAAGAACACCAAGGCCAGCGGCTGGTTGGTCGAGAGGGCAACGTCGAGCCGGTTCTTGCGCACAAACTGGATGTCACTGCCCTCGAGCAGCTTGAGGACCTGCTCGTGGAGCCGGCCCTTCTTGGGGATGGCAAAGAGGAGACGGTCGGTCAGATCGGAGACGTCCATGGTGCTCGGGATGCTGAGGATGCTTGAGGCAGGGAGGTGCGGTCCAGAGGGCAGATGGCAGACGGCAGATCAGGGCTGGACTGGGCTGGGCTGGCGGGACGGCGATGGCTCCGCTGATCTGGCCGGAAAACAAGCGAGGCGGGTGCGCGGCTTGGATGACGAGTGGCTGACAAGATGCGCAGCAAGCTTATCTCCATCGGGGGTGGCTCGCGCACGGGAAGGTGCTGGCCGTTGGCTTGGTCGCTGGAGCAGATGGGGCAGATGGAGCAGATGGGGCGGATGGGACAGAGTGCAGGCCGGAGACGGCCCGGCGATGCGCAACCCGAGCGGCCGGAGCCGGAGCCGGACCGGAGACTGTTCTGCCGCAGCGCCCCTCTCAGATCGGCGATCGACATGCTGGTGAGAATGATCACGGTCGTTATATTGTTGTGCAAAGTGCCACGAACATGGCGGAAAGAAGCAGCGGTCGGTCGCTGACGAAGGGAGTGGGATGAAGAGGCAGGAATGCATGCCTCGGGTCGGCGGAGAGTGGGTGGAGTGGTGAATGGCGAGTGGTGGACGGGATATATAACAGGGGAGTGGGGCCAGAGGAATAGCTATTTTACATCATGCCGCCCATGCCGCCCATGCCACCCATACCGCCCATACCGCCCATGGGAGGGGCAGCAGGCTCGGGCTTGGGGGCATCGACGATCATGCACTCGGTGGTGGTCAGCAGCGAAGCAACGCTGGAGGAGTCGACAAGGGCAGTGCGGACAACCTTGAGAGGATCGATAACACCGTCCTTGACCATATCGACGTACTCGCCGGTGGCGGCGTTGTAGCCTGGTAGGAGAGACCGGGGAAGGCATGATGAGTCCCAGACGACACACGGCTCGTGGATGGCGGGGTTGCCATAATGACATCACAACGAGATCACAATGACATCACAATGATATCACAATGATACCACAACGAGATCACGATGACATCGCAATGACATTGGGATCGCAGACCAGGGACTTACCAAAGTTGAAGTTCTGGGCCTCCTTGGGAGCCTCGGGGTTGTAGCTCTCGAGCAGGCGGCCGACGACGACGGCGCCCTCGACACCGGCGTTGTCGCAGATGGTCTTGCAGGGGGCGAGGATGGCCTTGCGGACAATCTCGATACCGAGGTTCTGGTCAAAGTTGTCGCCCTTGATGGTGCCGAGGGCCTTGCTGGCCTTCAGGAGAGCCGTACCGCCACCAGGGACGATACCCTCCTCGACGGCAGCGCGGGTGGCGTTGAGGGCATCGACGAAGCGGTCCTTCTTCTCACCGACCTCGACCTCGGAGGAGCCGCCGACCTTGATGACGGCGACACCGGAGGAGAGCTTGGCAAGACGCTCCTGCAGCTTCTCGCGCTCATAGTCGCTCTGGGTGGAGCTGATCAGCTGGCGGATCTGCTCGGCGCGGTGGCTGATGGCCTCCTTGGAGCCGCCGCCGTTCAGGAAGACAGTGTCCTCCTTGGTGACAGTGATGCTGTTGGCGGAGCCGAGGTCTTCGGGGGTGAGTTTGTCGAGCTTGATGTCGAGCTCGTCGGTGAAGACGGTGCCGCCGGTGAGGATGGCCATGTCCTGGAGGATAGCCTTGCGGTTGTCGCCAAAGCCGGGGGCCTTGACGGCGCAGACAGAAACCTGGCCGCGGAGCTTGTTCAGGATGCAGGCAGCGAGGGCCTCGCCGTCAACGTCCTCGGCGATGATGAGGAGCGGGCGACGGCGGGTGGCCGAAATCTCGAGGGCGGGGAGGAGGTCCGAGAGCTGGCTGATCTTGCGCTCGCACAGCAAGACAAAGGGCTTCTCGAACTCGACCTTTTGCGAGCGAGTGTCGGTGATGAAGTAGGGCGAGATGAAGCCGCGGTCGAAGCGCATGCCCTCGGTGATCTCGAGCTGATCGTCGACGGTCTTGCCCTCCTGGATGGTGATGACACCCTCCTTTCCGACCTTCTCCATGGCCTGGGCGATCAGGTTGCCAACGTGCTTGTCGCCGTTGGCCGAGATGGTGGCGACCTGGGCAATCTCCTGGGTGGTGGTGATGACGCGCGAGTTGTCCTTCAGGTACTTGACGACGAGGTCGACGGCCTGCTGGACACCCTTGCGGAGATCCATGGGGTTGACACCCTGGGCAATGTTCCGCAGACCCTCGACAAAGATGGCGCGAGTGAGGACAGTGGCGGTGGTGGTGCCGTCACCGGCGGTCTCGTTGGCCTTGTTGGCAACGTCTTGGACAAGCCGAGCACCGAGGTTCTCGAGCTTGTCCTCGAGGGTGATGGACTTTGCGACAGTGACACCATCCTTGGTGATCTTGGGAGAGCCATAGGGCTGGTCTGTTTCATGCGCATAGCGAGGATGGCCGAGGGAGGAAGGGGAGAGGAGGAGGTCAGAGATCGACAGCGGCATTGGCAAAGCCACACGCCCACCCAGAGCACAGGCAGAGGAGATCGGAAATCGCGTGTAAGCCTGGCTGCGGAGAGGCAAACGCCTCTGGGCTTTGGTCGCGCCGTCGCTGCCGAGGCTTGCTGCGAGAGGTCTGACGCTTCAGCTCCGCACGAGCCAGAGCGCTGCCGACACAGATCCAGATCCAAATCCGTCTGGCCAAATGGATGGCTAGTAGCCCTCTCCAGATCACAGCAGCGCAGGGTCCGCAGCGACCCGGGAGCAGTGCCGAGGGAGCTGCCACTGCATTGCAGAATGTGGCTGCGCTGGCACACTTGACACAGGCAACGAGACATCTGCTGGTCTGGATTCGGGATCTGGTCTGATCTGGTTTGATCTAGACTGATCTAGACCCTGGCGAGATCGGGATATATGCCACATCGCGATCCAGGTCGATGGAGCCGCTCCGTCATGCGATGCCGCCACAGCCCGGACTCGGCAGTGCATAGCAAAGCCAACTTACCAATGATGACGTTGCGGCCCTTGGGGCCAAGGGTGACGGCGACGGCTCTGGCGAGGATGTCGACACCGCGAGCCAGGGCCTGGCGACCGTCCTGGCCAAAGGCAATGACCTTGTGGGAGTACGACCGGGCCAGCAGGGCAGCGGGCTTGTGGGCGACGGGGCGAGAGAGAGCAGCGCGGAACATGGCAGGCGTGCGGACGGGCAGGAGGATCCGGCAGCAGAGCAGCGGCAGAGGAGGAACTCGATCGGTCGGGGTGGGCAGGAGGGCTGCAGGACGACGCCTTTATGTTTGGGCGACTTGCATGGATCCGCGGAAGGGCGGAAGAAAAAACGTCTCGCTGGCTGCGCGAGACGTGGGCGAGACGCAGGCGAGATGGATGGCGAGATGGGGAGCGAGACGGCTCGTGCGCAGCATGCGCAGCCGCGGCGCTGTTCGGCCGCGCACTGTCGCTGTGGGGCGCGCATGTGTGTGTGCGTGCTGGCGACGCACGTGCCGTCTCGCCCTGCATCTCGCCCTGCATCTCGCCCGCGTCTCGCCCGCGTCTCGCCTCTCCCGGACCACGCCCCGGGACGGCGGCGGTTTTGCGGACGGAACGCCCTCCGTTTGGAATGCCAGAGAACCCCACAGAACCAGTGCCGCACTCGGGTTTGTCCGCGGGCCTGGGCTGCGCGCCTGGCATAAATTTCGGCCTGGTTTGCTTTTCGATCGGGCTCGTCTCGCCGTCTCCCAGATCGTCCTGCCCAACAGCATCCGCCGCCATGGTGAGTGCCTGCGCTGCTGCCCGATCGAACCTGTCGCTGTTCCCCGAGCACGTGTGCTGGCTGGTCTTGCCGAGCATATGCTGACGGATTCTGTCGACCGCGACTGCTGGCTGATCTTGTCCATCCGATCTTGCCGATCCGGGCTTGTCCTGGTGGAATTGTCCGTCGGCCAACTCACCTCTCAACCGATCCATCACCATCATCGCCCAACTGCCACGGATCTGTCGATGCAACTGCCTTCGTCTCCCCTCTCCGCGATATCTGATCTGCTCCGGCATCCGATCGGCTGACACCAGTCCACCATCAAGCGCATCATTCCTCTCCTCGACCGTGTCCTGGTCCAGCGCATCAAGGCCCAGGAGCGCACTGCCTCGGGTATCTTCATCCCCGAGAAGGCCCAGGAGACCCTCAACGAGGGCATTGTCATGGCTGTCGGCCCCGGTGCCCCTGACAAGGTACGCTCTCTCCGTTCCCGTTGCCCTGGGTCATTCAGGCCGGCCCAGATCATGGGCGACATGCCCCAGATCCGCTTGAACCACGGATACACGCTCTCACCGCTGGTCTAACCCATCTCTCCAACCCTGCACCAATAGAACGGAGTCACCCACCCCTGCTCTGTCAAGGAGGGCGATCGCATCCTGCTTCCTCCCTTTGGCGGCAACACCGTCAAGCTCGGCAGCGAGGAGTACCTTCTGTACCGCGATAACGAGATCTTGGCCAAGCTCCTTGAAAAATAAGCATCTCTCCCCCTACGACTACGCGCCATCGGTCCTCTCGACTCCATGGCCGTGCTCGCCGACTGTCTGGAACTGACGGTGCTCCGCCACCACATCCCCAAAACGCTGTCCTGGCCAGGCTGGTGCTCAGCGCGATCTGGAGAATTTAGACCGGGAGCCGTGGCCATGCCCATCCGCACTGCCCTCTTTGTGCCTCTGTAATATCCCATCGCCTTCCCAATACATCCCATCTTTAAACGCAATTGCGTCCCCGGCGTCTGTCGGCCTGCTCATCGGCGACCTGCGTCGCTGCATGTCGCCGGCATTGTCAGAGCCAGTCAGCATCCGCCTGCATCACGCACGTGACCGATAAGGTTCCTGGCCCTGCCAATCAGCCGCAGAACATCCGCCGCTATCATCGTTTTTGCTTTTGCCAGGCAACCCGCAGCGTCCTTCGACCTGATCCTGCCCGGCTCGGTATGTGTCCAGGGACCATCGTGCGTCGGTCCACGGCCCAGAGCATCAATACACAGGCCGGCCGCAGTGTACCGGCGGCCACCAGGGCGTATCGACCACGCTGACGTTTGATTTGCGGGTGCTTTATCGCTGCTGGCACAGGTTGCTGCTCTGCCATCGCCGCTCTCCATCAAAGATCCAGCCGTCATGTTGTGCAAGTCACTCTCTTCCCAGTTGGCGATCCGCCTGGCCAGACGCCCGGCCCCTCTGAGGGTCCTCCAGCTCGCGGCGCAAACCGCTGCTGCTGCATATCCTTCGCTCGCTCCTGTGCCGACGACCCGGCTCTTCTCGACCTCCCCGGCCATCCTCGGTGGTGCCGATGGAAAGCTGTACACCGTCGACAAGTTCCCTCAGCTGAAGCGCAATCCAAAGTTCAAGGCTGTGGATAGCCAGGACCTGGAGCACTTCCGATCCATCATCGGTCCGCAAGGCGTTCTGACCGACAAGGACGAAATCGAGCCGTTCAACGAGGTATCCACACGTTCGGCCTTTGCAAGCAAATCTCGATCGAATTCGATCGTGCACAGAGGCGAGCGAGTGCCAGGAAAAGCACGACGCTGACGGCTCTAATCAAATGCGCTGCGGACTGGCTCTCGATTTCCCTCAGGACTGGCTCCGAAAGTACCGCGGAAAGACCACCGTCGTGCTGCGTCCCAAGACCTCCCAGCAGGTGGCCGACATTCTCAAGTACTGCAACTCGCAGTCTCTTGCCGTAGTCCCACAGGGCGGCAATACCGGTGAGTTCCCTGTGGCCATGTACTGTCACCTCGGTGCATGCGAGGCACACAGTGCGATGAACACTCTTGCGCGAGTGCTCTCGTTGAGGCCCATCGTGCGAATACGACATCTCGTTGAGGTCCACCATGCAAATACGACATCTCGTTGAGGCCCATCGTGCGAATACGACATCTCGTTGAGGTCCACCATGCAAATACCACCCAATTGCCTCTTTGACGGGCGGCACACGTTGCACACTCCAACGCTCACCCCAATGTGCATCCACTGCCAGGGCTTGTCGGAGGAAGCGTGCCCGTGTTTGACGAAATCGTCATCAGCACCCAACTCATGAACGAGATTGAATCGTTTGACGAAGTCTCGGGCATCCTGACCTGCCAGGCTGGCTGTGTGCTCGAGAAGCTGGACGACTGGCTCGCCGAAAAGGGTTACATGATGCCCCTGGGTATGTGCCTTTGCTGTAAACGCATTTAATACCCGTCCGTGAACACACCCGCCCGTCCTTTAACTGCGCCTGCTCGACCCAATGTCGCTCGACAGACCTCGGTGCCAAGGGCAGCTGCCACATCGGCGGTAACGTCGCCACCAACGCTGGCGGCATTCGTCTCCTGCGATATGGCTCCCTCCATGGCACCGTTCTGTCCCTGGAGGTCGCCACTGCCGACGGATCCCTGATGGAACTGGGCAAGCCCTTGAGAAAGGACAACACGGGCCTGGACCTCAAGCATCTGTTTGTGGGCTCCGAGGGCGTCCTCGGCATGATCACCAAGGTTTCAATTCTGACTCCCAAGCGCAGCTCGGCAGTCAATGTCGGTGAGTATCGATGGCCGTGGTTTCTTTGAACTTCCTCCCGATCCAAGTTTCCGGTGCACCGTCATCTTCCTGGCCCCTCCCCCGACATCCGATCTCGCCTGGTGTTCTGTCCTGCAGCTGGTGGTAGTGCAGATCAGCTTGCCGCTGTATCCATCTTCGATATTGACATCGAGCCACTGATCCCATTGCTGCGACACGCTGCCCGTCGCCTGTGCCGCGGCGAATCAGCCATGTTTGCTCTCAAGGACTTTAACGCCGTCCAGGAGGCTTTCAAGCGCGCAAAGTCCAACCTCTCCGAGATCCTCTCGGCCTATGAGTTCTTTGACTCGGCCTCCTTCAGCCTCGTCCAGAAGCACCTCCATATCCGTGACCCCTTCTCGCAAACGGCGCCGTGCTATGTCCTGATTGAGACCTCGGGCTCGAACAAGGAGCACGACGACGAAAAGCTGGCCTCTTTCCTCGAGAACCTCATGGAGGACGGCATCATCGAGGACGGTGTCCTGGCCCAGGATAGCACGCAGATGCATGCCTTCTGGAGCATCCGCGAGTCCATCTCGGAGGCCTGTGTCAAGGAAGGCGCCAACTTCAAGTACGATCTCTCGATGCCGGTGCCGTCCTTCTACGAACTGGTAGAGACTATGCGTGTGCGTCTGCAGGAGAAGGGCTTCTACGACCCGGCCAACCCGGGCGCCTCCGAAGCCTCGCCGGTCAAGCACGTCGTCGGCTTTGGACACATTGGCGACGGCAACCTGCATCTGAATATTGTCACGTCGCACTACTCCAAGTCTGTGGAGAAGGCCATCGAGCCGTATGTGTACGAGTGGACCGGCGGAAAGCACGGCAGTATCTCTGCCGAGCACGGCCTGGGCCTCATGAAGGCCGACTACCTCGGCTACTCCAAGTCGCCGGAGATGATTGCGTACATGAAGAAGATCAAGGATCTGTTTGATCCCAAGGGCATCCTCAATCCGTACAAGTACCTGCCCAGCCAGTGAGACACTGTGGCTCTTCCACAGACGCATCCGAATAAACACAACTTGGTTCCGTCGCCAGCAGGGCCGACTCAGTGCAGATGGCGCTCCGTCGATGGCATTGCCAGGCACGTCGTGCTGTGGAGTGAGGAATGAACTGCCGTGCGCAGCCAGCATACTTTTTTTTTGTTGTCGCCGGTCCAAAAACGACACCGGCGCGACCAGAGTGCTTCCCCAGCACCATCACCGTCGCTCGAGCACCCCAACCAACTTCCGGCCTGACGATACCGGCCAGCTGCGAGTCGCCGAGACACACAGTACGCATCGTCCCGCGCCGACCGCGGTCATCCCTCTGCACATCGCTTATCGCTTTGCCCACTCTTTCTCGTCCTGCTCGGATATCATCGCGCCCCGTCCGAGGCAGACACCATCACCCACAGCGCTCGCTCCCGATCTGGTCTCGCAGCTGCATCTGGTCTGACTAGCACCGGCCCTAGCCCTCTATCTCTCTCTCTCTACTCTCGAATTCACTTCAAAGGCTTCTTCATGTCGCTCGCGGGCTCGGATGAACTGAAACAGCTGGCGGCCGCCGTCGCGGCTGCTGCACCCACCCCCAAACGGTCCGGAAAGGCCGCTCAGAAGGCCGTCCAGAAGGCCGATGCCAGCGCCGGAAGCCTATCCGGTAATTCGCCAAAACCCAAGGACAAGAACAAGGGACCGGGCAAGCAGACCAGCAAACCGGTGGGTATCGATGTCGATGAGGGAGCGTCTCCAAGCTGCCCTGTTCCAGCGCAATCGCCAACAGTCGGATGCCCTTATCTGGCATGCTGATCGGACCTGTCCTTTGGTGCAGAAAGGAACTGCGGTACTGCTGGAAGAAATCAAGGCACTTGGGGGTAACGAACGAGACTTGGATCTGCTGGACGAAGTCCTGAGCGGCTCCGAGGTCGACGAGGAAGAGGCGGCGGCCATCAAGAAAAAGAAGGACGAAAGGAAGCTCAACAAAGCCAAGATCGACGAGCAGGTACAGCCCCTGATCCACCACCAGCCAGACCTTCCGAGAGCGGGAAGGAAGAGGGTTCCCTCACGTCTGCTTCGTGGTCGTCTCCAGATAATGGGTTTTAAATACGGATTCTGGTGGTCGGGCAGGGCATCTTGGCCGAACTGCAGGCATTCTTCAGCAAGGATCTGAAGATGGATCCAAAAAAATCGATGATCGCGGTCGTTGGCGACGATGAAGAAAGTGACGAGAACGAGGATGCCGATGAAGAACAGGACGCGCCGGCTCCAAAGAGCGCCGCTAAGGATGCTGCCAAGGGAGCCAAGGGAGCCAAGGACGGCGCAAAGAACACCAAAGATGTCGAGAAGGCAGCCAAGGATGCCACCAAGGGCTCCAAAGACCAGAAGAAGGAGGAGACTAAGAAGGACGGCAAGGGCGATACCGGCAAAAAGGAGCAGAACCCCGACAGTTCCAAGAAGGAATCTGCAAAACAAAAGGCAGGCGACTCTGTCAACCAAGCGAGCACCATGGACTCAGTGTCGCTGAAGAAGCACATGCAGAGCTTGCTGGAAGGCAATCACAACGAGGCCAAGTCCTCCAAGAAAACGGTGAGGATATGTCGCATGCATCCGGATATTCAGCCGCGAGGAGATCCAAAGGCACTCTGGGACATACCGAGCTAGTGCATCGACCTTCCCTCGACTGATCGGAATACCCTGCTCTCTTGGTCTGGCAGCTCATCGATCCTGTCAGTTTGTGGCACACCATTCCCCTTGCCTCGGTGGGCGATGCTAAAGCCGCTGAGCCAAACGCAAGCCTGGAGAGCCAGATCAGTCAGCTCTACGAGAAGGGCAAGGCTCTGCTCGACCAAGACATTGAAAAATACGAAACTGGTACGCTCGATCTCTCGGTGGGGCTGGATAGCAGGCCGCCTGGGCAGCAGACCCGGAATCAGGAAGTGGTACTGCCGAATGCTCCCTACTGACGAGGTTTCGCGTGCTCTAGAGAAATCCATGTCGACTGCCGACAAAGATTTCATCTCCACCGTCCTGCGATCCGGTACCACAAACGACAAATGCTCGGCCCTGACTCTGCTCATCCAGGAGTCGCCCTGCCACACGCTCCATCTGCTGCGAGACCAGCTGGTGCACGGCATGGCCCGCAAGAAGGCTCGAAGAGAGGCCCTGATGGCGATTGATGCCGTCAAGGACCTGCTGCTCGGCACGCTTCTGCCGGACCGCAAGCTTCGGTACTTCCGTGACCAGCCGCTCTTCAGCAGCAAGGTGACTCACAAGCACCTCGCGCTGTGGTACTTTGAGGACTCTCTGAAGAAGCTCTACTTTGAGTTCCTCCAGCTGCTTGAGGTAGGTCGGCATTTCGTGCACCCGGATATGAATCTAGGCCAAACAAAGCAGGCGAACAATGGCGATGCAGGATCTGCCCAGCAAAAGCAACTCACTTGCATGTCTTTGCGATCCCAGGAACTCGCCAAGGATGTCCTCCAGCACGTCAAGAACAGGGTCCTGACACATATTCACGACCTGCTGGCCGCCAAGCCAGAGCAGGAGCAGAATCTGCTCGCCCTGCTTGTGAACAAGCTGGTAAGCTATCGCCGAGTTGCTGGCACTTGGGTTCCGGTGAAGTGCTAAGCTGTGTGTGTGGAGTGGTCGACAGAGCCGTTGAATTGCAATGGGCTCATCACTGCTCTCCCTCTCTTTACGACCCCAGGGCGACCAAGACCGCAAGCTCGCCTCAAAAGCCACACAGCTGCTCTCCAAACTGCTCGTCGCTCACCCCGCCATGAAGAGCGTCGTCATTGGCGAAATCGAGCAGCTGATTTTCCGAGCCAACATCCAGGACCGTGCGCGCTACTATTCCATCACCTTTCTCAATCAGATCGTGCTGACCCACAAGGAGGGCGATGTCATTGCGGCCAACAAGCTGATTGCCATCTACTTTATGATCTTCGAGGAGCTTGTCCGCAAGCTCCGTGACGAGAACGAGGCCGAGGCCGAGGGCAAGGACGACAAGGAGCAGTCCGCAGAGAAGACCAAGACCAAAGCGCGATGGAGGAACTCGGGCGGCAAGAAGGGCAAAGGCGGCAAGACGCAGCAGCAACAGAGCAAGAAGACCGCACACGACCAAGCCCGTCTGATGTCCGATGGAATCGACTCAAAGATGTTGGCTGCGCTCCTGACGGGTGTCAACCGCGCATTCCCGTACGCCAAGATCGAAGAGGAAGTGTATGTACCTGTCCGTCGTCTTGTCGTCATGTCGTCTTGTGGCTGATGGAAACAGAATCGATGTGCCGACGCAGATGGCTTGGTGGCTTGGCGGACCAAAGGCATCGGATTTGCCGTCAGACAACTTCGCCTGCGTACCGATCTTTCCATCATCACGAATGGTGCGCCTTTCGCTGACTGTGTCCCCTCCCATTCTTATCTGTCGCGGATTGCGATCTCAGGTTCGAGAAGCACATGGACACACTCTTCACCATCTCTCACATTGGAAGCTTCAACACCTCGATCCAGGCTCTGACCTTGGTCTTCCAAGTCCTGACAAATCGCGAGGTTCGTGCCGCTGTTGCATTTTCGTCAGAGCCATTCCCTCGTGGCTGTACACTATCGATAAGCTACATAGAATCAAACCAATTTATCGCTCCGCTTCCGTGTCTCGGACCAACCTAACAACATCACTTTCTGTCGGTGTCTTTGTCTCTGGCCTCTGGTGGTAACAGTCGATCAGCGATCGCTTCTACCGCGCGCTCTATGACTCTCTCACCGATGCTCGCCTCTACCATGCGTCCAAGCAAGCCATGTATCTCAACCTCCTGTACCGGGCGCTGAACAGCGACACCTCGGAGAAGCGTATCAAGAGCTTTGTCAAGCGCATCATCCAAACATGCGGACACGCCGATGTGCCGTTCACCTGTGCAAGCCTGTTCCTGATCAGCGAAATCTGCAAGAGCCGAAAGTCTCTGTGGCTGATGGTCACCCAGCCCGAGGAGAACGACTCGGTTGAGGAATTCAAGGACGCTGACGATGGCGATGGCAACAGTCGATCGCAGTCCGCCGAAAACGAGAACGGCGACGGCAAGCGCACTGGACATTACAACGGCCGAAACCGCGATCCGCTTTATACGCATGCCGAGGACACGTGTCTATGGGAGCTGGTGAGTGCTGCCGTCGAAGCCACATTGCTTGCTGCTCGCTGTCTGTGTTCGGCAGCGATCTTGCGCACTGCCGAGGCATTTGCACGGCCCACAAGTGTGGAAGGTCCGCGGCTGATTTTGGATGTGTGATTCAGCTGTGGACTGGAGGACGAGTGGGGCCATCTCAACACTAACACGAATGCGCTCACAGTGCCTGTTCAGCAACCACTTCCATCCGACCGTCAGTCTGTACGCCAGCACCCTCCTTGCCGGCACCCCGATCACACTCGCACCCGGAACCATCAACTACGACCCCCTGCAAAACCACACCCTGACTCGATTCCTGGATCGGTTCGTGTACAAGAACCCAAAGAAGGTGGCGACACCCTACAAGGGCACCTCGCTCATGCAGCCCCGGCCTGGACAAAAGTCAGACGGCCTTTTGGTCCAGGGCGGCAAGAAGCGGGATGTACTGATCGATGTCGGCGAGACCGGTGGCTCCAAGATTCGTCTGGACGACAAGCCCGTGACCGAGGTTGACTGGGGAACCCGCAAGTCGATTGCGGCTGATGAGGTGGTGTATCGACAGAACCGCCGCCAGCGACCATGTGTTTTGTTCTGTTTTTGTTTTTGCTTTGTGTGTGGCATGTTTGTAGAAGACGCGCGAGCTGCCTGTGGCGGGATCGTTGATGGATGATCGGGCACTGAGCTTGGCTCCTTTCGCATCATGTGCAATCACTCACGCCCGCTCATACACAAACGCAACCACAGGCCTTCTTCCGGCAATACTTTATCGAAAGGACTCGTCGACAGCAAGAGGATCTCAAGAAGCACAAAAAGACCCGCAAGGCCAAGACCGAGGACGAGGATATCGGTGGCGGCGACGACGAAGACGACGGGGATGAGATGGACGAAGACGAGGTCTGGGATGCCATGGCCAAGAGCGCTGGATTCCCCAAGCTGGAAGATGGCGAGGATGAAGACGAAGAGATGGACCAAGACGAGTTTGACCGCCTCATGAAAGAGCACGCCTCGGACAACGACGAAGAAGATAATGACGACGATGACGATGGCGAGGGTGCCGAGATCGACAGCGCCGACGAAATGGCTGCCTGGGCTGGCGATGATCTGGTTGACGACGAAGCTGTCGCTGACGATGACGAAGATGACGACGACGATGACGAAGCCGCCGCCGACGGTGATGAAGCTGCGGACGAGGACGCCTGGAGCGACATTGACAAGGACGAGGACAAGGACGAGGATGAGGGCGAGGGCGACGCCAACGCTGAAGACGAAGAGGACGATGATATTGACTTTGACTACGGCGCCTCCGACGAGGACGACGATACTGCCGCTGCCGACGAAGACGACGAGACACCAGCCTCAAAGGCATCCAAGAAGGCCGACGACAAGAAGATTCCCAGTCGCATCCGACGGCTTGCCCAGAAGGCTGCGAGCCTGGGTTACCGCGGCGACTACTTTACCCGGCCCCGCAGCCAGGTCGGCGACGATTTTGGCGGCGGCGACTTTGCCTCTCTGGATGACTTTGATGACTTGATCACCCAGTTCGAGCACGAGGGCGAGGACGATGGTGGTCGTGAACTCGGCGACTATGCCCAGACGGTCGGCGGGTCCACCAAACGCAAACCCAAGCAGCAACAGCAGCAGCAACAACAACAGCAGCAGCAGCGACCAGGCAAACCGTCCAAGTCGCCAGTCAGCTCAAAGAAGCGGAAACTCGACCAGGACGAGAACGAGTCCCAGGGCTTGCCAAAGTCCAAGAAACAAGGGAAGAAGAAGAAGAACTGAATACGGCGACGGTACAACCGTGGTTCCGTCGGCTGTGATTGCGTTTTGGCCCGGGACGACGGGCCATGGCAAGGGATGCAGTACCATCGACGTGTCTGAGGATTTAGATGGCTTTCTCCTCCTCTTCCCTCTCATTTGCTCTGAATACAGCTTATCATACAGCGAGTCGATCCAGAGGATGGACTGTGCAGTGGCAACTCGTGAACAGCAGGCGCTGCCTCCTCCCCCTTTACTTGTTGAGAAAGTCACTGTATTTCGGAGAGTCCTGACGCAGACAACTGCTTCGCTCCCTGCAAACTGGTTACGAGTCGCGGGTCTCGCTGTCCTCGAAGCTGAGAAGCGACTTCTTTTCGCCTACGAGATCACCGACGCTGAAGTGGATCTTCTTTATGACACCGTCCTGGGGCGACTTGATGACATGCTGCAGCACGAAGACGCAAAGTGCGAGGGTGATGGGCGGCGTCAGCGACCAACGACTCGCATGAACCAAGCTCGAGGGGAGGAGAGGAGCAATCGGGACCACTCTGCATCTGCCCTGTCTTACCTCCATCTTCATGGCTTCCAGCACAACCAGCGGCTGGCCCTTGACAACCTTTTGTCCAGGCTGGACGTTGATCTGGATCCGAGAGCAAAGATCGTCAAGCGTGAGGACGTGTGGCTCCGTCGCTCCCAGCACTTTTGCTGATCACCCATACACGTCAAGCGACTGCAGTAAATGTGCTCGCAGCCGGCTCCTCACCTGAGAAATCTTGCACGGCATCGGGGTGCGCACACCACCAGTGTCGTGCTTGTGGTGGTCGTCGTCGTACTCGACCTCTGGGACGGCAAAGGTTCGCTTGGTGCCATCCAGGAAGACAACCACCTCGCTGCCGTTCTGCACCACGGTGCTTTGGATCTTGCGGTCGCCAATGTGGGCAACCAGCAGCGTCTCGCGTGTGTCGTTCAGCTCGAGACGGACATTCGTCAGCGTGGTCTTGGCGCCGGTCGAATCTGTCACCTAGAGGATCCAGAAGATATGATATGGTTCAGATATGCGTCTTGGCATGCATTCTAGCAACTATCGAGCTATCCAGCAGTCGGATTGGCACAGGTCCAGCAAACCAGCATGCATTGCCATACCTCGACGTTGTATTCGTTGCCGGTGAGATACTCAAACTCGACAACGACCTCCTTTTCGCCCTCGAGGAAAGTGAGCTTCTTGGTGTGGGTGTGGTTCAGACGCTGTCCCGCAAGGGTGCCCCAAGGGGAGAAGGGATCTGAAGCAGAGGCCAGAAGGAGGGGGGGAGATATTTGTGAGTATTATGTCGCAAACAGAAAGGGCGTTACGATATAATATGCTGGCGCATACTCGGGCCGGCTCGTCCGAGACGTTCGAGCCATATCTGAGCGCTACCGACAGCCTTGCTTCTCACCAGAAGTCATGGCGCGCTGAGCTTGCTCGCGGAGCAGTGCCTTGGCGACGAAGGACAACGCAGCCTGGGTCAGCACAACGGGGGAAGCGGGGTCCTGTGGCTTGAAGAGTGCCGACTCGTGTTTCTGAGTGTCGGCATCGAAGGAAAATGCAGGTTCATATGTTAGTGCCTGTGGACTGGTAAAGGGCGTCGGACGTGCAGGAGCGCTGCGGGGTCAGCGTGAGTATCCGCCAATGGACCGGAGGTGGGCTGCGCGCTCGATATCCGGTCGACAAGATAAGATGTACCTTGATGAATCCAGTGTCGACATCGCCACTGATGAATGCGGGATGCGAGGCCAGGGACTTGAGGAAGTCGATGTTGGTGTTCAGGCCGACAACCTACCAGCAAGAGGGCGGCAGAGTGAGCGAGTGTTCCGGCTCGGCAGTGCGACATCAGGATCCATCGTCCAGTCAGACATACAAGCCGTGCGACCCACCTCAAACTCATCCAGCGCCTTTCGAAGAGCGCGCAGGGCTTCGGTGCGATCCTGTCCGCGGACGACCAGCTTGGAGATCATAGGATCATAGTAGACGCTGACTTGGTCTCCTTGGCGAACACCCGTTTCGGCACGGAGACTATCGCTCGGGACTGGAGTTTTCATGTGGATGAGTGGCCCAGTGTCGGGCAGGAAGTTGCTGCGAGGGGAGGCAAGCAAAGGCGAGTCAGAACTCGGTGCGAGAACAAAGATATCCGCGGGCGCCGCAGGGTCCAACTCGGGCACCCTTCCCTCTTTCGGACTCACTTGGCGGGATTCTCGGCATAAATACGGGCCTCGAAGGCGTGGCCATCGAGACGAAGCTGTTCCTGGTTGAGGGGCAGGGGGTTGCCGGCGGCGACCTGGGGGCATTGTGTCGAAGCATAGATGAGCATCTTACTGCAAACATAGTCACGAACCTGCCTCTAGCATTGACCCAGACGCAAGCCTGTCGCAGCCAAAGGCGCTGACAACACGACAACTACAGCAGATAGGGTCTGCGGGCCAAGATGCAGTGCCTGAAACATACATCCAACTGCCAGTGCACCAAGTCGGTGGCCGTGACCATCTCGGTGACGGGGTGCTCGACTTGGAGGCGGGTGTTCATCTCCATAAAGTAGAACTCATTGGTGTCGGTGTCAAAGATGAACTCGACGGTGCCGGCGCCGACATAGTTGACGGCCTTGGCAGCAGCAACGGCCTTGGTGCCAAGAGAATGGCGGAGCTCGGGAGTCAGGCCGGGCTGGACCGATAGAAGGAACGCGATGGTGTTGTGTCAGATTGTGCTGCTGGCCAAAGTCGCATTGCGCTCTTGCCGGCAGTGAGTCGCTGTCCAGACCGGTGACTTACAGCAGGGGCCTCCTCCAGAACCTTTTGGTGGCGGCGCTGGACACTGCAGTCTCGCTCGAACAGATAGACGGCCTCTCCACCCTTGTCGGCAAAAACCTGGACTTCGATGTGGCTGAACAGGGTGGAATCGAAGGTGGAGTGTCGAATTAGCAGCATGAATGGATCTGGGGACTGGCCACAGTCGCTGCTGCAGCATCGACACCAGAGCTCGCATTTGTGGCATAGACTGGCGCCAGAAGACTCACCGGGGACGGAGGATGTACTTTTCGACAAGGACCTGGTCGTCGCCAAAGGATTTGATGGCCTCGCGACGAGCCGACTCGAGCATGGTATCAAAGTCCTATGTCCGTTTGCCTTGTGAGTGGATGTTGGTGACCAAACCGCGATGACGGGCTCAGGCATGGACCGCATGACCTACCTCGGCCTTCTCGACAATGCGCATGCCCTGCAGAGAGCGAACGATTCGTCAACAGCTGTACCATGGCGAGCGACTTCACCGACGCCCCATCTCGCCAGCGACGCCTGATCCCACCTTTCCACCGCCGCCCTTGATGGCCTTGATCAGGACGGGGTATCCGATTTGATCGGCTTCCTTCTTGAGGTGCTCCGCAGACTGGTTCTCGCCGTGATAGCCAGGCACGACGGGAACGTTGGCGCGGGTCATGATGATCTTGGACTCGCTGGAAATGGATGCGCTTTGGTGTCAGACAGGCAAGCGATGTCGACGAACCGCCAGGGACGAGCGATCCATACAGGATGGCCGACAAGTATATGCCTGCTGTACCTCTTGGATCCCATGTCGATGATGGCCTGGGGAGGTGGGCCGATGAAGACGAGGCTGGCCTCCTCGACCTTTTTAGCAAACTCGGCGTTCTCGGAAAGGAAGCCATAGCCTGGATGGATGGCCTGATCGACAGCCGTTCAGTAGAGAGCCAGAGTCTCGGGTTAGAGAGCCATCCACAGCAGCCCCCCGTCGTGGCAGGCAAAGGACGCACTGCACCAGTGGATACTTCGACTGACCTGGGCGTTGCTCTTCCTGGCCACGTCAATGATCTTGTCCATTCGCAGGTAACTCTCTGAGGAGGTCGCGGGGCCGATCAGATAGGCTTCATCGGCCTACAGGGCAAGCCGATCGTATGCCATGGTATCGACGGATGAGATCGAAAATGGGACAGCAGACACGATCCATTTGCAAGTGTGAGCGGTACATGCCAAAACCGGACGGGACGACTGAGAGCAAGTGCAATCCATATGCCGATCCCATCCAAGGTCCATCGACTCGTGCACGACCAGGGCTCTGCATCCGAGACTCTAACCATCTGGACATGCATCGAGTTTCGGTCGGCTTCGCTGTAGACGGCCACGGTCTTGATGCCGAGCTTTCTGGCCGTCTTCATCACACGGCATGCGATTTCGCCTCTGTTGGCGATCAGGATCTTGTCGAACAGAGGTTTGCGCGAAGAGACGTCTGGATGGCGACGGACAGGCGGACGGATGGTGGTTGGTACGTATGTGATCCATGGGTGTCGTGAATGCAGCGACAGACCACAGACACTACATATGTGCGGCTGGACAAAGGTTGCTCGAGTTGCGCCGAGAGCAGGGCCGTCCCCGCGGATCGTTTGATGAGCCTGTGCGAAACCCCAAGTCGCAGGAAGCGCCTCGATATCTGGCTTACCGGCAGCATTGGCAGTTGCATATTGCCGAGCGAATCTCTGCGACAGACCGGCATACGAGGCCGAGTGGAGCAGGCGGCTCCGGGCATGGACAAGACGGAACATCTGAAGTGAGACGAAGGAATCGATAGAGAACGACAAGACGAGGATATGCTATGAGTCGCAGAATGATATCACATGAAACGGCGGTTGTGTTGGATTGAGACAGTCAGAAGTAGCGATGTGCTTCATGCCTGGACGACTGGCCCCTCGGTGCCGCAGATCCCAGAGCACATGATACACAGCTCAATGCAGCACCGTACAGCAGCACATCGATGCGGAGCAAGGGCATCGGACATCAACACAGACCGTGATCGCGGCGGGAGCGGCAGGAGGGAAGCGATCGATCAACAGGGTTGCGCTGAGAGCCCAAGAGCAGACGACGATCGCAGCCAGGGAGCGACGCAGCGGGGCCGCGGCAGGGGCGGCTGCGTTGTGGGGAAAGCGCCGGCGATCCCGACACGCGTCGTCGTTCCGAAGGACGGCGTCGGGGCGCATCCCGGCACGCGTCCCGTGACGGCCGCGGCCATGTTGTGTTCATGTGCCAGGGGGGGGGTTGCGGGGCAGTTCATGGCTCGGTCTGGGCGACCCCATGTCGCCAGGACGGACACTTGCTCGGCGGACGAAGCAACTGCCGTGCACTAACTGCCGTGCATCAACTGCCGTGCATCAAATCAAATCAAATCAAACCCGGTCTTGGGGCCCTTCGAAGGTGCTCCGGCGCCTGGGCCAACCCGGCCACGCATTCCCACCCCCGTCCAAACCACACAGTTCCCATCCGCACTCTCATCCACACGCACGCCGCCTCCGATCAAGTGTTTCTTCCCAATCAGCGTGTCCCAAGCACGCCCGCTCCACTGTTCACTGCTGATGGCGTGAAACAGAAGCAGGATTTCCTTTGTGTTGGTCGCGGCAAACTGAAGCCAGTGGTCTCGATGTTCCAATGTGCAGAGCTGCATCTGTCTTGTTGGAGTAGCAAGCGATCTTCTTTTCAGCCCTGCCATCCCCGTGCGCACATCCACCACAACGACCGATAGCGACTCGACTGGCTCGACCGGCTCGCTCTGACGCAGCTTTGCTGTCTCCATCATCAGGCCGCATCCAAGCAACCGGCGGCTCCGTCTCAGCACCAGTTAGCACCTCAACAGCCCGCTCGCAGCGGTGCCTCCAAATCCCTGATCTTCGACAGCCACTCGGTTCTCACTACCGTCTCGGACGTTGCTGCTCGGCATGTCCCAGTCGACACCGCCGTCGAGTTCCCACGGCGTGCAGCTGCCGCCGCTGTCGCCCAACCCATCGGTGCGAGGCATCGTTGCCGCAAACTCACCAAAGAGCTCGCGGGCAACAACCCCTCGGACCACCAAACCTGTGCAGACCATCGACGAGGCAATCACCCGTCGGGACCAGCTCCTCCAGAACCGCCTGGCAGCCATCAAGTCCAACAAAATCGCGGCTCCTGTCCAGCCAGCCATTGGATTCACTCCCCCGGCCTCGGCCTCGGCTTCGGCTTCGACTTCAGCCTCGTTCGACCACAACAGGCATCTGCAGTACACTCATAGGGAGAATGCAAGAGAGAGCCCAGGCTCGTCTGCGTTTCAGATGACCCAGCAACCGCTTCCCCTGAAGACATTGGCAGGGCCGGTCGGAGCCAAATTGCTGATCATCGAGCCATCGCCCCAGTTTGGCGAGAGCAACAGTCTACTCGCTCCCTCTGCGAGGCCATTTCGAAAGGCGTCATCGGATGTCCATCTGCCGACCTCGGGGCAGAGCTCTCCTGAGGTTCTTTCGCTTCTGCGGACAGTGCCGGCAAAGGACAGCAGCCCGAGCCTGCTGGGTCGAGCTCCATCGGGTGAGAAAGACCAGCGAGTCCCAACGGGCTCCGCCGCGAGTCTCTCTGGAAGCACCAGCGCTGCCAGAGACGTCCGCACGCCAAAGTCCAAGTACCTGAAAGAAGACACTGCCCAGAGCACCGGTGATCTTGACACAGCGTCCAAGTACTCGCCCAACTCGCTGGCGTCCCCGCCGCAACCTCCCGGAGCAGCCTCCAAGTCACCCAACGTCGTGCGGCGATCCAAGGGCCTGACTCGAGCCGAAACCTTGCCCTCGAGCACTGCTATATCCGGGCCGGAGCTGAAGGCCAAGCTCAGCGGCATCGGCACCTTCACCAGCAACACATCGCTGGGCGCCGGCAGCCAGACTCTCTCGGACAAGTCGGCGCAGTCCTTTGGATCGTTTTCTTCCATCGACAGCGTCCCGTACTATCCTCTCGACTCTTCTGACATCAAGAAAACTCACAAGGAATCGCCGCCCCACACGCACGGACCGCACGAGACGAGACGGTCGCCCCTGCATATCGAGGTGCGCCTGGGCGAGGACTCGGAAAGGGATGTCTCGGCGACCTCGCTGGCATCCAGCTCCCAGGGGCTGGAGAACCAGGTGCCCGAGCTGCCCAAAGCCCAGGCGGTCGGCCCAGCAAGCACTTCCCAGACCACAGGCCATTCCCCTGCTTCTCACGACCCTGGCCCGATGCTGCTGGCGCAAACCCTCGCAGCCACCAATGTCCATCCGCTTGCCGGACACAAAAGTCACCAAAGCCTGCTCGAGACGCCCGAATATCGGCCACCGACTGCTAATGTGCCCGACATACAGCTGCAGGTCTCGTCCAGCACAGGCGATATGGACGTGCTTGCGAGCCAGGATCTGAATCCAGGATCGTCCCGCCAGCATGGCTCTAAGCAGAACGAAGCCAGCGATCCTGTCGAGGAGGAGCCGCCACCGCCGCCGCATTCGAAACGCACTCTGAAAGACTTTACGGTCGAGCGGACCCTTGGCAAGGGCGCCTTTGCACGAGTGCACCTGGTGCGATCCAAGGAAACGGCGACGCTGTATGCGATGAAGTGCATGCGAAAGGACCGTGTCCTCAAGACCCACCAGGTCGAGAATGTGATCAACGAGAGGAACCTCATGGCCCGACTCCGGTGTCCCTTCTTGGTGCCGTTCATCGAGAGCTTCCAGGACAACGAGCACCTGTACATCTTGGTCGAGTTCCTGGCGGGCGGCGACCTGTTCCACCTGCTGAGGCACCGACAGGTGAGAGGACTGGGAGTGCTCTGGGCTGGCCGACTTGGAGGGAATTGGGCAGTCGAGTGCAGCTGAGTGCAATCGGGTGCAGTCGGGTGCAGTCGAGTGCAGCGAGCGGGAGGAGGATCCGACAATCGATGTGAAGGTGCGGCTCCACATCAAGCCCGATTGACTGACGACAGCCGTGTGAAACGCAATCTAATGTCTCGGCAGATGTTTGACGAAGAAACGACCCAGTTCTATGGCTGCCAAGTGCTCTTGGCCCTGCACTACCTCCATCGCCACAAGATTGTCTTCCGAGACCTCAAGCCCGAGAACATCCTCCTGACGGCCGAGGGCAACGCCAAGCTCGGGGACTTTGGCTTTGCCAAGATCATCGAGGGCACCACAACGACCTTTTGCGGGACGCCAAGTTACATCCCACCGGAGATGCTGCAGCGCAAGCCATACGGATTCATGGTGGACTGGTGGGGCTACGGAGTGCTGCTGTTTGAGATGGCGAGCGGATGCAGCCCCTTCCAGAGCTGGACCTGCCAAAAGACGTACGAGCGCATCTTGTCCGGCAAGATCCAGTGGCCCCCGCCAGACCGCGGCCAGTGCTTCTCGGACAATCTCTTGGATCTGATCATCAAGCTCCTGGTGCTGGATCCGCGCCGCCGGGTGGGATACAAGGGCGACGGCGATGAGGTTCGGCGGCACCGCTGGTTTGCTGGGGTGGACTGGCGAAGCGTCAACGAGCGCAAGATCACCCCGCCCGATATCAGCAGCGATCGCCGGCTGTCACGCATTGGCGACTCGGTGGCCGGGGCACCGAGTCTCGGAATCCGGCTCAGCGAGTCCTCGGTGGCCGCCCGGAAGAGCACAATGGAGATTGCCTTTGAGGATTTCTGATTGAGGGGGGGGGCAGCAGGTCCTCTAATTGTCGCCATGCGGCGGAGGGCCCAGCATGGCTCGGCCATCGCCAATATAGGACTCGGTCATGTCCAGGAACCAACGATGCTCCGCCGTGTGAAGTGAGCAGCGAGGGTATCAAGGGGGTGGCTGTTCTGGAGCGAGACTTATTCGCCGTCATCGGTAGTAGTAAAGGGCATGTGATAGACAATACCATTGCGATCGCCATGGCCGTCGCCAAGGACCACTCGGCGGTTGCAGAGCGCGGCCAGAGACAACAGGGGCCTTGGTTGTTTCCCTTCCTCATGTCATACTCGATCACTGCCGCACCCCAGTCATGGTATCGTGCCGGTGTTTCCAGATGGCTGTCATGCCAAGTCACAGGCGATCACTGAGTGGAATGAGATGAGCGAATGGGACATTTGTGTATTCAAGATCCGCAAGAAACGAAAACAAGTCCCCAGACATCCTCAAAACACGAGCTGCAATCAAGCGATCAGATTCAATCTTGTCAAGGTCAAGAGGACATGTGCGTGCCAAGACCAGGGCACGGTCGACTGGGGGGGGGCCAGTTGGGATCATATAAAATGAAAAGAAAGACAAGACAAGACAAGACAGCGATGTTGCGATGGAGGCGTGCAGACGGTGCGATAAATAAGCAAAACCCACGAAAGCTAGACGATGAGATATTATGGAGAGCATGACGGCGAGTCGGAAGAAGAAGAAGAAGACGAAGAAAAGGAACGAAACGGTGGAGAGCATGGGTGTGATAGGCGTGGGATGGGTCCGGGAAGCACACGCCGCAAGAGCAGGAGAGAGAAACGTTGACATGAGGCTGCGTCGAGCCTTGCAGGAGAACAAGGTGGCGATGCAATAGGACGAATGGCCAGGACAGAGTGCGAAAGAAAAATAAAAGTGCTTGAGCCAGCCGCGGACACCAGGCCAGCTTCGCTCGGGCAGGAGGTGGGGGTGGGGGACGACCCCATCTCCTCGGGTACAATCCGACTGCTGGACTCGAGAGGAGCGAGCCAACAAACCCAGCAGGGCGAATCATCGGCGAGGCAGCGCCGCACGGCTATTATCGCTTGAGCAGGACATTCACAAAGAACCGCCTCGGGCCCTTGGACCTGGAGACCTCGGGTTCGGAGACGGTGGATGGGGCCGGGTCGTCAGCGTCGCTTGAGCCTTTGCAGCCCCGCACCTTGAACGACGGCTCGCGGGAGAGCTCCGTTTCGTAGTCAGTGCTGGTGCCGTGGTCGTCGTCCTCGCCGCGCGACGATGTCGTCGAATCAGACTCGCCGTTCTGCTGGCTCGCCCACAGGGAAGACTGGCGACGCGAATAGACAGGCGAGGTCTCCATGAGGGCAGCCCGCAGGAGCGCAGCATTGACGGCGGGGTTGGGCGGTGATGAACGACTGGGGCGCCAGGAGCTCCGGCGCAGAGTGGAAGACAGGACCGAGGCCTGGGCCGGATGGGCGGCGGGAGCCTCCCGGTCGTCATTGGACACCGCTGGCAGAGCAGCGGGAGCGACCTGAGCAGGGACCAGTGCAGGGGCTTGTGCCGGAGCCTGAACAGCGACCTGAGCAGGAACCTGAGCAGGAGCCTGGGCTGAAGCTGGGACTGGGACTGGGACCTGGGGAGTAGCGACCGGGGCGACCAGGGCGACCGGGGCGAGCAGGGCGACTGGGGCACGGACAACTCCCTTCTTGAGACACTTGCGGCGCTTGGGCGAGTCGAGAGGGGTGTGATAGGCGACAAGCTCGAGGGCGACCTTGATGACCTTGGCAAGGTCGGTGTTCTTTAGCAGGTCGGTAATGTGGGTCACGGCGTCGTCGATGAGCGACTGGGTCTCGGGAGACGATGGGTCCGAAGGTAGCAGCTCTTTGGTATGGACCAGGAGGCTGAGCTCCGACTTGGAGACGACGCTGAGGAAGAGCGTGAAGCGGCCCTCCTGGTTCATGTAGGCAGCATGGGTGCATGGCTTTGAGGCTGCGGATTTGTCCTCAGGCTCGCTGGGCTTCCGGGAGGCAACATAGGTGCGTCGACGCATGGAAGCCGTGGGGGCCGGCGGGTCGGCAGGCACAGGGGAAAGATGCCTGAGGACCAGGTCCTCGATGCCGGCGTACACGGCCAAGAGCGAGAGCGGTAGCGAGCCCGACTGCCTCAGCGCAGAGTCAGCAGCGACAGGCACCAGGGAGGCAACGGCCGTGGAATTGGTGGCCGATCGTTCGAGCGAGGGGCTTTTGGCATCGATGGAGCTGGCCGAGGAGTACAGCGTCGCCGAGCTCGAGGAAAGGGAGGTAGAAAGCTGTGCGTCTGCAGATGGATCGGCGGCAATCGCAGCCACGGCGGTGGAATTGACCCGGACAGGGCTTGGCTGGACAGGCATTGGCGCCTGGACGACTGAGGACGGCTCCGGAACAACAGCCGGCTGCGAGATGGGGTGGGTATCGGGGAGCGGCGAGGCCGGACGGTGCGAGGAGAAGAAGCTGAAAGGCCAGCTGGAAGCACTGGCGTTGGAGGAGCTGACAAAGGACCACCGCCGGCGATGTGTCTTTTCGCTGGAGGAGGGAGGGCGGTCTGGTGGAGGAGGATGCACGAGTGGCGAGTGCGAATGTGGAGCCGGCAGCGACACGGCCGAGGAGGCAGCGGGCGCCGGGGTGTGGGAAGGAAGGGATTCACGGGAAGGCGGGAGACTGGCGAAGGCGACTCTCATGGTGGAGGTGTGGGATCGCTGCATCGGAGGAGAGGCCATGGCGGGCGGCCAAGGCGACGGTTAAGAGAGGACACGAGAGAGTGGCAGGCTGTGGGCCGGGGAGAAAAACGAGGGCAGCAAGTGGTTGATGGGGAGTGGACAGGAAGAGCCCGGAGCAAAGGAGAGCCTGGAGCAAAGACGAGCCGGGGCAACGAGATCCGCGGAGGCAAAGGGCCACGACAAGGGGACAGGGCGCAACCCGGACGGAGGGAAGGCAAAGGTGATGGCAGCGCCGGCGAATCGAAAAACGAGGCCGCAAGGAGAGGCGGCGGTCAGATGGCCGGGGGGATGCGCGGCTGTGCGGCTGTGGGTTGGAGCGAGTTGCTGATAGTTGGTGGTTGAAGGTTGATAGTTGAAGGTTGATTGTTGATGTTGGTGTTGGGGGTGGGGGTGAGAGTGGATTTGATCGTCAAATACTCCACGGCCCAGTGGGGTTTCACTTCCGATTGCAAGTGGCCGATTGTGCGGGACTGTTTGTTGGCATTGCCGACATTGCCATTGCCGACATTGCCGACATTGCCGACATTGCCGGCTGTTGGCTGTGCAGTTTACGCCAGTGGCGGCGGCCGCACTTTCGCTGGCGTTGCCACACAACAGTGCCGCAGGGGTGTTTGCGACTTGCCGCTGGGAATTGGCAGCGACCCCTCAGGCCACCGGACTTGTCTGCGCGTGGGGCCTCCAAGCCCGAGAGACGTCTGCTCGATGGTTCTGTCGCTTCAGCAGAGTATAACAGAGTATAACAGAGCATCGAGCACCCAGGCGAATGGGGCCAGTGCACTCGGCGCCCCCAGCCCAGCAACGAGGGGGAGAGGAATGGACGGCCGTCGAGGCGGCGAGCAGACAGACGCTACGACCAGCCCCGCGATCCACGGGGATGCCATAGTCGTTAGGATACGACATCCTGGCTGTGATAACGCATGCTCGCTGTGATAACGCGTGCGCGCTGTGAGTCGGCATGAAACGTTTGCCCTCGCTGTTGGCCACACACACACACATGATTCCAGCCGACTCGAGCCGCTGACTCCAACTCACGTGGACGGCGTTCCCACGCCCCGTCCATCAGCTCGCCAGAATGCAAGCTTCTGTCTCGCCGACCACCCCGTCGCACTCGCCCCGGCTCGTCGCCCAGCACCGATCGCTGCAGCCTGCGGCTCGACCTGGTGTGATTGCAGTCAACAAACGAATTGCTTCAGTTGTCTCACTGCCCCCCGCACGCCTAAACAATCATCCCAATCGCGCCTTTCGATGGATCTTCTACGGTCCAGCCTGCAGAGTAGTCCACGAGACATTCACTCCCGTCCACTGTCCTCCACACCGCTGCTGGCTGGGACAGCGAAGCGCTCACTGCCCCAACCACAAGCATTGCCAGTCCAGGGGCTATTCTGTCTCCTTGGACCTCCAAGCAACAGCCGGGACAAACAAAAACAAACGGCGCTCCGCGGCTGCATCGGTTTTTGCTGCTGCTGCTGCTGCTGCTTTTCCAGCCTCAATAAGAATCTCCATCGGTGGGCTCTTCGTCCGCTTGCCACTTTTTGCCGGTGCTAGCGGCCCCTCTCATCTGCCTACCGCCGGTTTATCCCACGTCGGGATACTCTGCTTTCTGTTCCCCGGCCCCAACCGCACCCGCTACCTTTCACCCTGCAGCTGTGCTTGAACTTTGTTTCGAGGCAAATACCTGCTAGGTGCGAATTCCACTCGCCGCCAAGTTACTTGTGTCGCCTTGCTTCCCCACTCTGTTCGCACCATACCGTTTGCGCAACCGATCGAGAGCCATCGCCGTCGTCGCTACCAAAGTATACATCCGGTGTGTAATCCGCTGTGCTCGTCAAACAGTCGCCCACTCCATCAGCCTTCCATACACCCCCTCCCATACTGAATCTGGCTCCACATCGCTCAATCGATTTGTACCTCATCGGCCCGCTTTGCTCATCTCGGTTGTATCGGCCACCTCGTTGATGTCATTCTCGCCCTGTCGATATCGTTCTCCCCTGTAGATATCGCTCACCACGCAGCCGGTACGCGCAGTATATCCGTTTGTCGCCGTTTACGTCATTCTCCGATTGTACCTTGCTCTTTTGCCGAACTACATCGTTTGGACATCATCGGAGCTGCTACTGTCAATCGACCGTCACCAAATCTGTGTGCGGGCTTACTCAATTGCCTCTCTCCCTCTCTCATCTGTTTCTTGCAGCCTCTGATTCTCCATCTCTGGCTGTTGAACCATCTCTATCCCCCACCTCCATCCAGATAATCTTGGATGGTGAGCGTCTCAGATCATGTCGAGACCCTATTCACACCGGCGACACTCGGCCACGGCTCACGATGAAGACGAACAGCGTCTCAGTGCCTCCGGGCGCAAATCCGTTTCGTTTGGCCTCGGTCACTCCAAAATAATCCAATTCAACATCGAGGACATCATCACCCGCATTCTCATTCGCCCTTCGCCAAAATCCCGCAACTCGGAAGTCTCGGTGCCTCCACACGGTCGTGAAAGCTCTGGCAGCGGCTCCTCACCCCAACATACCCCCGTCACGCCCACTGCCTCGACGACCACCGGCAGCACGGTTTCCACCACTGCCAACGCTCCCAGCAACGCTGTGGCCACCAATTCCATCTCCAATCCCATCAGCGTCAATCCCATCGCCATCAATTCCATCGGAGGTGCAGCTGCCACCACCTCCAGTCCCGTCAGCAGCCCTGTTCCGATGATATCTGTCCCTTCTCGGTCTGCCTCTTCCTCGCCCAGCCCTATCATGACCACGCGGGTTTCGGTCTGCCTCGCCTCCCCCGAATACGAGGTCACCACCATCAAGTCGCCGCTCGTTCCGAGTCGATCGAATTCGGGAGCCAACTTTCCGCCGGCGGCGGCCGCCCCCAAACTTAATACCACGGCAGAAAGCCCAACTACCCCCGACGATCTCGGCCTCTATGTCCACTACATGCTCGCCTTCCACAACTTGCCCGGCCCCCACTGCAATCGCGGGTCCAATTCCAGTACCCTGGCCGACTCTGACAACTTTGGGATTGTCCTGGATGAGGTCTACATCACTTCGGCCAATGTCATCCACACGAGTGTGAGAATCCCTCCGATCTACAAGGACAAGGACTTTCAGGTGTCGTTTTCACTGAACCACTGGAGGTCGTCGGTCAAACTGCCGATGAAGCACCTGGAGTCTATTTGCGTACAAAACGCACCGTCGCTACAGCGCTCTCTCAGCTCCTCGTCCGATGCCCTCGGGCCCGAGAGTCCCTCATCGCCCTCCATGACCCACCGCCTCGCCAAGGGCTCCAAGCCCAAGATCGCCGAGACCGTCCACACCTGCTACTATGACTTTGACTTTGCTCTCGAGTCGCCTCTGATGCAGGCGGTCATGGAAGTCGCCCAGGCCGTCGTCGAAAAGTTCCACGGAGTCGAAACAGCGCCCGCTCCTCCCGGAAAGGCCAGCGACCAAAAGATCGCCGACGGGCCCTGCGGCAAGCCGGGCGAGTCCTCCGGTGTCTCGCCCGCTTCGGTCAACATCCTGAGCGACGTTGCCGAGCTGTTTCGGCCATCGGATGGTTCCTACTACGCCTCACGGGCCTTGAGCAGCAGTGGTGGGTCGCTCGCCCACCAGTCCCACGCCTCCAGTGTCCCCGACATGCAAAAGGTTGACATCAAACCAGACACCATCCTGGTCCTCTCGGCGAGAGAGCACAGCCCCACTACCTCCTTCTCGGGCCTGAGCAGCTCTTTGAGACCCAAAGAGACCGGCGACAGCATGGGACTCCTCGACATGATCAAGAGCAAGTCGGACCGCTCGCTTTCGAACGGCGATGGCAAGCTGGACCGCCTGGATGTCCCCGATCTGGGCTACTCGATGTCGTCCGAGAGCCCCAGCACCAACCTCATCTTCCAGCAAGAGGCCAAGCCCATCCGCTTCACCACCGTCGCGCTGTTCAAGGCCGAGTCGGTCGGCGACAGCCTGCCGGTCATCTCCACCAGCTGGAGCTTTGGCCTCACTGTAAACCTGATCAGCGCCCCCTCCAACACCCCCAACAACACCCTGCTTGCCATCTCCGAGCTGGCTGTCTCCTCGCCTGACATCTCGTCGCTCTGGATGGACTCGGTCCAGTCGCTTGCCGACTCGCTCAAGCCCTCGCCGCAGGTCAGCGACTTTGCCCCGTCCGCGACAGAGGCCCTCGAGTCGCCGATCGTTGTTACTTCGGCCACCCCCAGCTCGTCCTCCAAGAGCTCGATTTCGTCCCCCACATCCGCCTCGCCGGCCACGGTGTCCTCGTCGTTGCACCACGGCAACTACACCTACGGCAAGGAGTCGGATTTGGACTATACCTCCTACGACATCTATGGGTCCATGTCCAAGAAGAAGACGCCAAAATACACGGCGGACGACTACTATGAGGGCCACTCATCCAACGAGGACTTCTCCTACTCGGACATCGTGCGCTCGCCCGACATGTCCTATAGCACAAGGAAAAGGAACACCAAGCTCTCCAAGGCCTTTGACTACGACACCCGCTACGAGGCCAACCTCGAGGACATTTCCTTCTCGGCCACATCCACATCCACCTCCACAGCCATGCCAACGGCGGAGATCACGACGTCGATCCCGTCAACCCAGAGCCCTCTGCCCACCACTCGCTCGCGAGGATACAAGTCCTACCGGACCCTCTGATTCTGTCGGCAGTCTCCCAGGGTAATTCGCAAAACCTGGCAGGGGCGGGAGGGGGGAGTACTTCCCTTGTCCCCTCCCCTCCTCTGAGCTTCGAGACCGTCGCATGCACGCTGTGCTATTATTTTGTCTCTATAGCTGCTAGAACGACTGCTTTCCCCTTCATATCGAACGAGTATCGCATGTCGTCACTTGATATCGGCCATGGCAGCCCTGCTTTCCATATCCTGGACCTCGATCTCTGCGCGATACGACCACCTAAACACCATCACCCCACCCCGTCATCCACAGCCACGAATCTAACGCCCGTTGTTTCCGTCTGGTCTCTCCTTCCGCTCCTACTTCCTGCCTCTCTCCTTCCCGATGACCCGCCCCCCCCCTCCACCCATGACTCTCCCTACCCTGACGTCCAATCGGATTGCTCTTTTGTCTCCCTGCCTCTGTTCCCGTCTTTCTGCTTTTCTACCAACTTCTTTTCGACTCTATGATAAAAGCGTGCCCAAAAACGAGACAAGAAGACCCTGTTTTGAGCCAGGGGCTGTCGTTTTTATTCTGGGCTCTGAATACACACCCGACCATCGCCCGTCATGACCAAAGAGTGTGTGCAAGGAGACTGAAGCCCAAGCGACTCGAGCAGGTCGACAATCCTGATAATCGAGAAGCCACGGAGCTAGCTGTCCAGGTCGTCGAGTGCATGCACCACGTCCCCTGTATCGCAGCGTCAATGCCAGCCGATCGTCGCTGCTTGTGATTGCCCATTGTCTCGAGCCAGAGGCTCGTCTTCCAGGCGGCAGATGCCGGGGTCGACCCCGCTATCGAGCTAGGGTCAGGAAGGTTCTCTCGAAGCCGAAGCCGACAAGGCCACAGCACAACACAATACAACACAACACCTGGCCAAGAGCCTGTCGTCCCCCGCAAGGCATTTCAAATGCCCAAGATCGCCCAGGCTCCATCCGGACCTCTCGATCTTGAACTCTGACCGCATCTCTGACCACAACTCTGACCACATCTCTGACCACAACTCTGACCACAACGGCCTCATCTGGCTCTTCCTCCCGCTATCTGCCCTTGCCAACACCGAATCTCGAGCTGCTCCGCTGATCCTGAGCCATGCATCTGCTCGTCTGCCATCACGGCCTATGGTAAGCGTCCGGAGTTCAGCGACAGCGACGGCTATTGTCGGTGCCCAAGAATCAATGTGGGAGAATGATGGTTTCCTTGCCGACAGCACCCAACTCCAGCCGACAGCACCCGACTCCAGCAGCCCTTGAGATTTTCGCTTGTGGCTGCGGCTCATATCCTCGAGCTGTCGTTGACCCTACTGACAAAGATTTTGTCCTTCATGATCACCCGCTCGCTCCCGCTTTGTCCAGGGGCAACGCCGAGCATCTCCAGTTCCTCACCAACGCCATATCGCAGCGCCAGCCTGACCTCAAGCTCCTCTGCTGCAACTCCAATCGAGGCATCAATACCCTCGACGGCATCGACGTCTGCGGCGATCGGATCGTCCGCGACATCCTGGAGCTGCTCCAGTCCGAGCCGTCCATCACCGAGATTTCGTTCCTGGGCTACTCACTCGGCGGTCTGATTTGCCGGTACGCCATCGGCAAGCTCTTTGCCCACGGCACCTTCTCGTCGGTGCAGCCCCGGCTGTTCGTCACCATGGCAACGCCGCACCTCGGCAGCGAGCTGCCCAAGGTTTCGATGTGGAAGCCTCATGTTGCCTTCTTCAACCGGGCCTTCAACACCCTCACCCGCACCTTCACCTCGCGGACGGGCCACCAGCTCACCCTGCGGGACCAGTACCACGACGGATTGCCGCTCCTGATCATGATGGCCGACCACGACTCGTGCTTCATCCAGGGCCTGCAGCTCTTTGCGCGGCGTGCATGCTTCGTCAACGTCCAGAACGACCCCACCGTTCGCTTCACGACGGGCTCGATCGAGCACTCGAATCCGTATCGCAAGCGGCCCGCCGAGGTGATCGACCCACAGTACCCTTCGATCGTGCGCATCGTGCCGAGCGAGGACGCCGTGCTCGTGTCCCGGCCCTTCAACCCCACAGACATCCCAAAGTACGGCATGTTTATCCTCCTGGCTCCCGTTTTCATCACCATTGCCCTGACGGCGCTCTCGTCCTATGCGCTCTACCACCGGGCCAATCGCATCTCTGGCATCGACGTCGAGAACGAGTGGTTCAAGGAGTTCAAACAAAAGGCCCTCACCGAGTCATGCAAGGACGTCCTGGACTCGACCACCACCGGCGAGGCCGAGAGCCACCAGCACATTTCGGCGCTGCTCACGCAAGAGTCGACCAACATCCGCCACTGGATGGTCGACAACCTGAACCGCCTCGGATGGGAAAAGGTCCATGTGCGGCTCGAACAGCGGCGTGCGCACGCTGGCATCGTTGTGCGGCGAGCCAGTGACAAGACAACCGACCAGGTCTCCTATCTCGTCGACAAGTACTTTACGGACCTGGATTTTGTGTCGACCGCCAAGAAATAGCTGCCACCCAAAGATTTATAAAGTGTCGGAGGGAAGGAAGGGGTGCTCGTGTCCTGAACGAGAACATCGGAGCATCCAACCCGAGGAAGCGCGCAGGTCGATGAGCTGCGTGTATCGATGGAAGCCATGCCCTTTCCAGTTTGTTCGTTTCATCACTTTTCTTCATCAATCACATTGTAAGTCACAGCCCCTCCTTCGATTGCGGCCGAGGGATGAGCCACAATGTCGGCCTCATGGTACATGTGTAAATAGCAATGTTCGCATCTGACCCCCAAACATATATATTGCACATGTCGACCACAGCGGCGGGTGTAGTTTTTTGGTCTTTGAGAGGGAGTGAAGGGAGGCTTTGAGGCACACTCGCTCAGATGGGAATGGGTTTGTTCCATATGCCATGGTGCACGGCTGAAGACAGGGTCGTTGCCGGATCGGGCTCGCGAAGCCGGTGTCGCCGGACTACTTCTTGACGAGAAACACGATGCTACCGATAAATCGCATAACACTCAAAATGGCCACCGACCACTGTTTCAGAGGTAAGGGAAGGGAAGGGAAGGGAACGGAGGAGGGAGGATCACAGGTTAACCCGCGTGGCCGGCAGCGCCAGGCTCGAATCGCACGGCGGATCAGCAGATCATGGGCACGGAGAAGGAACGGATGTCCACGAACCATGATGACTGTCAGGTAGGGGTTATTTGTGTTGCTGCCGCTTGTGCTGATGTTCAGAACTTGCGCGACACTGGGAGTCGTCAGGGCCGAGACAAGCAGCAGATTGGACGCCATCCAGAAGAGCACCACGCGGGTCCGGAAGTAGCGAAAGTAGTCTTCCTGCTCCTTTTCAGTCTTGGCCTTCTTGCTATTCTTGGTCTTTTTGTTCTTCTTGCTGTTGTCCTTGCCGAGTGCGGCCATAAACTCTTGGTATTTCAAGTTGATGTCCTGCTTCTCGACAGGCAGATCCACATCCGCCACCACCCGGCCGTCTTCCTCGCGCTTGACGATGACAGGCGCCACAAATGTCGGCGTGATTGTGTCCCCTTTGGTTCCCCAGGAGATGTCATGAAGGTTGCAAACTGAACCAGAGGGCAATGAGGATGGGTGCGAGTCGATTCGTACAGCCGCAACGGCAGCAGCAGCAGCAGCGATTCAGTCGTTGGCAGCCATCAGAGCAATCGCTTACAGGCATAGACCATCAGGATGTTTGTGAACGAAGGCAGCAGCACCATGTACTGCAGGAACGATGTGAACTGATGTGGCGTTCTGGGTCAGCGGACGGTTGCGTCCATATATGTGCTCGAGCGTCCCACCGAGGCGGTGATGACCAGATCACACGCAGCAAGACAACTTACCATATGCCAGGGATCGAGGTATATGAAGCTGGATATGAAGTATGCGCCGTAGGTTGCGGAGATTGAGACCAGTAGATCGCGGAAGACCGGTCGGCTGAACAGGACGATGAGAGCGGAAGAACCGCCCCATTCTTCTGGCGTTTGTGGGAACGAGCGATACATTGCATAGCCCGACTGCAAGCGGGGTTTGGGGAGGCAGGGAAGAGAAAGCGACGGCAGTTAGCAGGTGAACACGGTGATGGGATTTCTGCCAGTCAACTTGGACGGCGAGTGTCATGCATTCAGCAAAGAAGCCCTGCCTGGAGTGAGTGTGCGACAGCTTACCACGATCAGGGATATCAGCATGATGACACCAAACAGGAAAAAGCACATAAAATACACAATTCTGGTGCCCTGTGGCCGGTTTCCCAGGGCCGCGAGGAAGCACAGCAGCAGAGCAAACAGGTACAGCTGCTGAAAGCCCACAAACAGATATGCGATGCCGGGCCACGCCTTGTAGAGCGGATCGTTGGGATTGGTCAAGGTGCCACCGACCAGGAAATCTAGAGCAACAGAGCACTTGCGTCAGCTGCGAGTTTGCCGCATGTGAAGCCCGGGGAGGAGCCACAGCTTGGCTGTTGGACACGCCGCGGTACTTACAAAATATCAAATAGAAGTTGGCAATAGAAAACCAGTTGAAGATCAAGTTGATGACATTGTCTGCCAGGTTGTCGGAGTAGAAAGCCGTTAGTCCGGGAAGCGGCCGTCTCTGGATAGTTATAGGCACATGTGAAAGGTGTGCGGCTCAAGAACAGAAGCTCACTCACATAGCGTTTGGATCAGCAGCCCAAACTTGCGGGCACCGCTGTGTCCTGACCGGAATATCTGATAGAAGCGGGTGATGGAGTGGACGCCAGCAAAGAACGAGCCGTTGAGCCACCGACGGCGCTGGGCTGTTTGTGCGAGTCAAGGATCGAGGGAAGGTGTCAGTCGCAGGAGTCGTGTACGACAGGGCAGTCCGGTATCGTTGCGGGATCTTATGCAACCGACGGATGAGGTCTTCATTTACATATGAACTCGGCAAGGGTATTTGGCACGTCTGTTTCGGCATGGGCGTCCTGGAATCAAAAGTTTTACCGACCGTTGATAAATAAAGTATGCAAAGCGTTCGGTCAGGCCCTGGGTCTCCGACGATGAAGAGCTGCCTTTGCTGAAGCATGCATGCGGCTCCACCGCTCACCTTGATGTACTTGAGGATCCATCTTTCCTTCCGCTTCGTCACGAGCTCAAAGCAAAGAATTCGGTCCTCAGCCAGATACCTAAATAGGCGAGGAGCGTCAGGATAGCCGTATGCAACGGTGGGGGGGGGGCGGAACAGTATCACTGAGAATGTCGGCATCGGTGTTCAAATCAACACATCGACCTACATATTGGCAGTGCCGACACTGGCCGTGTCGTGCATTTTCTCGCCCAGGAAGTACTTGGCCAGCGGACCGGCTTCCTCGTTACTACTGCGGAGAGCCTTGTAACGGTAGGCCGAGAATGCACCAGGGAGGACCGAAATGAATCCAAAGCACGATTCGAAGGGCTTGTCCTAAGATAGAAAGGAAGTGGAGCAGAGGCATGAGCGGTGGATGTCGTCGCAAGCAAGGCCAGAACGGCACGGAATGGCGACCAGATCCATGGCTCGAGCACCACATGGCGTCTCACAGCAATGCACAGCGGATCGAAGCTACATCGAGAATAGACAATGGGCATCTCTGCCTACCAAGATATTGCTCATCTTGTACTCGAAATTCTGCGCCGCCACGAGCGGATTCAGCAACTTGTACCAGAACGGGCCCTTCTCGACATAGATCTCGCCACAAGCGCCTCCGACCATGCTGTCATTGTGGAATGCTGCATCGGGACGTTCGGCGTTGGTCAAATGGCCGAGGGCAAGTTACAGAAGCAGCACTACAGCGATCGTGCAACACGGCGCGGACGGTACCTTTCCACAGCTTGTAGATGCTCTTGTCCGAGGGCTTGGTGCCGACATCGATCAGAACGCAGACGTTGGGGTTCAAAACCCGGCCAAAGGCGTTGAAGAACCAGCGATGGGAGTTGATCTTCTTGGCATTTTTCTCCTTGAGGCAAAACAGGAGCTGTATGGGCACCAGATCGTCTGAGGCCGAGCGATTGATGCAGCAGATGAGATGCGAATCCCGACAGGCGTGGAGCCAGCGATCAAACACTTGCGGAACATGTTCGCACCTTTGATTTTGTAGTCTGTGTCGATGTATTTTTGCGTCGTATACTCGAACACGTGTGCCGAGGTTCCTGGCCGAGAAAAAGTGGGCGACAGAGGGCGGATCGTTCGTGATGAGTGAGCCAAGGCAAGAATGACAAGCAACCAGCGTGTCCAGATGCACGGGAGGATGGCCATTGGCGTCTAACCTGTCGTGTCGACATGGGTCTTGATGACACCTTCTTGATAGGCGCCCAGGATGCCGATGGCGCTCAGGGTTTTTGGATGGATCTGATTGAAAAACGGTCAGTTTGCTGAAGGAGTATATGACTCGAGCCCGCTATTGAGTTCTTCCTCGGTGCCCACCGAGTCCTCACTCGCCCACTCCGTCCCTACTCGCTCAGTCCTCTATTCACCTCTGCTTGTCCAACTTTAGCACATCTCCGCAGCACGGCGACACGGCTCGCGATCGAGATAATCCACTGAACTTGCCTTCTCTCGGCCGTCCGATACCACGCAGACAACGATCTTTTTCCAGCCATCGGGGCCCCACACGTCCGACTTGCGCTTCGAGCAGATATGGGCAATGTTTTTGACAATGCTCTTCCAAGTCCGAAGGAAGAGCGTCTCGTCCTCGTTGTACATGGTCACGACGATGAAGATTTCGGTCTCTCGCTCCATCTCCACTTGCCGAAGCGTGTAGTCGTTCTTGACAAACTCGTCTGGATCACCCGTCACGGCCGTGTCTGCGGCCGGAAGCAAGGAAACGATATATCAGTCGATGGATCAACAGGGCTGCACCGATGATGCATCCCAGAAACAGTGTCGGAACAGCCCTTCTCCTTCGCCTTGGCCCATAGCGATCGCGATCGGTTGCTCACATTTCATGTGCGTAAACTCCTTGTCCTCGGTGTAGGCCGCTCGGCTGAGCAGGTCATCTGGAACGGGAATCTCGACCGTGAAGTTGCCGGTTTCAGTAAGCTGCACCATCTTATGGGTTCGGTGTCGGAAGAGCGGCCGAGGGAGAGGGTAGTTGTACTCGGAAAGTGCGTGAGGTCGCTGGTGGCTACCACCGATGTCGGGCAGCGGCTCCTCCTGCTCATTCTGGGGTGCTTGTGGATAGGGCATCTGCATGCTCGAGTAGTTGATGCCCGGATACAGGATGTATCGGCCATAGGTCCCGTACTGTGGGTAGAATGCATCGGGGTGGAATACGAGCTGGCCTGGCGCACCCAGCATTTCCGGCGGTACGCCGTAACCTTGCATATATGCATATGGATGCGGAGACCTCTCGCCGCTGCTTGGGGCAATCAGGTAGGCGCTGCCGTGTAGCGACTGACCGGGCTGCTGGGCAGAGCTGTTGAAGGCCCAGTCGTTCGAGTGGCTTGGTCCTTGATAGGACGGTCCTGGGCCAAAGCTCACCATGTGCTCGGTTTGCGGGGTGGGAACGGGTGTGGTATTGAATCGTCGATCGGCGTCGTAGTTGGCGTGAGTTTGGCCCGAGACAGCGGACGCCGCCGAAAGATGGTGGGGCTGGGGCGGTAGCGGCAGAGGCGGCATCTGGCGCTGGCTATGTTGATCCTCATAGTGGATATGTCCCGGATATGGAGCTGCAGCATCACGAGCCCGATGAGCATCATCACGCAGTGGCTGCTCTTGCACATTCGCGCGCCTCATGAGTCAAGCAAGCAAGCAAGTCTCTGCTTCTCTCGGCTGACCAACCTTGCGACGCTCGTCGGCCATCATCAACTTCGATTTCGTGCGAGCGACGGTTGGATCTCGCCTCGGGCTGGGACTGCTGGATCGAAGCCGGAGCAGGATATGTGCCTGTGTTGGTCCCGGGACGAGCAGTTTGGATGGCCAGATTGCCGGAGCAGGCCAACCCGGGGAGAGTATCAGGGGAGGGATATTTGCAGAAGTATCTGCATCGAATGGATCGACCCTCAGGTCGCTTCGGCAAGTGATGTCGGCAGACCCAAATGCACGCTCGCACTGACGGTCGCTGGCGGCAGGCTTACCTGGCTGATACGAGTTGCGCAAGGGCACATCATAGGCACGGGCTCGGCTTGGGGCTCGTTCGGAAGGATACTCTTCTGGTGGACCCGAAGCAACGGACATGTCGAAGGACTGGAAGCTGGCACTCGGACGAGGAGACGGGTTTGGCGGCTGCAGTCCCGTCGGCGGCGGATATGGATGAGCGAATGAGTCCATGGTCAGGGAAGACGGCTCTCGCCGTTCTTGGGTCTGGGCGAAGGTGCCTGGGGCCAACCCAAGCGAGTCCATTGTCACAAAGACCGAGTCGGTGTTGGCTCTGCTGCTGGGCCTGACGAGATCTGCAGCGGCGGCGGCGGGGACAGCGAAAGCAGCGCTTTGGGGATGAACACTATTGCTGTTGCTGTTGCTGTTGCTGCTGTGGCTGTTGAAGGGTTCGGGTCCGGATGTGCTTGGCGTGAGCGCCGTCGAGGGCGTGGACAGGGTCCAGGACGCAGGACGGTTGGGGTCGATCGCAGAGAGGGTGTGGTCGTCTGAAGCCGAGCTATCAGCCAAAAGCTTGGAGGTTTCCGAGTCATGCTGCTGGTCGGAACGGGGCGGGTACGGTTGTTCTGCTCGACGCATGGCGATGGAACTCGGACGATGGATCCGTGGAAAGCGGTGGATTGGCGGATCGCGAGGGTTGGTCGAAGCTCTGGAGAGGCGAGAGAGGCACGAAAGAACGAGAGGCAGGAAGATCTGGAGAAAGACGGGGCCGATGCAGCGAGATGGCTCGATCTCTGGGAAGGGGGCAGGTCTGGAAGGCGGGTGTTGGGCGAAAGCACAGACCCAGATGATCAGACGGGGGCGGTGATGCCAAGAAGCCGACACGATAGGTGCAAAGAACGCAGGATCGGCCCTGCTCAGGTCATGCACTGGATTGTGGGTTGCAGAATGGGCGAGCCGATGGGATGGCTGGGTCGGGTGCAGCTGCCCTGTCGGCATGCCATGGCCGTTTGCTGAAACAAGCGCTGTTCTTGGCGCGAAGAACCGACGACCGCCACCGGCGAGTGGCGGTGCGTGGGCATCAAAGCCGAACACTCCCCACGGCCGCTCACCCGGTCTGCACAAGCTGTTCGCACTGGGCAGTGCATCCACGATCAATGTGTCTATTGTAGCTCTGCCTGGCGGGTGTCGCGCACATCCAAGGCCACTGCCATCCCGGGGTCATCTGCATGTCCGGTCTTGCGCATCCACGAGGATCGACAGTCCGGGCTGGAGCGAATGCAGTGCTCGCAGGACACGCTCAGCCCTCGGTCCTGGCCCGGCCTCGCCGAAACGAGTATTTCTTCTCTTCCGGCCTGAGGAGCGCAGGTTCATCCGTCGGTGAGCCCATGCTTCTCTCTGGCGTGGTTCTGGAGTTCGACCGCAGCCGCGATCGAGTGTCGTTGGTCTGGGTTGCCGGCTCGTCGGATTTCTGTCCACGCAGCGCATAGCGCCGACCAAGCGCGGCGGCGGGCTGTTGCGGTTGTTGGTGAGCCAAGGGGCCCGAGATTGATCGTTTCCGTTTCCGAGACGACTGGTCGTGATCCCGCTCGTCGTCTGCGTCGCTGTTGCTGTCGCTGCTGCTGTCTTGGAGCTCGGGCGACGTGCTCTTGGCTGCGCTGGCGGGTCGGCCGGACGTTGTCGCTGTCCGGCGGGTCAACTTGGCCGATGATCCTCGATCTGCACGGTGATCGCTTTCATCCTCATCGTCATCGTCGCTGCCACCATTCTTGGGCTTGTGAGCCACAGGCGGAGGCGACCGTAGGCTCGCTCGCGTTACTCGCTTGGGCGGCTCCTCGTCGTCAGAGGAGTGATCAGATGAAATCATGACCAGGGCTTTGGAGCGCCTGCTCCTTCCGACTTCCTTCGCCGCCGTGCCCTTGGTTGGTCCTTGTTGAGGGTGCGACGGGCGTCCTGATCGCAGTGCTCGCTTTGTCGGAGGCTCGGGAGGCTCCGGGGTTGTTTGTATCGAGTGATGCTCTCGGGCAGAGGCTTTCCGGGCCGACGGCAGCGCTGTGCCTTGCGAGCCACCGCCGGGCGATGTATGTCGCGCTGGGTATCGGCGGGAGTCACTCAGAACATCAGCTGTGCTCTCGGCAGCGGCTATGACAGGCTTGCTTCGTCGGCCGCGTCCCGTTCCTGTCTCGGGTACCGCATGTTCGCCGTCGCTTTCAGCTTGTTCGCTATCCTCAATATCGGCGTCGTCATTGTCCTTGGGAGGCGGCTTGCCTTTGGGCAAGGCGGGTTCGCTCGCCGACTTGGCACTGCGTCGTGTCGCTCGAGTGTCAATGTTGGTTTCATCTTCGTCAACTGCATCGACAACACGCTGTCGACTGCGTCGACTGCTTTGTTTCTGGCCGTTGGACTCCAGCGACGGCGTCCGTTCTTCGGCCTTGGACAGCCGGCCATCTCGGTCCTTGCCGCGACCCGCAGCGCCAGAAGTGCTAGGAGCTAGTAATGAAGCGGACGTTGGCCGGGCTCGTGAGGGATTGGACTCGTCGGTCGATGGCATACCCTTGGTCGCTTGGATCTTGCGGCTGCTCCGCAAGGCGCGTGGTCCCCGAGCGTTTGTGTCTTTGTCGCTCTCGGCTCCGTTCTGATTCTGGTGCCGACCGTCGGGCTCGGGCACGGGTTCGTGCTCGTCCTCCGACAGCGCAGCGATTTCGGACCGCGGCTTTTGGCGGCCGCGACCACGCCCCTTGCCTGTGCTTCCAGCCGCAGGATGAGCCGCATTCGACCCTTGATCTTGTATCGAGGGGTCTCGCCTTCTTTCGCCACGTGTGAGGGACTCGTGCGCTTTGTCATTTGACGGAACGTGCTGTGCTGGAGGGGAGGGCGCTCTGTTTTGCGGGGCTGGCCTCTTACCCTTGGAGGGCTCGGCTGGGGCGGCCTCGGCGGCCTGTTCCGCCGCTTCCTCCCGTGCTTCTTTGAGTGCCCGCTCATCAATCAGGGTTCCGAGTTCATCCAAGAGCAAGTCCAGGGCCGAGAGTGTCTGTATGCCGTCGATCCCACCTTCTACAAGATAGTCACCCAGGTTGAGACGCACGCCAACGCCATCAAGGACGCTCTTTTCGCCAGGCTTGACCATGACATCCTCATCTGTGTCGGCCTCGGTGGAGAGCTTCCGTGCAGCGCTGGTCTGCGACTCTGCAAGTCTCGAGGTGTCGTCATCGCTGCCGTGGTCGCTGTCGTCGCTGTCACTGCCCGACTCGGCATCCCTCAGGGTCAATTGCGCCCATCGCTTGAGCCACTGCAGCAGATAGCGCCGAGCATGATCCAGGTCGTCGACTTCGAAGGTCGACCAGCTGTAATGATATCCCTTGAAGAACTTGGAGACCTTGCTAAACTTCTTGCGGATGACGAGCTCCATGTACGTAAAATAATCGGCCTGCTCCCAGACCGATCCTGGGGCCTTGGTGGGCTCGGTCTTGGGCGCAGCATCGACTCGGGCGCCGAGCTGGGTTTTAACCGAGCGGCGGCCGCTCAAGGTGATAGTACCCGTGGCTGGGGCGGTCTCCTTTTCGTCCGGGGGGTGAATGATGTCCATTGGAACGTGGAATGGGTTGTCCTTGAGGAGAGTGCCGCGAGCCTCGACCCATTTGCCAAACTTGACCAACGATGCATCGACGCGCTTCTCGTTCTCGCGGTCTTCGCTGAAGGTCGTGATCGGCTGGGTGCCGCCCTTGGTATTCTTGATGAGCGAGAGACCGCACTCGCTTGCGAAGCGGTCGCTTATCCGGAACCGCAGCTCTCGCTCGCGGGTGCCGCGGTCGTTGAGGCAGCGGAAGAGTCGATGGAGGCTGCTGAACGAGTCGATATAATACCATCGAGTCTTGTACGAGCCTGCTTGCACTCCGGCACCCTCGGCAGCGCCGGTGGCAAGCGAATGATGGGCGTTGTTCGCTGGCAGGTCGTCATCGCGATCAGAAAGAACGTGGTGGTCGCTCAGCTCGTGGCTCAGCTCGGCGAGGGCCCTGGCGGTGCCGATACCCAAACCGATCACATCCACGTCCTGGATGCCGTCCTTGATGTCCTGGGTCGACATGGCCGGCGATGACAGCACCTGCTCCGGTGTCTCCCGCGAGACGTCGGCAGTCATGTCCGAGGCATTGTCGATGAGGACTTGTCGCCGCAGCCACGATTTTGGCGTCGACGGAATGCTTACTTTGCCGAGATCTTCAATGGTGCCCGTCGACTCCACCGAGGGCTCTTCGTCCTCGAGGGTCTCCATGGACTTGTTGAGCAACATGACCGAGTCGCCGTCACCGTCACCGTCACCGTCACCGTCGCCGTCCTCGCCCCTGTCCATGCTGACCTCTGGGTCCGGGGTGACATTGGATCGCTGCTCCTCCTCGAGCAGACGAGCCCGCGGCTTCCGTCGGGTGTTGGCGTACAGAGGTACAATCTGCTCTGGAGGGTCCAGGCCAACGGTATCTTCGATCAGCAGGCCATAGATTGCCCCGCTCCAAGACTCGTCGGTCTCGCTGAGGAAGGTGACTTGGCTTGGATGAGCCTTGCCCTGGATCACCTCCTGCCGAACCAGATCGCCAGTGAGGTTGATGTCGGCACCGGGCCGCACAGCGACAAAGTAGTAGGTCCGGCCCAGGCGATCGTGGCCGAGCACGCGGAAATGAGACGCACGCAGGTGGCAGGACACTTGCTCGTATCGCGGCTTGATGTCTTCTTCCTCCTTCTGGAGATCGCGGATCTGTTTGGACAGTCGGGTCTTGTCGTTTTCGAACTGCTGTGACTTTTTGCGGAGCTGTGCTGCGGTCAGGGTTGAGGTGCCGGCATTACTGGGCTCCTCCACATTCTGGGTGTGCTTTTGCGTCAGGTCCGAGAGCTCGTTCTCGTGATCCTTGCGCTGCATCAAGAGCCGCCACTTTTCGCGCCGCATCTCTTGGAGCTGCTCTTCGAGAGCATCGACGTGGTTCTTGAAGGGCTCGGTGCCGATGACGAGACCCATGAGCACCATCAGCGCCTGGATGTGCATCGAGGGCTCGATCTCAACCCACTCGGTGGACTGGAGGTACTCAGCAACGGCGTGATCGACATCGGCAATCAGAAGGGCTATTCGGGCCTGGACTTGCCCATAATGGCCCCTTTCCTTGTCGCCGGACGCAGTTGTGTTGCCAGCAGAGGCGCTATTCACGACACTGCGCTCGCTGTTGTCGTTGCTTGGTGCATCCTGGTCGCTGCTCTGCTCGCCGTCATCTTCGAAATCGGCATCGTCGTCGCTGTCGCTATCGTCGCCCAGCTCCTTCTCCAGAAACTCGAGGAATCGGCTGTACAGATCAAAAAGATATCGAAACCGAAGGGTGGGGTTGTAGATGGCGACTTCGAGGGTTTCTGGAAAGGCACGCAGGTTAGATATGTCTCCAGCACACATACAGGTGGTCAGAGAGCCAGGGTGCCGAGTCGAGTCTACAATACGAAGCGCTATCGGCACTAGAGGCACAGTCGAATTGCCTGACGGCCCCCGACCTACCCAAGGAAAAGCGCTGGCTCTCAGGGATGCCCAGCACAACGGGTCCGAACGAGGTCAAGAAATCAGACAGGCTCAGAAGATCGAGAGCCTCTTGGAGCTTCGCAGATTCCCATGCTTTCATGAAATCGTCGTCGCTGTCACTTTCATCATCGTCGCCATCGCCGTCGTTCTTGCCCTCGTTCTCGTGTTGACTCAAGTCGACATCCATATGCCCGGACGCCGTCACTCCGGTCTCGCCCGCCTTCGTGACGGGCTTGCTCTCCAACTCGTTAGCAGTATCCTCTGGTGGGCAGGGGGCTTCAACAGCTTCGTCGTCGAGTATGATCAGCTTTGATGCTCCGTTTATAGTAACGGACTCGTTGGCCACAATGGTGCCGCTAGCGTCGCAGGCTTTGGCAGCGGGCGCATTGGCAGCCTCGCGCTTTGGACTCAGCACTGGCTTCAAGGCTGGAAGCGGAACGCCGACAAGAAGAACGCTGGTCTCGAGGTCATCCATGATCCTGGGTTTCTTGGTGGGCTTTGTGGCGACATAGCGGATGTTCCCAGTCGGGGCCTGTCGATTGGCCCAGTCCGAGGGGCTCTTTTGGTCTTTGACAGACGGCATGGGCGAAGTGCTTGGAGCAGCAAGTCCAACTGTGGACTGCGGCGGGTTCGACTTTGTTTGGGCAACATAATCCAATGGCTCCATCGCGTCTGTCGGATATCCCTTGATTTGCTGGGCGATCTGGCCAGTCTGTTCAGACGCCAGCCCGAGCGCTGAGTCGGGCACACCGTCGTCATCGACACTCTTGTGGGATATCAGGGCAAAGTCCAACGTAGTTTGCCGGAGTTCGGAACCAGCCAGTCTCCGCTCCGCAGAATCAACCGACTGAAACTCGAGCGGTGGGGCTAAAGTCGAAGCCTGGAAAGCAAGCCATAGAGGACGCAGTAAGCGACTGGTGAGGGAGAAGCAGATGCACGCCTTTTGGAGTCGGCCAGATCGGATACGGCTCTCAGGCGATGGGGTCTGGATGGGCAAATGGGGATTGCGCTGAAACGTGCCGATGGTGCGATATCGAGGCGATCGTTTCATGACAAGAGACGAGCACACAAGTGTGGATAGCCTGCACATTTCGTGGCCATTCCTTGTGCATGCCAATGGTCATAGTGCCATTCTAGGGCTTGGGGATGCCTAACTCAAGCAATGTGCAGCCCGTCCCAGTTCTGTCCAAAAGCCCCGCAGCCGATCTGACTCGCATCTTTGCACAAATAGCGACACTCAATGACTTTGAACATAGTGCGCAACTTACTTTGACGGCCTTTTCCCTTTTTTTACCCAATCGCTTCTTGGCGGGCGGCTGCTCCACCAGCAGCTGTGAGTCAAGCGGGACTGTGCTCGGCAGGTCGCCGTTGGTTGGGAGTTGCTTTGAAGAGCCCTTGGGAAGCTTTTGCCTGGACTTTGGAGCAAGCTCGAGCTGTGAGGCCGGTTCTGGCTCGGAAGCCAAATCCGATTTGCGGGCCGACTCGGGATTCAAAGTCGAGGCCGGGTCAGAAGACAGCTCCGATCTTGGAATGTACTCTGGAAGGGAGCCGGAGTCGGCGTTGCTGCGACGCTTGGTTTTGTAGTGCACTGAGTCGCCCTCATGCCGACCATCCCCAACGGCAAGCACTTGGTCTGGGAGCTGCTTTCGTTTCAGCCCCAGAGGCTGGGGTGGCAGTCCGATGGGGTGGTGCCCATAGACACTGTACCAATGGCCGTGATCGTAAGGGTAAGGCTTGGAGAGCAGAGTGGTGGGGAAGGTGGTGTGACGTTCGTGGGGATGCAGCGGACGATGCAGCGGATGGCTCGGAGCCCCAGGCTGGGCCTCGGGAGGGGGCAACGCCGGGTGCTGCATGAGGGGTTGCTCATATTCCGGAGTCGTGAGATCATACTCGACGATGACACCGTTGTTTGGGCGCGGCGGGGGTTCGTCTGGGTCACAGAAAGTAGCGCAATGGTGTGCAGAGGACGGACCGGTCGGCGAGGACAAGTGATCGTGTGCCGGATAAGCGAATGGATAGATGGAGGGTGTGGGCAAGACAGTGGAGGATTTCGAATTGTGTGAGCAAGGACAGACGCCTGGGCGGCTCAGACTCATTCGTTTGAGAGGCATATGACCGTCGTCTCGAGAAACAGTCGGTGGATTGGTCATCCGCGACTGACATAAGTGCATGCGATTGGCAGCTGGCGAGCAATCGGCAGAGCTCGACACGTGAAGAGAAGGCTTACCGTGGCCTCGATAGTGTCGAGGCATATGCGAGGACGACCGTGGGTCGGCGGGGACATGGGACGACGGATCGGCGTAGCTCATCGATCCATGAACAGGCGCAAAGCTCAGAGTGGACTGGCGATAGGGGTCCTTGTTATCCTTTGAGTTCCGACGTGAGGATGGCCTCTGGCGAGCCGACGACGCATGCGATGAGTGCGGCTGGTCGGGATGGTGATAGGGATGCGTCGAGCGATGGCCCTGGTCGTATGCATGGCTGTGGCTGCGACCTTGGTTGTACATGTGCTCGTTATCGGCGGTGATGTGCCGCGGAGCAAAGCCGGGATGTGGCGGATAGATATCGGAGGGATGGGGATGGGCACGATGGCCAACGGGCGCGTAGGGATCGGGGGGATAGGGTAAGCTCCGAGGATCGTCATGATGGAATCGGGACGGAGCCAGCGGGGGAAGCGAGTACTTGGGGTGCTCATGACGACGGTAGTGAGACTGATGGGGATGATCGTATGGCTGCGAGTAGACGCTTGCAAAGGGAGCCAGCGCTGGCACGGGTGGTGCGGGAGGAGAGCGCTTGTCGATCGAAGAGCGGAACCGATGGTTGTCCAGATGCGCAGGATCGGCCGAGGTATCGTGGCGATAGGGATCGGGCGGGGCCGAAGATGGCGCCGATGGATCTGCCGAGCGATGGAAATGGTAGGCACTGGAGCCTGAGCTCGAATCGCCGCTCGGACCGAGGAAGGACGTGGGCTCCGCAGGCGGGGGGTGACGGGGCGAGTCGGTATGAGACGGCAAGCGATCCGAGGTCGTTGAAGGAGGGCTGTGGTGCTGGTACGCATGATGATCGCGGGCTGGGACCTGGACCTGGACCTGGACCGGAGGCGGGCGATCGTAGGCTTGATAGCTTCGAGACGATGGCGGGGAAGGTTCGTGATGGGCCACAGAAGAGAGCGAGGACGGCGGCGGCTGATGGGGATGGTCCGAGGGCTGATGTGGTTGAGGCTCGAACGAGCGATCGCTGTAGGGCCGTCTCATGGCTGGGCCAAGTCACTGGAGCCAGAGCGGAGCCGGCCAAGGTGTGAGAACAGTGGCGAGGAAGGAGTGAAGACCAGCCAGGATCAAGGCCGATCGATACCAGCGCAGAAGCGGGGCTGGACGGTCCAAGCCAGATGGGCGACCTGGCGAGAGCCTGAGAAGGCGGACAGGGGGCAGGGTCGCGTGGTGACGAGCGAGTTCCAGGAGAGCAGGGGGGGGTGGATACTCACGGGAGCGCGGAGGGCGCAAACAGGGGCCGGAAGACGTAGAAGCCCGGTGCAGACAAGCAGACGGGGCCGATGGGCAAGAAGACGACCGAGGGATGGAGGGGTCGAGCGAGATGAAAGGCAAAGCCCAAACACCCAAGGCCGCGGATGCAACGGGGGCGAAATGAAACGACGAGGAGCGATCCAAGACTGGTGCCACAGACAGCGAGCGCGGCGGGCGGCGGCGAGAGCACACGGGCCGCAGTCGCACAGCTGCAGCGAGGGCCGAGCGAGGCGTTCTCGCGAGGAGCGCCGGCGTGATCTTTGCAGCGGTGGCCCTTTGCGGGGGGGGGCGTGATGGGCGCCGCGGGTGATGTTGTGGGCGTGGGTGGGCGTGGTGGGGTGTGGTGGTTGCGGGTGATGGTTGGGTGATGGTGGCTGCGACGGTATTTGCTCTGGCTCTGGCAGCGATGATCGCGACGGCAGTTCATGTCGTCCGTGGTTGCTGTCGCTCACTCATAGACGATACCCCGGTGGCCGAGCATCAGATTCGAGATTGCAACATCGGTGCTGCAAACACCATAGCTTCGATCGACACTGACATGGCTGTCGGCAACGCTAACCCACTCGACGACACAGTGTTCATCACAATCGACGACACCACCAGCACCACCAGCACCACCAGCACCACCAGCACCACCAGCACCACCAGCACCACCAGCACCACCGACGGCATCGCCATCAGCAATCATCAGCGTCCAAACACAATCGCCAGCCAGCCCGGCGCTGGTCTGTGCGGGCTGTGGCCGCCCTGTGAGTGTGGCGTGGGACCGGCCCAGCAAGGCACGCTCAGCGACTGCGCGCCTCTCCCAGACCCTCCATGCCGTGGCCTCGCTTGTTGGTCCGCTCGTTCGTTGCTGGAACCTGTCTTGGCTCCGCCGAGTGCGACATGCCCATCGTCGAGACCGATGCCGTTGGCAGTAGTCGATCCGTCCGCAGTTGTCCCCGGATGCTCCTTGGCTGGCTGCCTTGGTCGTCTCCAGGACGCCGGAACTCTGCTCACCGAATCTGCAAGTCACCCTTGGAGCGGGCCTGGCGACCCAGATCCTGGGCAACCCACTCTTCCGCCCAACGCCCCAGCGATGAGGACGCAGTCAGCGAATCCGCCCTGTCTGCGTCCAAGATTGCCTGCCCGACCAACGTTCGACTCTCCCCGTCGTCGGCCGCCTGTCCGATCGCCGCCAACACTCAACCTCATCGGCGACAGCACCCCCCCCCAAAATGGCAAACGCGTCGCGGCGGGACAAGGACAGTTTTTGTCACACCTATGGGCATCGCGCCCTTGGGCCACATGTGTTTGGCCTGGCCGTTGTCTCGGGGAGGGGTGGGAGCCAACCCAAACGGCCGCTCGCGTCTCTCGTTGCTCCCCGACTCGCAAATGTCCCTGGCGAGCCCAGACCGACTGCCCTGCCCATCGGCCGAGCTCAACTGCTCCGCCATCATCTGCAGCGGCCCCGTCGGGCCCTCGGTGCCGATCGCCAGCGTTACGGCCCATGGCGGCACCAATTTAGCCGGTTACGGACCCAAGCCGCGGTTACCGCCCATCGACCCCCCTCCTCGACCGACCACCCACACCGCCAATGGGTATCGAGAGCGTCCATGTTTGGCGCACACGGTTGCGCATTTGAATACTCTCCATTGTATCTGGAGCTCAGAGCCCTATTGCTTGCTGCTGATAATCATCGCATACACAAATAAAGTATCAAGGCGGCTAAGAGCCCTCCTCCTTCCAACCTGGCTGACTTGTCAGTCCAGTCAGCCAGCACTGTATGGAAGGCCCATATTTTCGACTAATTGCCAATCCGGTCGTCGCTGATCACTTTGTTCATCTCTCTCACATACTATTTCATATCAAACTGCGTCGTATCATATTATAACATATGGCGCCTTGTATCCTATCGACTCACGGTCCTTCTGCGTGATTCTCACAGTGATATTTCCGCAAAGACCGCTGGGTTGTCGTGGCTAAACACCAGCGACTTTGATCTAGTGGAGGCAACATGATCTAGTGGAGGCAACACGGTGGTTTGAGGGTCTTTGCCCGATAGAAGGCTGTCCAGCTTGAATCTGCACAAAGTGAGATCCAGAGCGCATATTCCATACCCAGCCGAGGCAGTGATATGCCACCACTACCGACCAGTCGCTCATCATGATTGGCCGATTATCACGCAAGTGGGTGCTCAGCAACTTGAACCAGCTCTATGTTCTTGCACTTTTCAAGCGGGTTAAAAACTGGTCCGATGGACAATGCCAGGCACCCACAGCAACAAGACATTCGTCCTTGGCGTCGTCAGGGTGATAGAGCGGGTAGACCTGACAAGCCGTCGCAGCCGCATGTCATTCGGTCTCATCACAATAGCATATATCCAAGATGAGTCAGAACAAGAGTGAACCGCCGACACTGCCCTCCGGAGGGTCGCGGCAATTGAACAGGTAGCATCAATCACCCACCGCCTGCGTACATTCTATCTAAAACGAAGCGAGGCTCGCCGGGCTTGCTTCCGATTGCTGCTATTTTGGACAAGAATGCACACAACCAAGGCCTAGAGCACAGCAAGCATCCATCCAAGCGACCCGCTCGATCCGGCTATCCTGACGTCGAAAACCCCCCCCCGCCTTGTACAGCGCTGTCCAGACGGTCGAATGCAGATCGTATCCCATAGCTATGCTGCTCAAACAAGAACATCAGACAGTGGCTGGTGTGCGAACTAATGCAAATGGACACCGCCCCATTATCAGTGCCACGGCCCAAAGTGCTGTCAGTGCAACGCACCCGCCTCGGTGGATGGACTGATGGACCCATGTGGCTCGGCGGGACATGGGGCGGCAACCCGACAAGCAGGTGATGCACCTCCTCTTCTCCCCACAACAAATCGTTCATGGAATGTGCTGGTGTCGCTGACACACCAATCGTCATCAGCCACAAACAATCGTCCGCCGCCAATCTCGGGGCCCATCCTGCTCAAAGATTGAACCTGGATGGCACGCAGCTCCCCTTCTCCACTCGCTCGTCTCATCGCCTCTGCCATATCCGATATGCAATTCCACTCGCTTTCCATCTCCCGCTGGCTCGTTGCCGTCGCTGTGTATGTTCTCGTTGATCTGGCCTTGGTTCCGCTTGCTGTTTGCTCGCTGTGTCGCCATCTCGCCCAACCCTGAAAGGCGCCGCCGATTATTCACGAAGGGGACGGCATTTCGTTTCTTGCATCCGATATATAGGCTCTGCTCCGCTACCGCTACCGTCTGGGCCCAGCCCCACGAATATCCCAACATCCAGTCTCTGGTCGGCAAGAAGCTTCTCCAGCCTGCCCAGAGCCCCGACGATCTGATCGCACAGGGCTTTGCCAGGGACCAGGTGGGCCAGCCGTTGCTCGGTTTCCTGCGCATGGCTGATGCAGGTTTGAGCTGGCATCGATTGGCTCGGGCTGTTGAGAAGTCAGCGCTCTGATGCAGTCGAGTGCGGTCCTCTGCTCATCGTCATGACTTTGCTCCCTCCCAGCTTGTCTCGGTCGACAGCTTGCCTCCCAAATACCGAATCCTGCTTCCCAACTCGGTCGTTACGATGGACTACTGGGCCGACAGAGCCAACATTCACATCGATAACAACTGGTACATCACCTCCATTGTTTGGGGATGAGTCCGGACAGGGTCTGTCCCATCACCCGCAACAGCCAAGAAATGTCCCTTCCTCCACGTTTCTTTCTCGTGGATGGTTGTGGCTCGCGTCCAATCCATGCACCGCTTTCTGTCATCGACATGCCGCATTCCTATCGCCACGCTCTTATTGATGGTACCGATATCCTGGCAACAGAGAACGCTGCATGTTGTATTGTGGGCTCGGTTGTTCTCCAAAATACAATGATTCCATGGTGACGCCCACAGCCATCAAGCACTTGGCTGTCGTCACAGCCATTGAGAGCCGACTGCCCGGCCATGGTTGAATGGTTGGTGCGGAGAGGTCCTGCTGACGACATGGGTGTGTAGCGGCTTGCAAATCAAATGAAGTTCGAAGCAAAGGGAGGCTGACATGGGGCTGGCAACATCGAGAGCGATCGAGAGCGATCGAGCGTGCTCAGCGTGCTCAGCCAAAGATATCCGGGAAGCGATGAGTCAGAGCGACGGCCTCATTAAAAACGTTCCAGTCCACTGGTGTGAGGAATCAGATGTCAGTCCGAGGGCAAGGGCGTCGATATGGCGTCGGTGGTTTGGGTCAGCGATCGGCGAGGATCGTTGCCCCGGATGCGAGCCAGGACAAACGGACCAGGACAAACCAGGGGGATACCCTGGTGCTCGGGCGATTCTCTCCACAGGCATGCGGACGTACCAGGGGCATCCGGGAAGAGAGTGATCGTCTGTAGTGTCATATGCATGTCGCTTCCGATACTAACCACGGCCTCGACGATGGCATTCTGCTCGAGTGCAGGCAGCTGTGACCGAGAGAATCAAGCAGCCGGGCATGAGCAAACGCAGAGCACCACAAACCCAGTCGTGCGATCGCCCTTCCCTTCATCTATCCGTCCCTTCGCCCTCTTTTGCTCCTGCGTACCGCAGTCATGCCGATGTCGACTTGGATGCTTCCGCCGTCAGAGCACTTGATCTCTATGAAATTGCTCTCAACGTTGAGCTGAGCAGATCAAGGGCCGAACCACAAATGTGAATGTTAGGACTTGTGGCCGCCTCAGGCGCAAGAGCCGGAATCGGATGATTTTGCAGCGCTTTGGTGGCTTCGCTGTGCCCTCGATGAAGCATGCGACAAGCCGAGTGGGCCTCTGACTCACGGATGTGATGTTGCCGGCGATCAAGACGACCCGCCCCGCATAGGAGCTCACGGCCGAGGAGCTGATGCGCGGTGTGATTTCCGGGTCCATGTCTGCGAGTGTACTGCGGGTGTGCTGCGAGTGTGTCGAGATGGTGTGGTATGCGTTGCTGGGACCGATCGCGAGGGCGAATCCTGGGCTCTTGGGACTGAATGCGATGATATGCTGCCTGGGCGATTGCCTGGGCGATTGCCTGGGCGAAGCAGGTCCGACGATATTTGGCCAGAAAAGGCAGGCCTCCGCATTCGATCCGCATTCGATCCGGCAGCGTGGCTTGCCGGGACGGCTGTCACGTGTCTTGACGGCCATCCGCCCCGGCTGCGCCATGGACCCGCACATGGAACGGACCTGGGACCCGGCAAGCCCCTTGCCCATCACAGCCGCTGTCTGCTCCATCGCTTTCTCTCTCTCTCTCTCTCTTTCTCTGTTAATCGCTCTCCATCGGACATAACCCCCTCCTCGATTTTCATTCCATCGATGCTGGCTCTGCGTGCCGCAACTGCACTCGCCCGCACGTTCACTCCGAGCACAGCCTCGGCACTCGCCAGCGGACGCCAAGCCGCCTGGCTTCGTCGAGGAATCGCCTCGTTGGGCGGCTCTGGTCCCAAAATTGCCTTCTTTGACTTCAAGAACCACGAGCGACCGTATTTCGAAGACCCAGTCAGGGCTCTCAAAGCCTCCCGCCAGGTGCGGGTCCAGTTCTACCCGGTCCGCCTCGAAGCCTCGACAGTGGCATTGGCCCGCGACTGCAAGGTGGGTGCTATTGCGATTCGATGAGACGCTATGCCATGCGATGCCATGCGATACGATCCGATGCCATACGATGCCATGCGATTCGATGCCGTGCAATGAGACGCCATACGATGCGATGCGATATATCTACGGGCGTGTCCCTGATCGCCTCTGCTCCCGTATATGCGATGGCCTCTCGCCCAGGTGGTCTGTGTGTTTGTCAACGACAAGGTCAACGAAGAGGTGCTTCAGCAGTTGCACGCCCAGGGCTGCCGTATGATCGCCCTTCGCTGCGCCGGATTCAACAATGTCGATGTCAAGGCCGCTGCCGGGCTTGGAATTGCCGTCGCACGCGTGCCCTCCGTAGGTTCTCTCACTTTGGGACGGCGAAGGGCGGGAGGGCGGGGCTTGCGTCGATGACGGCTCTGGATGACGATCGGATCGGTCAACCCGGCATCGGCCGGAGCTGCGGACGCGAATACTCACATTCCGTTCCTCCGTTGTCCCGGCTGGGGCTCATCCTGGGCTTGCCTCGGCTGACTCACCATGCATCGCCGACGATGCTCCGAACACACACATCGCACCACGGATCATAGTACAGCCCGTATGCCGTCGCCGAGCACGCCGCCGCCCTGCTGATGGCGGTCAATCGCAAGCTCCCGCAGGCCTACAACCGCTTCAAGCTGGCCAACTTTTCGCTCGACCACCTTGTGGGCTTTGATTTGCACGGCAAGACCGTCGGCGTCGTCGGCACGGGCAAGATCGGCGAGTGCTTCAGCCGGATCATGCTCGGGTTCGGGTGCCAGGTGCTGCTGTACGATGTCCGCAAGAACCCGGCGCTCGAATCGCTTCCAGGCTGCCGATATGTCGAGCTCGACGAGCTCTTTGCCAACAGCAGGGTCATTTCGCTCAATGTACCGCTGTTCCCGTCGACAAAGTATTTGATCAACAAAGACAGCCTCAGCAAGATGCAGCGAGGCGTTGTCATCATCAACACCTCCAGGTAGGCGATCCCATGGCTGCCGAGGCAGAAATTGGGTTCGGAGTGTGAGGTGGAGCAAAGGATGCTTGCCGATATTAACACTGCCGCTGCTCGCGGCGTGGGGGGGGGGTGATCGTTACTCAAACCAGAGGAGCTCTCATCAACACGGCCCATCTGATCGAGGCCCTGAAGACCGGCCAGGTGGGCGGGGCCGGCCTGGACGTGTACGAGGAAGAAGAGGACTACTTTTTCCAGGATCGCTCCGGCGAGATCATGATGGACGATATCCTGGCCCGCTTGATGTCGTTCCCGAACGTCATCATCACGGGGCACCAGGCATTCCTGACAGCCGAGGCTCTGAGCGCCATCGCCGAGACGACACTCGACAACATTTCGCAGTTTCTGGATGGCAAGAAGCCCCTCGCGAACGCGGTCTGAGAACTGGAGGCGTGGTGTGTGGGGCGAAGGTCATGGGTGGTGCGAATGTGGTGTAGGTTGTGTGCAAATCGTGGTAGACATGCAATTCGAGAGTCTGTCAGACTCAAGCAAAACGCACTTGATCGACCCAGTTTCTCTTGCATTCGTTGGCCACATCACTCCAGACGCCCGTCCTCCCTGAGCGCCTCTGGCGCATTTGGCGACATGGTGCGGACAGGATATGTATTGCTATCTCGCAGGACAGGCTTGCCCTGGTATCCGCACTCGACGGCGGTGGGGCGATCGTGCCTTGCAAGTGGTGATAGCAGTGGTCGTGGTAGCAAGGATGTCGGGTCGCTTAGTACTTCTTGATGTTATCGTTCAGCCACTTGAAGACCGAGGAAAAGTCCTTCTTCTCAAAGCCAGGGGTGCTCGAGACCTGGTTGTAGATCTGGTGGGCCATGCCGCCGAGGATCACGGTGCTCTTGGCCTCGTTGGCGGCGGTGATGGCCAGACCCAAATCCTTGGCCATCAGGCTGTTGCCAAAACCGCCCTCATAGTCGCGGGACGACGGGACGTTGGGCAGGACACCGGGGCAGGGGTTGTAGGTGTCGGTGGACCAGCATCGGCCCGTGGAGGTGTTGAGGATGCCAGCCAGGAGCTTGGGATCCATGCCAAGACGCACACCGAGATTCATTGTCTCAGAGGCCGCAATCATGGAGATGCCGAGGAGCATGTTGTTGCAGATCTTGGCAACCTGGCCGTTGCCGTTGGGGCCGCAGTAGACAATGTTCTTGCCCATATGCGACAGGATGGGCTTGACCTTACCAAAGTCTTCCTCGGACTCGGAGCCGACCATGAAGGTCAGGGTGCCGGCCTGGGCTCCGAGGGTTCCTGGGGATGGAGACGAGGGCATATGGATCGTAAAGATTAGTCGCAGAGATTGGTGAGCGAGAAATACCAGCAGGTGGAAGAACTGAACACGCACCACCAGAGACAGGGGCATCGACTCCGACAGAGCCAGCCTTGTTGACGGCGCCAGCGACTTCCTTGGTCGTGCGGGGATCAATGGTACTGGAGTCGATGACGATGGCGTTCTTGAGGCCCTTGAGAACTCCGTTCTCGCCCAAGTAGACCTCGCGGACGTGGGCCGATGCAGGCAGCATGGTGACGATAACGCTGCACTTTTCGGCGAGTTCCTTCGGGGTGCTCGCGACGGTAACATCGGGGTTCTCGGAGACGAAGCGCGAGGTGGCTGTTTGGAAGACATCGTTGATGACGAATTTGGCGTTGGGGTTCTTGCGGTGGAGGTTGGCGGCCATGGGATATCCCATTTGGCCAAGGCCAATGAAGCCGATGGTGGGCTGGAGCGGCGGTCGAAGATGGCGTGGGCGGTGGCAAGAGGTGAGGTGAGCAGATGAGCAGGATCACGCAGGTCGATGGCGGAATCATGCCAGTTCGAGCTGCGGAGGCACAGCGCATGGGCAAGGACGAACGAAAGGGTGCGGATCAGCGGGAACAGCAATGGGGCGGCGTGAGAGGCACAAGGAATGGCCCCACTGGCGCAAAAGGCAGTACCTGCGAAGCAGTCGAGTAGCATCGCACGGAGCGAGCACGGATGTTCCGAAGAGCGGCCTGGAAGGACATTGAGCTGATGGCAGGAGTGTGAGTCTATGATGGCGACTGAATCCGAGGCCGGCAGCAGCAATGCTGGATGTGATGGCAAGCGGGCAGATTCGATGGCGAGGGAGCGGACAGCCAAGATCAAGTCGGAGCCTGATGCGCCGAGCCGAGCCGAGCCGGGCCGACATGGAAGCGAGAGCAACTGGCGATGACGCACCTGGAGATCAGGAAGAGAATGGCGGAGAGGGGAGAAGGACGATGGCGATGGATAGGAAGGCGGCTGGAAGAAGAGCGGGCTCGGGCGACGGCCGCGGGGAAGGACCGATCGCGCAGGAGCCGCTCGCCCTTCCCCGGCCGGGCAAACGCTCCGTCCGCTCGGCACCGATCCGCGCGCGGATTGGCCGTGGGGGAGATCGTGCGCCCTGGAGGACGGGAGGACAGGTTGGGTTCGTTGTGGGAGTGCCCAGGCGCTGTCGAGGGGCATTGGCGATGATCGGGACCGGTGGACGATGGGAACTGGAATGCAATCCATCGTGGCGAGATCGACGACAAAGCACACAGGTGAACGGGGTTATGATCTCTGGGATGTTTGCTGGGCGAGCTGGGTGTTAAAATGTCGATCGCATGCAGTTGCCATTCGGCATGATTTGTTACCATGTAGTTGCCATTTGGTATGATTTGTTACCATGCAGTTGCCATTTGGTACGATTTGCTGCCATGTAGTTGCCATTTGGTATGATTTGTTACCATGCAGTTGCCATTTGGTACGATTTGCTGCCATGTAGTTGCCATTTGGTATGATTTGTTACCATGTAGTTACCATGTAGTTACCATGTTCTTTCTCGGCACTCCTCGAGGCATCCCCGGTTGTTCGTCACATCCGTCTGTCGATGATTCGGTCCCGGTCTCGTTCCCGACCCGCGCCGCGCTCTGATTCGCTCTTGCGGTCACATCGGAACCTGGGTCGGAAGGGCGGACTTTGGTTCAGTCACATGATTGACCGGTCAGCTGACCGGTCACCGCTCTGTCTCGTCAGGCAGCAATGTCCAGGTAGCGAGCGGATAGATCTGGCATCGAGGCGAGATGGCCGAGTTGGTCTAAGGCGTCACGTTAAGGCCGTGATCTCTCCGGAGGCGTGGGTTCGAATCCCACTCTCGTCACTTTTTTGCTGGTCTCAGTCCCAAGCGTGGTTTGGCCGACCTGTGTGTGTGTGCGGTCGATGTTCAATGCTCGATCAAGTTTGCTCCCCCTGCCAACCCAGCCTCTCCCATTCAGCCGCTGACGTACGGCAAAGGAGGCACTGGGTATTGCGGGATTGGCCCGTATTTGTTCGAGAAAAAGGAAGAAAGGATATTCGCAAGCGCAAAACTGATACCACTTGGGGGGGGGGAAGAAAGAGGAAACAATTCAAACCCTCTGGCTTGATGGATGCGCCATCGGGCTTCCGACAGATCGCCCAGATTATGCTCAGAGGTCTGGGTCATCATCGCCGGTTCGTGCTGCTGATTTACGCTGTGTCGGGGAATGCCTGGGTCAGTTGTGTGCATTACGACATGCGTCGCCGATCTGGACGCTGCTCCCACTTGGCTCAGGGTTCCAGACCCTCTGTGTCTTATGCAGTAGCCCGCACTCTGTCGAGATGGCTCGTCAACAACAGCGCAACGCTGCCAATCCTGGCTCACTCTCCCCCGCTCGGCTCACCGATTTGTGTCGTGCTCCAAGAGTGCTATCTCTGATGACGATCTCGACCGACACGTTGTCCCAGTCTCCTTGCTTGACCCTCTCGACGGTCGAGACAGCCGGACTTTTGCTCTCGCGACGGCGAGTCGGTGTCGGTGCCGACTTCTTGGCTGGTGACAGGTTTTCCTTGGCCTCATCTTCGGCATCCGCGGTGCTTTGGCTGCGCTCGATCGACTTGCGCTTCGACCTATGATTCTTGTGAGAGCAGGGGTCTGCATGCGCGGCGTCCTCCTGCCTGGTGCTGGAGATGGTTGGTGTCGATTGTGTGTGGCGTGCGGCCTTGGCCCGCAGGGCCTTAGACGATGGCGTAACAAATCCAGTCTTCTGGAGAGCGGTAGCGCTATCCGACAGCGAGGACGACTGGTTTGAACCCGAAGTCGCCAGTGCCGCCTCATCGCTCCGATTACCCTGGAGCGGGATCATCGGCCCTGTGTATCCTGCAAGACACAAACTCTGGTTCAGATATTTGTCGCAACGGTGAGTCGACCCGGGATGGCCGGGTTTCAACCCATCTTGCGACGGTGACTCATTGGGCAACATACCGTACGCTTTCACGGCTGAAGCTATCTCAGAATCACTTGACGACTCGCAGTCGTCCTCTGGCTCATGTTGGTCATGGGCAGCGTCGGTTGCCTCGCCGTTTGGGTCCTGGTCAAGCCGCTCGAGATACAGGCTTGCGGGCTGATGGCCTTGATCGGCAGCACGCTGGCACCAGTTGTGGGCCTCAATGAGATCGATGGCGAGGCCGCCTTTGCCGTGCTGGTACGCTTGGGCCAGGATAAACTGGGCCGTAGCATCGCCGTTCTGGGCAGCCAGGAGGAACCACGCCATGGAAGCGACATTGTCCTGGCAACACCGGCCCCATCCTCGCCGGTAGTAGTTGGCAATGTTGACCTGGGCATCCACGCAGCCCAGTTTTGCGGCCTTCAGAAACCACTTTGAAGCCTTTACCAGGTTCTTGCTGCAGCCCGCTCCGTTCTGATAGTTGAGCGCGAGGTTATACTGGGCGCCAATGTGATTTTGTTTGGCGGCCAGCAGATACCAATAGTTGGCGTGTGCGGGATCGCTGCCGACTGTCAGCTCTGGCTGATCGCTTAGGGTGCCCAAGTCGTAGAGGAGCCCAAGCCGGAACTGGGCTGTGCAGTTGCCGGAGAGCGCCTCTGAGTGCAGACTGGTAAATGCGCTCTGCGAGGAAACAGCGTCTGGCTTGTGGCTGGACGAGGACATTGACGGGAGGGGAGTTGGAAGCTGGACCGGGTTTTGGATAGCTGTGTGCTCGGCCTGCGGCGGGCTGGAGAGAGTCTGCATCGGTGGTCGGCTGCAGATCAGAGAGTTGCCCATCAGAGACAGCTGGCGGCGCGAGGCAGGCAAGAGGGGGGCTGTTGGGTTGGTGGCGGTTTGCTGCCGACAGATTCAAGACCCGTGATATCCGCGTGACGTCCTGCTGCGCGTGTCGGAGTCTGAATCCGATGCTGTGTGTGTGTGTGTGTGGTCTGCAGGTTTGGTGCGGGCCATGGCGGGTTCGTCCGTGGGAGTGCCTCCGACCCTCGAGTGGGCGCGCAGATTCTCGCCTGGGATCGAGCTCAGTCTGGCCGTGCTTGTGACCGCTATCGATATCAGCAACGCTCCGGACATTGTCTTCATTTCCGTAGCCATGTCGGACCACAGCGAACGAACAGGTACGCGATGGTCCGATGGATTGGAGGGTTCTGGCGTGCGAGGCAGTGGAATGCAGGCATGGGACAGGGGTTCAATTGAGCGCTCGGGGTGCTGGCGACAGGTCGATGCATTTCACAGCGTCTGGATGGATCGCATGCCATGGAGCTCCGAACGTGAGATGCAAGACACTCGATGATGAGCGCGGACACACTAGAGCCGCCTAGGACAAAGTTCCCATCTGAGCCCATACGAGGCACCACTGAGCATTGAAATGCAGCTCTAACTTTAAATCGATCTTTTCGGCTTGGCTCGCCCGCAATCCGGCGGTAACTGGAGCAGCACGCTCTCGGAGCGGGGCAAGAAGCGTGACGGGCCATACGGGAAATCGCCGCGACCCAGCCTCGGGGGCTTTGTCTGGCCGGGGATCGAGGAGCGACATTCGGCCAGCGTCGTCGTCCGACAACTCGCGATCGTCCACGCCCATCAACATGCGCTCGGCAGCGGCCCTTCCGGATCCGTCCGTAGATGATTCCCGACACAGAGACGCCAGCCGCTCCAACAGCCGCTCCAACAGCCGCTCCAACAGCCGCTCCAACAGCCGCTCCAACAGCCGGGCGCGCTCGGCTTCTCGGTCATCTTCGCGAGAGGCCAGCCGCGACCGACAGCCTGGCGACTCCCAGACGACAGCCCCGAGACAAGTCCAACTGCATGAAGCTGGACAAACGGGCGCAGTAGCAGCGCCGTTGCCAAAGCCTGCGACAGGCACTGCGACAGGCACGGCGGCATCGCACTCGAATCCGCCCACTCCGAGGGCTGCAACTCCGTCCAAGCCTCCTGCTCGCGCTCCCACGCAGCGACCGGGGCAGGCATCGTCAGACGAACTGCCGTCGAAGCCAAGGCACCCGTCTGCTTTCCAGAGCGAAATATGGTCGGATGCTGACTTTGGATCGCAGGCACTGCTGGGCTCTTCGGCCCTTGTAGACCGCTCACAGCGGGACTCGCGCTCGTCGAGTGCCACACGTAACGAGTCAGAGCAGGAAGCACCCAAGACAAGTCTTGGCAGCCGATACTTTGTCCAGCTCAAAGGCAGCCGGACAGCTCTTCAAAGCGACGATGATGTCCGACGAGGCTCCAGCCGCGATGTCAGGTGGGACACCAGGAATGAGTGCTGCCAGTTTGTCGAGGGTTCAAGCCACCGACGCCATTCCCACTAACACCCGTCACGCATGGCCAACAGAGGTGGGGTCCCTGTATCCAGATGAGGTTAAGGAACGCCGATGCTATCGCTGCTTTGGCCAACCGAATCCCGAGAGATCGTTGACGCTGTGCTGGTCCCGGTTTCTCTCCGCGTCGCAGGCCGCAAGAAGAAGAGTGACTTGAAGCCCATCGAAATCAAGAGTCCCAACACAGGTACTTGGCTCCCGATGCTTGGTCGTTGCCACATACACCATGAGAGCGCTTTATGGTAGCGAACTGGCTGCATACATCGGCGGGATCATAAATCGGCATATGGGCCAGCTCTGACCCTTCACCGATTCCCAGAGGAGGTCGTGGTGGTTCAAGTCTCCGACCTCTATCACCCGGATAATCTGCGCTCGGAGGCATCGGCAATCTCGAGCCGGGATGTCTTGAACGCACAGAACAGCTCACCTCAGACCCCCTCGTCGATTGGGAATCTTGCCGTCAGCGGTAAAGCCGAGACGATTGGTCGAGGCGATGTCGGGGTCGTCTTTGTGGAAGGTGGGTCGCCATTCCGAGCCTGCATTTCGGGTCTGCATCTCGACCTGTGCGTGGAGATGGCTGTGGCTCCCATGGTCCCCACGGTTTCCGGCTGATCGCTCTTGCTGATTGCTGGCTGATGACTGTAAACCGTTTCATCCTCGTCAGAGAGCGGCAAGTTTCGCCGCTTGTATCCTGGGGACATTGTCCTGGACAACCAAGACAAGCCCAAGATGGACGAACTGGAGGAGAATGCCCTGATTGCGTTTGCGAATGTAGGTGATCATGGTGGACGCCCCCGCCGGATACTCGGTCGATTGGGGCAGAGGGATGGCGGTGCTGTGGGATACTGGCGGAGGCTCTGTCGACAGGTCACTGACCGAATCCCACTTGGTCTGCTTCCAGGGCACCGAAGCCATCGTCCACTCAGTCATGCAAGTCATCCTTGGCCTCTTTGGCGGTCTAGGCCTCGCCATCTTGGTTCTGTTCCCGAGTGTAGGCTCGGGCTCGTCAATAACCCAGGCGGTCAGCTTTCTGCAGCTGTACTCGCCGGTGGCCGACTCCCTGTCGAAGCTCACACATACTTTTTGCGTCCTGGTGGGGATGCTGGTACTGGACGAGCTCCTGGGTCGGCTGGTTCTGAAGCAGGAGAAAGACGCTGCGTCCGGCATACCGGAGCGACATTGGATCCGCAAGCGGAACGGCAAGAACTGGTGGTCGCGCAGCGAGCGCATATGGATCTGGACTAAGATTGCCTTTGCAACAGGTTAGTGCCGATGTAATGGACCGGATTGGACTGAACCGGATTGAGCCAAGTCGGGGGGAGGGAGGGAAGTGCTGGGTGGGGATGGATGGTGCTGGTCAGTTCTGCATTGCCTGGTGCAACGGTGTTGCTCTTATGCAGCTCACATGGCTGACTGGAGCTACCATTCTTGTCGATGCACCGTAGTCTCGATTGTGTTGATTTTGGCATCGCTGCTCGTGATATCAAGCGATGATCGATTCTCGGAAGGCCAAATCAACGCACTCTTTGGGGACATATCGACATGGTGAGCAAGTAACTGCGCCCGTTCGCTCGTGGGATGAACGCCCAATGCTGTGTCCGATGCGGGAATTTGCTGCCTTCGCTGAGACTCGGCCGATGCCCTGCGCTGCCGCCTTCAGGGTTGCCGATCAGCCGCTGCCAAGTGGGCCGTTCAGTCTCGCCTCGGAGCTGAGCCGCTGGAAAGTGCTGCACTTCCTCCAGGGAATCGGCGCGCTGCTTGCTGCGATCGTCTACGGTATCCATCGCCATCTCGAATGGTCCTATCGCCTCGACAATTCACCGGAGCTGACACTGGCCCGGATTCGCGAGGAGCCCGATCGACCCGACGGGCACCGAATCAATCCGACACCACCTGAGGATCGGCCCGACGATCCGCTGGATCAAGTGCGGATCTTGCGCACACGCAATCTCGTTGGAGTCGCTGGAGACGTGGCAAAATCGCAGATGCTTTTCAGTGCGCCACAAGCAGCCTAAAGCCAAGCGACACTACTCTTGAATGTGGGCGTGGGATCTGTTGTTAGTCAGTGACTCCTGCATCCACCAGAGCGACCGACGGCTGTGTTCTTCGTTGAATGATCACTGTGGTCCTGTAAATGGCCGCTCAGGAGAGTGATAAAGAGTTGCACAATGTTTCGAGGAGGAGCTGTATTGGAGGGCCAGGTCAGCGGCCGCTGAGGCATAGGGCTTGTGGTGATGGATCGATTGAGGGATCAGGGTAGTTGGCCTCGACCGATAGCGGCAAGGACGCAGCGCAGATGCGCGGATGTAGCCGGAATGGCCGGAGCATACGGACAGTAGACTCAGCCGGCATTAGCAATCGTCGTCGACAACGAGCGACCAGGCCAGCTCCACGGCACCGAGCCGACCGGTAGCCAGCAAGACTGAGAGCGACTCGGGTTTCTGGGAGGGGGGAGGGTCAAGATTCACAACGTGGCAAAGATGTTAGCACTTGCTCTGCAGCCTTATGGCATGCACGTGCGTGCCCGGTGACCTACTGTCATCAGGCTGCTCGGCAGTGAATTGGCACCAAGGCTTGCTGTGGGCGATGGAGCCTGTGACGGCATTGAAGCGAACGATCTGGGAGACGAGGCGTGTGGCCGGGCTGTCGACGAGGCCGAGAATCCCGGACGAGCTGTCGGTGCGGCGGAGCGCTTGGCCGACGACCGGGAGAACGACGGCCGGAACGCTTTTGCGGATGGTCGGGACATGGCGTCCTTGGCTGGGTTGCGATATCTCTGTGCCGTGTCTGGGGACGATCGGATCTGTGGATGTGCCGCGATGCGATGTGAGCCGAGTCGATCTGGGTGCTGGATTTGGGGCTGGGTTGGATCGCAGTCATGTGGCGGTCACATGTGCTGCGCCACGGCCAGTCCATCGCACAACAAAGCGAACGGATGGATGCCGAGCGTTCACGATTGCAATGACGAATGTATTGGCGATTTACAACCAGCTGGGATGCAGGCGGACAGCCGGGTAGGCAGGATGTGTGGGGCAGGTGAATAGGGATGCGGGAGAACAGGGCTGCTGGATGAGGCCCTGTGAGGCGCGGATTCGATCGGTCGGTTCGATCTTGGGGATCAGCGGCCATGTCAGCACGGATCTGCACTGTCAAAGGCTCCCCCCCCAGGCCGCTCGAGGTCGGTTTTTAGCCGATCGCTGCTCCAGGAGGGTCCGACACACCGGGCGTCCCATGGTCGACACGGTGCGGCAAGAGAAGTGTGGGATGGGCTGCGGCCAACGACGCTGGAGAGGCGGCTCGATCAGTTGGCGTCATCGGTTTCGCCAGCCCGGATGACAAAGTCGGTCTCGTCCTCGGGGAAGTCCTCGTCGCCGGCATCGACCTCCTTGTCTTCATCGTCATCTTCGGGGTCGAAGCTCTTGAGGAGGGCGGTGGCAACATCGAGGTGGTCCTGCTGCGAGGCGACGGTGATGGAGCTTTTGCCGGCGTGGTTCTTGAGGGTGGCATCGGCGCCAAACTTGAGCAGCAGTTCGACACAGTCCAGCTTGCCGTTGACCGAGGCCCAGTGCAGGGCGGAGGAGCCCTCGTTGTTGGTGATGTTGACGTCGTCGCGGGTGAGGGACGGCAGGAGGAAGGCGAGGATATCGTGCTGGCCGTTGGCAGCGGCCATGTGCAGGGCGGTGTGGCCCGAGGCGTTCTTGACAGTAAAGAGCGAGCGCTTCAGGGCCGGCAGATGATCGGGGTCGGTGGGATGCTGGTCGAGGTAGGCGCTGACGAGCTGCTGCAGCTCGTCGAGCTCGCCGTAGCGGGCGCAAGTGACAAACTCCTCGTGGTCGAAATCGGAGAGCTCTGCGGTGGCTGCCATGGCTGCTGAGGCGGTGACGAACGACGACGACGGCGACGGCGACAATGGGGATGGGGCCGGCGATGGAAACCAAGCCGCCTTGGCCGATGCGATCGAGCAGCGAAATCATGCACGGCCAAAAAAAAAAGTGCACAGAACCGGGCAGCGACACGGAACTGGATCGCCACACGGAACAGTGGGCTGTGTGTCGAAAGCAGCAACACAGCAGGGTTGCACACAGGGCGAGACACAAACGCAAGGCTGTGTGACGGACGCCGAGGCTGTGTACGCGTCGGTGCCATCCTGTCTCTGCAACTTTCGGGTGTGTTGAGATGCTGTGGATGTGCGATGTTTGGCCTATTCTTGTCCTGCCGCTGTTCCTGTCCTGCTGCTATTGTGTCCCTGTCCTGCTGCTATTGTGTTCCTGTCCTGCTGCTATTGTGTCCCTATCCCATTCTTGGCTGCTCTTGGCTGTTCTTGGCCTGTTCCTTATCCATGTGCTATTCTCGTCCCGTCCTGGCTCCTCTCCATCCATCCACTCCCGCTCTCCATTCCTCCGTCCCCATCCCGTTCCTGTCGCGCTTGTTGGCGCCCCACCACCGTCCTGGCCTGGTCGCTCGACTATAAGGGCTCGGAACTCCTTGCTGCTGCTCCGTTCTTCCCGGCCCAGCGTTCGCACGCCTGTCCTCAAGTACTTGGGTCTGCCGCATTTTTGCCGCTCTTACTTTTTGCGGGACGGTCTGATCTTGCGCCGGTGCACCCAATCCCATCTGCGCCTCAGGCTTTCTTCCAAGGTCGTCCTCGACCCTGCTCCAGCCCGACCATCAACGATTTCTTGTCGACAGCTCTTGCCAGCAACACAAGTCGAATCAACGGCATTTGCCACCAGCCGCTGCTAATCAACTGTTGCCACAGTCGCCACACAGGTCAGTCCTGTTGTGCTGCCTGTGCTCGCCGACTGTCTGTCTGTCTGTCTGTCTGTCTGTCTTCCTGCTGCCCAGCCGCCGCTTGATCGCAGTTCGCTTTCTCGCCCCCACCCCCTTCACTGCCGTGGTATATCTTGCGGCTTCCGGCCCCTTCTCTGTCCAAGCCCGCCCGCCTCATCCATATTTTCGATTGCCGTTGCCAGCCCGATGGACAGCAAGCCCTCTGGCCAAAAGGCCCTGCCTCCCGGTAAGTCCTGCCGATGCAATGGGATGCAACGGAGTGGGATGGGGTTGTCGAGGCTGTCATTCAGCGCGGCCGAACACCCCGGCCAGCACGTTCTCCTTCCACCGGGCGTTGGCCCCGTCCCTCGGGTCTTCATCCAAGGGTGCATTCATGCTGTGATATCCACTCTGCCCCGGTCTTTCCCTCTTTGCCTCAGTCCCCACCTCCATGGCTGGCCGAGAGGGAGGGGGCTGTGTTCTTGTCCGGGTGTATTCTGCTCATAGCTGCCTCGTGCTGCCAGGCGAGTCGCTCGATGCATCTGCGTATCATGCTCGTTCTCATCTTGCCTCATTCTCTCTCTCTCACTATCCCCCGTCCTCCGCACACTGGCCGCTTTGTCGATCTTCTGGACACTGCCCTCGACCGCACCGACGCCTCGGACGACCCCCCCCTAAAACATCGCCGCGGTTTCAATCCTCGTCGGAACGCCTCTGCTCCGGACGCCTCCTCTGTCCGCTGTCCGCTGTCCGCTGTCCGCTGTCGTCTGTCCGCCGACTTGCGTCTGGCCATCATCCGGCGGCTTTATCTCCTTCCTTCAGTCCCTCCGCCGAGGTCTTCCCTCCTCAAGCGGAACAACACCACCTCCGGCTTTGACCAGTTTACCTCGCGGCTATCTCAGCTCGGAATGAAGGGCCGCTCTCCCACTCAGACGCCGTCCAGCCAGCTGAATCCCCAGTCGCTGCCCTCGATCGAAGTCGGCTCTTCTGATCTCAGCGCCAGCTTCGACGACTTTATCAGCACTCTGCCGTTTGTCGCAAAGGACCAGGCACCTCCCCGGCAGTCGTCCATCGCGGCCCAGCCCGGCACCGAGATCCCAAAACTCTCTCACTTCCCCTCGCGAAGCGAACTCATGGCCTCCTCTCCCGAACCTCCCCGCGGCTCGGCATCCAGCCCTGCCCCTTCGATAGGCCGCGGCGCTGCTGCCATCTCGCCTGGATACGGGGCCACCTCGCCTGGATACAGGGCCACCGCTGTTACCTCGTCCTCACCAGCGTCCGGTCTGCGCTTCGGCAGCCCTGTTCCGGCCCGTTCGCCCGAGCCTGCCCTCGCTGTTCCTCCGATCACCCTGGCATCCAAGCCCTCTTACGGCGAGAACTTTGCCTCGCGTCTGCCTGTTCCGGCGTCTTCCCGTCCGACTGCCCACCCAACCCCTCGACCAACAGCCCATCCAACAGCCCACCCAACAGCCCATCCAACAGCCCATCCCACGTCCAGCTCTACCCAGCAGCCTGCTACTGCTGATTCGGCCCAGCCATCCATCACCAGCCCTCCTCGGCTGGCGTCTCTCTCTCATATATCCCATCTCGAAACGGTCCAGGCTCCCACCGGCTATAGCCAGATCCATCGTCGGCCTGTCCCGCCACTGCCATCCGAGGCAGTCACCGAGGCAGTCCCCGCGGCTGTGCCCGTCCATGCCACCATGCCTCTGCCGCTGCCGACTCCGCCGTCCTCCGAGCCTGCCTCTGCTGTGGTTTCCAAAGCCCCGTCTGAAGCCGAGCCTGAGCCCGAGCCTGAGCCTAAGTTTGAACCACCTAAGCTTGAGCCCGCTCCAGAACCCGTCCCAGAACCCGTCCCAGAGCCAGCTCCAGTGCAAGCTTCTCAGCCTCAGTCTCTTGGTGACAACGAGTCTCCTCTAAAGTCAACAGTCTCGGCGCCGCTTGCTGCTTCGTCTGGTGACCACCCCCTGCCGCCCGACGACGATCAGGACGATGTTGACTATGATCGTCTCAGAAAGGACTTTGATGACGGCCGCGACGAGCCCGCCTTCAACCACACTCTTCCGCGTCTCCCGGCCGACGACTTCCTGACCTCGCCTGACACCGCCACCCGACCCGTCATCTCTGCCGATGGTGATATCGATCCGTTTATGGGCCATTTCACCCTCAGCCGCGACCGTCCGGCTCCGGTTGACCCCGACCTCGCAAGTCTGCGGTATTCTCAGGGCACCATCACTCTCGAGCAACTTGCCGCTCTGGCAGCCAACGGTCAGCGAACTTCGAATGCGACCATTACCTTGGAGCAGCTCAACGCCATGAACCAGATCCCCGATGCCGAAAAGTCCTTGCCCGTGGTGCCCGTCGAGCCTGTCAGCGAGACCGTTGTCAACTCCGAGGTCGAGGTCGATGTCGTCGGTCAGGTCCTCGAGACGGTCGCTCAGCCGCATGAGGAGAGCGCTGTTCCCGAAGCAGTGGTTGAGACCGACGCCATCGAGACAGCTGTTGTCGAAACCAAGGTCGAAACCAAGGTCGAAGCCGCCGTCGAGGAAGTTGCAACTGTGCCCCAAGATCCCATCGAGGAAGCTGCAGTGGAAGCTGAGGCTCCTGTCGAGATCGCTGCCGATTCCGCTGTCCAAGTCACTGCCAAACCCGCCACAGAGTCTGATGTTGCTACCGCCATCGCGGCTGCAGCTGCACATGCAATCTCTGTTCCTTTGAGCATCCAAGGCGCCCCTGCCGAGCCTGTCCAGCCTGTCGAGCCTGTTCAGCCTGACTTGCATGCCAAGCACATTGTGACCGATGATGAAGTCAGTGTCGCCCCGGCTGAGGTGGATCAAAGCGCCGAAATTACCAAGACCGCCGAGACCGCCGAGGCGACTGTGCTCGCTGAAACAGCTGAAGCAGCCGAAGCAACCGTGGTCTCCACCGAAGCAACCGTGGTCTCCATCGAAGCAGTCCAGGCGATCGAAGCAACTGAGACAACAGAGACAACAGAGATAACCCAGACAACAGAGACGACCGAGACAACAGAGACGGCCGAAGCAACAGACGCCAAGGCGCTCGAGCCGCAGCCCCACAACAACGTTCTTCTTTCTGGTGATTTCCAGCGACTCTCCGAGGCCGTCCACAAACTCGAGCATGCTCTTGGTCTCCTCAATGGAGCTCCTGTCCATAGCAACAGTGAAACCAAAGCCGACCTGGTCGACATCGAAGAATCGACAGCCCAAGAGCCTGCTCCCTTGGAAGCCCGCGTGCCGGATGTCAATCTGTCCAGCGCGGAGCTCGAGTGCCTGCTGAGTTCCATCAGCGCGACTATCTCGTCGTTCGAAACCACCCTGACCCAGATCGATGGCATCGTGGTTGTCGCTGCCGACTCTTCCGAGCAGTCTGTTGTTCCTGAATCTGCGCCAGTCGACATTCCTGCTACTGTCGGTCAGCCGCATGCCCCCAGTCGCCTTGAGGCGTTCTTGGCCAGTGCCCCGCCCACCAAGATGACTGCTCCCGAGCGCCGCAGTTCCTCTTTTGGCAGCCTTGTTGCGCCCGTCCGATCCGTCTCAGCCAAGGCCATGAAACGCTTCTCGGTGCCACTGTCAGCTTTCTCTCCACCTTCGCTGGCCGAGCACCGAGACGTGCCCGCTCTTATTCCCGAGGAAAGCGAGGCTATCGACAGCGACCCTACCCCCGTGCCTGCTCTTGCTGATGCCCCCACGCCGGCTGTCGAGACCGCTCTGGCTGCCGAGACTGCCGCGACCGAGTCCCAGGAGCACGAGATTGATGTAAGTATCAAGATTTTGGATGCTGCCCTGTGCTGTGCTGTGCTGTGCTGTGCTGTGCGGCGCCGTTGACCCGAGCTGCAGTTCGAGCGGCCCAGCCAGTGTGCTGCTGATGAGACTGGCTCGTCACTTTGATTCTCTGCTTATGCTCTGCTTTGCCCCTCGCGCATCCAGGCTGGCCATGTTGAACCATCGACTCTCGTGTCAGAAGCACCTCATGACTCTGAACCCACCGTGCACAAAGATACCGACACTGCCATCACCGCTAATCCCACTCCAGAATCTCCCGTGTCCCAGTCTGACGACGCTCTCCCCGACGTTGCTCAGCCCGAACACCTTAATCCCACTGCCGTCCCAGCCGCTGTTGCCCCACCTGAGCAACCTCCGTCTGAGCACACCGAACACACCGAACACACCGAGCACGCCGAACGCACCGAGTCTGCCGAGCCCGAGCACGCCGAACACACCGAGTCTGCCGAGCCCGAGCACGCCGAACACACCGAGTCTGCCGAGCCCGAGCATGCCGAGCCTGTGGTTCTTACTGCCGATGCTTCTCGCGATCTTGCTGCCATCCCTAATGCCGCTGCTCCCACCGCTGTCGCAGAAGAGAACAGCGTCGCACCCGCCGCCGAGGTCCTTCTTGCGCCTCCGCGACGAATCGTTCCTGTAGTTTCCCAGCAGGACAGCGGCGTCGAAAACGGTGTCCCGCCTCGGTCGTATCCCGATCCTCGGTTCAGCCAACAGCCCCTTGCCATCCACGCTGCTTCCTCGGCTCCGGAACTGCATCCTGCGCAACCGTATCCACAGCCGTATCCACAGCCGTATCCGCAGGCCGCATCGTTCCCTCATCCTGGCTATCCCCAGCAGCAGCCACAACCCTTCTACCGCCAGCCCTCTCCCGGCCCTGGTGCTCCCCATCCTCAGATGCCCAACGGCCAGCCGTATCCAGTCCAGCAGTATCCCGGCCAGCTCATGGTCGATGCTAACGGATCCCCTGTCTATGTCCACCCCGCTGCTCTGGCTTCACACGTCATCTCAACCCACGGCTACCCCGCCGGTCCTTATCCCAGTCCGTTCTCGCCGCCTCCGCTTGTCAACCACTCCATGTATGCCTCAAACTATGGCCAGTATCCCAACGGCGACATGATGCGGGTGGCTTCTCCGCCCCCGGTGGGCGTCCACCCGGACTACTACCGCGCCGAAAGCCCATCGGGACGAGCCATCAGTCCCTATGCGATGCACCACATTCAAGAGCCGCCGCGCCGCGCCACGCCCAGCCGCACGCCCAGTATGAGCTCGATCAACTCACGATACAGCGTCCAGAAGCGAGGCTCGGGTATCTGGCGTCCTGTAGACGAAGCCGCCGGCAACGCCAATGCCCAGTCGGTCCAGCCCATGGCGTCGATGGAGTTTGAGGACGAAAAGATCGAGCTCCTCCTTGACCAGGATGGCGAAGACCCTACCGTCCGCCAGATGAGAGAGACCGTTGACAAGAGTCCGTCAAACTACCGGATTCAGCTCGAGCTTGTCAAGCTGCTCGTCGAAAGGGCTGATACCGTCCAGAAGCTTGGCGATAGCGCCACTCCCAACCATCTGCGCATGAGGGATCTCTACCACCAGGAGGCCTTCAAACGACTGAAGAAAATGTCATCAACTGGTGTTGGTAAGTAAGCGGGCATTGTTTGTGGCCTCGATTTTGGCTCTCGAGCGCCAGTAGACTTCCCTGGCGGCCGTGTTGGCTTTTTCCCCCATCAACATTTCAGCATCCAGTGCATCGTGTGATTCACTGACCCTCTCATTTGCACAATAGGCAAGCCTTCGCCCTCGACCGATGCCCAGTTCCTGCTGGCCGAAGCCTATGGCCAGGGCCTGTTGGGGCTTCGCAAGGATGTCGACCGTGCCTTTGCTCTGTACTCACAGGCGGCTCGTGGCAACCACCCCACTGCCTGCTATCGCACTGCGGTTTGCTACGAGGTCGGCGCCGGCACCCGTCGGGATTTTTCCAAGGCAGCCCAATTCTACCGCAAGGCGGCTTCCCAGTCCGAGACCGCGGCGATGCACAAGCTGGGTGTGACGCTTCTCTATGGGCTCATGAATCAGCCCAAGAACGTCCGAGAAGGCATCAACTGGCTCAAGAAGGCCGGCAGCAAGGCTGATGAGACCACGCCACATGCTCTGTACGAGCTCGCGATCCTCCACGAAGGCGGCGTTGGCGATTCCCAGATTCTGCCGGTAAGTCCTGCGGCTGTGCCCGAGCAAAGCCTCGGCTCGCTCTGTTGAGTTCCCTCGACTCCTGCTTGCTCGCCAGCCGACTGCGTGTGGCTCACCATCGACCTCTGTCCATTCGCCAGGATGACGAGTATGCGTACTCGCTTTATTTGCAAGCTGCCCGGCTCGGCCATGTGCGCTCTCAAGTGCGCCTGGGTCGCTGCTTTGAGCACGAGCTGCTGGGCTGTCCCAAGGACCCTCGCAAGTCGATTGCCTGGTACTCCGAGGCCGCCAGCCACGGCGACATGGAGGCCGAGATGGCATTGGCGGCATGGTATCTCGCGGGGGCCCCCGGTGTGCTCATCCAGAGCGACGAGGAGGCCTTCAAGTGGGCATCCAAGTCTGCCGACAAAGGCTACGCCAAGGCCGAGTACGCTATGGGACACTTTTTCCAGCACGGCATCGGAACCCAGGCTGACCCGAATCAGGCCCGCACCTGGTACCAGAAGGCCGCCAAGAACGGCAACAAGAAGGCCATCCAGAAGCTACAGGAGTTGGGAATCAAGTCGCCCAAATAGACGTGAGGAAGAAGAGAGGAGCTTCTAGTTGTTTTACAGCCCCGCAGCGGGGCATTATTGCATTTCCGAGGCCGATGGCCGATTCACTTCACCGGCGATTGAATACACACATACATGCATACATCACAATCCTCCGTTGCAATCACGGCTGCATGATCGCGGCTGGTGCGATCTTTGTTCGGGGAGATGTTTGTTCAGGGAGATGTTTGTTCAGGGAGGCGCTCGGCAACATCAGCATCAGCATCAGCATCAGCATCAGCATCAGCATCAGCATCAGCATCAGCATCAGCATCAGCATCAGCATCAGCATCAGCATCAGCATCAGCATCAGCATCAGCATCAGCATCAGCATCAGCATCAGCATCAGCATCAGCATCAGCATCAGCATCAGCATCAGCATCAGCATCAGCATCAGCATCAGCACCAGCATCAGCATCAGCATCAGCATCAGCATCAGGTTTGTCGATCAAGGTCTCACCTCCTCCCCTCTTGAGCTTGCAAGTATACCAGGCCATCCCCAGCGCACATGCACCACCGACACCAAGCCATCTTGCCCGGCCGCCCCACAGCGCCGAGTCTTCCCATCCGTCCGAACAACCAGACGCTCGCTTGCGCGGGAGTTGCTGCTCTGCCCAGCAAGCCGCCCAGGACCCCAATGTCCATGTCCGAGAGTCGCAGTTGCCACTCCCCCCCCCGCCCAGGCTGGCTCTGCCTCTCGTTTCGAGAGAGCGTGGGATACTTGTCGACCGGTGGGCGACCCTCAACTGTCCCTGATCGCATTCCGCAGGGCGCCAAACGATCACAGGTTGTGAGTGGGGCGGGCTGCTGACTCGAGACAGCGCTATCACCTCGCACGGAGTTATCTCTCACTTTGTAATTGGGAATATTCGCCTTGTACGGGATGATATTCGCGCTGCATGAGATTATCTTCAACTTGCATGGGACGACCACTCTGCCTGCTATTCCGTTCCATCGGCGTCGCTGCTGCCCTCGCCGTATCCTCCGTCGCTGGATACCCATGCCCACAAACCCTCCGATAGCCGCCACCGCCCTCGCCAGCCCTGTCCTCACACCGAAACTGAATCCCTCGCTCCGGCGGGGATGAAGGTTAACATTCGCCGCTTTCCCACCGACTGCTCTCTGTCGAGCGCACCCGCCCGCCCTGCCTGTCGCCGATCTCTTCCGCGTTCTGTTGATCTCTCCGCCCGCTTCCGATCGTCTTCCGCGCGCATTCGTCGCCTCAGTCTCTGTGGATGATTCTCTTCTGTGGATGCATTCTGCTGTCGTCTATGCACATCTGCAGCCCTCATCCATCCAACGCTGACATTCACTCAAACATTCATGCTTCCCCCCCCCGCTATTGCCGATCCCCAGACACACTCGCTTCGTGCTGGATCTCCCCTCCGCTCGCTCGTTCGCTTCAGCACATGCAAGGCCCAGGCACCACCATCGTCGCTTCCTGATCATCTCCTGCCTATATAGACTGGGTGGCCCCGGTGCTCTCCGCCCGGTCCTGTCGCCGCCCTTCGTTCTGCCACCCTCCCTGCTGCCCCTACGACCCAGGATTCCTTGCCGGTCCGCCGGTCTCCAATTCTGCGCTGAACCGTCGTCGCATCGCATCGCATCGCTTCTTGTCGATCTTCTGGCTCTGCACAGTCCGGGCTTGTCGTCCTCGATTGTTATCCCTCACCTTGGCCCACAGCACTCCCCCCCCGAGCTTTCTGCCCCGAAATCTCCACCACACGTATCGCTTGGTCATGTTTGTACCTGGATCATACGCCCACCTCGCAAGTACCAACTCGGGCCTGGCCCCGGATCGCCGATCGGGCAATTTGATTCCCTCAGCCATGCAATCGACGCAGCTCTCCAATCCCTACGGCCCTGTATCCCCCGCGACTCTGCAGGCCCAGTCACTGCATCGTCCCTATTCTCTGCCGCCGGCTGGGTCCCGCTGTCTTCCACTATCGCCTCCTCAACAAAACTACTCCACAGCACCCCGGATTGTGCGTCCTTCTGACTATGCTCTGCCAACTCAAGGCGTCGTTGATCCTCGTTCAGTCGCCCTCCCGCTGACTTATCAGGCGACCCAGTACACATCGCTGGCTCAGAATCCCCCCTTCCATCCAGCGAGCGTCTTTGCCACCGCTCCGCAACCTCAAACCGTGGGAGTCTATCCGACGGCCCACACTGGCCCCCTTGGCCACTATGTCCTGCCTCGCCATGTCGCCAACCAGCACCATCCTGCTGCCAACCAGCATCCCGTCGCCTGTCGTCCTCCGGAGTTGCCATCCTCCAGGGTCGCTCCAGCTGCTTTCGCCGCCAGCGACCGCACACTCGATCCTCACCAAAAGATCGCCGTGATGCCTGGGCCCGGCAACGTTCAGTTCGCCCCGGTGCCAACCAACATGCCCATGCCCATGCCCAATCGAGCCGATCCACAGAGATTCAATCCCGGGCACCTCGCCAGTCCCGTAAACCGCTCTGGCATGTTCTTGGCCACGCCGACTGGCCCAACAACGCCGCGCTCCGATCCCCAGGACAATAGCATTGGCCACAGCACCTTCTTGCATGATCGCTCCACCGGCGTCCTGGCTTTCCCTGACGGCAGCCTCGCCGATCTTTCTCGCGGCGCCTCCCCCGACCGCACCCGTATGTTTCCCCAGTCCCCAAGCGACCAGTCTTCCTTTGATGAAACTCTTGATGATGATGGCCTCAAGGCGCTCGAAGCTTTGGCCAAAGGCAATCCTCACGACACTGACATCCAGATGAGGTTTTATCGTTCGCTCGCTCGCCTGGCGGAAGGTAAGCACGTTGGCATGGTCTTTGGACATGGGTTTGCCGAGTCAGTCGTTGTTCCTGTGATGGGAATCGCTATTCCTGTGATGAAACTACCTTTACCTTTGGATGGACGCGCTCAACCAAAAGCTATCCAGCCGTGAATATTAACGCAGTTGCTGTTCTCCTCAACGACAGCGATCGAGAACAGTGGCGATCACCTGTCGCTCGAGAGCCGCCAAAAGCAAAAGGACTGCCACAAAAAGGCGCGTCATATCCTCAAGAATCTCTGCCACCATCGCTATGGTGAGTTGTTTTGATTGTGCGGGCATCGACGACTGCTGATTTGTATGGTCGCATATGTGAATCAAGCCCCATCGATCGGTCGTATCGGCTCTGTTGTCGGCACAAACTTCTCCTTCGATTGATCCATAAGGCGCTCACTCACCCATCGCCTTGACACTCCTCCAATGCAGCCTCGGCCAATGTTCGCCCGAAGGCACAGTACTTTCTGGCCGAAGCCTACAGCGAGGGCAAGCTCGGCCTCAAGAGGGATGAGCATCAAGCCTTTGCGCTGTACCTGAATTCCTCCAAGGGAAACCATCCCGAGGCCACTTTCCGCACTGCCCGTTGCTATGAGCTGGGATCTGGTACCAAGAAGGACTACAAGAAAGCCGTGCAGTTCTACAGAAAGGCCAGCGCCCTCGCAAACCATGCGGCCATGTATTCTCTTGGTCTGATTCTCATCAACGGCCTGCTCGACCAGCAGGTTAATGTTCGAGAGGGGATCATCTGGCTCAAAGACGTTCCAAAGAGCTCCGGCGTATACCCGCACTCCGCATACGAGCTTGCACTCATTTCCGAGAAGGGCTTGGACAACAGCAGCCTGCCGGTAAGATTTGAATGCATCTGGTGTTACTTCCTTGGCTTGCATTGTCTGATCGAGCAACGCAGATTGTGCGCTTGGACGCCGGCCTCCCGATCCACAAACCAGCGTGCTCATCTGGCTTCGCAACGACTGTTTCTAGGACTACGAATATGCCTATGGTCTCTATTACGCCGCTGCCGAGCGTGGTCACGTCAGGGCCCAGCTCCGGCTCGGTCAGATCAATGAGCACGGACAAATGGAGAGGAGCGCCAATCCTGGCTACTCGATTCGCTGGTATCGTGCCGCTGCCGAGCAGGGCAACTCGGAGGCCGAGCTCGGCCTTGCTGGCTGGTATCTTACTGGGGCTCCAGGCGAGCTTGAGCCCAACCACGCCGAGGCGTTCCGCTGGGCTCAGAGTGCAGCCAAGAAGGGCCTCGACAAGGCCCAGTTTGCGATGGGCCACTTTTACAGCCACGGCATCGGCGTCCCTGTCGACCTCGCTGCAGCTTACGAGTGGTACAAGATGGCTGCAAGACAGGGCAACAGTCTCGCCGTCAAATGCATCCAGGAACTTCGACCCCGACTGCCGCCGAGCAAATAGAGCATTAATCGATCGAGCAGTGCAGCAATTGTAATGGAATCGGTCAGTCGGTCAGGTTCACACTCTTTCCGAGAGACTTATTGCTCTCGTTATTCTCCCTTTTTCTTTTGTTCAAAGCCCATCGTGGTGTGTATAGCTTGTCGATATTGGCACCCTCCCCAATCTCTGTATATTTCGATCTGTTCGATCGCTGTGTCGCTCGTCGCGTGCATCGGTTGGCGATCTGGAGCAGACCCGTCTTCCCCTCTTGTCTTGCGCTGTATCTGTCTGTATGCGAAATACAAAATACCAAAAAAAAAGTGTGTACACTCTCCAGGAATCGGGACATCCAAATGCCAGCGCAGTTTTCGATGGCTTGGGTCCAACCACTCCAGACCGGCACGTGAGCTTGGAAGTCTGAAAAGCAACCGCCAGCACCAACAACCGCAAGGCCGATGGTTTCGCCCTGTCCGCGCTGCCGATGAGCGAACAGCCAAAGGAACTTGCGTCGACTTCGGCCGCCGATCCCGTTTCGACTGCCGTCGTTGCAGCCGAGAGCCAGCCACAGCATCTCCAGCCTCTGCCACCAGCGCCGCCGCAAGCGGTCCTCGAGGAGGATGTCTATGTCGCGACCGTCTCGGAGATCATCGAGCGGGACTTTTTCCCGCACCTCAAGAAGATGAAGCTGCAGAATGAGTTCTTGGGTGCCATCAACGACGAGGATTACTACAAAGCCAAGACTGTGGCATTCCAGCTGGGCAAGCTGACGGGCGACCTGAAGGACGAGCCCTCGGCGAGCACGCCGGCAGGTGCGATCGCAACCAACCCCGCCAGCGATTCCGTGCCCAGCGGCCATGCCCCCACTCTTTACTCATTGATGTCCGGCAACCGATCGGTATTCATCGACTGGCCTATTGATGGTTTTCTTCTCGACTCCTCGGTCCTCCAGCCTCATCGTTTACACAGAATGCCGCTCAGACTCCCACCCTCAAGCGCTTCCAGACCCCGGTCTATACCAGCGCTACACCAAAGTCCTCGGTCGACAATGCCGAGACAGCCACCCCAGAGGATCTTCTCAAAGACCAAATGAAGAAAGACGCCCGAGTTTTGAGCCTCGACGCCTTCCAGGCAAAGTATACCAGCGAAGACAACGCCAGCTTCTTGAGGCTCCTGGAAAAGCAGAACGAGCAGAAGCGGCAAAAATACGCATGGACCTTTGACAAGGAGCGCAAGACGCTTCTGCTGGAGGCTCCCAAAGACGGAACAGTCTCTGCAGGCACCCCTGGATGGGCATACAAGGCGAGTGTTTTGGCCCAATGTTGTGCGTCGACGGATCGGCATCCTCGTCCATCTATCGATGCACCCACCTATCCATGGCGCCTGATTGCTCCGATACTCGACTACTTGGTCGCTCGTTCTGGATAGATAAGCAATTCCCTCACTGACTTGGTGCTTTTTTCGATCCGCTGTTGTCTCGATCTGCGACGGATGTATTTGGTGCCCAGGCTCAGAGCAGCCTGATGTACTATCCCGAGGGGGCCGCACTCACCTTTGCTGACGTCAAGGCTTCGAGGGGCGGGGCACCGACCATTTCGCACGGCTCAACCCGGCTCGAGAGCACCAGCATGTCGACCGGCGAGCTGCTGCAGCCTCGCAAGAGCGATGCCCAAGTCTCGGCCGCTCACGACCCAAAACAAGCATGGCGTGATATGGCGAGCGCTACCCCGGCTCTGTTTCCGGGCGGCGTCGCTGGATCGGAAATGAAGGTCCAGGGCTATTCGTTCGTGGCTGCAACGCCATCACCGGCCCCGCACAAGGATGTGGATCCCGAGGAGCTCATGACCTGGGGTATGATCGAGGGAACGCCCCTGCTGCTCGATTCGGGCGCTGACCATGGCGGCAGCCGGTCATTCCAGCTTCCACCAACGCCACGACGAGACATGATCGGAATGAAACTTGCCGAGAAGGCCTCCAAGAACATCATCAAGCGACAGGGCGGCGGATCGGTCTCCAAACACCGAGGAAGCACAACACCCAAGCCCGTCCACGGGGTGTCGTCTGGATCGGGATCGGCCACGCCGTCACTGTCGCCGGCGACCCAACGAGGGCGAATGATGTCCCCAGCAGCGCAACATTTACTCCGCAAGACACAAATCAACCGGACTGGATTGAGCGGGGGCTCTGCGTCAAGTCCATGGACGCAGCCACGCCCGGATGGATTGGGGGCGACTCGAGCAGGCTCGCCATTCGACACCAAGCATACCGGCGGGACCAGGCCCGCCGGGGGTAGTCGATTCTGATGGAGAGCCAGGAAAGATGCGGGAGGCGATGGTAGCTGCCGTTGGTGCTGGTGACGAAGGAAAACGAGCAGCAATGTGGTATTGAACACGAGCTCACTGCGAGCCATGCTGTTGGTCGCAGCCAGATTTTGGAGCGCAGCCCCTGTCCAATCCGGGCTTGGCACCCCAGCAATCCATCCGCGCCTCCATTCGCCCATCCATCCATCCATCCATTCCCCCGGTCACCCATCCGTCCAGCCAGCCAGCCAGCCAGCCAGCCAGCCAGCCAGCCAGCCACTCTGTCGCCTTGCCAAGCCAGCCGAGCCCTTCGCTGCTGCCTTCATCTCTGCGTCTGTCTCTCTCTCTCTCTCTCCTCGCGACCCATCCCACGCTGACGCTGACGCTGTGGGATCATGAGCGAGCCGGCAGAGAATCTCGCGGAACAGCTCCTCCGTCTTGGAGACGAGATCGTCCTATCCTCGGACCATGTCGGCTATCTGTACATGGACGGATCCTTCAAAAAAAGCTGCCGTGTGCGCTTTGGAGGGACGCTCCAGGACTCACGCATCCTCTCCTCACCCGATCTGCACGAGGGCTCGAACATCAACCTCGACTTTCTCCAGCGGTGCGTCCGTCTCGACGGCAAGGATGCTCGCAAATCTGTGTTTCGCATTGAACCCACATCCCAGTTCACGGCCGCCAAGCATCTGCACTCGCTGTGGGCCTCGGTCAAGCCCACGGCCAAGTCGACCCTCGACACCAACCTGCTCTTTGGCCCGCTCGTGGACCAGGCGCCCCCATCCGAGAGCGAGTTCTCGGGCAGCGGCTTCAGCGAGAATGATTTTGCCAACGCCCGTCAGGCTGCCCTCCAGGAGAACGCCCTCAACGAAGCCGAGTTCCAGCGCCTGCGGGGCAAACCAGGTACGGCTTTGTCGGCGATGCAGATTGCCAGCAGGAGGATGCAGATTGCCAGCAGGAGGATGCAGATTGCCAGCAGGAGGATGCAGATTGCCAGCAGGAGGATGCAGATTGCCAGCAGGAGGATGCAGATTGCCAGCTCGCGAGCTGCCAAGTGCTCTGCAACGGACCCCAAAGGACTTATGTGTTCGAGCTGCCCGCTTCATCACTCGTTGTCCACCTTTCTATTTCTATTTCTCTATTTCTCTATTTCTCTATTTCTCTATTTCTCTATTTCTCTATTTCTCTATTTCTCTATTTCTCTATTTCTCTATTTCTCTGTTTTTCACTCACCCTCCTTTAGCTTCGGCGATTATGCTTGGATTCCCTTTTCCTCGGCTGCATTTAGACCCACCGCCCTGCGAATGCGCGCCATCAATACTCGCTCAGGTCTCTGATCTAACTCTGCTGTCACTCTCGTTCTCTTCACGCTCGACCGCCGCTCACGTTCGCAGTGGTCTATGGGATGGTTATCCAGCTTCGTTCTGTCCATAGCCAACAGTATCTCGCCGTCGACTCCCTTGAAACTTGCGTCGGCGAGCCCATGTCCATGAAGGTCTCGGCCGAGCCGCTTCCCCGAAGGGATGCCTGGTTCAAGATTCTGCCCAAGTACAAGATCCGCTCCGAAGGCGAGCCCGTCCGGCTCTATGATCGCATTATTTTGCAGTCCGTCAAGTCCGAGAGCTTTCTGAACCTAACCAGTCAAACATATGGCCCGCTCCATAACCAGTACCACGACGTCTGCTGCTCGCTCAAGCCGCATGGCTGGATGGTGCATGTTTTTGCACCTTTCTCGGCGACGGCGGCCGCATCACCCAAGCCCGTCCTCAGCGGACAGTATATCCGCCTCTATCACAAAGAGCGCGAGGGCTATCTTTACTCGACGACCGAGGGCAAAACTCCCGAGCTGCTTCCACACGTTCTGAACCCGCTAAATCCGAAAGAGTCCCTCTCGTACGGCGCCGTTTGGCAGCTGGAGCTACCGCTGCCGCTGACCGGTGGCTCTGTTGAATGGGGGGCGCATATCCGCCTGCGCCATCTTGCGACCTCGTCCTATCTCCAGGTGCTCCAGAAGAGCGGGCTTGGACATGCCGAGAGCACGGCATCAAGCACTCCGGCGCTCTATGCCGATATCAGCACCGGTCTAAAGAAGGTTAAGAGCATGGGCAAGCTCAACGCCACCCGGTTTGAGCTGTCGATGGTCTCCAAGGTTGCCGTGGCCGACGGCGACATCGACCCGACCCTGTTTGTGATCCGCCCACTCAACACCGAGAGTGACCATGTCGTCGCTGGCTCTTGCGCACACCTACAGCATCTGGCCACCGGCGCCTGGATCCACGCGCGGGCTCAGTCGGACACCAATACTGCCAAGGTCGAGACGAATTGCTTTTCGATCCCGTTTAACGACGAAGAAGGCTCCAAGTTCCGTCTGATTGCATCGAGCGAGGTGCGATACGACGACTACTTTTTGCTCTCTCACGTTGAGCCACTGTTCATCTCCAAGTGCCTGTTTGTCGAGTCGATTTCGACCCAGCTCGATTCGTGGATCCTTGAAGAGCGGCCCTATACATCCGGTTCTGGAACCAAGTTTCCTATCGCTCCGGCATCCGAGCACGCCATCCGGAGTATTCTGGTGGGTTACGGGAGCTGCAGTCATTCAGACCACTGCAAGATTGAGCGATGCTCTCGGATTTCTGTCATTTGCGGCGACCCGGTGTAGAGTGATTGAGATGACTGATTCTGATACTGATAGCCTGAACCCGTTGTCTTGTTGTCCGCAGATGTCTCTCATATACTTTTGCACAAAGTCGGGCGACTATAACCCGCTCAAGCGACGTGGGGCATCCATCCGCAGTAAGTCATCGTTCGACAAGTGTCTTTCCCCTGGACATGGCGACGCTTCAAGAGCCTTGTTCCTTCAGACACACATTGTCGCTTTCGCTTGGCTAGCTTGGTGTATGTCAGCTAAGCGATCTCTGTCCCGTCAGCTCGGCAAGATCTCCTTCGTGAGTCTCGGATCATCAAGAAGCTCATCAACATTCTTGAGATACCATTTTCGCTCGAGCGCCGCGGTGATTACAGAGCTGCTCTTGGCCAGGAGGTCGATCCGGACCAGTCTCTTGAGGCCGCAGTCGATTTCTCGCAGTTTGAGCGAGGACATGAGCCACAGCTCGCTCGCATCTTCAGCTATATCTTCCAGATGCTGTTGGTCTTTCTTCGAGACACCACCAACAAGAACCAGGTGCACATTGCACGCGAGTTCGACCGGCTGCTGCCGTTTATCAAGCTCCAGCTTCCCGTAACCGAAATATTCATGCACATGATCGCCAAGAATGCCGAGATTGTCGAGGGCATCACGCGCGCTCTGATTGACGACATCATGCATCTTGTCCGTGAGACCCGCAAGGGCGAGTTTGTCGACTGCCTGTCAAGCATGTGCAGCGTCAACGAAGAGGCCGTCCCGGATCACCAGAACTACATTGCCGAAAAAATGCTTGCTCCTGTATTTTCGTTCGAGGAGACGTGGTACTACAAGACTCGGTGCCACGCCGGCACACTGCAGATCAGCTGTTCTGGCCTGGGGGACTGGATGGATCTGTACATGTGCCTGGATGACGATACACCTGCCGGTCGTGAGCGTGCCAACTTCTTCAAGTCGACCCTGGGCTTGTACCGGGCCTTATGTCTGGGACACAACAAGAACAGCATCGACAAGATCATCCTTCCAGGGGGATCGGAGGGTTCTGAGCTCATTGGTCTCGACGAGTGTCTGATTGGCCTTCGTGACGGGCGCCTCGGGCCCTCTGTCCAATCCGACTACTGCCATCTGCTGAGAGGTTTGTACAACTTGATGCGTGCAGGTCGGAGCAAAGCATATAGTTGGGGCTCGAGAATGGTGGATTCCAATCAAAAGGGCACTCCGGCGGCGCGATGGCCCCTGCGTGCTTGTTCCAGCTTGTTCCAGCTTGTTCCAGCTTGTTCCAGTCGTCGTGACCCAAGCAAGCGATTTCATTGTTCTATCTTGCGCTATCGTTCATCTCACCCTTTACACTATCTTCGATTGCGCCAGTCTTGTTCATCGACTCTGTCTCAGTTCTACCGGTGCTGCGTGACTACATCTTCCCGTATGAACGGCTCGATGGTAGCAAACCGCTCTCTGCTGTCAAGGCGGCGATCACGCTGTCTCGCCATGCCAAGATTGACTTTGAGAATCTCATCACATGGCTTCATGAGTATCTCAAGAACAACCAAATCCAGGTATGTATCGTGGCGCTGATCCTTTCTACGATGAGGCACACTAACGGTGCTACGTGCAGTGTTCGCTCACATCTTGAGTCACATTCTCTCGCTCCCTCACCAGTCCCACCAAGACACGCCAGCGAACCAGCTGACGCTATCCGTACTGCTACTCGTCAAGTGCTTGATTCAGTATGGCTACTACAGCTTTGACCACATTGCTGTTCTCGTCGAGCACCTTATTTCAATCCTCGATGATCGCACCGACGATGGGTGAGTGCCGCCGTGGAGTGGAGCCTGGGGAGCTGTGGGCGAAGCCATGCTTCAACTTTGGAACGACGACTCGGCAGCAGTGCAGCGTGCCGTTTCGAAACTGTGGTCGTCTGTTATTTGTGGTCATCATCCGGCCAACTCACCTGTTGCTTCTTTGTGAATAGTCGGAGCCGCTCAAGCTTGGAGACTTACAGCCAAGTCATTGTCGAGTGCAAGATTCAGATATGTACCATCCTGAACCTCCTTCTCGACATCCAGATCGAGTCCCGTGCATATCTTCTTGTGTCTGTGTGGAAGCAAAAATGGCGGTAGGAATCTGGATGTGGAGTATCCGGCGTTGCTTCGGCGGCCCTGCTCGCGCGTTCGACTTTGGGACGGTTGCTGCTGATGCCGCCTCACCCCCCCCCAAGTGGACTATTGCTATGCACTAGCCGAGTGTGATGTGCGCGTTTTCCCTGCTCGCTCGATTCTTGGATGGGTGACCTCGGTTCTTGTCACTTTCTGACGTGTGTTTACGTCCCGAACGCTGCTTTATGGTACCATGCGACTGGTCGTCCCTGAACCCCAGCACTTCTGCCGCTTCGGCCGGCACTGCTGCCGGTACCTACTCGGAGCCTCAGACGCCCAAACTCGACGACAAGAGGCGCCATTTCTTCAGCATCCGTAGCGACACCGACGTCATGGCCTCTCCACAGTCCGAGTTCTGGAAGGACATTGAGTATGTGTTTATGAAGACCAAGACGATCAAGCTTGCCGAGTCGCTCAATCAGATTCTGCTGGACACGATTGAGTGTCCGAGCGCGACGCTTCGACGCACTGCCATTCAGGTGCTTCACAGGCTGCACTCCAACTGGGAGGAGACGATCGCAGGCACCAAGCGCATCCTGCTCGTCGATGACACCCACTACCAGATTTATGAGGACCTGAAGCAAGAGATTATGAACTTTGTTGAGATGATCCCGGATCTGTTCACGAGCAAGCACAATGCGACCGAGCTCGCCACGGCCACCGCTTTGGTCAAGTTTAGTTCGCTGTGCTCGTCCAACGACACGTCTTCTCCGCAAGGCGCGTCCGCACCACTCTCCACCAATGTGGTCTGTCAGAAGATGCTCAAGAATCTGCACATCCACGACCATATCTTTGGCATCATTGAGAGAAGCATGGACATTTTGATCAAAACCGGCCACATCATCCCACAGACATCGATGCCGTCGTCGCTGCCCACGTCGCCGTCGCACAGCGAGTATAGTGATAGCCCAAGCACATCGGCGATGCATCACGAGCCCGAAATCTCGCTGAACTTGGTGCGAAGCTGCCTCGAGTTCTTGCAAGCATACACTCGCGGCCAGGCCTCCCTTGGTGAGCTTGTCACCAGCCGACTTGACCTTTTTCTTGAGGCCATTGCGGCTTACGACGACAAAGCCACGTCACTATACAGCGAGGAGGCTCGTTGCATCGAAGCGCTCTCGGAGATCATTTGCATGAGCCCGCAGCTCAGTAGCCAGATCACCGAAAGCCAGTTCCGTCGGGTCTTGGAGCTTGCTGATGGCCGAAAGCCGTGCTATATCATGTTGCTCCGCCGCATCGTCACCTTCTGCCACTCGTCGGCCAAGCGCCACAACCTATCGATCGTCAAGCTCCTGATGGAGCGCAAGGAGCAGTATTTTCCCCTTCCCGCCGTCATCAAAAAGCATCGTTATTTCGAAAAGGATGAGGCCAAGCCCGCAACAAGCTTCCTTGGTCTTCCGGCTGTGAACCATCATCACCATCACCACCATCACCACCACCGCCCAAATCTACAGCCGCTATCGTCGGAAGATGGCCCTCCACGAGATGTCCTCTACTGCGCCGAGGTGATCGATCTCATGGCGGCTTGTGTGACCATGAACCATCACTACATCCAGTCGGTAAGTGGTAGCTGTCGCTGCGTTGTGTTGCAGATGTCTGGGCTGCAGGTGTGGCCTCTGGGTCTTGCTGGATCAGCGTCGGACGTATATAGAGTGTCGATGCTCTGCAGGAAGCGCGACTCCTTGTTTACGGGGGCGCCCACGTTGTGCTCCATTGCCGACATGCACAGCGCTTGGGCTGACTCTTTGCCGCAAAGCGGACTCTTGTGCATATCGATTGTAACCGATTCCGATTCATCACCCATCTGCGCTGAACAACTTTGTGGTAATCAACTTTTGTTTTTGATCGTTGCTGTCCGCAGATATGTCAGAACCTGCTGCCCTTCCAACAAGTGGTTGGCTTGATTTCGAATCGCAAAATACCCCTTCGACTGAAGGCCTCTGTTGTGCGTTTCTGCATAATCAAGTATCTCAGACCCGATGATATCGACGTGATCCATCGCGGCTCGTTGCTTGGCTCGGAGGGCGGCAATCCGGACAGCTCGATTCGGAAGCTCTCGGGTACTCGGGTCGACCTTTACGGTGATTTTGTGGCGGCCCCTGCGTCGGCAGGAGTGTCGGCCGAGCCATGCACCGTCTTTGGTGCAGTCGAGGATATGATTATCGACGTTGAGCATTTGGCTAGCTCCACGGACGGGTCCGCCGAGTCGGACGAACCCCACTATGTGCTCGACGCCGTCGTGCCGTTTGTGGATGCCCTGTACTCGGGCATTCGGGCCCACGATATGGCGGATGCCTTGCGCCGACAGGCAGAGGCGGTATCGGAGCGACTTTTGCAATCGCTCGCGAAGCTCTACGTCTCTCCTCTTGTCTCACGGGATAAGACGCGTGGCCAAATCAGCGTGGCCATGGTCAAGGTAGCCAACTCTGAATTGACACAGACGCAGCAGGTTGATATCGAGAAGCGCCGTGTCTCGATCGATGCGCCACATCCGTCGACGGCTTCACACAGCTTCGACGACTTGTCTGATGGTGTGGCCACTGATCCACTCGAGCCTGTGTACCGCGAGTTTGCGACCTTTATTCGCTCAAGCCATCAAATTCTAGACAACATGCAGCAGGAATTCGATGACCTGAGCCGTCTGTTCGTCATTGACGACAAGATGGTCATCGAAAGTAGCAGCCTGCACCCGATCAAGTTCCTGATCCAGAACCTGGCCGACAGTGTAGGCGGGCAGAGTAACAATCTGTCCTCATACCTCGCCGAGAGCGCCCACCAGGCGGAGCAGCTGCTGGATTCGTATGCAACCGACGCTGTCGAGGCGGATACCAATATGCAGTATGACGTCAAGAGCTTAAGGATCCTGGAGCACCTGATTCGCATCATCACAGACGAGCAGGACGAAGTCGACTACGCTGATGACTATGTCCGCTGGAGAAAGCTTGAAACAAAGAAAGTCCACGTGCAAAATGCGATCGCGCACTTTGGCGGAGCATTGATGGCCGAGCGGCTCTTGACAAGCGAGAAGGAGAAGATCTCTTCCGGCGCCCTTCGGCTGCTCATCCAGCTCTTGGACGGTGGCAACATCAAAATCCAGAATCTACTGATGTCCTACTGGCTGAGTACCAAGGAGGAGCGATTCTTTTATTACCAGCATCAGAAGATCAAGAGCGAAATCGCAAACCTGCGCAACACACCTCACGAAACGACCACCAAGAGTGCAGGTTTGTTTGTCGTTTCATTATCTGCATACTCGAGCAAAGGCTGCGCCGGGTAGAGCCAAACACCAAGGTTGAGGTCCGCGCGGTGTTACCGAGGCGGAGAGCATGGACGATTGCATTAGCGTGAGGGACAGCGAGTGATTGAGATGCTAACCAGAAAACGATCCTGATTGGCGTGGGTGTGTTGGCTAATTAATCATGCTTTCCAACCTTCCAGGACGCCGCCTTGCACACCAGCGCTCCCAAAGCTTCCACGCTGGGGACAAGCTCCTGAATATGCAAGCCGAGCGGCTTGAGCGCGAGAAATCAAGCCGTGAAGCCGAAGCGCGTCACAGTGACTCGCTGAAGAATGTGATGAGGCTCTTGCAGCTGCTGGTAGAAGGCCATAACATCGAAACCCAGGTACCGATCGAGCAATGCCATCCGATGGTTATGGGCGGTCTATGATCTGTGTGTGGTGCGCATGGTGCGCGAAGCGGTACACCTGCTGCCAAGTGATCCGTCGCATTGAACACGCTGCCTTGTATCTCGCGCGCATTCCAGAACTACATTCGATTCCAGCCGGACAACATCCAGAGCTTCGATCTTGTCAAGGATGTCGTCGATTTCCTGCATGCCTTGATCCCATTTATCGAGCCATCGCTTCTCGATCTTGTTGGTCAAGTCCTCGATACTCTGATTGACTTTGCTCAGGGGAGTACAGCGAACCAAGTGTGTATATTCAATGCCAAGATCATCAGCGCCATCAACGAACTCCTTCGATCACCGTTCGAGCGATGTGAGCTTGTTGCTGTGATCGATATCAAGCGTCGAGCCGTGCTTTGCGCTCACAGCCTTCTCGAAGATGACTCGGATCAAGAAACCTTGGCAATCTTGCAGGAAATGGCCTCGACCTTGAGAATTGATCTCGTAGCCGAGAATCTGTAAGTGGACCTGGTATAGAGCGGGGGCCCTGTCCGTGCGGTTGATGCGATCAGTGTGACCGATGCAGTTCCTACGCTCGATGCTGTACATGTGGTACGACTGGTGAGTTTGGACAGTTGTGGATCCTAGCGAGCTTATGCGCTTTTGGTAACGTGCGCGATCGATACCCAGTCAAGATGTGTATGCCAAGATGAAGATCGAAGAGACAGAAAACCGGCCCGAGTCGGCGCTATGCGAGGCCGCAACCGCTGCTGGGTATCAGTACGCGATGCTCCTGGTTACTGTTGCCTCGTCGCTCGCTGAAGAGCAAAGGGCCAAATACCGCGACACAGAGTGCTTCCGCCACTTTTCCTCCAAGACCAAGCTTGGCAAGATCGAGATTATGAAGAAGGTCAAGGGCGAGGAGAAGCTCCAGTCGGTGAGTTTGATGGCTTTTTCTCCGAAGGACATGTTATGAGTGCCGTGGCCGGTCGGGGGCCGGTGATTCCACGCCTCACTGGGCGATCGGGCTACACTCCAAAGTCATGCGATTCGATGTGTCGCCAAAGTGGCTAACGCTCGAAGTGTCAACCACTTGCACCAGGTTTTATTCCCTATTCCGGACATGTGTCAGTATCTCAGCCAGGATGCCAAAGATACGTTTTTGTGGACCGTGAACCGGTAGGTTCGAGTGGATGGATGGATGAGCGAACTGAAGGAGGTACTGTGTGGGTGGGGCTAGCCGTGGATGCGACTTGATGCACTTGATGCGGAGATGCTGATGCTGTGGTTGCCTTTCCAGGGATACACCTGAGAGTAAAATCGAGGATTTCATGGCCAAGTCGGTTGAACTTGCGTTCCGCATGAAGAATCAGGCCCAAGTAACCGAGAACCCACGTACCTCGTGGATCACCAATAACCACGACTTGTGGTGGTCACTGGCGTTCCGGCTGACTCTGGCATTGAATGTCATTTCGCTGCTGTGCTCAAAGACCCTCGAACAACATCACCAATGGCACTCGCTGCAGGCTTACGACCTCGGGTGCTCTCCGTGGATGTGGTATCTGCGGCGGCTGCTCGGTCTGGCACACATCGCGGCCTGGGTGGGTATCATGTCCATGCACAGCCTGGCTTGGGGCTCGAAGCCGCGGTTAGTTAATCATTTCCGCCCTACACCTGGTCCCTCCAGACGCTTACCACGGCCGAATACACCCTGATCGGGATGCCTCTTGTCCTTCGCAAGTACTTTGAAGAAGCCTCGGCAAAGAGCAGCGACACGGATGGCGAGAGTGCCTATTTGGTATGCAGACTGCAGTCCAGAGCATCCACTCCTCTCGTTCGAGGGGGACATAGCTAGCGAAGGGAGCATAACCGACCGGTCCAGGACCTTACGCGCACGTACAGGTCGTACATATAACCTCTGATGTTATTTGTGGCTCTCTAACGGCACGATCGTTGCATGGTTTCTGCAACCCTTTCACCCATGCTCCAGGCGCTGAATGTCAAGCTTAGAGACCTGATGCTCGGGTTCTTCATCGCACCAGAAGCATCGTACCATCTGCTATCGGTGGTGCTCTCGGTGATGGGACTGCTCTTCCCGCCTATCTATGCGTTCCATCTTCTGGACTTTCTATATCGCGACAGCATCGTACAGGGTGTCGTCAGCTCAGTCACAATGAACCGCAGCTCGCTTGGCAAAACGGTATAGACGACCTGCTTATCTGATTTCATGGTGGCAACAGGCAGCCGAGTTGGCTGCAAAACAGTGCTCTACGTGCTAGCGATGCTGACAATCTATTGACTATGGATAACAACCATACAGGGCATCCTCGGTTTGATCATCATCTTCATATATGGCGTGATTTCATTCATGTTCTTCCGGTCATCGTTCGACCCTGACGAAGGCCACCACTGCGACTCGTTAGTGGCTTGCTTTGTGACGGTCCTCAGCTACGGGTTCGTATCATGCCTCAGTCCTAGAGTGCCTGGGGCTTCGTGCCATCGTGAGCCCTAAGCCGACGTTGGTGAATGTCACTGATTGTTGGTCTGTCTCTATCTGCTCCGCAGCCTCCGTTCCGGTGGCGGCATTGGCGAGATCCTCACGACGGCGGGTCGCGATGACTCAGCCTATGCCACAAGAATGGTTTTAGACATGTCCTTCTTCTTGATCGTGATCGTTTTCCTTCTCAATGTCATATTTGGGTAGGTGGCCGTATTCTGCACACAGCGAAAGTGCCTGACCTCCGGCCACGCTGGCACACGTTTCGATATCCTGAAACACCGATGCTTGCACTTCCGAGTGCGGTGTTGCATAATGGCGCTGCTGTGCAGAGACAGGCGGCTGATCCTTCCCTTCCATTAGTATCATTTTCGACACCTTTGGTCAGATCCGCGACCAGCGCTCGGCGATCCAGCACGATATCAAAAGCACATGCTTTATTTGCTCCATCGAGGCCGTCGAATTCCAGAGACATGGGCGTGGATTCGACCATCACATCCATTACGACCACAACCTGTGGTAAGGCCCCAAGCTGGCCATCGAGCTCTGGCCATCGAACTGACCAATCGAGTTGTGCCCGAGGGTTGGCGTTGCTGAAGCTGACAGTCCTTCTTTCATTCAGGATGTATCTGTTCTTCCTGGTCTACTTGCGCACCAAAGACAAGACCGAGTATACGGCCCAGGAGTCTTTGGTGGACTCCATGATCCAGAAGAGCGACTACAGCTTCTTCCCGATCCATCACGCCCTGGTCCTCAAGTCAGTGGAATCCGACGACATGGATGCGCTGATCGAAACACTCGAAGAGCAGGTCTCGGGTTTGCGGGCCACGCTGGCTCTCTCTACATCCCCCCGATCCGTCGAGACTCTCGCCGAGGCGGCTGAGCCACAAACTGCCGAAAGCCCCAGCCCTGATGTTTGATTGCCGGGCTGTTTGTGGGATTATGGCGTGCCCATTTTGAAACGGGAGAGTCTATTTTGAGTCAGAGTTGTCGTTGATTTCCGGGCCAGAATGCACACCCATCCGTCGTCCATCATGGCCACGTGTGTTCATGGTGCCTGGAGGCCGAGCGGCTCGCACGACTGGCTATCTTGATATCGAGGAATCACAGAGCCGCTCAAAGAATTAAATGCGCATTGTATCTCAAAGATGAGCTCTCCCAAACCACAGCAGGCCGTGGTGGATAGGAAGGGCATTCAGAGATGCCATTGCTCCGTTTCGCTCTGAACAAGCTGTATGAACCGCCGTGTAGCGACGACATGCAGTGCACGCATCTCTCAACAAAAATGGGCATCCATCTGCACGGCTATCATCGAGTACGCGAGCGAGCGTTGCCGACCCGCATTTCGTATATTGCCGAGGGGACCGGTTTGCCAGGGCCCACAAACAGCTATTGTGAGCTGCCTCAGAGTTTGGCACCCATCAACTGAGAGACCTTGATGGACTGTCTCATTCCAAGATCCATCATAATCTCCTCTGATCCTCCAGGAATGGCATAGGCTGGAGCCGCGGAGACGTCGGCGTAAGGGTCAGCCAGTTAGTCAGTTTGCAGATGATGCTTGCATTCACAGTCACTTCCCATGATCAATATCGTGGTGTGGGAAAGCCAGAACTCACCTCGAACTTCACGGTAGAGTCTTTCGACCTTTTCGCCCTGTCCGCCACGGGAATAGGCCAAGCCTCCAAAGATCTGGGCGGCCTCTCGGGCGCAGTATTCGAAGGTCTGTGTGGCTTGAACCTTGAGCAGCGCGATGGGCCCGCCGAGCTTGAGCATTTGCAGCTCGGGTGGCATCCGTGTGGTCTGATAGATCAAGGACTCCATCCAGGCGTGTGTGGCTTCAACCTTGCGAGCCATGTTGGCCAGCTTCTGGCGGATAACTGGATGGTCGACAAGGTTTTTGCTAAGGAAGACATATAGACCGTGAATGAGCAACGTTGCGGAGTTGGTGGGGATGTCGCAGTGCGAGCAGAATCCTTGCTGACTCTGGATTCGGAGCGGTCAGGATATTTGGTCGGAGATGCTCTGAACTGGTTCAATAGCATCGACGTACCCAAATGTCTTGCGCTTATGTCCATACTTCAGGGACTCTTCGAGGCAGACGCGTGAAAAGCGATTGGCTTGGATGGCAATACCCATTCGCTCATGGTTGAAACTGGGCGTGATGATTCGTTTCGGTGAGAGCCTGGACGAGTATGCAAAGCGATGCATCGGCAGCAGCGACTGGACTCACTTGAACATGATGGCCTTGAAACCCTTGTTCTCTCTGCCGATGAGGTTTTCGACAGGCACCTTGACGTCCTCGAACGCAATGTACGAGGTGCCACTGGCCCAGACACCGGAGCACTGCATCTGCCGAGTCGTTACGCCCTTCATCGAGCGCTCGACCAGAAGCAGCGAGATGCCGTTCATGCCCGGCTCTCCGGTTCGGCTGGGAACGCAGATGATCGTCAGCAAAGCGATGCGCGGATGGGTTGGTGCAGGCATCGAGTGGCAGCCGCCGCACGGGCCGTGTTGCTCGCCGGTGTCAGAACACTCACCAGGCAACCGTGAAATAGTCAGCATACACACCATTGGTGATCCACTAGAAGAGAGATGTGGTATCAGTCTGATTCTTTGGCGCAACCAAATCTCCCACGATCCAACGGCCATCCTGCAACACCCACCTTTTTTTCGCCGTTCAGCTGTTGCATGATGGAGACCGAGCACGTGGGTTAGCACTTCCATCTCATTCTCAAAGAGTCGGTACACAGTCAATGGTCGCGCAGCCAGCACCTACAATGTAAAACTTGCCGTCGGGGGTCTTCTTGGCCTCGGTGCGCAGACCGGCGACATCGGAGCCGGCATCTAGATATAAAATGCTAATATGAGCGCCGTTCAGACGAGGCCACCCGTTGAGCCGCCAGGGGCGAGCTCATCTGACAATGATGCGCAAATCACCTACAGGGCTCTGTGATTGCAAGACAGATGAACTTTTTGCCGCTGAGACAATCCGGAACGATTCTTTTCTTGAGCTCGGCGGAGCCAAAGTTCATGACCGGAGGGAGTCCGATACCGAGACCTGATGGGAACGTGTCAGATTGATCGCCATAGGACAGCCGTGGTATCAAAAAACGACTCACGTACCTCCGCAGAGACCCCAAAGAGCACCTCCCGATCCGCAGCGGGCGAGCTCATCGCAAACGATGAACTCATGGAACGCGTTCCACTCGCTGATCGCGATGTCCGCTGGCGGAGGAGACGCAACGTATTCGACCGGCCAGTGTCCACCAGCAACCGCGGGGAGGATGCCAGCCGCACCGGCCTTGAGAAACAGCGAGGCTGGGATTTTCTTTGCCTCGTCCCACTCGTGACAGAAAGGCATCATTTCCTTCTCGACAAAGATGCGAACGAAGCGGCGCAAACGTCGGTGCGAGTCATCGTAATAGGGCGAGTACCAGTCCTGAGATGGATCGCGATCGAAGGTAGGGTGAGATTGGTCAAGAGACACGAGAGTGATCCAGCAGCAAGGAGATCTCATAGTCTTACCTGGTACCAGTACGGGTCACCAAAAGGAACCAGCTCGCCAAAGGGCTCGCCTTCGGTCATGCCTTCGGCGATGCTGGGGGTCGGCTCCTCTGAGGTCGTGGTTGCCTCGCTGTGGGCGCTCACTGCTCCGACGAGGAGCTCGGGGCCAAACTTTTCAAGGACAGCGGCATTGTGGAACTGCTGGAACTGCGTCGTGGCATCGGTACCGGCGACCTTGAGCAATACCTTGCGGCCGCCAGGATGATCGTTGAGAAAGGTGGTAACGTCATACACCTTTCCCTCGACAATGATCCAACAGTCCTTGTCGGTATTGTGGGCAGCGACTTGGTCGGAAGTGAATAGCTTGGACATGGGACGATGACTTACGATGCGGTGGAGATGCAACTGAGATGCGATGGAGGTGCGATGGAGGGAGGCGGACGAGGGAGGTCAATATGGGCGGACTCGCGCCAGCGCCATGAGACAACACGTGAAAGCGACCAGGGCCCGCTGGCCAGCGAGATCATGAGGAGTCAACATGAACAGCCAGCACGAGGAATCCGAGGAGGGTATTCGGTCGCTGAGCCGGGCGCACATGTATTCGGTGCAACCAGCCATTATCAACAGTGGTCACAGTCGCAAAGGCGGCCAGCGTTCAGAATCGATGCAGCACGCTCGCTCTGGAATAAGGGTCGGAAGCGCGGGCCATCTCCGTCTCACTTTGAGTGCTCCGACCGAACGAAACATTTGTGTATTATCCATTTACGTTTACGCAGATCCATTCGCCTGCTTCCCACTCGGCAGTAGTAATCAAATGAGATACGAGAGGAGCGAGTGTTTCCGCTACCATAGATCCACTTTACGAAGCACCGAGGAAGATGTTGTGTCTTAAAGATGAGGTTCATTTGAGTCGGCGGAATCGGTCAAGGTCGGTTTATCTATGAGTTCGCTAGCGAGGGTCGAGGTATCATCGTCGCGCTCGCGGATGACGACAATCTCGTCGAGGTCGGTCTTGGTGTCGGCCTTGGCAGACTCGGAGAAGGTGCCGTCGGCAGTGTCGTTCTTCTTCTGGACAACGACCTTCTTGCCCAGGGCAGGGTCCTCGACTTTGTAGTCACGCAGGGTCTGGGTCTCCGGGTCGGGAACGAGGTCGGTGACGATGCAGACATCGACGGCGGGGGAGACGACATCGGTGCGGGGTCCGCCCCACGAGCGCAGGTACCAGGTTCGGATCGAGTAGATGTTGATGAAGAAGCTGACCCACGGATTCAACAACAGCATGAGCGGGTACATCAGCGCGACCTTGGAGCGCTTGAGAATGATGGCAAAGATCGAGACGAGCATCCAGAAGAACAGCAGGGGTGCGAAAACAAGAAGTATGGCGGTGGGCTCTGGCCTTGCGCCAGCCGCCAGTTGGAAGAAGATGATCAAAAAAACGAATCCAGTTGAACGACATGAAAAGTTTGCTGTCGAATACATCAGCAAGAACGGCGCGCGTCTCCATAATCTAGGGCTCGCCAAATAGTAGACGTCGTTGGCAAAGGCACCGAGCAGCCAGCGGCGGCGCTGCTTGAGGAACTGCTTCCAGGTGGCAGGGGCCTCGGTCTTGGCACGGGCCGTGGGGCAGAATCCGATGGCATAGCTCTTTTCCTGCTCCATCAGAAGATGGGTCAGGTAGCGGTCTTCGCCGAGGTAGTAGCGGTGGTAGTTGAAGATATTCTTGGTGTCGAGCTCGGAGAAGTAGGTCTCGGCGGCGACGGTGAGCTGCTTGAGGCGGATCATGGTCTGAATGGCGGCAAGGCAGCAATGGCGAGACGAGAGCGGTGAGTTTGGCTGCACAAGCAGTGTGCCGATGGCCGGTACAGCAGACAACGTGCCGATGGATGGTGCAGCAGGCAAGGCATTCTTTCGCTTACCAGAGCACCGGGAAGGCAGGTGACGCCACCCAGGCCAGACTCGAGGGCTCGGTTGAAGACCTGGCCGGTCAGATACTCGGCATCTTGGAACCACCACCAGAATTTGGGTTTCTTGGCGAGAACCGACATAAAGCCGGTCATGCCGACGAGCTTGGGGTTCTTGTCGAGGGCGGTGGCAAACTCGACCATGGCGTCCTCGTACAGCACAATGTCCGAGTCGATAAAGAGGATCAAGGTGTTCTCATGTTGCAGGCTAGGATCACAGCGAATCTGGTCAAAGGTGAGGGCCTGGACGTGGCGCTTGCCGCCGTGTGGGAAGCGGTTGACAATAAAGTAGACGCCGCGGTAGATGAGGCGGACCTGGGCACCATAGCCGCCCTCGGGCCGCTCGCCGCCGTGGGTCAGGACCTTCATGAGGGCCAGGAAGAGCTCCGACTCCTCGGAGCTGTCGAAGCTCAGGAAAACGGTAACTTGGGCACAGGGGTACTCGCAGGTGACGATCGAGTTGACGGCCGTGATGAGGGCATCGGGTTCCTCGTTGTAGATGGGCATGACGACGACCATCTTGGGAACTTGCTTGAGCTGGTCGACCTTTTGGCGGGCGTTTTCGAGGACGCTGGGGTCGCCGCGCTTGACGTTGGTCCAGATGCGGTACTTGACGGCATAGATGATGCCGAAGGTGACTGGGGCGATCAGCAGGGTGATGTACATGAACACCAAGCCGACAAAGACCAGTTGGTTGACCCACATGGGGAACTTTGGCAGACCGGCGACGGGGATGAGGACATAGAGGAACGGGAAGTAGCAGAAGCGCAGGACCAGGAACAAGATCGAGGACAAGAAAGGCATGGTCTGCAGGGGACAGGGCGGCAGGGTATTCATGGTCAGCAGACGCGAAGTGTCATGTGCATGTGGCATCAAGTATGTCATGTGCATGTGTTGTGGCATCAAGTATGTGCGTGAACTAAGTGCATGAACTATGTGCATGAAGCAGATGGCAGATAGCATCGGGGGTCGTGGATGCAGATACCGACCTTGTTGAAGAATCCCTCGGACACAATCCCGGCGAGACACATGCCATAGAGGAAGCAGCCGGTGAACATGACGTAATCGAGGAGCGCAATTGAAATCAAGAAGCCCTGAATATAGCGAGCCCAACTGGGTAGCTCCATGGTGCTGTTGCTCATGGAGCCACCAAAGGTATTGATGGTGGTGGAGACATTCTGCTGGGCATCCGTCACGGTGATGGACGAGATCAACAGGGCAACAAGTAGGGCAACACGTAATTGCGACGGCATCGCAGTGTTTATGGATTCGAGGGAGAATTATGGTTGCAAGATATGAAGATATTGGTTGGAAGCAGGGACACCTGTGCAAAATTACAGCGAAGGGGCTCTGGACCTGAAGCTGGCGGTGACGGGTCGCTTGAGATCATTTATAAGGCCCAGGGACAGGCTTCGCGGAGGAGGCTATTGTCGACATGCAGCAAATTTGCACGATGAGATGCTGGGACTGCTCGGCCAGCAGAGAGCATATTGATTGTGTTGGAAGAATCTATGAAAGGGGCGGTGGAACTCGCCTTATCAACAACTATCGCTGGGGCCATCGAGCCCAACGCAAGGAGGCCTGCCCTGGATAGTGATGGACCGCCAGGAATGGGGTCTGCTGCCTCAGTTGCACGGACTTGAGTAGTTCCGTTTGCACAAGGCGCAGAGGAATCGTGCTGTACTCCAACCAGGCACCGCGGCAGGCCAGGCGAATCAAGGGTCCTGCACAGCACGGAGCGAAGGAGCAGACCAAGTCCGATACGCCTCAAGGATGGCGGTGCTCACTCGGGTGTCGTCGGATGCTGCAAGGTTTGGCTGCGGCTCCGCTGGCGAGACAAGTGGCGGGACGTTTGCTGTGCAAGCCGAGGTTCCGCCTCCCGTTTGAATACTGCTGCGACTGAATCGCTCAAGCCAGTCAAGGTCGAGATAACCATCCGGGACAGCCAAATAGCCTGAATGCCTCAAAGCAGCCGCCATGGCCTGAGCTGGGTCTGAAGGCTGCTGCTTATGCATTGGGTGCGGCATGGGACAGGCGCCAATTCAGGCACAACTGGGCAAAGGGCCCACTGTAGCCCGCTCTGGTATCGACGCAGCTCGGGCGACGCCGATCTTGGATGGTGAGAGGACACGGGCAGCCAGTCGAACCGAACGAGCCCCAAGAATCCGCGAGGAGTCGATCTCACCCCGGAGCGGACAATGCGACGGAGCTTTTCGACCTCATGATGGTGAGCGGCTGTTGCGCCTCTGCTGTAATGAGCCAAGCGGAGACGAGAGACAGGCGCATATGGCTGTGTGGACGGATTGTTGAGGGCCTCCAAGTTCTGGCTGCAAAGCCCAAGAATATGATGCAGTCGCAGCATTCCGGGATCAGGAACAGCTTGGATGTGGGACGATGCCAGTGGGCATCTGTCTTGACGGAAGCGACCCAGAGATCATCAGAAGCCCCCGACGCCCTCCAGGTGCGCTGTGTCGATCGATTCGATCGATTGGCAATCATTGTCCAAGATCGATTGTGGTTGTGGGCAGATCTGATCCATACCATCCGAGACGCCTACAAAGAAGACAAGCTGGCGATGCAGCTATAACCGCACCATCCACCGCACCTCCATCAATCGCACATCCCCATCCACCACACGATGTCAACCACGTAGTCAACCACGTAGTCAACCACACTCCGTCGACCGCTCTTCCGCCGGGTGAACGGGATTGGCGTGATTGGCGGCGAGCCGGGCTTGACACTCCACCTCGCCTTTGTTCCCTCGGCAGCCACGAGATCCGACCGTTCGACCAGCCCCGCCTCTCAGCATTTGAGCCAACCACCCTGGTCGACCTTCTTCTGCCCATCCCTGCCCATCTGTCCAGCGTCCATCCGGCAGCTAGGCTTCTTCGCTACCATGTCCGCCTCCCCTGTTTATGTCGCCATCATCAACAACAACCTCCCGAGCCAGTCGATCCTGATCGACGTTGGCTCCGAGGGCGTTGCTCCTCCCACCTTCCCACACCAGGCCCAAGCTCAAGCCCAAACCCAAGGCGAAAAGCCCGCTTTGGGGTACTCTGGCGCACGCATCTTCCACGATCTCACCTCGCTCTTGCAGTGCATCGAGACCGAGTTTGGCATCGCAAACCCGCGCTTGACGCCCTATCCCGTTGACCCGAGCCTGCTGCTCAAGTCTGCCCTCAAGGATCAAGCCGACCGGGTCTCTGATCTCAAGGCCAGCAACCTCTGGTTTGCCAGCGGATCTCCTGGTCGCCACCAGCTGCCCCTGCCTCCGGGTGTGTATCGCTCACCCTCTCTGCCTCCTGTCCGCATTCTGTCTCCGTCCTGCCCGAACTCTGCCCATATCTGCTTCCGACGCGTGTGTCGTGGGAAGGCTGCAATGACTCGCCACCCCCTCCCAGCAGCTTTCAGCCCCTGTGCGAACTAGATCGCCGATCTGGATGGTGATTGATACTCGGATGTGGGTCTGGATTTGCTCAGCACTAACTTGCATTTCACGGATTTTCGCAGGACCCCCTCCCAAGCCGATCCTTGGTAAACTTCTTGCCTGCTCGTCGGCTTCATGTCGCACCTTCTGGTTGATATTCTAGCGGCCATCTGCTCAAGCTTCAATCTCACACCACACATCTCCTCTCTTCTTTTCAGGCAATGTGCTGGACCTGCTTCCAATTCCTATTTTGGCCATGATCGATCTGAACCATGTTAGTATGCCGAGGCTGCTCGGTCCTTGGCGCAATCACATAGACTAGCTTGAGGGCGACAGTTATTTGTTTCTTGCTCTTTGGCCGCAGTACCAAACTGCATGTGGCAGTATTCAAAGCCTTGTCCTGTTCCAGTGATCTGGTCGAGCTGGCTGTCGGTACCAGTGCCGATGCTCCCGTCCGACCACGAAGCACTGATCTATCATATCATATGCCGATGACGCCGCCGCATCGAGAGTTTGCTAATGACGCCAATGCATGCTGCTTGCCTCCGACAGAAATACGGCCACTTTTTTCCCGTTTCTCTGGGTCCTCGTCCCGCCGTCGTGGTTTCCGATCCCTACTTGATCGAGGAGATCATGAAACAGGAGGATTGCTTTGGCAAGTTCACCAACGCCGGCCCCCTTCATTATCTCAAACCGATCGCCGGCAACGGCTTGTTTACCGCCAATGACGACGACCCGGTTTGGGGCATGGCCCACCGTATCTTGATTCCGGCGTTCTCTGTCAAATCGCTGAGCTCATCTATTCCGCTTATGAACCAGCAGACCAAGTTGCTGGTCGAAGCCTTCCGCACCCGTTTCCTTGAGAAGGACGAGACCTTTGATATCTCCGAGTGGATGTCCAAAGGTACGTATCGTGCATCCGCCGTATCTGGTGCATCGCTCCGAGACTGTGAAAATTGTGTCCATATGACGGAGCAAGGCCGCTGTGATGGCGATATCGGTCGCTGGTGATGGTCATTCAGAATGCTAACGCCACCGCTGCCGCTGCAGTTACCTTGGACATTGTCTCTCTCTTTGGCTTCTCGTACGAGCTCAACTCCATCTCCAGTGCCGAGGAGCACCCCTTCGTAAGTCACCACCCGTTCGTTCTGGACCTGTGTATTCTCGAACGAGTGCACCGGCATCCTCCATGGGATCACTTGCATACCGACTGGAATCCAACCACTCCTGAATCTCTCACCTGCCATGGATGCTCTTACCCAGGTTAAGCACATGGTCTTCCTGTTTGAGTATGCGATGGGAAAAAACAAGCTCGGTCCGCTCTCGGGTATTGCCGAAAGGATCAACTGGCTCACTGGTTGTAGCAAGGAGCAGAAGGTTCAAGAGGCCGTCACCTTCATCATGTCAACCGTCAACGAGGTGATCAAGGAGCACCAGGCCGATACCGACAAGTACTCGGATATGTGCTCGCGCATGCTCAAGATTCAGGACCCAGAAACCGGTGTCAAGCTCTCTCCGGAGAACATTGCCTTCCAGATCGTCACTTTTATGATTGCCGGTACGTGCTTTTCGTGATCTCTGCTATGGCCCCGAATAGGTCACAGCAGTTCTCACTCACTCACTCACTCACTCACTCACTCACTCACTCACTCTTACTCACTCACTCACTCACTCACTCACTCACTCTTACTCACTCACTCACTAGGTCATGAAACCACATCCAGTCTGCTGACTTGGACTATCTACATGATCGCCACCCATCCCGAGGTTGAGCAAAAGCTCCGCTATGAAATCGAGACTGTGTTTGCCAAGGGCAATGGCAACATTGACGAGAAGTCTGTCGGCGAGCTCAAGTACACCCTTGCCGTTCTCAAGGAGACACTGCGTCTGTACCCTTCAGCTCCTGGTATGTCCCTACATTGCGTCGCTCGTGCAATCATATGAGCAAGACAGTTTTGGTTGCGACAGATACGTCGATCAAGATACTGCTTGGCGGTGCGGTTATATGTGCAACTGATAAAATTGGCTTTGCCACGTTAGCCTTTGCCAAACAATGCACTCGAGACACATTTGTCGGACCCTACTTGATCAAGAGTAAGTTCGTGTGGCTGCATCACCACTAGGTCCATATCGCATTCGCCCATGGCTCACTGGCTTGTACCAGAATGGAGTTTTCCTTGTGACTAACAAGGTTATCTCACCCGATCCGTGCAGAGGGGACAACTGTTCTCTTCCATGCCATCAACACCCACCGCAACGCGGCTGTCTGGGGCGCCAATCCCGAGGTGTTCAACCCCGACAACTTCCTGCCCCAGAACGAGTCCAAGCGTCCTCAGTACTCGTACATTCCCTTTGGAACTGGGTAAGTACCTCGCAGTAGTTCCGCTCCCACCTTGGTACCTCAGTGTGTCTATTAGTCATGCCTGTGTGGATGTGCAGGGTGTGCAGGAATGCAAGACGTGAATTGCTGAGGCTGGGCTGCCTAATCGATAGAGCAACTGGTTGGTTGAGTAGATCTCTGACTGGGCGAGCAAGGTGTGTTGGCAACTGGCTCAATGGCGCACCTGCTGATTGATCCACATCGCCATGCTCGCTCTCTTGCCACTCCAGTCCTCGTGCCTGCATTGGCTCTCAATTCGCCCTGATCGAAGCCAGAATTGTGATTGCCCATCTCCTGCACAACTTCAAGTTCACGATTTCCGATGACGCCGAGCCTGTCCTTCAGGTCAAGCTGGCCCTTCGTCCTCATGGAATTCGCGTCCACCTCAGCGAGCCCGGACCTATCGACCTCACCAAGGCCCCTGCTCCTGCCAGTGCCCCGGCTCCTTCTCCCAAAGTTACTCTGGATCTGGATACTGCCAAACCCGCCAGCTCCAACCGCAGCTTTGTTATCCAATCCGAGGCCGATCGACTCGATGTTGGCGAGGTCCTCGTGCTGTTCGGCACCAACATGGGCACCAGCGAGGACGTAAGTTGTCCCCTTGCTTGCTCTGTGATCTGCGGTACAACGATATGCGTATGCCAAGTGTCTGACTGCCTCCTGTCCCAGGTCGCCCGCAACATTGCCGACTCGGCCGTCAAGCTGGGCTTCAAGCCCACTGTCGCTTCTCTCGATACCTATGCCAACGAGAAGCTCTTTGGCTTCAAGTTTGTCATCGTCGCGACCTCGACCTACAACGGTAAGCCGCCGTTCCCCGGCCCATCCTGTCGGTATCTCCCAGAGACAGCTAATCACAGCTCTGTGACCCTCCGGTGCCCCCAGGCAACCCACCCGACAATGCCAAAAAGTTTGCCAAGTGGATTTCTGCCCAGGGACAGAGTTCCCTCAAGGACACCATCTTTGCCATCTATGGCGTTGGAAACAAGCAGTGGAAGACCTACCAGGACTTTCCTCGTTTTGTCGAGACCTCCCTCGTCAACCTTGGCGCCACTCCTCTCCTGGAGCGCGGTGCCGGCGATGTGGTATGTGGTTGGCTTATGGGGTGCAACTCGGCTGTGCGGGTATCGACAGTCCTTTGTTGATGGCACACCGATAGATGCTGCATCGTGACAGTCATCCACGATGGGCATCTGACGAGCGACATACCCCTGATTGCTCTCGCACCCATTCTCTGTCTCTCGCGCAGGATGGCGACTTTGACACCGACACGCTCAAGTGGACCAGCCTCTTCTGGGCCAGCGTTGCCTACACCTTCAAGATCTCTGGATCAGATGTCAGCAACGTCGTTGATCCCTCGCCCGCCTCCAACAGCATCGAAGTCACCTGGGCTGGCAAAGCCACCGATGCGTTCCTGCAGAACTTCCAAAAGTCCGGCCTTGCCGTCAGCAACCGATTGGGCCGCTTCCGATACATTGTCAAGAGCAAGACCCTGCTTACCAAACCCGGCGCCGTCAAGGATGCTTGGTCGATCGTGTTGGAGGTGAGTATGGATAACAGGCAATGCAGCAGATATGTTGACGACGGTGATCCATGGCCCAACGCACCCCCACGATGAACGATGGTGAGTCTGATTCTGACCACTGACAATGGCGCAATCGCTGCATACAGATTCCCGCCTCCGAAACCAACAAGTACACTGCCGGTGACCACTTTGAGGTGTATCCCCGCAACACCGAGGAGGATGTTCGCAGAATCCTGCCCAGTCTGGACTTGGCCGGCCACGGCATCGACGAGATCGTCAAGCTGTCCAACACCAACTCGATTGCCAAGCGCGAGCTGCAGATCTTTGACACTGAGATCCCCCTTCGCTACGTTTTCAACGGCGTCGACATTCGAACTGCCCCGACTCGCAACTTCCTCAAGTTCCTGTCGGGCTGCACCGAGTGTCCCCCCGAGAAGAACGCCCTCCTGCTGCTCGCCGGCACGGACGAGGCCTCGCTCCGAGCCTACACCGAGCAGATTGCCAAGACCAAGGCCTCCATCGCCGACGTGATCGAGCGCTTCAAGAGCCTTCGCATCCCTCTTGGCCAGTTCCTCGAGGTGGGTCCCTCACGAACCATGTTGAACTGAGTTGAGCACAGACTGCGATCCAAAGCAGTGGCCAAGCAGTGGCCCAGAGCAGATGCAGCAACGTCTGGGTGATAGCTGTCGACGATGGCTGGTGCTGGCTGCCAATACTGACCACTGACCACTGTGCGAATATTCCAGAATGTTCCTCTCCAGAAGCCCAGACTGTACAGCATCGCATCGAGCAACCTCATCACCCCAACCACGGTCGAGCTCTGCATCGGCGTGCTGAACGAGGAGCACCACGACCTGAAGGGCCAGTCTGTGGTGTACAAGGGCCTGTCTTCCAACTTCCTCGCTGGACTCGAGGTCGGCGGCCCTCTCCTTGGCCACATTCGTCCTCACGGCTCGGCGTTCAAGCTGCCCGAGGATCCCAAGGCTCCCATTGTCCTGGTCTGCGCCGGCACTGGTACGACTTGTCTGGGAGACACGCAACGAGGACGGGGTGATCAGATGGAGCGATCGGATAGAGTAGTGGTGTCTTGGGTGGGTGAGGATGTGTCCGGTGTGCTTGTGGGTTGTCGGATTTGACATGCCCTGCCAAGCAGGATGGCTGTGGACCAAACTGAGAATCGCGCCTCCTGAGTGATTCGGCACCACCGACCAGATCAAATCACTGACTGCCGCTGTTCCTCCCAGGCTTTGCCCCCATGCGGTCCTTCCTCGAGGAGCGCAAGGGCCTCAAGCAGAAAGGCGTCGAGCTCGGCGAGGCCACCCTCATCTTTGGCTGCCGCCATCCCGACCAGGACGCCCTCTACTCGAGCGAGCTGCAGGCCCACCTCGAGTCGGGCGTGCTGACCCGCCTCGAGTACGCCTTCTCTCGCTTCGGCGGCCAGAAGGAGTACGTCCAGACGCTGATCGTCAACAAGACCGATCTGGCCGAGCAGCTCTGGACCGGCATCAGCTCGCGCGGAGCCCATATCCTCCTCTGCGGCAGCACTGCTCTGGGCACGGCCGTCCGCGAGAGCTTCGTCAAGATTGTCGAGCGCTTCGATGGCCGCGGCAAGGAACGAGCCGAGCAGTACATTGCTGCCCTGGCCGAGGCTGGCCGCTACGTCGTCGATGTCTGGGGCTAACCGCACCGCATCCAGCAAGCCAGTTTGCCCGACACGAGCGCCTTGACGGAGTGTGCCCTTGAGCTGCTCTTGAGAAAGCCAGCGAACTAGTCCTCGTCTCTCTTTGCTATCCTTCAATTTCACTTTGCCGGGTTTGATTTGTTGTTTGGTGACATATGTTCCGTTGCTTCTCGGTTGGCGAGTGCCTTGCTCAGAAACGGCCAATGCGCTCTTGAGGAATAACCACTGGCACTTGCGCAACATGCTCTGTCCTTTCGCTTTTCTTTCCAGAAGAAATCTCAACTCCCTCGTGGGATTGGCTGAGATAATACATTTCTACTTGATCAACAGCCGCAGTGTTCTCCAGAGAGTGTCAGGAATCAAGGCGTGCGACAACATCACTGGCCATAGCCGGCCGAGCATTCGCTGTCGAGCCATTCGATGCCACTCTCGGTTGATCAAGATCAGCGATTTTAATGGGCAGCACGGTGTTCTATATTGGCTGAATTGAATGTATTGAGCGTCAAACACAATTCCATTCAGCTATCGCCGCTTCGCGAGTGTCACGCTGAAGGTTCATTGGATGTGGACATTCGGGCGCTTGCAATGGATGAAACGCTTCACTTGCTTGTTTGTTCGATAGCAGCACATGGACTGCAGATTAGCGTACATTTTCAAGCTCTCTGAGTGAGATGGCGGGGATATCAAAGTCTTGGTCGGCTGCCTTGCGGTACCAGTATTTTGCCTTGTCGATGTCGCTCTTGACGCCAAATCCATTCTTGTAACAGTAGCCGAGTTGCCACTGTCCATATCGGTTGCCCCGCTTGGCGGACCTGCGGTACCACTTGGCTGCCTTTTCGTAGTTCGTGGTGACTCCGTATCCGTAATGATAGCACTGGCCGGCCATCCACGGTGCATACGAGTTCCCCAGGTCGGCTGCCTTGCGGAACCACCGAATTGCCCTTGAGTAACTTTTCCGTGCGCCCCAGCCATACCGATAGCACATCCCCAGCCTGAACTGGCTGTCGCCATGGCCTTCGTTGGCAAGCTGCTCAAAGATGCACGCAGCCATCTCTGCGTTCGCTGCCGTTCCGAATCCGTTGATCAAACACACGGCCGCCAGATGCTTGCAGAGCCAGTCTCGCTCCGATCCCAGCTGGCACAACCGATAAAACTTGTGCGATGCGGGTGATCTGCAGGGGATTATGTACCATCCGGCAAGACCACTATCCTCTCCGAGCGGGAATTCCTTGGACTTGCTATCGCGGACGATCTTGATTCCCTTCTGCTCGTCTCGTTCGGTACCCCGGCCAAGGTAATGCATCCATCCGACCATGTGGGTGGCGATGGTCTTGATGACTGGGTTGGTGGACTGGGTGCTGACTTCCTGCCAGTGATTGAAGGCAACTTCATCGCTCTGCTCGACACCAAGGCCGATGAATGAGAACCACCCACGGAGGAACACGATATGGAGTCGACCATCTTCGCAGCCTTGGTCTGCGGCCCGACTGTACCATTCGATGGCTGTGCTGAAATCTTGTTCGACACCTTCGCCAGCCTCATAGCATTCACCGAGGGCGATCTGAGCCTGTGCGAATCCACGCTCAGCAAGATTGCGATAGAGCCCGGTGGCCTTGGTGTGGTCTTGGTCGACACCGCGGCCGTAGACGTGACACTCGGCCAGATAGAACTGCGCCATGGGATGATCGGCTTTGGCCGCTGCTTCGAGGAGGTGGAAGATTTGCTGCTGTTTGGCGACCCGCTCGGCGTCGACCGCAACTCTGTTGCCGACATCGCTTTGGAAAACCCGGGCCAGGAGATATGAGGCCGATGCGTTTCCTTGGTCTGCTTGATCGATGAGCCAGGATCGATCGGCTTCAGCCTGATCCTTGCAGTGAAGCGAGAGGGAGATCTGGTCGCTCGGGGTGAGGACGATTCGGGGTGATCTGTCAGGACGACACAGGCCTGCCTTCCTGCACCAGCTGTGTAAACGAGCCACCTTGGAGCTCAGGAGAGGATGGGCTCGTTTGCACACCCGCAGGAGGGTCTTGATGGTGGCCAGGTCGAGGGCAAGCTGGAAGCACTCGTTGCAGCAGACGATGGTGAAGATGTCTGGGCTGTGGTCGTTGGTGGCCAGTCGAGCCATGTCTGAGGAGATACGGACACTGGCAGCCATGATGCGTCGATGTGGGTATGAGATGCGAGGATGAAAGGCCAAGCCGGCCCAAGCAAAGTGACAAAGTCAAGGAATCGAAATGGTGGCGGAGCCGGGGCACATGATCATGGTGTGCAGGTCAATCACAGAGACCGAGTGTCGAACTGGCTTGGATGTTGGTCGCATCGATTGAATTTGGCTCGTTGAGCGGAGGCTGCAAAGACAATAGCCCATAGCCCGTATGTAGGCGTAGTATGAGATGGACCAAGCCACAAGAAATAGACCGGATCACTTTGGCGGCCTCTGAGTGAAGACACTGGGCCGCTCTCGGGTCTCCTCCATCATCTCCATTCGCCCTCGCAGAGTCCACTTTCCTCTCATCCTCCAAAAGCTTCGCCCCACCCCTTTAGCCGTCCCTCTCCTTCGTCGTCTACATGGCCAGCAGCAGCACTTCTGATACGACCGGGCCAGCCCTCATGTATCCCGACATCTCAGATGTTTCAAGATCACCGTGGTCGCCAGGCTCTGGCATGAACGAGATCACGGTCTTGTTCACCATGGGAATAGCGGGGAGTTGTGTGGGAGAGAACCGGATGCTCGACAGCAGCCAGAGGCGTGCAAAGTTGTCTCCATAACCATCCAACACCTGAATGTGAGCCTCTATACTGACGATCTTGCGGAAGAATATCATCACCGCATCAGGAGCAACAATCGTTAAGAGCCTCTGCCATCGATGTCGCGAATATTCCCCCCCTTTCTACCTACGCTAGTTTTGCGATGCCGCTTTTGGATCGTGGAGCCCAGTTTCCGTGCTTGCAAGACAGACCGAGTCACTGTCCTCGATGCCGCTCTTGTTCTTAAAGCCCCCCTTCGGCGGATTCCTGGTCCGTCTGCAGAGATTTGTTGCTGCCCACGACATGGACATGTGGTGGCTCGTTATCGGCCTTTGAGCCACCGGCTTCGTCGGCTCCTCCATCGAGAGACGAGACCGTCTCGCTTCGGCCCAGCTCCACCTGGATTTCCTCGAGCTGTGACTTGGCTGACTCTGTGTCGGGATGATTAGGAACTGAGGCACACAATATAGACACGGCTTCCTCGAGATGCCCTTGTGCTTTGCGATAGCGGAGGCTTGAGATATCGATCTCGGCGAGCCCACTCAAGCATCTTGCGATGAGGGGATGCGTGCGGGATTCAATCAGCCCCTGAGCCTGGGCCATCGAGTTCGCATACAATCGTGTAGCATCATCGATCTGACCCTGCGTGCGCTTCAGGTCACCGAGGGCGCAGAGCGTGTATGAGCCCCCGAGACTCAGCTTCAGGTCCGAGAGGCCGGTGAAAGTCTCGTGGGATTCGTTCAGGTATGCTGCGGCTTCGTCGAGGTGTCCGAGTTTGAGAGAGCTTTCGCCACACCCACGCAGAAAATCGGCAGCATCTTCACCTGCCTGACTTGCCATGGTTCTGTCAATGATGGCGAGGGCTTCTTGGTGGCTCGATAGAGCCCGATCGAAATCGCCAGCGACGTGGAAAAGCCAGCCGAATTCGTGCAGAACCTGAGCAATATCCCGATGATCGCTTGTGCCATGCAGGCCAACATAGATATCCCGAGCTTGCTGCAGTTGCTCCCATGCATCGCCTCTGTGGTCAAGGCATCGCAGCACGATTCCCATATTGTGATGTGCTCTCGCAATCAGCAGGGCAGGAGCTTGCGCCGTGATGAGGATAGAGAGCACTTGTTTGGAAAGATCATATGCAATTTGGAACTTTCCCTTGAGGGCCGCTACCGACGCCATTCCGGCCAGAGAGGATGCAACACTCAATGGCTCCTTCTTGGGGTGAATATGCATCCCGACGTCGACAGCATCGGGGGATGGATCGGGCGACACAGTGCGGATCACGCTTCCATACAGGTCGCCGGACTTGATGAGAGCGCTCGAGCTAAAGAAACAGTCGCTTCCGGGAGGGGACCGAATGAACATCTCGAGGGCCTCGCTGAAGTATCGCATCACGTCTTTGCGAAGCGACAGGCTTGCCGCCGCTGTACCCATGAATCCGTATATGATGGCAATGTCTTGTCTTTCACGAGTTCCACACACCTCTTCCAGAGTGTCGATTGCATCTTGGAAATGTGTCAGCGACTTTTCTGACTGACCAAGATCGAGCATTGCCAAAGCCATCATGTATGACATTTGCCCAGCATCGAGGTGCTTCGCGGAGCCATGTGCGTTCTGGCACTGTTCGAGCGAAAAGCCGAAATTTACGACTGCAGCCCCGTGATTGCCAGCATCGCAGGCCTTCACGGCATCGGAATACACACGATAGTAAAGATCGCGCTGCTGAGCGAACTTGGCGTCTCGTTCGCGCTTCTTCAGCTCGTCGAGCTTTCTCTGGGTCTTGACGACCGCAGGATCGTCCGTTCCGACATGAATCTTCAGACGGACTCGCAAGGCCATTTCAAGCTTATCGATGGCCTGATGCAAGTCTCCCTTACGGTCGAACGTCCTGGAGACGTCTTCAAGAGTGTCAGCACAATCAGGGTGATCGTATGTGTGATGAATGATTGTGAACATGTTCAAGAGCTCGAGATGGTGCTTGCAAGCTTCATCGACCCAATCCAAACGGTCTGCGGCGCTTGCAAGCATCTTGACAATCTCTCGAACCTCGGCCGTGCGTCCTACAGGGTCAAACTCGACGGCGATATCCCGCGCCTCTCGGAGGTGGCGGAAGGCATCGCTGTATTGTCCTTGCGAAAAGTTGATGTTGCCGATGTGGGCAAGCAAGTGTGCGACGCTCTGATCTCTTCGGGTTCCAAGCAGTTCGGTAGTGAGATCAAGAGATTCTTGAAGGAGTGGCAAGGCATCATCCAGGCGATCTTGGGAGGCAGCGATTGCTCCGAGGCGATGCAACATGAGGGCAATAGACGGGTCTCTGCGGGTTTGATGGACTCTTTCTGCTATTGCGCAAGCTTCGATGTAATATTCTTGGGCGGAGGCAATGCGCCCCTCGAATCTTGCAATATCTCCAAGCGAGTGGTATATCGTAGCAATATCGATGTGTTCTTTTGTGCCATGGGTGCGAAGAGCACGCTTGAGCGACGCCTGATAAAAGTAAATGGCTTTGGAGAACTGCATCCTCGCCTGAGCCAGCTGGGCCGCGCTGAGCTCGATCTGATAATGCAAAACCTGTCCGTAGGCGTCTCCATGGTCGCTCTCGGCAAAGAAATCCAGCTGCTTGCTCCAGACGGTCCCTCTGTAATCCACTAGGGGCGAAACATGGGGAGGATCGTAAGGGCAGGAGGCGGAGGGGTCTTTGGTTTCGTTCCCCAGTGCAATCGCCGCATTGGAGAGGGAGAGGAGGGCGCGACCGGTGGCACCCCTGATTGCTTCACCATCGATTTCTGGATGTTCGTCGATGAAGCGCCACACGAGAGCTCCGATAGCATCATGGATGAAGCAATGGTTGCTCATTGTAAGTTTCAACAGTCCATTGGAAGAGATGACTTGGATCAGACTCGATCCTATATATGAGAACGAAAACACACACGAGAGGGATACGAAATGAATCAGATCGAATGCGAGACTGTGGGCCAGCCATGAGCCTTGGTGACGGTGGACGAATCTAGAAAACAGCTCACCATCGGACGATATGTCCACTGTCTTTATGATTTCCTCGGTCAAAAGAGAGGGAATCGCATCAGGACCGACCAAGCAAAGAGCTCCAAATAGGCGACAGGCTGCAACACCTTCGTCGCCTTTCTTCATGAAGGCGGCCATGGACATGTTGACGATGGTCTTGAGCGACGAAGGAATCGGGTCCTGCGGATCATGCTCCGCCAGGGTCTTGGCAAAGTCTGCCTCGAGCTCCTCAATCGAAAATCCATGATAGTTCCACACAAGTGGAAGAACCTGGGCAGCAAGAGGGTGGCCGTTGATGTACTCAACGATGCGCATCGCGGGGGGTCGCCAGCCTTGTGTTTTGTACATGATTTCCGCCAAGTAGGTGAGGTTAAACACATACTGCAGCGACGCCCACAGAGACCAAGGCTGGAGGGGGATGATGGTCTGCCGAGTATCACTGAGCTTGTTGCCCAGATCCGTCAGGAAGGAGTCATCACTTTCGGCCGTTCGCTCGGTCGTTGCAACGACATCACCACCGAAACCAGCAACGGCCGCTCCCTGAAAGAGCGAATCCAGCACAGACATATCGTTGACGTCGTCGAGGATGAGGAGATAGGACTTGTTTTCAGCAAAGAAGCGGGAGGCGTATTCCTTGACCGTTTTCGGGTCCACTTTTGGGAATATGGCGACCAGGGAATCGAGGGCCGTCCATTCGGTCGCACAGCGGATCCAGAAGAGTCGGGAGTATTGCGGGCTCGTGCAGCCCGTTGACTGTTTGAAGTCATAAAGTTCGGAGCGGTTGTGGGTGAGGAGTGTGCCCATCAGGAGGTGCAGGAATTGTCGAACCAAAACCGTCTTCCCCATGCCACTATTGCCAGAAACGATTGCGCGGCCGGTCCGGGTGATTCGCTTCAAGAGCTCATCGAGGTTGGATATCTCGACCCGGAGAGAGCAGTCGCTGCAATGTTCTAGATAGAGGCTTCGGCTGGTTTCTGGATCCGGATTGATACAGCCAAAGATCTTGGAGATGAAGTAGATAGCACGGTGGGGTCGATCGCGGCGGTATCTGAGTCTTTCGACTTGGCCGAGGGCATGAAAGACAGCCCCGAGCTGGTCGTGCAAAGGGTTGGTGGCATCCAGAAGGGGTTGGAGCTTCAGCTCTGTATGTGCTGGTTGACTGATATCGAAATTGACACAGTCAACGGTCAGGAGAATGAGCGACAGCTCTTTGTTTTCGCTCTTGAGGTCAGTGACAGTCTTGATGAGATGGAGGAATTTGTCGTCAGTACCGATTACGGCCTTCTCCTTCATGATCGTAATGGCCTCCAAACTGAGAAGAATGACGATGCACTGGCATCTGGACAGGGCGTCGATCCAGGCGTTTGGTTGAGATTCATGGATAGAAACACACTCAGGGGTGAGGAAGGTCAGGGGCTGACGACTGAAGCGACGAGAGGCCGTAGAAATAAGCAAGCGTTCGATTTCCTTTGCGGACGAAGCGTCGGTCCCACATCCAGAGGCAATGAAGACATCGTGGCGAGCACCATGGACATTGCAAGCAAATGCTGTGGGGCTATTGTGCTGGGCACTGAGTTGCGGCTCGGTCGGGCCAGCGCCGCGGTGCAAGACGTCCATCGGCGGATTGCTCGAGTCCACGCTGGGTGCAGAGAGGGGCAAGGATTGCAGATGCGGGCGACAAACGGTGGTGGGAGATGAAGAAGAAGCTTCACGGTCATGTGAGAATCACTTCTCTGCGCCACAAGCAGTCCGAGGATACAGGCCCACGACAAACGGAGTAATCGCTGCCAATGCACCAAGGCAGCAGAGACGGGCCCACCTTGACAGCGAGTGCGGCGATCTTGAGGAACGAAGTAGTTGAAAGGAGCGGGTCATGCTCCATGTATTTGCGTTATGCGGAGCCGGATATATCGCCAGGTCTCTTAATCCACTCACGATCCCACATAAGTTGGAGTTGGAGGACGCCACGTACTGCGGATGTGCGTGAGTAGTCAGATGGCATGGCTCGACTGACGCATGTCTGATTTGGATGCATTGGAGTACTGCCTCGCTTGGGGGACAGGATGTGCACTCAGGTTTGGTTTCAGCTGATGATGGCGATGGCCATTGGCGACAGCGAGGATGATAATGGAGTGAGAAGATGTATTCTCAGACAATCTGGTGGGAAGACACCATCATGAATTGCTGGACCAGCGAGCCACGACTGACGAGACAAAGATCGTCAAGATAAACAACAGGGATCAGACTGGCGTGAAGGAGTGAATGGAACACAACACGAGTGGGCAGGATATGGCTGGGAATGTGACAACAATCAGACGATGCGAGTGGCAGCGAGGGCCAGAACAGGGTTGTTCAATCGATTGATGCCTAACAATCTCGGTGCATAATGGAATGCCATTCGCCGTGGCTGTAGATGGTGTCTGTGCAGTGGTGTTGGTGTGGAGAGCCTGGATGAAGTGCAGTGAGATGGATCAAGGCTGTGGCAGATGGGAGATACTGGCGTGAGCGAGTGGATGATGATCGATGAGAGACGGAGGAACGAAGGATTAGGCAGACAACAAGAGTAGGAATGTGAATACAGCAGTGGAGTGAGTGTGGCAATCAAAATGGATGGGAACATGGATGGAATGGAGTGAAAACAGAGAAGGGAAGCAAAAAATGCTCCGCACAGGGATCGAACCTGTGACCTTGGCGTTATTAGCACCACGCTCTAACCAACTGAGCTAGCGGAGCGAGAGAATGGTTTCGTCCGGGATCGAACCGGAGACCTTGAGTGTGTTAGACTCACGTGATAACCAACTACACCACGAAACCCCATGACTTCCAATTACACCGGCTCACTCTATGAAACGGTGCATCCCTGTTTCGATCATCGAATGTTCCATCAACGGGCTCGACCACAGAGTGACCCAGGATTCCATGCATCCCACGCTCCCACACACGCCGCGGGACTGACCGCACGGATGCCAGTGATATCAGTCGCTCAAGCCCGAAGAATGTTCCTCTGGCGGGTCGGAGGTTTCCCTCCCAAACCTGACGGAGCGTGCAGAAAGCCTGGACCCAATGGTCCCAAAATTCCCGTGAACAGGAAACATGCGTCGGAATGTGTCCGAGCCAAGAACCGTCTCGAGCAGTATGTACACCCTGCGAGGATCCCCGAAGGCATCACGTACATCGACCTTGCAATCGACGCACTCCCCAAACTGGCTCGAGTGCCCGCAAGACCAGTCACCATCGACCAGGAAAACTGAGCAAATGGCGAGCCAAACGCGAACGAATCCTCAACAACAGACCAGAGATCTGGCTGGATGTCGTGGCGGTGTTGGATGACAACGCAACTGAATGTCTGTCGTGGACGCCAATCCCTCGGATACGCCACGCACGACAGTAGGAGCCTGAGGAAGTAATGCCACAGGCATACATCAGCACAAGTCTGGACATGGAAGTCGGAGCTGCAGATTCCAAACTGTCACTGGATGGATGAGTTCGGCAAAACTTGACATCGCCGCAGTGACGATTGTAAAATGTCCTGGTTGGCAAAACCAACACCCAGTGCCAGAGCCCGCCAGCGATACCAGGGGCCAGAAATGGACATTGGTGGAGGCGTGGAGAGCTGGTGGTTTTCTGCCTGCTTTCTCTGGTACCATATAGCGACGGGGTGGTCTGGGTTGTTCTCGTTCTTTCCAACAGTTGCAGTTCCAGAACGAGGATCGAGTGTGGTGGTCGAGTTGCTGTTGTCGAGTCATTCTATATTGCTTTCAGTCGATCAACATCAGTGATGGATATGGGACAGCACTGCTTTGTTTAGTCGATGTAATAGATGTATTTACTGTCGAATATACTGTGGGACACTGGTGGCTGGGACGGATGATGGCAGTGCGGTTTGCTTGGCTGTTCTGCTTCAATGTTCAGAGTTGCAGCTTGGTTGTTTGGGAGTGGGGCTCGGAGGAACTCGGGGATCAGGGCCACTTACCGAGATACTTGAGACTGTCGATGGCAAGTTGGTAATCCTGTTCGGCGGACTTGCGATACCAGAAGACGGCGGTGTCGATGTTCTCGGGGACACCTTCGCCATTCTTGTAGCGGTTGCCGAGCCAATATTGTGCGTATCGATTGCCCTGTTCGGCCGACTTGCGGAACCACTCGAACGCCTCGGTGTAGGCTTTGGTGACTCCGTATCCATAGAGAATGCACACACCAACCATATTCTGCCCATACGAGTTGCCTTGGTCGGCCGACTTGCTGTACCACTCGAATGCCTTCTCGTAGTTCCTCGATACTCCTCTGCCACCAAAGTAGCAATCTCCAATCCACAACTGGCTGTCGCTGTGGCCTTCGTTGGCGAGCTGCTCGAGGATTCCTGCTGCCTTTGTTCTGTCTCGTGTGGCTCCGAATCCACAAAACAGGCACACGGCCATCAGATGTCTGCATAGCCAGTCACGATCCGATCCCAGCTGGCACAGCTGGAAGAACTTTCGGGCTACGGGTGAGTCGGATGAAGCCCAATTGCTGCCAGACATTCATCCTCTCCAAGCTTGAACTCATCCGATTTGTTCTCTCGGATGATCCTGACGCCTTCCTGCTGGTCTTGCTGAGTCCCTCGGCCCAGGTAGTACATCCATCCGATCATATGGGTGGCGATGGGATTGATGACTGGATCGTCGGATTGGGTGCTGACTTCCTGCCAGTGATTGAACGCAGCTTCGTCGCTCTGCTCGACACCATCACCGATGAACGAGAGCCAGCCACGGAGAAACAAGATGTGGAGTCGACCGTCTTCGCTGCCCTGGTCGGCTGCCTTTGAGTACCACTCGATGGCTGTGTCGTAGTCTTGGTCGACACCATCGCCATTCTCATAGGATCGCCCGAGGGCAACTTGGGCCTGAGGGATTTCAAGCTCTGAAAGTTCATGGTACAGCTCGAAGGCCATGGTGTGGTCTTGATCGATTCCAAGCCCGTTGCGATAACACTCGGCCAGGTGGAACTGCGCCATTGAATGCTTTGCTTTGGCCGATGTTTCCAGATGGCGGAAGATTCGCTGACGAATGGCTCGCTGCTCGTACCATTTCATTCCTCCTTGGTCGAGATCGACTTGGAGGATACTTGAGAGGAAGTATGAAGCATAGGTGTTTCCTTGGTCCGCCTGAGCGACGAGCTAGGATCGGTCGGCTGAGCTTGGATTCGCGCAGTGCGGCGATAGGGCAATCTTGTCGATCGGTGTGAGCCCGAACTTCAGCTGTCCATCTGGATGACACAGTCCTGCATTCTGGCACCAGCCGTGGAAGAGAGGCAGCTTGGAGCTCAGGAGAGGACGGGCTCGCTTGCACACTCGAAGGAGGGTCTTGATGGTGTTGTGATCGAGGGCAAGTTGGAAGCTGTCGTTGCAGCAGATGATAGTGAAGATGTCTGGGTTGTGTTCGAGCGAGAGCTGGGTGATATCGGGCATCGACGAGGTCGATCTGGCCACAGCTTGGGTTTGGTAGGTGGCAGATGCTGTAGTTGAAGCAGGCTCGTTGATGCTGGCCATGTTGACGGAGACAGGAAGGAGGCAAGTTAGCGATGGAGTTGGACAGAGGACAGAGGGAAATTGTGGTGAAGCAAGCCAAACCCTGGCCAGCCAAATACTGGCCATTGAGCACACACACACACACAAACCTGGCTCGATCCGATGGTTTGATGGCTGGAGTCGTTGTTGCTCAGGACATTGCCACAGGTATCGCCACATTCATGGAACATGGATTCGAGCATGGAATCGAGCATCGTATCGAGTCCTGCATTCTCGCCAAGGCAAGATGTAACAGCCATTCCATCCAGTTCCACATCGACTGCGACACCCTGGCTCCAGCTTGCTGCACCGAGCACCACCAGTTCGCCTCCAAGCCTTCATTTCCTCATCGCAACATGCTGATCGTGAGAATCAAGCAGGGCCTTCAGCAAAGATATCTGCCTTTCTCAACGAATGTCACTTCCCACCTATTGCTTCCGCATACCTGCCGCTTCAACGAACTGTTATCAGCAACAAAAGTAACACAGGCAATCGTATTGCATCACAAGGATTGGAAATAGTCTCAAATGGGTGTTTACCAGGCTATACCATGCTCCTACCAAGAATCTCCTCGGTGCTCACATTCTTCAACAGTATGGTGCGGGCCGTTGATGTATCGATCTATCATCAACTCACATATACCACATGGACACTCTCAAGCTGGCCCATCCCGGTCTATCCAAGTCTGACAAGGACCGTGGAAAGCTTTGGTCGACGCCATCCCAGTCCCGCATCCTGGCAAGTGCCTCTCCTTCTGCCACATGGTCCTGACCCAGCTCCGTCAGCGCTATGTCAATGCCGGCACCCGGGTCTTCTCCGACAAGCACTGGATCACCACCGAGAAGTACGCCTACGACTTCCTCGACGGAATCATCAACGAGTTTGTCGAGAGCCTGGCCTCCAATCTCGCCAAGTGCGCGGCCATGAAGGCCCGTGGCGAGGAGGTCAAGCACTTCCGCCTCCGCTATCTCAGCAAGAAGCGATCCACCTCCGAGTCCTGCTACATGAGGAAGCGACTCTGGGCCCCACTCAGTCCACCTCCAGCTTCTGGAACCGAGTCAACATCCGTGAG